GGGGGGGGGGGAGAGAACTGAGGTACATCATTCGACACGAAACGACACTTCCTTATTCATTACTACAATGGTAGAAAAAAAGGGGGGTTCACCAAGCCGATATCAGAGAGAAAAAAACATCCCCCCAGCGGTAAGTAATAAACCACCACAGGTGAATACTAAAAAAAACAACAGAAGCTTCGTAACCCTCCGACCCAACACGAAATCAACGCCACTCACACCCAAACGTCTCCAGCGCGCCCTACTGGCTGGCAGGGAGATGACCTACCTGGCGTTCCAGCCCTTCATGAGACAGAGGCTGGTCCGCCTGCGGCTCGACGTACCTCCTTTCCTCGAGATCATGTGACACCGGAGACGCGTGGTAGGTCCCTGCAGAGACGGTCCTCGCGCTTTGCGGGCTCGCCGCCGGGGTCACCCCCGTGGTCTGCCCTTCGTTCACCGCCGTGTTAAGAGGGAACGGCTGCTGCTGTGTCTCGGGCACTGGCGACCCCGGCACGCTTCCTCCGGCAAGGGCGAAGCTGGCAATAGTAGCGTGCCACTGTTTTGCCTCCGAGGCCGTGTGCGCCTTGAACTGGAAGTCGTAGCTCAGCGCCATCTTCTGGCCGAGCTTGCTCCCCGACGAGTCTTTACCCTTGACCGTGAATTTGGTCCCGTCGACGGCTCCAATCACACAGTCCGGGAGGAACAAGGACACCTCTGGCGAAGGGTCCTTGAGTAGATTCTCGTTGTCCTTGTACTCGTGCAAAAACCCCGCGGGCGTCACGGCGTAGTACCCGCTCGAGTAGCCTCTGATGGCGCCTACGCCGCGGGGCTTGCGCTCCAGCGATCCCTCGATCAGGGGCTTGGTCGCGCGGTGGCTGTCGTTGGCGAACGAGGCGAAAGCAAAGTTCTTCGGAGCGCTGTTCGGGTTGACGAGAACAGTCGCGTTGCGCTTGGAGAAGCCTTCCCACTCGAAGTCGAGCGGGATCGCTGCCGCGGTGCCGGCAATGTCCTCGGTCATGGCTTTCTGACGGTCTGCGAGGTTGCTCATGTACTGGTTGTACGAGTTCAACGCCGACTGGAGCGTGGTGATGAGATGGGCCTCGAATTGCTTGAACGAGTTTTGGACGGCGATCAGGTCCTGGCGGTGGTTGTTCTCGTCCAGGATCTGCTTGTTGAGGCGGTTCAACGTCTGCCTCTTGAGCACGTACGGGTCGTGAGCCGCCGAGATTCGACTGGCGTTGCCGCCGCTGGCATCGAAATGTGAAGCTTGCGCCCCGAGCAGATCGACGTGTTTTTGCGTAGCTGCGCGCGCGGCCTCGACAGCTTTGGAGCCTTTGCCGGCGCCGTTCTGCAACTCCTTGCTCTTGTTCTTGATCTCCTGATGCAGACGCTCGAGGATTGGGAGGACCGAACCCGTGAGGCACATGCTCGTCTCGACGTAGAGGTTGGTTATCGCCGTCGTGTTGGTGCGGATGTTGTCGAACAAGCTCGTGATGCCACCGATTGCGCTGTCAAAGTGGTGTGCTTCGCGCAGCGGGCTTGAGACCGTCTTCAGGATCTTCTCTTGATCTTTGGCCCGGCTTCCATGGTCTTTCGCGACCGCCGAAACGTAGGCCTCCAGGTATTTGACCATGTGTTTCCAGGCCTGTAGACGCTCGCTCAGGAGGCCGACGGTGCTCGTGGAGTCGCCGGCTGGGAGAGCCTCGTCGTCCGAGTCGGACATGGTCTTTGATCGCGTGGGAACGACGGTCGACATGGCTGCTTCGTACGAGGGAGGTGGAGGTTCAGGCAGAGACGAAGGAGAAGGGGTACTGTACTACGATATCCGCACTGCCATGTCTGTTAGTTGGGAAGTGCTCACAAAATGTATGAATCGGGCCATGGTTTCTTCTTGCGTCCAGGGGATAAAGCTACCTGTACCTGAGCGACCTGACGCGACTGAGACAGACAGGGCGAAAAGGCGCCGGCTGCGGAGCGCGAATTGCTCCGTATCGTGGTGGTGATTGCGACTCCGGGCTCCGAGTTATGCCTGGGGTGTATTGCACAGAATACACCAAGCTGCTCTGCTGATACGGATAATGCTCAGTCGAGCAGATAACGAATGCTGTATCGCATGCAGCGGCAGAAGCCTCACGATCAAACAGACTTTCGGCGGTTCGAAGTCTAGAATCGATCTATTGACTTTATCGGCCGAGGGAGTTTCAACTTTCTCCGGTGCCCCATGTCGTGAAGCTTTATGCGGCACCGTCTCTACAGTGCCCGGTGAGTAACTCAGCTATACAGGATGGAGGACATCGTTCTCAATCTACATTCTATATTCTCTAGTCTCCTAGTCTAGTGGCTTCTTGTCGAGTATCTCTAGTAGATCTAACCATCTATACCATTCTTCGTTACGTGTCACTACGTCCAAAGATCCAAGCGACCCATTCAGCCGCCCATTATCTCCTCTTCAAGTCCTTCAACACACCACGGACCGCTCGAGCAATCTCGTGTCGGCCGTCGTAGCACGGGTATACAATGACAGCGAACATGGCGGCAAAATGCCAGATGATCGCCATGGTGACCCATCCGTCGAAAAAGCTCCGGGTGAAAATCCAGTCACGGTACAGGGGGAGAGGCCACAGGACGATGGTGACCAAGACATTGACCACGAAGAAGATGCTGGCGTACTTGAACCACTTCCTGATGTGCCGGAGCGTCTGTTCGTCGAATGGATGCACCACCTGATCCAGAGGGATTCGAGCCCTTGACTGAGTGGCCGGCGGACTTGGAGGGCCATTCTGTTCCCCAGTGGTGAGATACCCTGCTTTCTCAGGACCTTCGCTTGTTTTGAGGACTTCATTGACGGCTTCGGTGCTGGGTGCTTTGGACTGCAAACTGCTGCTGGGCTGGCTCTTGTCCTCGATGAGGTCGATTCTCAGGAATTCGCGCCAGTCGAAGCGGCTCGGCCATGCGAGGGAGATGATTACGGAATAGAGAGCCGGCGAGAAAAAGGAAACAACAGCTGCGTAGAGGCCTGGAACCTGGGTCTGCGTTGTTTGGATGTTGATTGCACCAGTCCAAACGTATGATAGAGATAACCAGACTGCCAACCCCGACGCCAGTCCAAGAATGGGACTTAGGATGGCGGCCAACTTCGTTTGTCTCGACCATAGCAACGTCAAGACCATTGGTAGAATGCCAGGGCATGCAACGACCGGTCGGAAGTAGGTGGACCAATTGTTTGTGGCACCGGCGTACTCGAGCATGATGGCAAACCCGGCCATGAAACAGCCGTGGAAGACGACGCCCCAGTGGCTGACCTTGAGCGTCGTGCGGTCAGACGCACGTGGATTGATGTAGGTCCGGAAAAAGTCGAGAGAGATTATACTGCTCACAGCGATCATGGACGAAGACACGGTGCTGGTGATGGCCATGAAGATTAGGACCAGCAGACCGGCCGTCGCACCCCGGCCAAGTAGAGACCTCAGCACATATGGCATGACCATGCCAGAATTCACCTGTTTCACCGTCAAAGTATTGGGATAGTCAGCCCAGACAGGAGTGTTCTCAATTGCGCGGGCGCTGAGACCGATAATGGTACCGGTACACCATGGGATGGCGAGGATAACAATAGACACGAGGTCGTACGCCGGGACAGTCGAGTTCACATCGGAAGCGAACGATTTCTGCCAAAATGCCGTGTCCATGAGGACAAGTGCAAGGTTGCCAAACTTCAGCACGAGGCCGAAAAGGAGAGCTTTCCCCGGCTATTAGTACAAGGCCTTGACATAAATCGAGGGGGGATAATTTACATCTCTTCGACTTCATCGTCAAGAGCGATCCTTTATAGTTGCCCTCAATATAGACATCTGCTGCTTTAACCTTCTGGTACAACCCCGACACCCCGCCGATGTGCTCGTTCGTCAATACCGCGAGCGAGAAGTAGATTAAGAGGATGAGGGCGATCGTAGTGTGCAGGAAGTCGGTCAAGAATGTCGCCTTGAGACCACCGACGGCAGTATAGACGACCACTTCACACAAGGGAAAATATCAGCATCCACATGTGCCGCTGAAGCTGCGATTGGGCTTACCTCCTAGAGGAATGAGAATAGCCGCGGCGACAACGTGCATTCCCGTCATTCCCGTCACCAGCTGGGAGCCTGAAAGAATCATACTGCCACAGCCAAAGATGTTGTTCACAAGGTTGAGTACAATGAACAGCCCGTGGGCAATCTTTCCGTATCTCATCCTGATGATCTCGAGAGAGGTGTGGGCGTAGGGGACCCGGAGCTTTGCCACGATACCGAGGACCGCCATGAGTGCAATCTGGAATGACAGACCACTCGCCCACCAAATCGGCAGTGCAATACCCCATTTGTAGGTATAAGCAGCCGAAAAGACACTCTCATTGATCCACATCCTTCATTGTCTGTTAATCACACGTTCCAGGGGTCAATGCCGGCAGGGACCTTACCAACTCGAGAAGACAGCTGAAGCGGTCAAGCCAGTCCCAACGGAACGATTGGCAACCATAAACATTTCCGACTGGTCGCTATCCTCTGAAAGGTAACGCTTTTGTAGACGGACAGCAGCGAGAATAATAAGACAGAACAGAACCGACAGCCCAATGATGATGCCATAGCCGTCGGCCTGTGAAAGGAGTTCCACAGCCATCGTGAGTTCCAAAGCAGTATATTCAGCAAAGGTGTGAGGCGACGAGAGGATAAGTTCTTCCACAAGGTACCAAGTTCCTGGTACATATACCCGGCAGCCACATCTCCACCATCCGTCCAAGTGCGTGGCATCATCACTTCTGCCGGTGATGTGCGATTATCTTTTCCTAGGAGATTGAAAAATATGAAGTCCTTACCCCGTGGATTGATAGCACCCAGGCACGTTTATTCGCCAGGACGTCCATGGGGATTGAAATGGCGCGTTCACGTGGTGGAGCAACAGCGCGATGGCGTTATATGCACCGTTGAAGCACGCAATGTCAGCACCGAGAGCAGGACATCAGAAATTCCATCCAGCATGATTTCTATCGCGCGGAAGGCCGACATGTTCATGAAGTCGGCTGTGTTCCGCAAATGACAACGTGGCCGCTTACAGGAAAACGAACCGTAAAGAAGGTTCCTCCATCGACTTCACCCAAGGTCCTGCAGTGTGTAGAGAAGGGTCGGCGCATGAGCAGGTTGCGATAAACTTGAGGGATTGCGCTGTTCGGCTGCAGTCTCGAGATATTGCCCAGCTTCTTGGCTCAGAAAAGCCTCTGGGGCTTGGTCTTGCTTGTCAGTGTAGCTTTCCAATTGATAGCAAGCCAAGCGTGTCATGCCTACGAGGCTTGAGTGTGCCGCGTTGTTCTTTTCGACTGGTGGGGTGCAAATCCGCGCCATTTGAATTCACAGGAGATAATAATCTTTACAGTACATGCTGAAATGTAGGACGTTCGGCGGCGACACTCCGGTCACCACCTCAACCTCGACCATTCACAGGCAGCCGGAGTCTCATGGTCAGGGAGATGAAGATATGGTCGCTGTTTTTCTCAGCAGATTCGAGAATCGAGACTCAGCAAGTTTAGCGCAAGGGCAGAGGCTTAGTCAGCCATGTGCCTTGAAGGAATGAACAGGGACGAGAATATGGTAACCAGAGAATAGTCCCTGGCCGATTCGACCGCACTGACATGGCATTTGGAGAGTCAAGGTGTCGGCACATCATACAACAATTATGTGCCTTGTGCATTGTATGATTCCTCGTCTCATCTTTCCTCTCCGATCATCAAGGTGCCAGATGGCAACATCACTGTGTCTCTGTCGCCAGTGGGTGTCGACAGAATACCTAGTAGAAAGTATCACATCTGCAAGCCCAATGCATTCACCCATTCGCCACTGTATTCAGAGACCCTGGTCGTCTCTTCCAGATAACAGCGACCTTGGCCAACACTCTGCCGCCCGTCGAACTACCCACGCTTCCAAGCACCCCGACTTTCTCGAAAGCACCTACCAGACCAGCAAACATCCAATTCTTGTCGATCTCGTCTCCTGACAAGCCATCACCTGGGTACAAAGCCTGGCACTCCATTCTGTCCAGCAATTTCTCTGCCTCGACACTGTCTGCGTTTGTCCCTTGTTCCCACGCCTTGTGGACAAACACCGGCGTCGCCCGCGCCAAAGCGTCATTGCCGTCTGTCAGGCTGGGGTCGGACAAGAATTCGAGTCCGGCGATCCTCCCGGTGCCAGGAAGATAATACACATGCACCCGATTTATTGGGGCTGCAGCCAAACCACGCTCGTCGATCTGCTTCCACCTCTCCGGGCCCGGTTTGCACCCAACATACATGTTCGCAAACATGGTGCCCTGCTCCTCTGTGGTGGAATTTTTGAGTCCCCGGATCTCATTGCCCTCGACGGTCTTGACGTTGACATTGAGCACTGATTTATTGTCCGCGTATCCGAGTCCGATTCCGCCAATGGCATTGTGGCTGTCCTTTACCCTGCGACCGCGATACCACGCAGCCTCGAAAGGTTGCACTGCAATGCGCTGGGGGAACTCTTCATCTTCCAAGTCAAAATTCCCTATGGCAAAGTGTTTGTATTTCTTATACTGAGACAACGGCTCGCCGATGACATCCCACCAGTAATTTGACGGACTGCTGAGAATATTCTTAGCGGCAGACAAATCCGCCAGATCCTTGACCCGCCAATCGCTGCTGCTGCTGTTGTCGTCGTATTTGGGTACGGGAAGAATGCTTTGGATGACTCCAGGACAGACGTACTTCGGAAGGCTGTATACATGTCGACCGTGCTCGTCGTGTTTGGTAATTGACCGCTCGGGGTCTACGACCAATGCCGCCGCCTGCTCTTGGATATAAATCATCGACGAACGACACAAAAGCCTCATCATACTCAGCTTCTGTGGGTCCGGGTCCATACTTGCCAACCTTCGCGTTGTGTCGAGTAGTATCGCGTCCAGGTCCATGAGTGGACGGGTCTTTCTGTCCGTTTCAGTGTCATCTCCTGCGGGCACCGCGGTCTGAGCCACGACACTGTATCTTGGCCCTGAACGAGAAAATTCGAATCCAGCCTCAACTCCGCCGCCAGGGACCTGAGCTGCAACTGAGGCTTGAAGAGCCATCTTTTGACTGTCCTTCTTTGTCTTGTCGTCGTCTCGATTCCGATAGTTTTGCGGTACCCGGATCATATCATTGAGCGTTTCACACAACTCTTGAAACGCCACGAAATCCTCATACAGAGTACTCGTGTAGATGGCGCAGTGGTCGTACGTCAACGGCAGAGGGATCCGTGGATTGGCTAGCCGGTGGTCCTGGAAACTCTTTAGTGCCGCATACGAGGTCAGGACGGCACGGATCTTGGCTGGTTTAGCAGCCACCATGGACGGAAAGGCATTTGCGATCAGAACCAGGTTGTCCATACCCCATGGAAAATCATGGTTTTTGATCTGCCCGCCACCTCGCCACTGGATGCGGATCGATGTCGTGGCTTGTGAAAACAGCCGGGATCGTTCTTGAGACATATCCATCTTACCTGAGGCTTGTACGGGTAGGGCCATGGGCGTCAGCTGCGCCGAGGCGTGTAGCGCCAACTGCCTCGAGTTCTTGCGGTCCAGGGACTTGATGCCGATCCATGCGTACATCTCACCACCTTCCACGAAGTCCGAGATGAAACAGTCTCCGTATATCCGGGTGAATTCGACGCTGCGAGTATGTGTATCCTTGTCGTCGCTGAGCACTTCGTTCAGACCTGTGACCTCGTTGAACGACCATTCTTCTTTGCGGTCGTCGGCTTCGTTGACTACTTTGACGTGGACGAGGAAATTAACGTCGTTTGCGCCAAGGTCGTTGCTCGTCGCGAGGCTGGAACCAGCTTCAGCTCCAGGGCCCAAGCTGGTGGCCTTGATCGCCGCAGAAGCATTGAAACCCATCGCATTGTTCATCTCGAGGACACTCTTCACCTGCTTGGATGAGAACGTGACTGTTTGATTATGTCGAGCATTCGGGTCCAGTTTTAGCAAGTATGGAAGTTTTGGTTGTTGCGGTGACTCCGCCGTCGTTGTCTTCAGACCTTCTTTCACGACGGCTATGAGGTCTGTCATATCTATACCTTGCTTGGGCGGTGCATTGGACACGGATGCAGTTGTGGTGAGCGATGCAGTGACGGTCTCAGAATCACTACCAGTGAGGCTGGCCGTTCGCGCATTGTCCTGGAGCTTGGTGATGGTGACAGCATTGTCGATTCGAACTTCTTGTATATATGAATTGTAGCCCTGGCCGCGCTTCATGCGCACGTTGTAGAGGGGGCCGCAGTCATCCATCCTGGGTGCGGTTATGTCGTGTCTGTAAGAAGCGTGCGAGGCGACAACAGCGCATGTCGAGGTATAAGTTATCCCTCGGCTGGTGCATGATCCGTGTTTGTCCAAACGGTACAGCGGACTTTTGCAAAGGCTTCGAGCGCGATTTCACGTAAAGCCGATGCATGATACGTGCAGGGCTTCAACGGTGTTGCCGATGGGACTGGCGTCGTGAAATTTCCATCAATCACATCGCCGGCCTGATAGGCCTTGCAGGGTGCTGCCACCATCACCAAACACCTGCGGCCCTATTTGGGCGACTTGCAACCATTTGTGGCTGCGCTAATGCACCCGTGAAAAAGCTTCGGGGGACGAAGAGTACTTAGTACGAGGGATGTGCATCTTAGCGTGTGATAAAGGTCGATTGAGCGGTCGGAGTCAAGCCAATGAATCGTCCTGTGCTGTGTTGTCATGTCGACAAGATCCGGAGGCAGCGGGCGCAGCTGAAAGGATAGAAAATGAGCCTTAGGTCTTTAAGCCTTTGTCTTTTTCGTCTTTCCCACTTAGATGAGCTTGGGTGTGTTGCACCGGTCATCTGGAGGGTAAGCGGATTGAGGCTGGCGAGGTTTGACTAGTTAGCTGCTCCGCGGGGCGTGATGCGGATTGGTTTGGTCGTTTTCAAATTGATTTAGTGAGGTATCGAGACAAGTAGGCGAGAGAAGTCCAGCCTCAGCTGACCAAGAGTATGGCGTACGGATACCGAACTAGGATAGCTGTGTAGTTAACCTACGCCTTTTGTAGATATCGTGGATGGACTCACTTGAGGTCGAAAGGCTAGTGAGCATCTTTAGCGAGGCTACTCCCGCCCCCGTGATGGAGATAGACGGTGGGGCCCAACTTGGACATGTCAGGCCGGGCGCGTCCGTGCATATCCCTGAGATTCTTGTATAATCCGCCGAAGTGAGGTAAATATAGCAGGACTTATTATTATTATTTCTATACACCTTAAGCTATTTAAGCTTATGTCGGGGTACTATAATCTTAAGTAGGGAAAACCCTCTATGGGAAGAAAACCTACTCTGAATTCCTTCCTCCTGTCGGTTACGCTTCGTACTGGTTATTTGCGAGCTGTTTTCCGACAGCTTAGAGCACTCATCTTGGGGTGGGGAGAGAGTGGTGTTGTTGTTGTTGTTTTAGTGTTTCTGGCCTTGTCTATTCCATCACAGTTTGCCTAGGTTCTTCGTTGGTTACGAGTGTTTGCGGGCGGTTTCCATTCCCGTGCAGGGAGAGTGTTGGGGGGCGCTGGGGGTGTGTCTGGTGGGCGCTCAGAGTTGAATCACTCTGGCGTGTTGGATGCTTTTCATGTCTGGAGGCCGCCTGTGGTATCGAGTCGAGGCTTGGCGCAACCTGGAGGCATATAGATAGGCGACTTTTTCATCTTTTCCTCCTTCTCTTTTTCAACTTTTTCATCCTCCTGCCCCCCGGCCCCGTAGCAGGACTTGTAGTCCGTGATGTAAACGTGCCGGCTCACCGTCATACAACTATTGATAATGGTGGATATGGTGAGTACTGGTGTCGCGAAGGGACTTGCCCATTATTCTGAGGCGTTTGGCTGAAGAGGGCTCATATACGAGAAAAGAGACTGGGAGCAACATGAAACAAGATGAACTCGTAGAATAGTGGCATTGTCTCAAGTATGTATGTGTGTACTGCTGTGTATAGTACTCGGATATATAGATGTGACAGATAGCTGGTTTAAGGAAACTGGTCTACAACGAAGGTGCGTGACAAAGACTGGTTCAGAAATAATGGGTATCAAAATGAAATTTGTGTCGAATTAGGCAGAGGTAAGGTGGTGTGGTACGAGGCTGTCTTTTGATTTAGCGAACAACGTTCTCCTCTGCATCTGGCAAACTCTGCTCATTGCCCAGCTTGGGGTTCCTAAGACAGAGAGAGAACCCGATCAGAAGAACAGCGAGACAGATACCCGTGATGCAAAGCAGGCGCTGGGCATGCTGGTACGCGGCAATGATGGCAGTACGCTCAGGCGTGCCGACGGGATACTCGGCGATCACGCCAAAAGGGTTCGCGTACGTCGAAGCAGCCAAAGTCGAGTTGCCCAGCGGTGCAAGGCGGTCCTCGAGGGTCGAAGGGAGGACGTTCGTCCAGATGGCGCCTGAGACACATCCGCCAAATGCAGACCCGATGTTGTACGTCGCCAGATAGAGGCCGGTGATGACGGCGACGTGCTCGTGTTTGGTCGCGGCCTGGATCGACGCCTGTGCAGGGTAGGGGAACAAACCACCGGCGAAACCAAGCAGGACCTGGGCACCTATGACGCCGGATTTGCCTGAGGAGCTGGGCGAGCCACGGTAGTGGATCAGCAGGCCAAATGCGACCATGAACAGACACGTGCCGGCGACGATGAACCATTTAAGGCGGCGCACCTTGTACACGATCATGCCCAGCACGAAACCCGTGATGACGGACGTGAAGCTGTACAGGGACGAGACTCGCGTGGCGGCCTTGACGCTGAAGTCAAACGCCACGCTCAGGACAGTGTAAAGGTAGTCACCTTGCATGTACCAGGCAAAATTGAGCGTGCAGGCGATGCCGAGCGCGCCCCAGACGGCGCGGTCCGTCAGTAAATCGAAGGGGACCAACGGGTGAGGAGCCCAAAGTTCCCAGAAGATGAAGGCTGGGATGCACAGGATGCCGATGACGAGAGGGGCGATAACATGCGCTTCTCTCCATTTGCTCGACACACCACCAGCGATCGTCAGAGGGACCAGGATCAGCGCAAACACGGCGATGAGCAAGATGATCCCAACGACGTCTAAGGACCAGAACAGGCTGACGGTCAGTTTGCGTGCGCCGAGCTGTTGGAAGGGTGATTGGTACTTGTCGAGGACGCCGGCTTTGCGAGCGCGACGACCCACGATGAACAGGGTGATGATCAGAGGCAGTGCGCAGACCGGATAGATGATGCACCACATGCCAATGCCCCATTTCCAGGTCGTGGAGGCGAGGACGGCCTCAGTGATGTCGCCGGAGACCCAGGTGTTGATGATAAAGGGGAGCGCGGGGATATAGCTGAAGAACAAACGCGCGCGGAGAGACGTGATGTCGGCGATGATGACTTCGACGAGCAGGATGATCAGCGTGTACCCGATTTGGTAGAGGACAGAGCCTCCCGCGAAGGTTGAGACGTTAGTAGCGACAGCTTCGACGATGGTTCCGAGGGTGTAGAAGAAAACCGAGACACAGACCAGCTCGAGACGACCGAAGACATCGGCGATTTTGGCACCGGTGGGTTGTGCGGCTGCGGCAATGACAGCGCGGAGGACGTTGATGGTTGCGAGGAGCGAGTGTTCGCCCATGTCTGCCGTGGCGGTCGTTTGGAACGTGTACCGGACTGTGCCGTCAAGACCATACGCGTAGGCTACGAGGAAGACGCCGATGAATAAGAAGATACGGTCGGTCAAAGTCAAAACCTCGCCGATGGCTTCGATGCGAGCCACACCAGGAGACTTGTCGCCCACTAGGAGGATTGAATCTCGGCGGGCGCCTCCTTCTCCTCCGGGAGGAGGGACCTCCTTGTTGGGTCCAGCATCGCTAGTGGTGTTGTTGTCATGGAAAGGATTCTTGGGATCCTCTGGTAGTATCGTTGTTGTTTTACCCTTTGTCGTCTGTGACTCGTCTGAGAAAGACATGGTGTCGGCTGTGTACGTGTGACGCCCAGGGCACACAACCAGGGATGTGCTGGCTTGTGGACGAAGTACCTATGCCAATCTAAGGGCTCTCACGAGTCTTACCTTGGAATGGGGGAAGAGGCAGAGAGGGGCGACAACGTTCCTTTTATGTTCTAGGATACCGAAAGCACCTACGCATCCGTTAGTTCGTTCCAGGCTAGTAGTTTTCATTGAATCAAGCCACGCATGGTCTGCTCGACGCTCTCGAGATGGGGAATCGGTGGCCCCGAGGGTCGAGGGTCGAGAGTATCCAGCCAACGGGGATAAAATAGTCCTCTCTGCATGGGTCGAGACGCTCGCGCATGGACTCCAGAAGCCTCCTGTACCAGGACCATATCGCCCTACGAGGGAACCGACGGCACGATGGTTTGCTGCCCAGAACATTGGCGACGATGAGCACTGGAATCCAGTGGAGAGCGAGGTCGATGGACGATTGGCTGTTATCTTATCTGATGTAAAGTTTTTCGCCGCTAAACCCGAAACGCTCCAGCGATGCTACACCATCGATGTCACCAAGATGATTCAATCCCATCGACTCCAGTGCCAAGTCGACCCCATCAGAGAAAATCTCACAACTTCTGGGCCGTTGGCGTCTTGGTCTCGGTCATAGCGGCCTGGTAGACCCGCGAAGCCATTGCCCTTGGCCTACACGGCTCCCTCGAGAGAGCCCATTGCTCGGATCGCTACGGGTTACGGAGTAAAGTACAGAGACCCAGGTAGGTCCAGAGACGGTCCAGTCCTGTACAACAGGGACGTGTCTGCGCCATTTATTGAGCGATGCTGGACCCAGCTACTTGGTCGTGCTCTGGTTTGAGAGCCAGTCACAGCACGCCGACGATCAGTGATGAAACCATGATGCCAAAGCTACACAATCTAATCAGAGATCTAATCAGATGGAAGGAAACCCGGGGCGATGACAGACAATCGCTTCTCATCCGCCATCATTAAGAGTCTTGTTGTTCGCTGGTGTGGAAACCAGATGCCAATCATGTATCGCCGAGGACAAGAGAGGCTGTGGCAACAGTACCGAATATTGAAGCTACGAGAATTACGTCCTTCCCGGTGTCCTCACTACAATGCTATTAAGGGCCGTAGTCAGTATTGAGCTGGTTGCGCCCTGATGCGCTACGGGAACAAATTTAATGTCAACCGCGGTCGGAGTCGCCGAGATGCAATTTGTGAGTTCTAGCCATAGAGGACCATCTATTGACTTTAGCCCCATTGCACAGTCTTCTGCAAAGTTGTCCGAGTATCGGAGCCATTACATGCTTTTCATTACCCCATTGGTTGTTTGCTAGCTTCCTGGGTCATTATATGGAGGAAGGGCGCTTACAGCCTTGGAGTCGTACACTTCAAAGATCCTGGTGGTCCCTTGGCTGTCCATACTAGTGCTGACAAAGCAGGACAGTATGCACGAGGAGCTCGTGGCTCTTGCAGATATTCTTCTTTCTCTTACGAAGTCATTTACATAGCCTCCGCAAGGGCTTTGCTTCCTCGGACAACAGTTGCGATATGCCATGGGAGAGTTTCCTTCGACGGATCGACACACCCTCGCGACACACCCAGCGTCAAAAGACCACGGTATTGCTTGATGATGTCCTCCAACAAATCGTCCGGCGCGGCCTGACCTAGCCCACCCGATACTGGAGGCGGCAAATACACAAGACTAACTTCGAGGGAAATGAAGCCCTCTTCAACCTTTGCGCCTCTTCGCTTTAGCAATACCGCGCTCACTAGAGCTGGTCTTATGTCCATAATGCTCTTTGATTGATTCAGTCCATAGGGTAGGAGGATTCCCCAGCTCTCCTCGGCAGGATCGAGTAGAGTTAAGTCAACTTCGACGTTGGGATCCAAACTAGGCTCTGGAGGAGTTGGAGCGTTGATCAGGGCAGAACCACTAGGAGTAGGCGTCGCCGGGATATGTTGATCAGGCGACGTCACTCCTGCTTGTGGGGTTGATACAGGAGTGCCAAAGATGTTTTGCCCTGCCTGCACCAACTTGCCAGCGACCGTATGTGGGAAGACCTTCAGCTCCGGTTCAGGACTCGCTGCGAGGAGCATGGGCGAACACCTTTTCTGGACTGCTGTGGCGCTCTCAAATATCTGACGCCACTCCTGAAGCTCCGCAGGGGCATAGAAGCCATGTTTTATGATTCCAAGGCGCCATAGTCTTCTGTTTTTGCTCATCAGATCATGAGACACGAGCCACATTTCCCTAAAGACCTCTTGTCGCGGTCGACCCTGGATAGAGTCCTTACAGCGCGTGCAGTAGGACATGCTGAGAGATACATATCCTAGTTCATCTGCCCATGCCGCCGTAATCCACCGGCCATCGGGCGTGGCTGAGTATGCAAGGTGAAGATAATCACCATTGTTCGATAGTGGAGAAGCAAAAGTCGAGGCAAGTTGGAGATGGACAGGATTTTCCGCCTTTGCCAACGTAATCGCGGCGTCGCTTGCAGCTGGTGAGCGACTTTCTTCGATTGGTGGTAGTCGATTGTAGACCTCGAGAGCCAGCTTCAGGTATGCTTGTTGAGAGGGAACAACTAGCGACTCCGGACTGGCCACGAATCTTCGAGGGATGATTTGCAATGCCATGTCGGTGATGTTCTTTTTGTCTGCATTGGTTGCAAATGATTCGAAGAGGCAATTGAACGCCTTGCACATTTCAAGATATGCGGCTGGACTGTCGTCCTCACTGACCATATATATGAGAACCGTGCCAGACAGATCACTAGCTGTGGCTAGCATGCTCCCCATCCTTTGACACACCTGACGGACAGTCGACGACGCTTCTGCTGTGGTATTGTACGAAATTCTCCCGTCATCGGCTTCGTTGTTGAGCCGACCGACGGAATGTAATCCTAATGCGCAGCTATTATATGTATCTGACATCCTCTGTAGGAGATTTGAGCAACCGTCAGCCACCTCTTCGCCTTCGGGATGGATGCAGAAGGCTATGGCGTTTTTGAGGCCGTGAGCAGGTTGTAGGTTCAGGGTATCCCAGAAACTCAAAATAGGCAAAGAAGCAACAAGTGGCTGCTCGGCGCGTTTCATGCAAACCTGGCTTGGTTGCAACTTTGAAATCTTTCCTTGCGGTCTCACATTGGGAGTGTCTGCTTTCAAGGAGATTAGTTGAGACAGCGTAAGTGGGCTTGAAGCACTACCGAGCCCCCCCAGATCGGCGATAATGTCGAAATGGTCGTCAGTCAGTGTTTTGTGCTTGTACTCTTGATCTGCATGAGGAACTAAGGAAGTCTGCGAGACCTGATCCACAAAGATCTGTGCGACTTGCAGAAAGTTCCGATCGACAATCTCGTCAGTTTGAAGGGCACGATCCAGCACAGGGAAATCGACGATAGGTGTAGGTTGTATTGCAACAGGTTTCAGAGCTGCGAGAAGCTGCTTGATGTCTGCCTCGGCAGCAGCCTTATCAAACTCGCTTTGATGGGTGACAGTCGCCGGAGATCCTGGGTGGTACTCCGTCCATGCACATGAAGGAACGAGTGCCTTCTTGCCATTGGATGTTCGATATGGCGAAGAAAAATCTTCATCACTTGATTCACCGTCATTGGATGAGCTTGATGCCGAGTGCCTTATAACCGATGAAAGGTTCAGGGAAGAGTTGGGGGAGAAAGCTATCGGATCGGGGTCGAACCAGAATCCGCCGTTGGCTGTGTACTTGTAATCCCGCCAAGATGGTCTACCAGATCGCTGGACACTTTCGTAGATGCTCGACCGACGACGGGGGCCCGTTCTTTTAGACGACTGCTCTCCACCATCCAAGGCTACACCCTGTGTTGTCTGTGGATTACCGCGCTCAATCTTGCCAGTTTTACGCGACCCAGAGACCTCAGCATGGTCAACCGGACCTGCCGACTCCTGGTGATGAATAATTTCTGAAGGCAAAATCACTTCTGCGGACTGTTCCACGTGATTTGCGTCGATTCCATTCTCGTGTGATGGCGCTTTAGTGCCAGCATCGCCACGTATATCATTCATGATAGTGTCGACGTCCTTCACACCCACATCCGCTGGGTCGGTCATTGTTGCTGATATGGCTTTGATATTGGCACCAGGGCGATCAAAGAAATCCCAATTCGGTTCGTCGGCTGGGTTTCCGGGTCCAAATTGATCCTCTGGCATTTCGTCAAAGAGGTCTTCGTCATAATATCCACTCATGGCGCTGTCGTTATTCATTCCATCAAAGTCATGCATCTCCATGTCAGATCGTCGTACAGAATCAGAAGATTTTCCCGGCAGATTCGCCGGAGTCATTGCGATTCCGTCCACGGAAGAGAGTCCAGGAACGCTATGTGTCATGATGGCGTCTGGAGGAGTTGGATATACAGTTTGACTGGCGGGAAAGGCTGGTGGCCCAAAAGGCTGGAAATGTTCCGGATCGTCAAATGTGCCTGTTTCTGCAAAAAGCGGCTCGTCGTCATCATCGTCATCAGCTAGGTTGGCCATGTGGCTCTGGTCGTGAGCGTTGGAATTATCGTTGGAAGTTCCAATGAGCCACTCTCGAACAAATCGTATAGGATCCTGAATGCCACCCACCTGTTCAGGCAGCCCAGGGCGTTCATTGTCAGGAACAAAGCAGAGACTAGAGGGCCATAATAGGGTCTTCCACGAGACTGGCCCTAACATTCCGCTCGGTGTCGTTGAAACACTGGTGTTGTCGGCTGGAGGCTGCTCGGCGTCGTAAACTGCAACTTGTACTTCTACCCACGTAATTGTTCCACTGTCGAGACTTATATCTGCATGCTCACTTAGCCATGCCGGTAGAACCTCTCTCCATAATTCCTTCTCTTGTTCTACGTCATGACTAGGAATGATATCCTGTCCTTCATCGTAGTCGTTGGTCGTCAAGGTAGCGCCATTTGTGTTGTTCACCAGGCGAGCCACACGCCCCAGCGGGGCCAAATAGACAGGATAGCCGCCTGGAGCTGCGCTCCGTCTCAGATCAAAATCTTGTCCAACATCGAGAACCCGACGAAATGCATGCTCTCGGTCCTTGACAATGGTCAGAATGATCTGGCCAGTCGGAATGATTTGTAGATCTATTCTGTAAAGACTCCAGATATTTTTAGGCCCAAAGCGATCAACTTCAGACTCGGACACATCCCGCCTGGCGACATAAAGCTTTGGATCGAACTGCTGCACAGCCGTATCACCATTGGGAAGGACTTTGATGCTCGAGATGATGGCAATAGTGAACAAGCGGTACAGTCGTGCTTGATCTGGTTTCATCAAATCTGGCAAGCGCGCTGCCGTTTTATATGCAATTGTACAGGTATTGCTACGAAGAACATAGCCGAACTTTGTCAGCAAGGTCTTCTGGTCTTTGGCGTTGGTAATTTCGACCTTTTTATAGAAGGTAAAGAGCTGACGATTATCAACGTCAAGGGCTGCGAGAATAGAGACTTCTCTAAATTGACGTTCCGTCTTCCGTAGCCGTGCTAAGGTGGCTTCTGGCGTTGATACAAATGCTGCCGGGTCTTGTGAGGGCGGAGTTGCGACTGTACATACAATATATGCGATCTCGCCGAAGTCATTCTGCAAGCAAATTTAGCAATGGAAGAGAGACATGGGTTCTTTCTCCTACAAGAGTATAAACGTTGGTAGCACAATTGCTGGGGTAATCGAGATTCGTAGCCATTCCTTAACCATTCGGCGGAACCAATATCATGTGCCGACTGAAGCACGAGAAGACAAACCCAGGCCAGATTTGGTGCATTCTAGTATGAAGGAGGTGATAATGATGCAAGTTCTGCCCCCCAACCTCAGCAATCGCGTATGTAGAAGGTCGTTGCCCTCGGAGGACAGGCTACAGCTTGAGCTTTGATTCCAGGGTGGCGTCAATTCGATCAAAAGCCCGGGATGAGTTCGACGGCCAAAGACGAGGGAGGTTGGATCCAACGGCAAATTCTCTTCCAATGAGTGTTATAATGGAAAATGAGGATACAAGAGGCCAGCTCCAATCCACGGTGATGAAGTCGAAGACATCGAGCGATGTTGCTTTTCGAGGCGAGTAAGTTGACGAGTCCGACACGTGACTGTCGGCTGAACATCGGGAAATTTGGGCCGGCAACTTCAAAATTTTGGCGAAATTCTCCAACCGAGACGGTGGCCAGGTATGTATGAGTGTGACGACTGCTGCTGAGCGACGAAGTTCTTTTCTTGCTGCGGTCTAATGTTGGAACGTAGGACTCGAGTCGACAACTCACCCCTTGGCCCCCTCTAATGCCCTCCTCCACAAACCTCTAAAACCCGAAACATGAGACTCACCAACAGCGCGGTGCCAGTATACACCGTCGCAGGCGCCTCGACTTCACGGAGCCTTCCGGACTGGCTATCGCAAAAACAAAAAAGAAAAAAGGATCCTGAATTTGCGAATAGGGTAGAACTCTTGCAGGATTTCGAGTTCGAGGAAGCGAGTCAATGTATTCGCATCAGCGAAGATGGCGAATGGGCCATGAGCACAGGCACTTACAAGCCACAAATCCATACACACTACCTTCCAAACCTGGCCCTTTCCTGGACGAGACATACGAACACCCTAAATAAAACATTCTTGTTCCTCTCGTCGGACTACTCCAAAACCGTGCATCTTCAAGAAGACCGGTCTATCGAATTTCACACTCCTGGAGGGTGCCATGATTCTCTTAGAATACCAAGGTATGGCCGAGATCTTGCGTACGACCGAATTAGTACCGACCTTCTTGTTCCTGCGGTTGGAGTCAACAGCAATGGAATGGGCGAAGCCTTTCGAATAAACCTCGAGCTTGGACGTTTCATGAACGCTTTCGAAATAGACGTCGGAGGAGATGATTTGAATTCTGTTGGCGGTGGCGCATTACAAGGGGGCATTAGAACAGGCTCTGTGAATACAGCAACGATTGCCGAAAGCAGCCACAATTTATTCGCGTTTGGGACATCGATAGGCACGGTCGAATACTGGGACACTCGATCGAGAGCACGGGTGGCAACTCTAGCCATGCCCTCCGACCTTGATGGTCGCCCGGAGGTCACAGCACTCCAATTTCACCGGTCCGGCATCAGTACCGCAGTCGGAACCTCCTCTGGCATGATCTACCTGTATGATCTTAGGTCTCCCGTGCCTACCTTGAAGAAGGACCAAGGCTATGGATACCCCATCATCTATCTTGAATATTTGACCGCCACAAGCTCAACACGGGAAACTGTTTCAGAGCCAAAGATCGCCTCTGCCGACCGACGGATCCTCAAATTATGGGACGAACGAGACGGGACGCCATGGACTTCTGTGGAACCAGAGGTCGACATCAACTGCGTTGCATGGTGCAAGGACAGCGGCATGTTTTTAACCGCCAACGAAGGCCGTCACCAGCACTCATTCTTTATTCCACAACTTGGCCCGGCTCCGAAATGGTGCTCATTTCTCGATAACGTGGTCGAAGAAATGGCCGATGATCCTAATGATCCACATGCTTTCTCACGTTCAAAGGTTGGGGAGGTCTATGACAACTACAAATTCCTCACTTCATCCCAGCTACGTATGCTTAATCTGGATCATCTTGTTGGTAAAACAAATCTTCTGAGGCCGTACATGCACGGCTTCTTTGTTGCACAAGGCTTGTATGAACAGGCCAGGCTGATTGCAAATCCCTCGAGTTGGGAGGAAGAAAGAGCCAAACGAGTGCAAGAAAAGATCGACAAAGAACGCGAGAGCAGGATTCGCGGCAAGAAGAAGATCGCTGCCAAGGTCAACCGGAAGATGGCCGAGAGAATTCTTGAACGGGAGGAAAAGAACGAGAGAAAGCGCGCCGAGCGTGTTCTCGCGCAAGGCGGAGATGAGAATGCTACACTGGAAGCTGCCGAGCCTGAAGAGAATGGTCTGCTTGCAGATTCTAGATTTGCCAAACTATTCCAAGATGAAGATTTTGCGGTTGACGAAACATCCAGAGAGTTCCAGCAGCTTAATCCTAGCACCAAAATTGCTCCAGCTTCCAATCTAGATCGAGAGAAGGGACTTACTGCTGTCGAAGAGGAAGCGATTGATGAGATTCCAGGATCAAGTGACGACGATGAAACTGATGAGGATCAGGGAAGGAACAGGTATCGAACAACGGACAGAATCTCGTCGGCAGACTACAAGCGGGGTTCAACGAAAAAGCAAAAAAAGCGTGACCAGGTGAGGATGCAAGTATCTTCAACCTCGAAGCCGTCTGCTAGCAGGTCCCGTCATGATCGATCGTTTGGTTCTCGGGCGGAGAACGCTCGTCCCATGGAACGCACCAAGCGCAGCTCTGGGCTTAATGGTGCCGTCGGTGACAAGGTTATTTCATTCGATCCCAGTACCAAGAAGCCCAAAGTCCCGGAGAGGAGGGCTAGCGGTGTGTCAAAGCAAGACCGAAGAAGCGCTTCTGGCAACACATTCAGACGAATATGAGGCTAGAGGACGGTCATACCAAATCCATCATCGATACCCAAGCTCTCGGTCTGTCGTACTCTGTGGATACCATGTTTGAAACCTACCAGGCGCAGCACAAGGGACGCTTTTATGCACTGTGTAACCATGAAATCCAGCCAAGAGGAATGCGATGATTTGGCATTGTTTGCAGCTCTAGGATGTGAAAAGTCCAGACGAGCCTGGCTTAAAATCAGTCATTCTCGAACTCTACAATTACCCTTCCAAAACACAAGCGAATTGCAAATCCAAAACAAAGGAGACGCGCCCAACTTACTCGCCAAGTACAGACTGATGATCAACCTCAGTTGATCAAGCGGTTTCAACGGCTAGGATGATGGCCTCGGCGAGGCTACCGTGCTGCCGTACCCTTCCGCCGTTCCTCGAGCCCAGCTTGAACATCCGCATTGACCCTTTCAATGGCTTCCTTTGCCCCACCCCACTTCTTCCGTCCGTTCGGCCTTTTTGGTTCGAACAATCGATATACATGCGGCGACCAGATACCGTGACACAGTAGTTTGGAGAATTTTGGATCCGACCAGTATAGGTTCCAGGCTTTCAGACTGAAGAAGCCCAGATAGCTGTCCAATTCAATACCGGCAGCACCTTGAACCCACGAATGCCAGGGACCGTTGCGAACGCTTAATCTAACGATCTTGCCGTGCGGGCTGAGTGAGCGAAGTGTGCTCATGTACGATAAGTGCTCAGAATACCATTTCTCCATCTCGGTCTGCGATGGGAGCGTCGGGGTGTCAGGCTTGTTGGACCACAGCTGTGCGATTGCCATGGACGACAGATCAGCTAGGAGGAATGCAGGAAATACGATTATTGCGACGCCGATGAAGGCCAGGCTTGAAGGCTGCTCAAGAGAGAATATGTTCTGATAAAGGCGCGGCGTCTCGTTCAATTTGACACCTGAGTCGGCTGCGGCGAACGTCGAGTCCAAGGAGCGCGTGGGATCGTACTTTCCTACAAAAGAGTAGTCTAGGGAATATCCCGTGCAGAATATGATGGTGTCTACGCTGACGACTGTCCCGTCCTCCAGTTCAATTTCGTGGTCGTTGAGGACTCGCTTTGGGGCATGCACGGATTCGATCTTGCCTCTAGCCAAAGCTGGAATGAGTGTGTCCGAGACAGTTGGATTCTGGTGCAAGACCGACGGAGCAGGGCTCAGACGCCATTCGGGCGGGAATGATCCAAATTCTTTTTGTTGAATCCCAGTAACCACACGGTCCATGAACTTGACCGACATGCTGGGCGCCACGCGGTCGAGGGTGTCTTTGATTTCCATCTTGCGGTAATTGAGTGAATGGTCTAGCGAGGTTCCATCTTTGAGGTAGCGAGGCAGGACCACCGTACCTCTACGATGCGAATAATATATCTTGCTTGCAGTGCCGATTAGCGACGTCGATGTGTCAGCCGCAGAATTGCTTGCTCCCACGACCAGGACTCGCTTGTCTCTGAACAGCTCGGGCTGTTTGTATGCGATTGAATGAGTGATCTCTCCCTTGAAAAGCTCTCGACCAGCCAAGTCAGGCATGTTGGCTTTGTGGTTCGGTCCAGTGGCTATAATAAGTTTGTCGAACTCCAGTACCTCGGGGTCTTGCGCGCTGGGGAACCAGACGGTCAAACGCCAGCAGTTGTTGGCATCGTCACGGTCGACAGTCTGGACATTGGTTGAGAGGCGGAGATGCGGATGGAGGTTGAACGCATCGGCATAGTCGTGGAGGTACTGGTCGACCTGAGCAGCCGTTGGATAGGAGTCTGTCCCAGGTGGGAATGCAAAGTCTGTAAAGCACCCGCGTTCTCGGGATATGTTGACGACTGTAGATGAGAGGGCAGAGAGATCGTGTTTAGCCGAGTAGTGCCAGATCCCTCCGATGTAGTCGTTGCGCTCAAACCCTGTCACATCGAAGTCCTGTTCCAGGAGATTCTTGACCGTGACGAGACCTTGGGCTCCAAGACCGATGACTGCGACGGACGGTTGGATCTTGGCCATGACTGCCTGTGGATCGGAGATGTACTAGCCCTGCGAGCACTAATCCTCCATCGAGAACTCAGGAGCCCTGATATATAGGATACTAGTCTTATATAGGTGTGATACCTGGTGGGTTCCGAGAATCGGAGAGGACATTAAAGCATGGCATTGGTAAGGTTATACCTACAAGTGGTGGAAGGCGTCTGAAAGTAGTTGAAGCAGGGACGAAAGTTCACTGCATTGGCCCTTGTCCATTGTTGATTTGACGTGCCATTTCTGCAACGTGTAAAGTACGAGTACGTGAAGAATGAGGGCGTCCCTAGTTAGGAAGTTCTCCGTATTCGTACCCGTATTCGTATTAGTATCCAATGAATGAGTTGAGACGCAGGACGAGGCTGAGAACGACGAGGCTGAGTGACGTCACCAATGTCACTCCGCAGATAATGCTCTGATCGTCGGTCCATCATTCCCTTTGTCTCAGAGCATTGGGCAACCAGCCTCCCTCGACAGCCCATCGCATCTCTCCGCCGACATGAGCTTGGACTGTTATGTCGCTGTCACCGCACCTTGTATACTTTGTTCGTTCTAAGACAAGAGGAGGGAGATCTTGAACCCAGGTGCTCATGGCTGACAGTACAGTTGAGCATCTTTGAGAGTTCAGCATGCCGATAACTACTGTGGGTGTCGGTGCCGCAGTTACTCCAACTGTTGTCAAGACCTGTATATCGCATGTAAGACGGACAACACTGAGCCCACGGGCGATGCCCATGCATGTGCTGACGAAACACACAGTATACGAATCGCAAGCCGCGACGACACAAGCCCACTGCCCACATTTCGTACGACGAAGGCCTCCATCTAATACGCCGATTCCTCGATTATGCCTCGCACCACACCCTGGAAGACTTGCAAAGCTTCACGGGACAATGGGTGCCGAGCCCGTCCTGGGTTAGGACTGAAAGTGTCACAATCGACCAGGAACACATAGACAAGTCGGCGAAGACCATTGCGGACCAACTGGGCCCGACTGGCATCGAACAAATAGGAGGCACAAAATGGTGGCAATGGCGGTCAGGCGGAACCGACTTAAAGGCAGAATGGATCGAGATGCGCGCCCACTACAATGAGCAAAAGCGCAACGGGACCAAAAGCCGACGGATCATGCTGTACATTCATGGCGGTGCATATTTCTTTGGTAGTGTCGATGAACACCGTTACCAGATGCAGAGACATGCTCGAAAACTGAAAGCCCGTGTATTTGCGCCCAAGTACAGGCTCGCACCACAGTATCCCTTCCCATGTGGTCTTCAGGATTGTCTAGCGGCGTATCTGTACCTGCTGACTCTACATGCGCCGTCCGAAATCATTCTAGCTGGAGACTCTGCAGGTGGTGGTATGGTAGTGTCCATACTGTGCCTACTCCGTGATCAGGGGATGCCTCTGCCTGCTGGTGCAGTGCTGATATCGCCTTGGGTCGATTTGACGCATTCTTTCCCAAGCTGTGCCGGAAAGGCTGACTTGGACTACATTCCTGATCACGGGTTCATGCACAAACCGTCCGCTTCGTGGCCGCCTCCAAGCGACGATGAACTAATAAAGATCAATCAACTGGCGAAAGCCGGTGATGGGTCGGTCGTAGAAGATCCTAAGTCTTCTGGAGCCGAACCCCCGCCTTCAACCTCTCCGATCCAGCACCAGGACACCAGCCCAAACAATGCCGTTCCGACAAAAGGAGGTGGAGAGGTCTTGCCAGGGCCGCAGCTTCAACTTACAATTGAGCTGGATGGGAAAACAGTAGTCCTCAAGGACCAAATACAGATGTACACGACTAACCAATTGCTGGCACACCCTCTCGTATCACCTGTTTTGCAGCCTTCTTTAGGTGGGCTTCCTCCAGTATCGATCCTTACGGGCGGAGGAGAAATTTTACGTGATGAGCAGATTTATCTTGCTCACAAAATGGCGAATCCTGCAAAGCATCCCCTTGGAAAACCTTACCGATCACGATACGACCCGGATGACAGGATCTTGAAGATGTATAGGCCGACACCGGTTCAATTACAGGTGTGGGACGATCTTTGCCATGTTGCACCTACACTGTCTTTCACGCGGCCGGCGAAGTACATGTACAGGTCGATTGCTCAATTTGGAGCTTGGGCCCTAGCAAGAGCCCAAAGGAGAGCAATCGAAATTCTGGATGACGACAGCATCTCAATCATTTCCACAGAGAGCGACTCTGCGTCTGCGGATGGCGACTCGGAAGTGGTGCAAGGGAACAAGGTCGGTCTAGATCCCAGCAAGACAATAGGTTTTGTTGGTCGAGCAGGAGAGCCTCTTCCCCCATTCCAGAACCACATGCTGCGTCAACGGGTCGATAGAAGTGGTAAGATATACCCTCTCTCTGAGCCACACGATCTTCCTGCGCTTCAGATGCACCCTGATGAGGTAGGGGTGGTCAAGCAGGGCCCCGTGAGAAAGTGGCTTGAAGCTAGAAAGGTCTGGGATGCCAAATACGCACATGTTAGTCGGAAGGTACAGAAAGAGCGGACCAGGGCTTTGGCTAACGGTGAGATCAAACCTTTCGAAAGTGGAGAACGACCTCCTGCATGCGCGCTTGCCAGTCGCCGAACGGACCGAGACCTTGTGGTCAAGAAGAAGCGTAAGAGCAACTTGTTGTTCATGTGGTCAATGTGGGGAAGCAAGCACGACGAGATGACCCTCAAGCGAGAAGCAGAGGCCGAAGACAGCCAACCAGCTCATCTCGACCGAGAAGTATCTGCGACACCACCACAAGGTGTGGTGATTGGGCACGTCGAAGGGACTCCATTGGGACCCGAAGAGAAACCAGCATCTTCGAGAGCTCGCAGTTCCACTGGTGGGAGGAGCATGAGTTCGAAGCGCCGGGCTAGTGAGGGTCGTGGACGAGGTCGAGCACGAACTATTTCGGTGGCTGATAAAGGGCAAGTTGACAGTCAGCATCTACCACCCGCTGTAGAAGAGTCACAACCAGCGGCACCGTCGATGACTACTTCTGGGAATCCTACAATCCTCGCAACGACGACATCTCTCGAGGCCCATGACGGTCGAGCGCAATCTCCTGTTTCCTCGCTGCTGTCAGCGGGGTTCATTCCCAAGTTCAAGACGGCATCTCATCTGCGCGATGACTCGGCCAGCATAAAGACAGGCAAGAGTCTTGGTGTTGCGAGTGACGACGCGAGTACTCGAGCATTATTTGCTGAAGCAGGCGTTGCCTCGGAGATCGACAATGAGTCTACGGTGCTCGATTCGAGATCAGTAAGGCCCAGTGCAAGGCCGGGAAGTCCATTGGCGAGCGACTTTGCAACCTGGACTCCAGGTGATGATGGCGATGACGACGAGTTTAGGACGAATGGCCAAGGCCCCCACGATGGATCAGACACACCCCGAAGCCATCGGAGTCTCGAGCGTCTGCAGAGTCATCAGCAAGATGAAGGAATGGGTCGATTACAGCCTCTAAGGAGTCCTAGCTCGACTGCTGTCGTCAGAGCGGCCGGTGTCGTCGATATAGTACCCGCTGGTGAAGCCGACAAGAATGGTTCCACAGCTAAAGGGGAGGATATACTGAACGGCACCGACACCAACGGCACAACCGACGTCGAGAAGGTGTCAAGACCAAAACTATACGATCGTGCCGACACGGCATTCAAGACAGCCATGGAAAACCCAGTGTAAGGAAAGAAGAAGACGTACTGAAGAACATCCCTTGGGTAAGTATGGTGCGCGTGTACCACATGGACTTATTGATGGCACTTTGACGGGTTCATTTGCTCAGACATGATCATGGGTGTTGGCACACGCTTACTTTTCTGCTAGGTTTAGGTTTCTCTTGTCCAGGACTCGTCAAGTCAGAGGATATATATATAGAGATAAGTCTATATATATCCCCGAAGTGTAAAATATAGATAGTAGTATTTGTAGTATATAAATATACAAAAGAAGTGTTTTGTGGACTGGATCTGTCATACATACATCAATTATACCATATGAGTTCAACCTGTGTCCCCGTCTACATTGAATCACTTGTACCGTCGTACAAGTGCCACCTGTTGATGTGTGTACCTGTATAGGTAGTTTGAGAGGAAAAGAAGAATACGTATACAGGCACAGGTACGGATGGGTACTATTGTGGTACGTTGGTGGTCAAGCCCAGTCCAGCCCAATCTTCCTTGCCACCTGCTCTGCTATGCGTTCATAATAGCGTGTGTTGACCTTGACGCCGCTCGCCTCCTCCGCGACGACGGTGGGCATACCGCGATCCGCGTCGGCGCAAATCCTCGCGTCCAAAGGCACATCGCCCAGGAAGTCCACGCCGAGGTCGCGCGCCTTGGACTCTGCACCGCCGCCGCCGCCGCCGTGCGAGTGTGGATGTGCAGCAAACACCCTCGTCTCCTCGCCGCACTTGGGACACACGAAGACGCTCATGTTCTGCACCATGCCCAGCACGGGGATGTCCATCTTCTTGAACATCTCGACGCCCTTGACGGCGTCCTTGAGCGCGATGTCCTGCGGCGTGCTCACCACCACGGCGCCCGAGAGCGTGACCTGCTGTCCGATGGTGAGCTGCACGTCCCCGGTGCCCGGGGGCATGTCGAGGACGAGCACGTCCAGGCCCGGCGACCAGTCCACGTCCCAGAGGAGCTGCTGGAGCGCCTTCATCACCAGGAGCCCGCGCCACGCCACCGGCGCCGACTCGGACGGGAGGAGGTAGCCCATCGACATGCTCCGGACGCCGTGCGAGGTCAAGGGCACCAGGCGGCCGGAGGGCGTGGTCGTGGGCTGCGAGATGGACGGGTCCGTGAGGCCGAGCAGCGTGGGCACCGACGGCCCGAAGATGTCGGTGTCGAGGAGACCAGTGCGCAGTCCGTGGCGCGACAACGACAGCGCGAGGTTCGCGGATAGCGTCGATTTGCCTACGCCGCCCTTCGCGGACGACACGGCGATGGTGTGTCGCACATTGGGGACGGGGCGTTTCGCGGGAAGGCCGCGCTGGGCTCGGGGAATGGTAGGTGGTGGTGGCTTGGAGGATCGGGGGAGACCCTGTGATAGCACGAAATAGATATAGCGTTAGAGGGCATGTCTGCGGTTCGACTCTTGAGAGAGAGTGTGTGGGAGGACGGACGGCGAGAGGCGGTGGGTGCTATACGTACTAGTGGGTTCTCATGGCTCAGACTTGTCGCGCAGGTGCTGAAGCACTTGCGCATAGTCTTGAGATTGTATGTTCTGATGGCCACTGCAAGTCGGCGTTCAGTGCATCGTGCGTATTGCAGGCGAGAGTGCAAAGGGGCTCGAGAGGCGCAGAAACATCGAAGTTGGAGAAATATCAAAAGACGCGGAGACCATTGTTGATGTCATACGAAAATTGGAGTGTCACGTGTCAGGCTCTTTGGGAGCCTTGTCTGCACTGCAAGAAGGGGGGCCAGATATCACCATCATGAGGTCTGGAGTATAAGGATCATACCGTAAGGTTCAAGGGGTAGATAGAACCGGAGGTTGCTTTAAAACACCATGGATGCTTCGCTACATCCATTCAAGTCGGAACTGTTCAACGGTTTATGTCCCCTGGCCATTCTATCCCACTCATTTTGCGGTTTCATGTCCTTGTCGAGATTCATATTGCTCGTGCCCAACCTGCGCCTCGACTTCCTCATCATCTTTGCCAGGTAGTCTATCGACGGTGCCAAAGACGATTTCCATCTCCTCCAAACTCTTGCCGGTGGTTTCTTTCAAGAAGAACCAGCTGTAGACAATGATGGCGTAGTTGAAAATAGCAAACATGAGAAATGTCCTCCAGCCAATGTTGGCAATAGCATGCGGCGTAATCTGGCTCATGACAAAATTGAACAGCCATTGACTTGCTGCACCAGTCGCGATGCCGATCTCGCGGATGCGGTTCGGGAAGATTTCGCCAATGTATAGCCAGGGAAGCGGACCCCACCTGGAGAAACAGTCAGTGCAAGCTCAAAACAATCGCCAAAACAAAAAGTCAATCACTTACGACATATTAAAAGAAAACGCTTCGAGATAGACCATGGCAATACCCGCAGCTCCAGCAGAGGTAATCCCATTGGCAGAGTCCTCGGGTGGATGAGTATCAACGATCAGAGCAATGATAAGCATGAAACTTCCCATTGCAAAAGCTCCAGCCATAAATGGAATACGTCGACCGATGGTCTCGACGAAGAAGATGATGAATATCGCCACACCGGCCATCTTGACCAGACCAAAGAAGCCAGTGATGAAGAGTGTCTTGTTACCTGCACCAATAGTGGCGAAAATCTGAGGCGCATAATACGCCAGAGATGTATTGCCAGTCAGTTGTGCTGCAAGCTGGATTGTAACAGCGATGGCCATCCTGTATCTGTTTGACGGCAGAAGAACTTCCTTCCAGGTGAGACCTTCAGATTGCTGGATCTCGAGTTGGACACCGGCGAGGATTTCTGAGAACTCGGCCCTGATTTCGGGACTGTCAACTCCTCCTCGAACCCAAAGAAGCGAAGCGTATGCTTCCTCATTGCGGCCATTCTTAGCCAGCCACCTAGTAGATTCTTTGACGAGTAGCATACCCATGCCAAGAAGGGCACCTGGGACGAGCTGGAGTCCAACAGGGACTTGCCATTGCGTAGCAGAAGCATCTGACAAGCCGGAGCTGGCAGCGTAATCCACCCAGTAGCTGATACAGACACCAGTGGCGAAGAAGAGTTGAAAACAAGAACCAAGCTTTCCTCGAATCTCCTTTGGTGCCATCTCTGCGGAAAACATGGGGACGAGCACAGTTGCAGCTCCCGTGCCCAAGCCTGCAATGACTCGGCCGGCATAAAAGAGTCCGAGGGAATGACTGTTGACGACCTGCATGATCGTACCAATACAGAAGACGACGGAGGCAATGATGAAGCCCATCCTTCGACCCAACCATGATGTCAAGGGCCAGATGCCGAAACAGCCGAAAAAGGCTCCAGCTTGAAGTATCGAAACACAGTTTGAATTGACCTGTGTCTTATCCTTCTTCGAATAGCGGAAGTCCTTCTGGAAAGAAGGAAGAGTCAAGACTCCGCCCACAATCCCGGTATCGTACGCGAACAGGAACGATCCAATACAACAAAGCCCGACGACATAGCAAGCTCTGAAGAGCCCGAGTTTCTTTCCCATGGTGATTGTCTGTTGAGCCGGTGATCTCGACAAGTCTGAGGACTCTGCTTGATTGAGAAGGTGGTAAGTCGCTGAAGAAGACATGGCTGGGTTCTTATTTGAGCTCTCAGGTACCAATACTACCCTACCAGCCTCAATTCGCAGCACATTGGGACTTTGCGCCTCGTCGCGCGTGGGTTGTATTGAGAATCAGGAAATGGTGAGACGATCACCCCATCACAGCCGATTGCCGGCGGGGAAAGCTATCTCTTTGATAAAATAGGTATGAGGACATGCAGATCAGCACTGATGAACGGATTTGGAGACGGTTGAATGGTGAGACGAAATCAAGGCTGGTTGTACGACCACCGCTGGATAACGACGATACATGAGATATCCTGGCGTACGTGCACGAGTAAGAGCGTCAGGCAGTCTCTTATCCTGGTCCTTCACGGGTTACTATTGCAAGTGACCGAGGGGACTCGAGCATCGTCGATATGGATTGGTAGATGATGTTGTAATGGCTGAAGCACGCCATCGGCGTCGTCTGCAAGATGCGGAGAGCAATAATCGGAGGGGACTGGCACGCCGCTTTAGTGCGCCATTTACGCTAGTTTATTTAAGTGCTAGCGTGTTTGGGCACTCGGGAGACTTTCCCTGAATGGCACGCTTGGCTCCCTTCCTCATCGTATGATGACATAGTAACAGGTACAACATGTAGACGTCTTCTGCGGTGTCTGACGCTCCCACTGTTAACTCACAATATCATATACCATTACCTTCGTACGTCTGACAGAAACGCTGTCTTCTTATTGTTTCTCCTTATGGACCTCAGCGCACTCTCTGGTCAGCACAAGCAAGCTGACCATGTTTGGTGAGCGCCTTCATGTCATCTTTCTGTCTTGCCTTTCAGGCCTCCCATATTGGTCAGGAGTCTTTTGAAATATTCTTCCATCAACTTCTTCCTCTACACCTGACCCAGGAATCTGCCTATCAATATCGCCGCCTCCTAATTCGGGGTGCAACATGAGCGGCAACGACATTCTATTCAAGACCTGCGCCCTGGTGGGAGCTGGAACGCTTGCATCTCTAGGCCTTGGACTCTTATCGGCCGTCCGTTACCAACTTCATCGCTCGACCTTGCATCGCTATCGTCACGGAAAGGAACCCTGGGTGTTGGTAACTGGTGCCAGTAAGTTTGTGGCCCATAACTCGTGGGCTAGCACAGTATCTAAGTATCACAAGGTGATGGCATAGGGCTTGCTTTCGCGCATCAGTTCGCGCAAAGTGGCTTCAATGTCATTCTTCATGGTCGGACCGAGGCCAAGTTGAAACGAATCCAGGCCGAGTTCGAACAGAAGTACAGTGATAGAATATTCAAGATATTTGTTCTTGACGCGACCACGCCTCCGGGGCCAGAGTTTGACCGCGCTGTTCTCGATGCTGTCAAGGACCTCCGTCTGACTGCATTGGTTCATAATGCTGCTGGCTCGGGTGGAAGTCAGGTAGAGGCGAACGTCATTGAAGATGTTACGTCTCGAGAAATCGAGGGTTGGATTAACGTCAATGTTCGATTCATGTCGCATCTAACCCGCCTTCTACTCCCGATCCTACTTCAGAATCAACCAGGTCTCTTGATCTTCATGAGCAGTGCCGCTGCGGATTTTACCACCCCCAATTTCGGACTATACACAGGTGCAAAAGCCTTTGTTGAGGGATTTTCTCGAGTCTTGGCCTTGGAGATGAAAGTCAAGGGTCATGACTTGGAGGTCAAAACGATCTCCACAGGCATGGTGGCAACGGCTTCTTCAGGCTGGAGTGAAAAGGATATTTCCTTCTCGAGACCAAGTACTACTGATTTTGTCAAGTCAACACTGAAGACGATCGGCTACAACAGCGTGAAGGTTACGCCATATATTGGACATAGACTCCAGTTCGCATTCTTTAACAGCTTGCCATCTTGGGCACAGGAGAAAATGGTGATGTCCTCTGGACAGAAAGTCAGAGACAAAATGGCTAAGAGGAACTGAGACTCAATATCGTGTATGCTCTCAGGAATTTCACCTTTTGTGGAGGGTGAATACATTATACGGACGCAAAGAACGACATCGAGAGGTTTCTCAGAGAGTATGGGACCGTTAGAACGGAGTCTATAGTTGGATTCTGAACCTCTTCTGTCAAGGTCCGTTTGGTGGGCTACACAAGCCTCATGGTTTCCCCTCTTTTCATTTGGTCATTTCTTGCGTACATGATATGTTGGCGCCCCCTCGGCGCTAACAGCATCAATGGCACGTGTAACTTTTTCACACTAAAAGTGAGGCTGAACCATTGCCCTCGCCTGGATCCTTGTCTTCTTCGTCCAATCTAGACATGCAAAGGACGTGATAAACCCCGCAGGCCAGCGAAGCCCTAGGCAGCACTGGACAACTTGGCTGGTTCACAGCCTGATCATGCTACTCGGTGGGATTTTTCTCTACAATATGTTCGACAATCTTGCCCTCACGCAATGCATTGCCCTGGACGTTAGTCCATTTTGCTTCTGAAACAGCAGTGTCGTGGAAGCCTGAAGAAAGATGAGCAATAGCCAGATCTCCGCCAGCTGGACTCTCCAGCATTCCTCAGAGTCGGTTTTGTCCTTCGTACAAGGCATGCTTACAGCCGCCACCAGTGACAACATCCAACCTCTTGCCATTTTGGTCGCCGAAGCATTCGGGAATACTCTAGCAATATGTCAGCAAACACAGATGCTGGTAGAGAAGGAAGCGGGCAAGCGGCACGTCTCGCACGTCGTTAAATTTCTCCATGCCAAGGTTGGCTATGCGGCAAACGATACAGCTTTCCAATTGTCCTTGACAAGTGCTGGTGTGAGGTTTATGAGTCTCGTTGCAGCACTCCTCTGCACTGACGACATCCTCAATGCTGCGCGGGCGATCGAAATAATGATCAATGCCACTTCGAGAAGCGACCAACTCATGCCCACAGTCTTCCAAATCCGAGACCTCATCAATGCCCTGGATTACAAGCTTCGGAGACTACAATTTGCTGAAAGTCTCGCTGGCTGGGAGCACTATATGGCAACTCATACAAGCTGGCCCCACTGCTATCTATCCTTGGAAACACACCCGGGTCCTGAGGAGTTGGCTGCCCTGGTCGGCGCATTTCGATCTATGGAGAGAATTGGGGACGCTTCTAATATCGTAATTAGAAGTGGCAGGCACCATGCGTGGATTATTGCCTTCACGAAATGGTGCCTTGGATACCCACCACATGTCATTGCCGAGGATGGTACCGTTTTGGTTGGACAAACTCCCAGCAAGGTGGCGATGATAACCCAGATCCATCCCTCTCTGGCCATAGAGGTCTTCCGAGCGGTCCAAGGTCCGTCTGAATTGTGGAGAAGTTTAGAAGGGCCTTTGAACCATCTACATTGGAATGGCCTGATATCAGTGAAAGCTTACGGTGCTCGACGCTTACGATATTATGGCCTTCATACTCAGCAAGAATTTGCTACCATGGCGCGGGTCTTATTCACTTCCACCAAACTCGCCACGACGCGTCTCATATCTGTGGAAGGTGAAAACACGGAAGACTATAAGCAGTTCGGTGCAAACATATGGCCTTCAGATTTGGAACTTCATTCGACCATTGCCTCATTTTGCGGGCTAGATTATCCGCTCACTGAGTTTCCAGAGGACTTGCCTGTATCTGTGTCATCTCTGCGCACTTACGAGGACCGACTCGTTGAAAAGCGTACCTGTAGGTTTGATGCGCCGGACAACCCTATGGACAAGCCCTGCAAAGTTAAATCCGTTCGTCATGCCATCGTCGATATGACGACGGACATCCTTGCTATTGCAGTTCTTGACTTTGACGAAGATGTCCGAATCGTCGCATCACGAACCACTTACTCTGACTCCCTCTCCAAGTCCATTCAAAGCGCTTTATATGGGCCAGACACCTCCCGAGACGACCAACCCCGCCGAGAGCACACCCTTCGAGACCGTAAAGTTTCGATCCCAAGTATATTTGATGTAAGCCTTTCGCTTCTCGGCCACACAAGTTTATCTCCCGGCACAGGCGAAAGGCGCTTCAAGTCCAGACATCCCACATTCGTAGCCAAGGCCTTCGATAATAACTCTGCAAGTCATTGGGTAGCATCAGCGTCCATGGGCCAGGTTGTCTACCCAGCGTACTTCGACTCCTGGAACGGCCCCATCAATAGTCTACCACTTGCGAGATTGCGTGTAGGCCCGGGGTCAATTCTGTACAATGATCGCAGGTATGAGTATGTCGCGTTTCACCCATACGATACTCTTATTCTCGATGAAATTGATTCTCATCAAGATTTCCCGTGTCAAACTCCATTGAATCTTCTCTGGGATAGAAAAGTCCAATGGTGTATCAAGGAGGAAGATGGCTTTCTATCACTGGGAATGGGATTGACAAACTCCTTCACGAACCTCAGTCCGATGCGAGCGCTACAGACGGCATGTTTCTCGCTTTTCATACCGGCTTGCACACATCCACCAGATAATCCTTTGCCAAACGAACAGCCGTACAGTGGAGCCAGGTTCATCACACCGTTTTACGCATATCTTTTTTCAATCAAAGAATCGCTTCCTTCCATTAGTATTGTGGCAGTGTCTGAAGACGAAAGCCTGCGCTCTTTTGCTCTATCCACTGGATGCCCAGCTGTGGTCAGGGGCTCCGCCTGCTTGAAATGCTGTGTGGACATATATCTGAGGAACAAGGATCACTGCACTCATATCATCTGCTGATACCAACATTTCCGAGCGAAGCTACGAAGGTGATCTGGATTTTGGCGGCGTCATTCGAGGTCCGAGGACACGGTATTGCTCGGACCAAGGCATTACTAGTGGCTGGATATCGGAAACGGGGATTAAGGACCGAACGCCAGATATTGGACTTCGGTTGTGGCTACTATCTAGGTAGTCGAAGGGGACTGAGCGTAATACTGGGTTTGAAACAGAGACGGTGAGATCACGCTGATGGACGGGAGGACATGGAGTGCATTCTGTACCCGTCGGTATTTACAAAGTAAGTACCTGGGTATTTCCAGTAATGATCACTTTCTCTTGCCAGTAATCTTCCATCTTCCATCTTACATCCCTCATCCACCATACTCATACTCTCCGGTCCATACACACCGCTCAGCCTCCTTGTTCTCTGAGATGTCGTTGCACCCCAACTCCAACACACCGAATGGAATACACACATGATTCATATCCATGCATGCATGAGTGAACACACCGGATATCTACATGACTATATTGTGTACACTTCCCCATCCACACGTGCACATCGATCTACACATGCTGTGCTGTTTTCTTGGTCTCACATTTCTCACCGAAACTCAAACCGAAAAAACAGAAAATCGCACGAAAAAAGAGAGCTATTCCTTTGACCCCGCGTTTCTCGACTGGGACCATGACCGCAGTAGAGTCCTTGACGAACTCCTCCGTGAGAATCTCGACTGGAATGTCAGGCTGAAGGACGACATGGTCCAAGACGACTGTTGGGGCGCCGTCATTGCTCAAGGTGACGTTGTGTCCATGGTCGTTGCCGTTGTCAGCGGCGGCAGTAGTGATGGGGATGGCGATGGTGGTCGCCACGAAGGGAGCGACGATGACAAGAACACTGAAACGCATCTTGACGTGTAGTTTGGTTGGTTTACTGTACACTGTGTTAGCATTCTAGTGGACCACCCAAGCATCACAAGATACGAATAACATTGGTCACCAGGGGAGTCATAGTGAGAACTTACGTTAGTGGGAAGGGTGTGTCCGACTGGGATGGATGGATGCTTGTTGCACAAGAAGCTTTATTGTGATGGTGATGGCGGGTGGTGGTGGTGGTGGTGGTGTTCTTGTGGTTGTGTAGAGAGCCTTGAACAAGCATGCGGTATACGTAAATGATAGGGATGCGAGACGAATTTATACACGCCCATGAAGGAATCTCCCACAAGGTCCTCATTCGCTCTCCATCTCTGCTTGAGGTCTATTCTTAATGTCATTTGTGGCCCGGTGGACACGCTGCCTGCGCTGGACGTGACGAGGCCCATCTCATCCGCTGATATCCAGAGGTTATCACCCTTGAGCCTAGTGGCCTCGAAAGGATTTTGAAGTTTTACTTTCCTTAGTCAGGCACGGGCTACCCATCCGACACCCAGTATTCGTCTATAGGCTGTGCCAACGGTGGCATTCCAGAGACTGAAAACTTTACTCATGGTGAACCATAATCTGAGGTATGGCCTGGTGGGTCCCAAACTCTCAGCTGGTGGAGTCTTCCCCTTCCGGAATTTTACGGGTACCGTCGCTGGCACATCAGGACTGCAGACACACTTTGGAGGTAGACGACAAGGCTACAGTACCGCCTGGAATAGTGGATGGCTCCTCCAATGTCGCTCACGAAGCTCGGAAATACCTGTTACAGCAAGCACCAAGCTCCTTCTATGCAGTGTCCCTTACAGGTGTAGGTGCCAGGTAGGTCAAGCCAAAGAAGAGTGTTCAAGAGACCGCTGTAAAACCTTTACTACAGGGCGTCTATTGGATACTTGCTTGCTTAACTGTGAGTGTGCTTGGTGCACCATCTGCATGGCTTGACCGAGAAGAATGGTTGAATCTACAATCAAAAAGGGCTTAATATACTCAAGGAGTTTTAGAACATCCAGGTCATATATATAAGAATCTAGATCTAGGTCTAGAGAATCGGGTAGTAACACGCCCATCGAGTTCACTCCTCCATTCCAGCCTTCAAATTGGCATATTTACTCTCAGGATATGACAACTCGTTCTCGACCACTTGCATGACGTCAAGCGGGATAAATTCACGCGCAAAAGTCTCGATCAGAGACCCCTGCCCGATAGGTCTGTCGGCGCTGGTTTCCCACCACATACCACCTCCCAGACCCTTGTTCAGGACGTATCCCGCCTTGTATAGCCTGACGGTCTCGAGGGTATCGTACGTGATGAAGTTTCCCGTGGCGTTGTCGAAGCTGTACGAGGCAATGGCACGGGGATCGAAGAACTCTGATGCGCCAGCTTTGGGAAGAACCTTGTAATCCCACACCCCGGGTTCCCAGGAGCCATTTGGATCAGGGAGGCACGGCGACCCTGGACCGGTCGAGTTGAGAAACGACCGACCGTACAGCGGCATTCCGAGAACCAGTCGGGACCGATCGACGCCTTTGTCGAGGTAGGCGTCGACGGCGTCGTTGGCGTTGAACGGGGTGGAAAGGGGATGTGCGATCGACGGGTACAGGTTGTCTTGGAAGGCGGTGACATTGTAGTCGGACACGATGAAGTCGTAGGCCATCAGATTCCAGAAGTCGAGAGACGTGTCCATCCCGGGCACGTCGAGCACGTTGTACTTGTCAGCACCGGCGGAGACGGCAACCGAGATCAAAAATCGCGTCTGGTTGTTCTTTGTGGACGACGCGTCGAGCGCCGCTCGGAGAGTCTTGAGCAGAGACACGAAGTTGGCCGCTTGCGTGGCGTCCGACGGATACTCCCAGTCAATGTCGATGCCGTCGAAGCCCAAGTCCTGGACCAGCGCCACGGCACTGTTGGCAAAGTTTTGCCGACCCTGCTCGGTGCTGGCTGCGGAGGCAAAACTGGGAGAAAACGACCAGCCTCCGATGGAAAGCAATGTCTTTAGGTTACGATTTTGCTTTTTGCGCAGGTACAGTTGCTTGAGGTTGCCGAAGAGGTTCGGGCCCGGGGCAGTAGTGTCATCGCCAGGCCATGGCTTGTCGGTATCTGCCCATGTGTCGCTGAGGAGGACAGTCCCCGAAGCGGCATCGACTTTGGCGAAAGCGTAGAGAATGTGGGTCAAGAACTGCGTCTGCAAGTCTTGCACGGTGAAATTCCTCGCGTATATCGCCCAGTTCACGTAGTAAGCTACATTGCGAACGCCGGTAGGTTCAGGGGCGTAACTTGTTGAGGTTGTGCTTGTACTTGAAGAAAGTGAGCTTGGGATAGAGGTAATCGTGCTGGCGCTCGAGGGGGTCGTGCTTGTGCTTGTAGAGCCTGATATTGGCCCTACGGAGCTGCTGCTCGAGGTTGTAGCTCCGGATGAGGTCGAGACAGGGTGTCCGCTGGATGATGAACTAGGCCATCCGTGGCTGCTAGGGGGAGCAACTGAAGAGGAACTGCTGCCATATGGAGTAGAGTGCGTGCCAGTGGTCCAGGGATGACGTGAAGACGAAGATGTTCCTGTATAGGCGGACGTAGTTGGAGGTACTGGGATCGTACAGGTAACAAGCTCGCTAAAAGGCCACCCAGGTAATGGTGTAATAGTGACAATCTTCATGGAAATGGTGGGCACAGGAGTTTCGGTGCAACCACAGTGGGTGGTGGTGAGGGTCGTCGTCATTGTGGTAAATCCTGTCGAGCAGGGCTCCGTCCAAGTTGTGGTCAGCGTGATAGTTTCGTCGTCTGATACAGATTGCGTCTTCGGCTTGCTATCATCGCCGCCATCGGTAGCATGACCGGGCATAGGGTTGATGCCAGGGGGTGCGGGCATCGTCCATGGGATACCATTATCTGGACCCGGTACTGCTTCTTGACCGAAATAGACGTGATCCCAGTCATACACTAGATCCGTGGTAATTTGACACTCTTCTTCGGTGCCATCAGTCGCAGCTGAAGATGCTGATGAGAGCGCTGCGAAGAGCGCTGCGACTACCGCAGCATATATGCTGTTCGTCCGCATGGTGGACCGGATTCAAAGCAAAGCAGCCCAAACAACGATGAGTCGTGCCTTTCAGGGTGGTGACAACAGTAACCGTAGTCTCATGAACTCACATCTTGCCACCTGCCGTGCGGCAGGACAGGGCATTTTGAAGCCCAGCATACCTATGCGCCCAGATCTTGATTGCCCCTATACACGCGACGTGTGGGGATCGCGCGGCTCCGACACGGCCGTGCTTTTCCATGAGCTCATGTCAAAAGTGTCAGATCCCAGCCCAGTACAGTCACCAAGACGCTGCAGGAAATTACAATATGGTCCTCAAGAAGTCCGGAATGACCAGGAAAGAGATTGTATTATGGTACTTTTAATTTGGTTGACTCTCAGAGCCTCGCTCGACCGAAAACCGCGGTCACGTGGGGATAGCGATAGCAACGGCTGTCGGCCCCTGTTCTTCGCCAACGTGCACAGATACTATACTAGCCTTGGCCAGGCAAGACGTAGAACACGCTTTCCACGCGTCAGTGTAGATGAGAAGGCTGGTACGAGAGATGAGCGAGTTGAGAATAGCGACGCGAATGGACCTCTTTTTGTATTCCTGAGCCGAAGGTTCTGCTTCACGGTAGATAGGTAGACATTAAGTACTGGTTTCGTCGCCACTCAGCAACATTTTTCGGTGTCGAGTTGTGCTGAGAATGATTGATCTTGAGTATCGATAATAAAACCTGATCGTTAGCCGAAGCACTCATCAGCTTGGCAACAAAGCAAGCCCAGCCCAGAGAATATCGATCTCGTGTCTTTTGTGATTCCTTGCTGCCTTCCGTCTTCGTCAATAAGCACCAGTCCTTATACACTAAACCTTTACGAAGCAAAAGGCGTGATAGAATCCCACAGCTTCCTTCTCCTCTGGGCTCAGAAGGAGATCTCCACCTTCATACCTGGTGACACCCATCCGGGAAGCCAGTGCCATCATCTCTCTATTTCCTTGTTCCGCATCCCAGATGTCAAGGAATGGCTTCCGATATCTCTGCTCGAGGTTGTACGACTCTGCGATAGCGCGGAATGCTTCCCAAGGCACCACAAACTCAGGCACGTCCACAGCCTCAGCCATCCAGTAGGTATATTTCCACGAAAAAGGTGGCCGAAACGATCCGTCAGGATTGAGTGGTCGAGCAGGGTCCATGGGAAATCTGACCTTGTAGATGGAATTTCCCCAAGAGGGACCATCATCATCTTCTGCCTCGCCATCTTCTTTGTGCACGCCGTTTTGTCCGTTGGATTTGTCTGCATTCTTTCCTTTCTCCGCGAACCAGGCTCGGATATGCTCGGCAGCGACGTCACTGTTCGGGACCACACCGATGAACCGTCCGCCCTTTTTGAGTGAGCCGGCAACATTTCTAAGCATCATTTTCACTTTCTCTTCCGACTCGAAAGCATAGTGCATCGTGAACATGGCTGTAACAACGTCGAAACCGCCACCACCCCAACGACTCGGCTGTCCATTGCCAGCATTCGGGTCGATTCCGACTTCTCGTACGATCGCGACATCACCAATCCAAGCACCAAAGCAGTCCTGTGGGAGAAAGAACGCGTCGAAGATGGGTTTGCGTCCACGTCTCATCCCCTGGTACCGTTCGCGTGCTTGAGAGATGCTGGTCTCCGCAGGGTCCAGGCCCACGTAAAGGCCAACAACCTGAGGAGCGAGTTGCCACTTCCCGAGATCTCCTCCTTTGCCACATCCTATATCAAGAACTAGCAGCGGCTTTTGCTCTTCTGGCTCCTTTGCTTCTTCTCCCCATCCCAGTTCCTCAACTTCTTGCTTTTCAACAGGACTGAATCTTTGTATCAGACACGACTTGACCCAATTGTTGAAGCTGCGCAACCCTTTGATTTGTGATTCGTTTCTTCTCCAGTCACGGCCACGCTCTTTAACCCACTCTGGTCGAGCGTTGTAGAATTGATTCGACACTTCTTGAACACCTCTATTGGTCTGATGCGCCTGACCAGCACTTTTTGCCTCCCGTTCGGCAGCTAATCGCTGTTGTTCGGCTAGGACATTGCGCCCTCGACCTCGAGCTCCGCCAGGGCGGATGAACTCACGAGGAGGGGAGTCTCGAATGGGAGAGGGGGATTTCCGTCGTTCTCGGGCCGGCGAGCGACGACGATACAGATCTGACGGGGACCGACGTCGAGGAGATCGCGATCGATATCTGGTTCTTCGGTCCTCTGGTTCAGAGCGTCGACTAAATGCAGAAGGCGGAGGTCGAGACCTGGGGACTTCTCCTTCCTCTCTTGCTTTGCGTGGTATACGGGGTAGATCCGCAGGGGTTCTCGGAGCGGGTTTAGCATGCACGCCTCCATTCACTGGAGACGCGGTAGACTGTTCTTCGCGCTTTGAGGACGACATGGGCAAACTCTGCTTCTGCGAATTGGGGGACGTGCATGGGACCGAATCTGTCTTAAGCTCACTCTGAGGCGGTCTCTCCGGTGAATTTGATCTCCTCCTCTTTCTTGGTTGTTCCGAGTCTTCCTCAACAATAGCTTCTTCAATCCTCGTGTCAGGAATCTCTTTGAATGTGTCTCGTGCTGGATCGTAAGCGAAAGACGATCGTCTTCTTCGTGGCGGAGGGTCTGACATGACGAGGATGGGTTAATCAGGATAGCTCAAACCTAGTAGAGGTCAATATGTAGAAGAATACGAAGTGAGAGGCGTTTAAGCTTGGAATGTTTGCAATTGACAGTTTGATATGAGTCCAATGACTGACATGGATCTGTGCAGGTGGTTGTCGTGAATTGCATGTCCGAAATTATTCAACCGCCGTAGAAGTTGATACGGCGGAGTATTTGGGTGGCTTCGACATATCCTAACATCCCGGGCAGCAGTGGAAAGATCGCCAGAAGCGTATTCTTATTCTCCCTTTGACTCTGTCGGAGTCGTCTTCATGCAATTTTCTAGCATCTACGCTATATTTACAGGTTGCCCTCCCGTGGTCTCCTTTAATCTTGGATCGGCGACTTTGGCAATCTGCCGGACATGTTGACTACGATTGCTCTCTTCCAGAGCACCAGGCTTCCAATACTCATACTCGATCCACTCGCCTTCTTTCATCTGTGCCTCAACGGCTTCGTGGAAGCGAGCACCAAGTTCTGGTTGCAACGGCACCACACCTGTCTCCTCACAGTAAGTCTCCCACAAGGCGAGCAGCTCCTCCAAAATCTCGGGGTGCTCTGTCGCCAGATCCTCCGTCTCCCCTGGATCTTTGGACAAGTCATATAATTGCCAGGCAGAAGTCCCTTTTGGAAATGGAATAAAATCCGCCTTCCACTGACCCTTGCGGATCGCTGCACGGCCGCACAGTTCCCAGCCGAACGCCTCGCCAGGATCATGGATCAGTTGTTGCTCCCCTCTCAGCCACGGCACCATATCTTTGCCTCGCATTGGGACGATCTTCCGTCCATTGAACTCGGGCGAGGGATGCTTGATTCCGGCCAAGGACAGCAGTGTTGGCGCAATGTCCATCACAGTAGCAAATGTCTCAGTGATTTCACCTTTGTGCCCTTGATGAATGGGCGGGTAACGGATAACACATGGTACCCGGACACCTCCCTCGGTTGTGTACGCCTTGTACAATCTGCTAGGTGCAGTGGCTGCCTGAGCCCATCGAGGCCCATACCACACAAAGCTGTCCTTATTGCCAACATTCTCCAGCGAATTATTATAGTACTTGCCGATATGGGCCATGAGCTCACCCGCCACCATCGGATACGCTTCGTATGCTGCACCCTCGGCACCGTTGTCAGAAAAGAACATGATATAAGTGTTGTCCAGTTCTCCGATTGACTCCAGATAGTCTGTCACACGGCCAATGTTGTGGTCTAGGCATTCGACCATGCCGGCGTACGCCTCCATGGCAGTGCACGAGGCCTTCTTGTGGAAGTCGTCCATCTCATCCCAACCCTGAACCTCGTCTGCAACGACCGGGTGGGGTCGGACGTCCTTTGGGATCATGCCTAGCTCTATAAGCTTCTTGAGCCGTTGTTGACGAAGCGCCTCTGGGCCATCTTTATATACACCCCTGTAGTGGTCGATATACTCCTTAGGCGCCTGTAGTGGCCAGTGTGGTGCAGAGAAAGGATAGTATGCAAAAAAGGGCTTTTCCGACAACTCTTTGTCTTCTTTCCATTCCTTCAAGTATTTCAGCATGCGGTCACCGTAGCCGTTGCTCGAGTACCAATCCTCCGGAAGCTCCTTGACATAGTGATCATCTTCCATGTGAAGGGCAATCACGCTCTTCTCGAGGAACTTGGGAAAATCGGCTTCTGGCCTCCAGTCGTAGTGGTTGGAGCAGGCCGGGAGAAGTGCCAAACTGCGGTCGAATCCACGAGCCTGTGGGCTTCGTTCTTTCGTCAGACCGAGATGCCACTTGCCGCTCATGACGGTGTGATATCCTCCGTCTTTCAACACTTCGGGCAGCGAGGCGACCCGGGAGTTCAAGTACCCCTCGTACCCTGGCATACCTCTCTGAGGCGCCGTGGAATACTTGCTTCCCTTGGGGAAGTTCTGACCTGAGAAATCCGTCCATTCGATGAGGTTCCCCAAGCCTGCGATGTGGTGGTCTGTCCCGGTCAATATCATCGCCCTCGTCGGCGAACAAGCCGCGGCGGCATGGAAGCCGGTGAGGCGTATTCCATCCTTTGCCAGCTTATCGATGTTGGGGGTGCGGATCTCGGAGCCAAAGCACCCAGCGTCCGAGAACCCCATGTCGTCCGCGACGATGATGAGGAAGTTGGGACGCTTGGGAGCCATGTTGGGTCGTTGCCGGTGCTATTTGGCCTGTGGGTCTATAAGAGGAACGCAGACAGCAGCCACAACAAGATCTGATTATCTACAGAACACAAGTACAAATGGACAACGATACACAAATAAAAGGCTTCGACACAGAAATCGAGGGGCACGGAAGAGGTTCGGAGTATCATTGCAACGAAACAAACCCCTCACCACAAGAGAGAACATCTCCAACGAAGGGTGCGCCAAAGCAACTACAAGGATGGAGAATTTCGGAGCGAGATAGGGTCGCATGCAAGGGCACTACGCGCCGGACAGCACGGGTACGTCAGGCATTCGTACTCCCCGTACGTATACAATACTCACAGTAGCCTTTTAGGTGGACACCAGCGGGGGTGGGCTTGCAGCCTTACTGAATACCGTTGTCGCAATACGAGTACGAGGAGTGGGTCTGCAGCTATACCCCGGGCGTGGGGACTGGTGCGGCTAAAAGTACAAAATATCTCTACGTTCCCTTTCGACTTCTTATAAACATAAGTCCATGTTGGCGCTGTGTATGACAACGGAACTTGCTCTTTCATTTATGGAAGAGCTCGCTACTGTTCCGTCTAAAACTGGCTTGATACCTTTATCGTGAGGAGGACGGCTTCTCGCCATGTCAAGGTAGAAATGCTTAAGTAGTAACTAAGTGTCAGCTGGTTGGCATGATGTTCAGAGGTTGTCAACGGAGCCTCCAAAGGCACCTGAGGCCAGCTCAGAATCGTGACAACATCCCCCTCAATGGGCCTCAAGACATGCGGCCTCGCATCATGTAGTGTTTGAACTAAGAGGAAAGGAAAATGTTGATAAATCCTTGCCGAGGCATGGTGGAGTCTCCATCCGTCACCAAGTCAGAGCATCGTCCAGCTAATCATCGTCAGCGCTGGTTGCCATGTACTGCAACCATACAGTAGCATCAACGAAGTCGTCGACATTATTTGGTCCGTTCCACAAGCTTCAAAAGAGCCTTGTCCTTGTCCGTTGAGTGACTATCGAGATGTCCGAAGGGTAATGGTCGCGTGAAAGACCCAGTTGAAATTGAAACTAAACTGCTTTTCCCTTGGCCTTTAGAAGGTAATGGGCATATAGAAACCATTGATAGTTTATACTATAACAGGAGCAGAGGGGAAGCATCAGGTGCCTGCACAGGGCTGTCATCAATCATGTGGCACGAGCCAGGAGATGGGATTCACTCGCAGGGCACCCTTTCCTTCCTCGCAACGGTCGCTCTACTTCGCCAATCTCGTGGAACATCTCTCGGTGCATGCTGTTGATCGGGGGCGGCACAGGAGGCAGGCTTCTCCGGAACACCTCTCGCCTCAACCACGCGTCTAAGTTAGTACACGCCGATAATGCTTTTCGAATAATCCTTGTAGGGATACATGGCGGCTGTGGCGTTCTGTTGCTTCAAGCAACAATCTCTCTCTACTCAGTCCCTAATTGATTGTAGTTGAGAGTATCACAGTGGCAGAAAGATCAACAATAATGATGATTACCACTAAGATAATGGTGTTGACAATTGAAGCGAACTCGAGATCGACCGACCAAGTCTTCTTTGGGTCGTTCCAAAGAGTTCGTAATAGTGCAAGTTTTTGCTTTATCTGGGTATTGTTCAATGGTTGGGTGAACTTTGGAGCTGGTCTAAAAGGTAGTAAATAGCACCTTGTGATTCTAGGAAAGTAAGGATTCTTCGTGTAGTTCGATGGGCATGTCGAATAGGTAGATGATTGAACTTCGGTGTGATCTGGTAAGGATTGAGGTGTGGCTTCAGTAACAATGCAGACACGGTTCCCTGGTAGTGTGCTGACTTTGCTTGTTGCGTTGATCGTGGCAGTAGTTTCAGGTGCCGTGCTCTGAGGGAAAAGTCCTTGGAGGCTGGCTCTTTTGGCGTTCTTCTTTCTACCTCCATGTTTACTCGTAGCTGCATCTGTCTCGGGTTCATCAGCGTCGCGAAGACGGCGGGGTCCAGTATCCACAAGGTCCACTTGCCATATTTCCGGGCGTAGTTCTGCAGGGTTACAGGCCAGTCCTCTTTGCTGGCTAGCCGGTAGCCAGAGAGCGGGTCTGAAGGCGAGAAGTTGTCGAGGAGCTCGAGGTCCGCCTTCCACGCTGGGTCCCAAAGCTGAAAAAGGAATCCGAGAAGGTCGGAGACCCGGTTGATCAAGACCGTGCTGTCACTAGCCACTTCTTTGCGGCGAGTATCTTGTCAACTGCTACGGCGCGCCGAGTGCGGCAGTTCTTGAGCTGATGGGCCTCATAGGAGATGACTCGGTGAAATAGGCCTACGAAATATGAAGTCCATACAACATAATCTTGAGTGTCGGCCGTTGCGAGCGCAGCATCTGCGGCCTCCTCGTCATCCTCGTCCTCGTTGGCGGTGGGGTGCCCCTGATGCATCGTCACGGCCAGGTCCCGCACCTTCTGGAGCTGCCGCGCCTTGGCAGTGATCTTCTCGATGGACTGTCCTGTCAGGAGTGACAGGTCAGTGAGGTTGACTGGTCTCCTTGACCCGCCGGCTGCAGGGTCGTCATCTGTGGCAAAGGTCAGCGGGAACAGGGAGGCGAGGGGGCGTCTATGGAGTGGATGCAGCCAACCCTGACAACGAGGCCCGGGATGGATCCATTCCATGGACGGGGAAATGCAGGCGACGAGACATACCTTTTAATGTTGCGGAAGACGAGGCTGAGATCTTGGCGACCTCGGTCTCGTTGGTGGTCACCAGGCTGAGCCAGCGTCTCGTAGCCGGTCCACACCACCCCAGAGGCGGACTTTGGGTCGTCGCGCGGGAATATTTTCTCCAATTTCTTTCGAGCTTGCGCAAACGAGAGAAGGCCGTTGACTGGCGATTTCCGTGCTGACTGAAAAGACAAGTACAACGTATTGCCCCTCCAGCTTTTCTTGCTGGATACTGGAACCAAGGCGTATGGCCAGGACATCTGTAGACGCGTTCGAGGCTGATGTGGCCAACACCTTGAAAACCACGTCGTGTGCTCTCATCAGCTGTCGGGCAAGTCATTCCAGCCAAAGTCCTCTATTGTTGTAGCTTTCGCTTACGAAGAGACGACTTGTCGACTGGACAAGGTCAGTGAACATGGCTCAGACAAGAGAGTGATATATGAGGGTGAAGATACTGTTCACACCACCGGGGCCGGCCGCGCATCACTCGACTCCTGGCGTGTGCGGTGGGCATCCGAGAGCCGTCGAGGTTGGTCCAGATTCTGAACTGGCTGCTGGTTGACCGGTATGCATGTGAACCCGCTTCCGCGGATCTCCATCCGGCTCGGGTCGACGCTTGACACCTGAGTTGAGTGTGATATCCTGTGCCAGTGTCTGTGTCAGAGTGACCAGCGCGCACACCACAGCCTTCTTCTCTTCTGGTGTATCACACTCCAGCACCGTCACCTTCAGGGGCGTGCTCATGCCGAGGTTCTGGATCATGAGCGTACACTCGCGCGGATGGTCGTCACCCCGATTGACGTTAGAGCCACTCTCCTCCGCCGCCTCGACATAGTCGGTCGAGGTGGGATTCTGCGGTCTGTCCTCTCGACCACGGATTGTGTGGGGAGGAGAAGCGTGTGTCAAAATTTTCTGTGGACAGGACTTGGTGGACTTGCGGTTACTGACAAGCGGACAACGTGATCCTTTCATGTAGCACGAAGTACACTTCCGGTCGAATAGGTCATCATTGTGTCCACTGATTTGCAAGCCGACAACCTCTTCTCAAGGCCAACAAACACAACAAGTGAAGCAAGAACAGCAAGAGATGAAAAGGCGACTGAGATAAGACGGTAAGAGCAAACACCCAGTCCAAATTCTGATTCTGCTGGGGTCATCACTGCCCCGGTTGCAAGGGGACACGAAGCAAAGGCCTGGGGGGACATGATGATTTATTGCTATACAAGGTCAGTAATCTCGAGTCATCCAGTCAGAGCACACCACCAGGGTGTCGGGTCGTGAGAGCTTACTGTATGCCGTTGAAGAACCACAGTGGTGCAGTGCCACTCCGCACCCGTGTCGGTGAGATACTGCCCAAGGTCCGTCTCAGACAGATCGGGTGGTGCGTCCCGAGCAGTGCTTGTTTGATCGAAGGCGCCGCTTTGTGACGTTGTCACCAGGCTCATGAAGCCGTTGGCTTTCGCCTTCTTGACTGCGGTGGTGGCCATGGCAAAGCCGTGATGATCTTTCAATTCTGCTTTCGTCTCGGGAGCATATTTCTTTGGGGACCACGCAGAGATTGGGGTTCGCGACGCCGAGTGCCTTGAAGTACTTCTGTATTGTGGAAGGCGCTGACTCGGAACGTAGGTATGCTTTGTCCCATATCTCTCGGTCGAACCGGTATGGCGGAAGGGGATGGAGAGTAATTGTCGGCCTTGAATGCACGTCCTTATTTCCATCGAGACGCTCAGTAGGCGTCCAAGAAAGTATTCAGGATGCCCGCCGTAAAATAGGCCCAAAGAAGTGTGATTATATGCCTTGCAACTTCGCAAATGGTTGGATCCTTCCAAAATTCCTTGTCACCAACGTATCCTATAATTGCTATACTGCCTGCGGGAGACATAAATGCTTGAGTGACGCCGATCACCATTGCCCTGCCAGTACTTGGTCTGTAACCAGGAACACATTCGCTGTCTGAAACACACTATGGTGTGCATCGAAGCAGTTATTGAGAAAGAACGTGGTCCATGATGGCATGGACGCCGATATCAGGTTTCCCCAACCGGTGCTGGTGTAATTGGCGCGGCCCCACGAGTACCGGCATAATGTGTCCGCGAGGGCGGAAAAACGCGCGTTTGTGAGGTCTCGTTTAAGTCTGTTTTGGGCTTCTGAGCTGGTGATTTGGGTGCCGGTTACATAGGCGACCCACTGAGGGAAGCCCTGGAGATAATGAGGGTCCGTCTTTTTGATAATCGCTTCTCTCTGCGGGCTGGTGAGATCGATCCAGGCCAGTCGAAGCGCGCGAAATGTGTCTCCCTCGGAGTTCATAACCTTGACGCGGTAATATATATATGTGTAAATGTTCGAGCGGACAGAAACCAGGCAGATTGCGAGGGAACAGGCGCTATTTGTACCCGTCTGTCTCAATCTAAAGGTGAATAGCTGAGACAGGCAGCGTTTGCTTCTGTGCTACGTTAACAGCCGTCGATGTTACACATGATCATGCGGCTCAAGATCAGCGACTACGGTCTCCTGGTTAATCTTGGATGTTGGATCATCAATAAGGGGTTGACTCTTATTGACCGAGTTGCATGTAGCCTTCAGGAATTGAATCCAAAACAATACAGTATATTCTCCTCAAGAAGAGTATCCGACCAAAACTCATAACTTTCCCAATGCATCATTTGATATCATGCAGTTCCTAACTTAGTCTCGGTGAAGGCTCTGGTGGCCGCCGAGTTGTGCTGTCACTACCCAATCCAGGGCGCGTACTGCTATTTCGTTCTTGAATGAGAGCTTGCCGGCACCGGCACTCAGCTCTAATGACTGGCTCTGCGTTTCTCATAGCTTCCATGGCTGGTATCTACCTCAATGGTCACAGCGCAAAGCTTCCGCGTGTACGGCTGTTGAATAACCACTGTTCGAATACCCTGCATCTCATTCTGATTAGTGAGACCCAGTGTTTGAAACCAACCAATTGAACGCTAACTCGCCTGCCCGGCTCTTGCGAAACACCATTCATTCTCGAGCGCTCCATTGAACTGGTTCAAACGTGTTCTGCAAGCGATGAGTCATTGATTCTCGCGTGACTGGGTCGCTGGACGTGAAAGTACCTGGAGCTCTAGTATATTCACCGCCGTCCACGAGTATCCCTGTCATGGAGTGACCAACAGCACGTGAACAGCCCATTCTCCTCGAGAGCATGGTCTCCCAGACGTGTCCAAGTGCCATACTAAGCATTCGGCGCTTCTCTTCAACTCCCTTCATCTACCTAGCCAATTTGGGGTCTCTCACTTGCCTGCAGTCCGACTCTTCAGTCTTCTCACAATTCTTATGGGTCAGTACTGCATCCGGTCCAAGCTCGAGAGACTTTGCCACCTGGTCCAGCATTTGTACGAATTTCACACACATAGTGCCAGAACTGACCACCGTCACTCTTTGACCACCCACATAGCTCCATTAAGTGGCCATGGATGATGCATGCGACTTCTGCACCGGGCTATATCAATCACGCATTGAATACAGTTGCGGGGAGACTGCCTGATCTGTCTGTTTCGACCATTTTGCTTGCAAAGCCTCCAAGTCAACGCCGTCTCAGCTGATGCGACATCGACACCTACCTCATCTCTTGGTAGATTCCCGTTCAAGCCGATGTCATGGACAAGCATAACTCGACCTTCATTGTATGTTCGTCCTCTGCGCTCTGAGTCGGTCAGAACGACGACTAAACAACTCGTCTCCATGATGCCATACCATAGTTGTGGACTGAGTGTGGAGGAGCAAGGCTGCTGCCCCTGAGCTGCCAGGACCCCACATTCTCGAAAAGGGGGAGGCTTGTGCGGGCCGGTGCAAGGTCCCAAATCCTCTTGCAAATGTCAATCGGTGCTTCGGGAATCCATCAACATGAAGTCAGCCACTTCTAGTGGGAATATTCTCGATAGATCCTTGACGTGGCTTGCAATTTGATCACATCCTTTCCTGTGCCTCCCTATAGCTCAGCGCTGCGGGCAGCAAAGTTCGGAGAGACGCCTACCACGCGGTCGGATGGCCCCATTGGGTAAAGTTCAGTAGGAAGAGCAATGGAAGTTATGCCGAGTGCCGGCCAGTATTCGAGATACCAAGACGAGATCCGCCGCCTGGTCAGACATAAGTTAGTGTAAATTCCAGAAAGCATTATGGGCTCAGCAGGCTTGGGGTGTTTGGATAGAGTTGAGTCCGTATGGGATGAGGAATAGGAGCGGGCGAGTAAGATCACCGCAATCGACCGGAGCACGATTCGTTTCCGACCGCAAGGAAGAGAGCATCATGGGAATTCAGCCTCGTATTCAGCCTCACCAGCCAAAGGCTAAGCCAAGCACACTAGTTAGGGCTTCGTTGTCTCTCTTCCCCTCAGTTTCAGCCTGAGCAACTCTGCTACGCCCAAACATCCGGCTGTCATTGTGACTCTATCTCAATCGTGGAGTCTTGGATCCTCGCAAAGTCTACGAATCAGAAAATGCAAGGTCTTCTTCAGCGAGTTTTTTCGCGGCGGCGCAAGGCCAGAATAGAGACCCTTGTTGAGCCGCATCGCCCAGGGTCGGTTTACCCAGATTCGCCTCACAAATGGGTGACGACCGATGTCAACTTTGGGACCGATGTTGACATTCGGTTCTTGCAAGGCTGCAAAGTTTGCTGCAGCCACACAATGTTTACAACGCAAAAGGACTATCGCCCCATAGGAGATCTTGCAAAGTCTGCCGTGAAGGAAGGATGCCCCATCTGCAGTATCCTCCACCAGGCTATCTCGGGCTTTCTAGCCTCGAGGCCGTCAGAAATCCAAGTCCCTGTCTCGACTCAAGACCAAGATATTCGATTTGACTTTGACCGGGAAGAATCCAAGGTGTATTTGCTGTGGGACACCGAGCCCATTAGAGTGATGTCCGATGAAGGTGCAGTCGTACACACCATCCATAAGCTAGAGCCTGTGATGGACATATTTATCTCTCCAGGTAAGCTCCCTGTCGCCAAAGGAAGGGCTTTGAACAATGGGGAGAGTTGCCCTGTAACAAATTATAACTAACAGCATGCTTGCTAGATCAGGCTCATTTGTCGCGCATGTTTCGTGTAAGCAAAGACTCGTCTGGGGACATTGGATCTGACGCCAGCATCGCGTTGATCAAGCAATGGCTTGAAAAATGCAACACGCACGAATCATGGCTCTGCGGATCTCACCAGGATTTTGAATTTCCTACTCGACTTGTTGACGTTGGCAACACGTCCACCGATACCGAGTCGGCGGTCAGACTGGTCGAGTCACTCACGGGAACAGGCCGGTATATGTGTCTGAGCCACTGTTGGGGTTCGAAAGAAGACGAAAACACCACGCCGTACAAGACTGTCAAAGCCAACAAAGCGACGCATCTTCAGTGTATTCCTCATGACAAGTTGTCCAAGACATTTCAGCACGCCATAGACATCACTCGAAGGCTTGGTGTGAGATATCTTTGGATCGACTCTTTGGTGAGTGGGTCCCCAACCTGAGTGCCGCGGGGTTCACATTGAAAACTACTTCACTGACCTGATTGCCTCAGTGTATCGTTCAAGATGACCCTTTGGATTGGCAGAGGGAAGCTGCACAGATGGCTTCCATATTCAACCATTCATATCTCACACTGGCGGCCACATCGGCTTCAGATGGGACAAAAGGTATCTTCTCCTCGACGTCGAGCGATTACAAGAGCCGCCGTATCGAGTGTTCCCTGCCTGCAGCTCGTGACTCCTGGATGAGAATACCCTTATGGCAACAGACCAAGTACGTGGTTCATGTTCGTCATGCTATCCAACACCATTTCCTTGAGACTGTGCAAGAAGAATCGTCGTCCTGGATGTTCCTCGGTGGGAAGTCTCGTAAGGAGTCTAGGCTCCCCCTCGTTCAACGGGCCTGGGTGTACCAGGAGCGCCTCCTCTCAGCACGCTTGCTACACGTTTTCCCGAATGAACTGGCGTGGGAATGCCGCTGTAGCCAATGGTGCGAGTGTGGTCGCTTGCACCCTTCACGGGGCATCGTGCAGATGCGCGATAACGTATACTGGACAAAATACTTGCTGGAATGTGTGCGGCGAGGTGAAGAGCCAGAAACTACTCACCCGTGGTTCACCAAGACCGACCTGGTCTACGACATGTGGCAGTCGACGGTTTCAAATTACAGTCATCTGAAATTGACGTACCCCTCCGATATCTTCCCGGCTCTGGGTGGTGTGGCGCGGCAATTTGGGAAGTTGACAAACAGCAGATACCTCGCCGGTTTATGGCAGGATAACCTGGCGACTGACCTGCTTTGGATCTATGAGGAAGGCTGGCGTGAGCCTGGTGCTCTCAACGGCCGTGTACCCTCGACATCGTCGGAATGCCGTGCCCCATCGTGGAGTTGGGCTTCACTCAACGTGCCTGTTGCGTGGAAGTACCAGACAAGCATGCAACGCCACAAGGTGGTCTACCTTCACTCGATCATGGAGTTTGTCGAAGCGGACGTTGACCACGTCTATGACCCGTTCGGCGAAATAAGAGGCGGTGACCTCACGATCAGGTCGTATGCTCTTTACGGCGTCTTGCAGAAGGCTCCGAAAAGTCGACACAATCGCGAAAGAGCCGAGGGACCCAAGTTTGACGTCGGCTTGTCTCCAGAAGAGGGGCCCAAGAGGAGCAGACCAAAAGATGTCTTTCCCTCCGACGTCGTCTACAACGACTGGGATTATTCGGTCGCAGACAGTGGGCTTCACATAGAAGAGGGCACCCAAGTACTTTGCCTCGCGATATCGGCTGTTTCTCAAGGAGACTATCGCCGTGGATATCACGCCGTCACTTGTCTGGTGCTTCGTCCGGTGGCGGTTAAACATAACCGTCAGTTGTATGAACGCATCGGCGTGGTGTCCTTCGAGGACATAAGGTTGTGGAATCGGCTCACAGGACCTGATGACGAATACATTAATAGCGAGTACGGCAAGATCGAAGAGCACGACACGCCTGAGAAAGTAACGGTAATCATTGTTTGATTATCCAGGGGAATTCTTTTGTGCCAGATGGCGATTGACGCTTGGCTGGGATGTCTGCGCTTCGGCTTTTGGCCGTATGCATGCATACTGGCAAAATAATCAGCGGTACTGAACCTCAAGAGTGATCTTCCTAATTTGTTTGCTGTTTGAGCTGATGGATAATGCATCGTCTGCCGCCCTTGCTGAGAGACCAAGGCTTTTCAGTCTGTGCTCCCGTAAATGGTGATATTCCACGATAGGAACCCCTCTCAGCATAGCTGAAATGATATTGCAAGGCAGAAGAAGCCCTCTTCTTGACAATCTCGTTATTCAACAACTCGACGGTGTCCATATCTACAGTGATATGACGCCTTTTGCATCCAAGGACTTGGTATGACCTCTTGTGCTTCAGCCAAGGCACGTTCGTCTACCGGCCAAAATGTTTGATCTCCAGCTGTCGTAATATCGGATAGCTCAGAGCCACGGCAACCAGCGTAAATTCGTTCCCAAGGTCACCACCGGACCCAATCAGCTTCGCGACCGGGCCGACATACTGCAGATTGTGTGTTGTCAGTCACGACATCCAACAGCAACAAAACCTTTTCCGAATTCTCTCGAGTTAGACAAACTTACCCAGGTCTGATCCATGCCCAAAAAGCTGACTCCAATCCCCAGAGCCAGACTGCTGCATCCAGCCAACCCCAAGGGCATGCGTGACTGATCCTGCCACCCCTCCTTGTCGTATCCTCCGAGGCGAGGACGGAACCAGAACGCCTCGATGGCAAGGACGCCGCCAAAGCAGATGGTCCAGTACCCCAGGAGCGACAAGAAGTTGTTCAGGATTGTCTCGAGATGGTCTCGACCGCCCCAGGCGAGGCCCAGGGCAATGGCTGTGAGCAGCGTGTTCCACACAAAACGCGGCACTGCGAGGAAATGCTTGCCCCAGAGCTGGATGGAAAGCGACGAAGAATAGATGATGGCGGTTAGATTGGCCACTGTGGAAGACGGATTGTGTTAGCTATCAGAATTCCCAACTTCCCTATGACACGCACGTGCGACCTACGAAACGAGAGTGCGTACATGACGCACACAAATTTGGCCCAGCCTGACGGCTCCATGGTCGCGAGAATCAAGGCGCCAATGCCACCGTCGTCGTAAACTTGCGACAGCGTCTCATTTGTGTTCACAATGCCGCCATAATAGTTACCGAGAATGAGAACGAAGATGGTCGGTAGCGCCAGGCCCATCCACGTCATACCAAACACCAACCACTTGTTAACGTCCGGTGGGTAATGAACATAATAGTCCCCGGTCATCGAACACCACGCGGCTGCCTCTCCAAAGACGATGGCGAAGTACGTCAGGCCCGCTCCTGTGCGATCCGAGCCCGAGACGTAGGACAAGCCGGGCGTGGGTGAAAAGTATTTGGCCGACTGGCCAAACTCGACACAGAGAAAGATGAAAATCAGGAACCACGCGACAGACTCATATTTTTGGATCAAACGGAACCCGAAGAATGAGATGACAAAGGATCCGACACACACGACGACGATGCCGACGACGATGGTCAACGAGCCGCCGCTGACCGCACTCAACAATTGCCCGGCCACAATACAGTTGATGGTGCCGAAGCCGATGTTGACGATGATGTTGAGCAGGCCGCAGAACTTGGAGCCCCAGATACCAAAGGCGTAGCGTGACGCCGCGATCTGCCGGAGACCAAGCGGTGCACAGAGCGTGGCAGTGAAGGCAGGAATGACGGAGCCAATGCACGAGGCAAACACACTGAGGATGATGGACTCGTTCACCGAGAGCCCAAAGATAGGCCCGAGAATGCCCATGGTCAACAGGCCAGGCGACATCAACATGGAGAACCAAAAGAGCATCATCTGGACAACAATTCATCAGTACGGATTCTTCAAGTAGCTCGTCAATGGGATATAGAGGTGACTTGCGTTGACGACGCGTGGGGGCTTTCGCTCATTCTCGGGGATTCGTTCGGCGCCCATGCCCTCGATCCTCAACTTGCGATCCATCCAGACCTCGGCCTGGCGCAACTTTCGTAAGAGCGAGCTTCCATCGCGGATGCGGATGACTTGGAGCTCGCCCTTGCCGAGACCTTGCTCATGGTCGTCGTCGAGGCCAACAGGCGGAGGGTCCACGGCCTTCGAGGTGTCAGTTGACATCCCTTTCTCCGGATCGTTCATGTCTGAGTGAGAGGTGGAAAAAAATAAGAAGCCAGCAAGACAAACAAGACCAAGTTGGGAGATACGGCTTCAGACTAAGTGCTCTGCTGATATGGCAGTGCAAACGCCGTCGAAAACGATAACTACAGCGCCCATAATGTCTGGTTTTATACAAAGGATAGGACGAGCTGACGTTGCCTCCTTTGATAACAGTTCTTTCCTTGAAATGTACAGTCTCGGAGACCGCCGGTCACAGGGGATCCAGAATGATGAGTATCGAGGTCTGGCTGGATACCGAGCCCCGGTTGCCTCCCCGAGGAAGCTCATATGATCGTATCATGGCAGCCATCCGCAATGCGCTGCCAAAGTGCCCACGGGTCAGCACATTGGCCTCCAGAGGTATGTGAGTGGGTCGACGGCGTCGACCCACCATACCGGATATGGCTTCTATCCGCGCCATAAGCTTTGCCTAAGCTTTCGGGCGCTTCTTCACGAGATAGCGAATCTCAACGTCTGATGGTCTATGTACGCGTACGCCTCAGATCCTCGAAAAATGGCCGCTTTAGGTTGGTCGGGTGTCCATAGCTCGTGCGACGCTGGCCCCTCCGATAACACAGACTCGTGTCGGAGATGACCTTGGCGATGGAGCAGGAAGATGGGATATTGCCTTCGCGCAATACTCGCAGTGACCGTGCTGAAGAGCGCAACGACCTGCGTATAAAAGACACGCACCTGTGCTCGAGTTGAAGATGCGAGGCTGAGAGTGGTGTAACAATTCTGCAGCTAACACGAGAGCACATCTCTGCGCCGTCCCCTCCCAGAGTCGCTGAGGACATGTCCGTCCTAAGATCCATCTCGCTCGCAGAGCGGCAGGCCATCAAACGGGACATCCTGGCCAGCAACGACACATTCGTCGCCGCACTCCCCAAAGTCGAACTACACGTCCACATCGAAGGCACACTGACGCCCTCACTGCGCTGGAAGCTCGCGCAGCGCAATGGTATGACCCTCGGCCTCAAGCGAACGGGAACCGTCTACCACACCCTCGAGCAATTGGAGGCGTCGTACGAACTGATCGTGTCGCGACCCGGCCACTCATTCAACCACGCAGAGGAACGCTTCACATTTTTCGAAGCGTACTACGATGGGTTCGAGGTCCTCGTTACCAAGCAGGACTTTTACGACCTGGCCATGAACTACTTCGAGCACGCCGCGAGCATGAATGTGCGTTACTGTGAGCCCTTTTTCGACCCCCAGGGCCACACCAGGAGAGGTGTGTCGTGGGCAACCATGATGGGAGGGTTAAAGGAGGCCCAGCTCGAGGCCGAGAGGCGGCTCAAAGTGAGTCTATCCCGTCTGTTTCTGCAATGCCGTGCCTAAAGAGCTACAGGTGAAGTCGAAGTGGACCATGTGCTTCCTGCGTGACATGTCGCCGGAATCCGCCATGGAACATTTGGAGGCTGCCCTCCCATACCGCGACATGATCGTTGGTATCGGCCTCGACTCTGACGAGTACTTGCGTCCTCCCTCCTTGTTCGAAGCAGTCTTTTCCCGCGCTCGCGCCGAGGGCTTTCACCTCACCTGCCACTGCGACGTCGGCCAGCAAGACACCCATGACCACATCCGCCAAGTCGCCTCAACTATGGGCGGCACCGGTGCCGAACGGATCGACCACGGCATCAACGCTGCAGAAAAGCCCGAGCTCGTGGAGCTCATCCGCCGCAATGGACTCGGCATGACTATCTGTCCGTGGGCGTACATGAGGCATGAGCCGCTCGATGAGATCTTTCCACGCTTACGCGTCTTATACGACGCCGGTATCCCGGTTTCAATTGCAAGTGACGATCCGGCGTACATGGAGGACTCATGGCTGATCCACAACATGTTGGTCGCTAAGAAGATGTGCAATTTCACCAATGAGGACATGGAAAAGTTGACCAGGAACGCGGTCAGCATCTGTTGGGCGCCCGACAATGTCAAGTCGGACATTTTGCAAGAGCTGGAAGCGGTGGTGGCAGCGTTTTCTTAACATAGCCTTCACCTGCGCAGATCGTAGATGCGATCGTGGTCAAACCATCGGTGTCCCTCGATTTCCAATCACGACAGCATGAGAGGCCCCTTAAGTTCGCCTGCCGTGATAGAGTTATAGTATTCGTGGCTGTCCCAGACGAAATTCAAAGTGTCGAGTGCAATTCCAAACTGTCTACAGCCGACTGCTCTAAACATCATCTCCAACCGCTGTCTGAGCCATTCTCGCTGTTCAATCTGTTCATCGTTCATATAGAGCCCTGCCTGGAACAGAGGCCACAACATTGAGAAACCCCACCTGCTCGCCGTTGGCACGCTATTAGCATAGCCGAATATGGCACTCTTCAAGCACTCCACGTCAAATATGTCGTCCGTTGGGAGGCGAAACAACCTCATCACGTAGAGGATGATCCCACTCTGCCAGGCATTCACGACATGGGCAGTCAGAGGGGAATAAGCAGTTGACGGCCGCCAGTTTCTAACCTGTTGTCCAAGCCGAGTTGCTTGACGGACAGTGTTGGCGGAAGGTGTGTCCGCAGAAGTATACTGTAACTTGTACAACATTGTGATGTCTGCAACGTATTCGAACAAGTCAATCGGACATGGGAAAACGTCACATCCCCATTCTCGGCCTTGATCGGATCGAAACTGGTCGATTGTGCTTTTGATCTCTGCGGATGAAAACGTCGGAAATCGTGAAGAAGTGGTGGACCGTAGGATGTCTAACCTGCAGAGGAAGATACATCAGCTGCGGGTTTTCCTAGAATGGATTGAGCAAGCCTCACCACGCCAGCCTCTGTTCGAAGAACTTTCTGCTTGTCTTGTCAGCTCCATGCTGCTCGACCAGGGCTTTAGCGGCCGGCACATGCGTGTCAAACTCGACACAGTCGCCTGAGCAGAGCTGCAAAATTTGTCAGTGGAGAAGGCGTCTGTCGAGATCTAGGTTTGACATACGTCCAGCTGTACCATCATTACTATGCTAGCCAGGGTGCCAAAATCTGTTGACAATTTCTTGTCTCCAAGTCTGGAGCGCAAGAGGCTAACTGCCTTCAGTCGCAATTCGCGACTTTGAGTTTCCAGAACATCGTCCCGGCGGCGAGCAGCCAAATGGCAGGCAGCGGACGCCGCCACTGCATATCGAAGAGGGAGCACCTCTCGAGTCAAGGGGATAACATGTAAGAGATATGGGCTCTCAGTCGGTGTTGCTCCAAGGTAAAAGACTGAACTGAGTTCATGGGCATCTATCAGCTGTCAATGACGATCCGCCTCGTGAAATAGTCTTTGTGGAGTTCTCACAATACTGGATCAACTCTTCCTCGATATCACCGGCGGAGCCGAACTTCTGGATGACTGGAGCCTTCGCCAGCCTGTCAGTGGAAGTGAAATATCCGTGGTCTACGCCCTTGAGTGGACCAGACTCGTTTGATACGGTTCCGCTAGGATTCTCGAGAGGGATCGTCTTTCCCGCAAACCGGCCACGCGCGGCGACCCCGGTCCAGCGCAATACATAGCCTTCGCAGAGAATCCCTCGACGCTGACAGCTCTGGCACATCGGCAGACTCCTATCGCACTTGCGCCCTCGTCGACGGCAGCTCCGACATGCTGTACCGTTTTTCCGTTCCTGCATGGCAACAGACGCCGTAGTGGGGCCTACAGATGACAGCAAAGATGAGTGCTGGATAGCTAGTGAAAGATGATCATGATAGGACAAGCAGGCAGTCGGTTAGAATCGCATAGAAAGAGACTAGTTTCTCAACTCGTCAAAGACTCAGTTGTGGAGGTAGCTGGAGAGGATTGAGATGATGACTGTTGGATTGCAAAGAATGAATTGATATTGCCTCGATGGAATTCGTCTGTCGATCAATTGAGCATCGGCCGAAACTTTGAGGCGATAATATTGTCCTCTTCCGGCGTAGTCGAGTCTGCAGCCTCCAATGCCGTCGCCGAAAGTTATCGACCTCACAGTTCCTGTCCCCGCCAAACAGTTGTTGTCCCCGCGCTCAGTTGAGAATCCAACTTCATGCCGGGGCATGATTGTCATTCCAAAGCCGTTGCACCCCTGGCCACATGTGTCACGATTGTGACCTGAACGCCAAGCCTCTCCTTCACTGAGGCCCTCGACGCGGCGCACCCAATACCGCGGCCTGGGCCCCAACCTCTTGATAGTCCTTCGTACTACAATTTATTCATTTCCAACACCTAGTTGTGATCACATGCTTGGTACCAAGGGTCTTCGAACATCGTTAGTCGTGAATCGCTACATAACAGAAAACCGCAGCTGCATGTCGCCATCGAATACCCGCTTAGTACGCCAGCGGGAGTAAATTGGGACTCCGTCCATCCCGATCAGTCTAAAACCAATGAACACATCAGACAAAGTCCCCAGAAGGAGAACTCCTCTGTATGAAGCCGACTGTGAGGGACGTAGGGGACGTTCTCGTCCATCCGCATCATAATGTATGAGGGATTTTCAGCGGTTAAATGTCGTTTAGAATAGCACTGTATCTAGTACGATGAGGAGCCGGCACGTGTGTAATATCTCAATTCAATGGGGAAGTTGTGAAGTATAAACTAGATTCATGGGCCGTACGGGCACCTGGTATGCGCAACAAATTTAGGGTACGGCTATCAACTGCCTCCTCCCTCAGAAACGTGACCTTCAGATTCAAGCGACTGTGATTTCAAGATGGTCGCACAATTTCTTGGAACTTCTGTGCTTTGCGAGCTTTCTGTTTCCGGCCATTGCGGACAAGGTCGTGCCACGATATGTTATCGTTGACTCCCAGAGGGGGGGATCGGGGTGCTTTTGAATTTCCAATACTCGGTAGAGAGGAGCTAAACTCTTGCCCAGGAATTTGTCCTGCAGCGTCGTGGTGTATTTCCACATTTCAACCCCGGTGTCAGTTGAATCCGAATCTTCATCTGATGGCTCTGCCTGCACCGCTGCGACTGTGTGAACCGCACTCGCGTTATTGCTTTGGCTGATCGGAACCATACAATACATGCGAAAAGTGTCATGAATGGCACCCTCTAGAACATGTTGTTCCTGTAGTGTTCCCCGCCGACGGATGGCACCGATCCACCCTAAGCACTCTTTTTTGAAGTTGATATCTCCTTGGAAGAAGCGTTGTTCAGACAATCGATACAGCCGAACCCCCTTCAAGCGAAGTTGATGGTAAAGATGGTCATACTGAAAGGCCTCATGTTCTTGACGGAGGGACTCCTGAGATGCTTTCAATCAGTCATTGATAAATGATGATACAGACTCGGGGTAATACCATTAAAGACGCGATGCTCTCAGAGTTAGACACCCTTCGAAGTAAGAGCAAAGCTAATGCCTCGCCTATATGTAGTCCCCCAAGCCACTCGTCCTTTTCAGCGGTCTGATCAGTATCGTAGAGTGTTGTGTTCCCGACAGAATTGTCTGCTGAGAGCTCCGGAACAGAGAATACCATGTCGGCTCTGGTATCCGGCTGACGGGATGAAGAATTGTCTGTAAGAGCTTCGGATGAAACTCGAGAAGTCGAACGGCGACTGAGTCTGGAAAAGAAGCGAGCCATGAGGGTTAACCAAGTCGGATGCACTCAAGGTCGGGTCACAAGGAATTTATACATATCTGTTCGTATGCTCCAGCTCGAAACTTGATGCAAGGATCGAAGATGCTGCCTTACTTACGCAGCCCCTTTGTGTCGTTGAGAGTTTGCCTCGCGAAAGCAGCCATAACTTGACTGGTGAAGGCTCTATGTTAACATATTCTGCAGCAACAAATTGGCCTGGAAGCATCCTGACCGGTGAGGCCGTGCCCCCCTGAGTACCATACCAATCACGAGGCGCTTCAACCCTACCATTTTAAAACGGAATGGTGATAGGTTTGGCCCTGGTGGTGTAGCTGCTGATGTGTCAGCCTCTAGCGCGGATGGAGCATATCCTCAAAATACTGCTGGTTTCAGGAGTTTCCTCCTCCCTAAGTCAATTAGATCGCGGCCAGTTTTGCAAGGTTATCAGTCTAGCTATCGCAGACGATTGACTTCGCGAAGAGGGGATATGAGTTGGCCGGGGCAGCAGTTCTCTTGTAACCAGGAGCTCGACCTGTGAGATACGACGAAGCATTGATTCGTGCAACTCGTTTGGCTTCGGACAATCCAAAATAGCCATCCTCAATAGCGCATACTTGGCCATGACCGCCAGCACAGTCGAGAGTAGTGGCAGAGTGTTTGCATATGCAAGTCGCCTGCACTATCCCCTGCACATGATCACTTTAGCATCTGTTCAAATCTTGTCAAAGGAGAAAGAGGCACTTGATGGAAATGCAGCCGCTGCAAGACCTTTTTAACGAACACGTCTGCGTGGATATGTGGCGAAAGCTGAAAGGCGGACGTGAGCAAGGCGTACTCACTCTCGACTCGTTTGAGGTCAATCGAAGCGAGGTGCGCGGTTTCAGCACTCCAATCCTCGCCCAAGAACGAGGATAATACGCTTGATCAGAAGAAGGGAATTCAGCTTCATGCATGACCGGCCTCCGGCCAGAGCGAATGGTCTCAGAATCCATAGCTCCAGCGAGTGTTCATTGCACACGGAGAAAAGACCAAATCTTCGTCCGGCCTCAACCATGCAAGCCAGCACACTCGCAAAATAACCATGCACAGCTGCTTTATTAGTAGGCCAATTTTGACTCGTCCGGGGAAGAATATTTTAGCTCCACAAACACCTATCTTGCATCAGCGCCAAACGAATCATAATTCCGAACAGCCAGTGGCGCGGTCGCAACCCATATCTCAGGTCAGGAGTCTCCTCTGAGTGCGGAAAATTCACCTTTTCCAAGCGCAAATATACTTGATAGAAACTTAGTTGCGGCTGTGAAAGACGTTGAACAAACTAGACATTTGACAGTGTGCGAGTCGAGCGATAGGGTGGGGCCTTCATCCGTTCGTATGTTGAAATTTGAAAATCCTGAGATCACGCATCCAGACAAAATGGGTGATCCCTCCATTCGCTTGCTTACAATGGGCGGTGGCCGCAAATACTCAGTTTGGAGTTTCGTTCACTCGACCTAATATGTTTATGTTCGGAACAGGTCCCTTCGTAAAGCATATTGTACATCTAACTATGATACACAGGCTTCTTCAGCACTCTATTTTCCCAAGTCAAGTCACAAGCGTGACATAGGAACGACCTTCCACGGATCCGCCACGAATTTTATGCCTGCGTCTCTGAGATGCCAGGGGTTGACATACACCTGCAACCCAATGCTGCTAGAGAACAGGTTCCACACTCTCATGATCAAGTACACATCTCTCGGGGCCGTCATTGAGTCATTCAGACAGGCTTTGTCTCGCATGAGTCTGTACTGATTGCTGCTCATGAAGAACGGAGTATCGCAGGACCAGGGTGTGGTCTTGACTTGGATGTGATAATTGACTGCCGGTCTTGACGTTGAAGTCCCGCTGGATCCAAGCCCAAGCCAGGCGGGATAGGGTAATGTCGTGTTCTCTCGAAGCAACTTCATCAGCTGCGGACAGTTGCCTTCGTACATTATGTCCGAGATCTCACGGCCATGCCACGACGGTTCACTTGCGTACTCAGGGAGGATGTTCACGTAGCGACGAATTGAGCTCTGCCAGTTTTCGATGCTGAAATTTGTGACTCCGCAGGCCTTAAGGAGCTCAAATACCTAATTCGCTCCAAGTCAGCTATAGTTCACGTGTAACGATACCTCTCAAGACTTACATAAAGTTCTCCTGCCGCGTCCACCCGATCATTTTCTTCAATCTGCCGTTCTCTATGCCGCCCAAACATTCGGGCGAACGTTGCGTAGTCAGCTTGTGGGTGGGCAAGTTCATCTAAAGCTTCGTCGATTTTATCCAGCGATAGAGATCCTCCTTTCTTCTGAGGAGATCGCCCGTCTCGCCTTGCTTGCCGGATCACTTCTCGCAAGAGCCTTTGGTACTGTTGATCCCGTGCTACCTCCTCCCAGATTGTATAGTGAGAACCGGTTGAGTGAATGTGGACTGGAGAAAGCATGCTGCTTTCAACTCGAGAATGTGGTACTGCGTCCCTTTGATCGACCCGTGTCACGACGTCGTCGTCGTCAGTATCGTGGCCGGAGGACGTATTATCTGGCGATACAAGTAGCACTAAACTACTTCTGTGAGGTTCTGTATCATTCAGGGCTGGAAATGACACTGTCTGTAGTGGTGTCGCAGGTTTTTCGAACCAGGGATACCCCGGCAGATCCTCATCCTTCATGATAACTTCCATATCTTTCTTGTCATCATTCAAGATACGATAGACAACCTTGACTGCCCGTTCATTATCGATAGAAAGTGCATTTGCAAGTTCACGAGGAAGCGCTGTATGGAAGCAAGAATAAAGGCCATCGTAGTCGCCGGGGACATAGATTGCCAACTTTACATGAGAGTAGCAGATTTTGACCACCGCTCGGTCACTCTGAACAGTGATTGAGTCATGTTTCTCTGGTAGCGCGAGCTCTGTCCACATATCTTCGCAGACAAACACTTCTGCAGTCAACAGTAACTTGTGCACGGTCGTGTTCCGATTGTAGTATTTCGGACTATTGTAGTAGTTGGCACAGCTAATTAACGGTCAGGACATCTTTTCCTTACGATGAAGCATTGGAACTTACCATGACAAGGCGTATGCCCGGTCTCTGATATAGTGCTCAAGAGCTGGATGGGCAGTTGGCATGTGTACAGTTGTTTTTGGCTCCACTAGACGCGAGAGAAAGTGGTCCTCAAGATGTAGCAATCTGAACAGCGGATATAACGAAGTCATCTCTTCGTGACCAAAGTCAAGGATCTTTGCTTTGTTTTCAAAGAGCTGGCCATATCTCTGATGGTCATTGATTGCGAAGGCTTGATCCACGGAAAATAATTTCAGTCCGCTGGGGCCACGGATCGGTAGAAAGGCCGTTTTCGTCAAACTTCTTAGGTGCTCCTCGTTGACCTCGACCTCAGGATCTGAGGCTAATACTTCTCCAATAGTAAGGATGATACGCTTAATTTCGTCAAAATCAGGGGAAGTCTTCTGCGCCGTTCTTCCTAGTTCCTGTAAAAGAACGTTGATATTCACGGTCCTGACTTTCATCTTGTCGACAAAGAAGTTTTTAAGCCGAGGGTATAGATGGTCTAGTGGCTGACGTCCGGAGATGGCGATAGTACAGTTCCACAAGCACTCTGAAGGCTTTAGCCACTGTTGATCAACATAAATCAGGTTGTTATCATGAAGCTCTTGCCTAAGACCACGGTTAGGGACATCGGATTTTTTTTGAAGGGGTGACGGTACCGAATGGTCTGGATCACGGACTCGGAGCTTGCCATTGCATTCAGAGCAGAATAAACCTCTGACGCCTTGCTCTCGATTGGAGGTGATCTCTCTGTTGCTTTTGTTGATGGAATCTTGAGTTCGTCGATCAAATCATCGTAGCTAACATCTCGCAGGTTCAAAATGGATTTGAAGAAACTGGATGCAGATGGATTAGCCCCGTATAACGGCTTCAAGACCTGCTTCACCCGGAGAAAGCTTGGACCTTCCCAAATACAATCAGTTGATTTGTGCCAGGCTTCCTCTATTCTGTTCGAGCGAATCAACGGTCGCGTCGCAAAATCTTGCTGCTTCGAGTCAGTAGCTATCGTTGTATGAATAGAATTGACACACCTGTATAGTGTTAGCGTCTTTGACTGCGGTTGTTTGAGCAATACCACTATAGATCGTTTCACATGTTGATAGCAATGGACGGTCTTTAAGACTAACTAATAGAGATATAGCTCTCAAGTAAAAGTCAGTATTGACTTCACAGATCACACCAAACTCTTTCAGGAAGAACCAAGTCTCGGGTTGTTGAACATCACAATCTCGTGATAGTTTCAGAATCGGTAGAAGATTAGTAAGGTTCGGATCTCGACTTTTATCTATCAATTCATGCGTTGGTAAGATAGTGTCGCAAAGCCTTTGTGTGGAACCATTCAAACATGGTACCCGAACATTCATCAGCTCGGTCTTGATCATGGATACATCAACAGAGTAATCCGACCAATGTGCTTTGAGATTTGCGACAAAGCGATCGGGATTGTCTCGCGCAATTAGCTTCATTAGAGGATGGAGCTTCCACCTAGCTGGCACTTTCTGTACCAGATCAGGGAAGTATTTTACCCCCCATTGCTGAAGATAGGATTTCCAGTCCAAACCATGGCGAATGTAGTTAGAAGCTGGGGATTGTAGATATTGTTGATGAAGAATCCCAAAAGGCGATTTATCCTTTTCCGGAGTTGCAGCGAGTAGTTTCTCGGCGTGATAGTTATCTTCCGAAGGAAAGAATAAGAAAGGTCCTCGACATTTTTGGTTTTCATTGCTCACAAGCAACATACTCATTTGACCTCGCATTGATAGAGACGGTTGCTTTCCGAACCAAAAGAGGACTTCGAGATCCATTTTGAACATAAAAAGTGTTCCGATTCTCTGTGCTGACTCGTGCATCTCAAATATCTTTGCCGTTACGGCATCAGGGTGGCATGAGGTAATTCCGACACTTGTGTAGAAGCTCACACGCTCTCTGTCTGCAGCGGCAATCTCATGAAGTTTTTTAAACCCAAGATAATCAGGAATCCTTACGAACACCGATACTTCGTCGACAAGATATGGTAGATAGACTGGATCCGCATCCAAGGACGAGATTGAAACCCATCGATTGTCGTCCAATGGGATTACTCTCAATTGCTCGACGGAGAGCTTTAACTGCTCGACTGAGTACTTGATGGATCTCTCAAGGACTAGTCGTATAAGAGCAGCGAAGGCTGTGTGCCACGAGTCATTCAGTGGTATGTGATGTATAGGGGTTTTCGCTCCTTCTGAAAGACCAAATTCTATTCTTTCCAAAATCAATGTAGGCGAGATTTCCCACACCCCAAGTTCTCGCAAGATTCTTAGATCGCATGGCTTATAATTGTCCGATAAGTAGATATCTTCATCCGTGTCCGCCACAATTGGCTCGTTGTCGTGGATGAACCAGTCTGGAAGAGATACCATGTGCTTAATGCTGTGAAGTTCATTCCGTCGTGATCGTAAAATGAGGAGGTCGCTGTGCAAGATTAGTTCCATAATGTCACGCCATAAATGTTCCCAGAAGCCTTTCACGAATCTTTTGGGGAGATAGTGCATCCATTTAAACTCCAGAGGATCGCCAGAGATAACAACTTTGTTCACAAAACCCACAAATGCTACAGCGACTCCTTTTCGTAATGCAATATTCCAATCTGTATCAGACACACTCTCACGATTAGCGGTAAGAACAAAATTTGCATTTATAAGAAACTGGATTAGTTAGCTTTCTTCTCCAAATCGTACTAGATACACATACAGGAAGCTGTACAATGCGCTGTACTGGAAGATAAGCAAATACATGCTGTCCATTGGCAGGAATGACGGGCTGGCCATCTGAATCCACCTCAAATGCAACGGTCACATCGCTCTCAGAGCTTGCACGATGGGTGTCTGAGGGGAGATGTCTGACTGTGTTTTGAAACAGCCTCAGAAATGTTGTCGCAGATTTATGAGCGCCGAAAGTCCCAGTTACAGTGGTCTTAATGCACATTTGATGGGATCTTAGATCTCCATCTTTCTCGAAGGTTATGCAATCTGACCGTCCAGCAACCCCATCCACAACAATGACTAACTTTTTCAGCTTGCGCAGCGCAAACATAACTGTTCTGGGTAGTTTTTCAAACTCAGACACAAGGCGTGTAGTGAAGATATCACGCTGATCATAGTATCGAAGTGTCAATCTTGTTCCGATATTTGAAGGGAGACGAGAAGTAACGTCAGTCCACTTTGGCGTGATCATTCCAACGCCCTCCTCGCCTTGTCTGTGCTCAAACCTGAAAGACCAGACCCCAGATTGGATGTGGACATAGTTAGCAATGCCAAATACTGATTTGAAACCCATTCCTTTCTCGCCAGTGGTATCCGTATCGCTGGCTTTGGAGCTTTTACCAATATCGCAAATAGATTCGACATTCTCGAGTGTGAATCCCAGCTCGTTGGACTCGATGATCAGCTCGCAGGACTTGATGCGAAACGTAATACACGGCTCGACATCATTTGCGTAGCAGGAGTCGTCTCCATTTTGGAGCAATTCATAAATAAACCTGAACCTAGACGAGTAGAGCTGTTGGGTGAAGCTGCTGCTATTAGCTGCCAGTCTTTCGGACAGAAGGAAGAGACTGACCTTTTTGTATACCGAGCGTATAAGGCTCTGTGCTCGGCAGCTCTTCGACGGTAGTCTTCTTGAAAGCTCGGATCTGTCTTGCGAATTTGGCTTTCGTCGTAGTCATCGATGATGCCCCGATCTCGGCAGATTCTATTGATCTCGGCTCTTGCCGCAGCGACATTGAGGGGACGTCCGTTTCCGTCGAAGCCAGGCTTGGACATGTTTCTTTGGCAGAGCAGTGAAGACTCGTTGTCGGATGAGTACAGAAAGATGAGAAAACACGGTTGATGTACTAACGCTGAAAAGTCCATGTCAGGCACACACCGAAGACTTACCCCTTCATCTGCAGGAGTTCGATAATGGTGCACGCCATTGTTTGAGACAAGCGTCGAACTTGCGCTCGAGCTACTGTGGCATTGCGCGACTCGAACACGAAGCGCTTTGGCCCCAGTTGAACCCTGTTGAGCAAGTCTTACGTTGCATCAGCTTAGTTGAAAGAAGAGCGTCGTTGGGGCCGTCATGTGTATGTACTTTTGGAAGCTAGCACTGCAGTAGACTTCCTCAGAATATGCAAGAGTGAACAAACGCGCCACGCCTCAGGGGTTGAAACAGTTAGTGTTACAATGCCGCAGCCCCTGAAGTCAGCCCTCAAACGGAAATATTAATGTTGACGTTAACAATGGCCTTCCTGACCCGTGAGGACTTTTCATAGTGCTCGATTGGCGCCTGAGTATACGGGATACTGAGCATGTGATTTATCGTGTATGAGGATGAAAATCCGCAGTGAGTTCCCAGTTGATAAGAGTAGAAGCCTAGAATGGCATCAAGGTATTGCACAAGAGAAAGGCGTCCAAGAGGTCTGAGGACAAGTTTAAGTTGCCAACTATAAACTTTATCCCGGGACTAAGCAAACTCGCCTCGAGGGTTCGTAAGAAACTTGAGGAGGGTGAGAGGAGAGTGAGATGAGGGTGAGTTGTGTGAAGGTTGTTGTAAAAGCGGCGCTGTCCGCGTGAGCAGTTTGTCCATGGGATTGTGCCAAGCGATGCGGAGTCGAGTCTCAGGTACATCGAATGGCGACCCGAACCACAGCCAGAGACTCCAACATGCTACGAGGACGAGAACTCGGGACGATCAACAGCATTTCCTTTGATACATCCGCGAGCTCTCAACATGGAGGAATTTGCCCAGTCCCGGGGCGATGATGACCTCTTTGACGACGAGATTGTGCCCTTGGACGACCCCCCTTCACCAGAGAAAGTCGCAGCCGGACTCGATCAAGTCTCGCTGGACTCGACTCCGCCGCCGCCGCCGCCTCCTCCTCCTCCACGGGCTGAACAAACGCCCATAAATGCCCCTTCAACTGTACCAGCTCCTGCCCCCGAGAACAAAGGCTACAGAAACAACAAACCACGCGGAAGAGGTGGCCGAGGAGGAGCACCTCGAGGCGGCGGCGGAGCACAAAGCAGAGGCGGGCTCTCGGACTCCAAATGGGCTCCGAAACCATCAAAGCCAACAGACACAACTACAGTCCGGAAAAGCGAATCCGGGCCAACTTCAGAAGCACGGCCCGACAGTACAGCCACAAATACAGCCGCTGCCCCTGCTTCTGCCTCCACCAGCGAAGCCCCAAACCCAGAGCTCTCGACACAGGCAGAAGCAGGGGCAGAGAACCCCACCACCACGGCTCCAAACGCACCGTCGATACCGACAAACACTCGCCCACCAGCAGTCCGCGGTGACCGGTCCGCCACCGGAGGCACACGCAAGCCTAAACTCACCGAAGAGGAACTGACCGCCAAACTGGCGGCGGCGAAGGAAAGGTCCCAAAATCTGGCGGCGGCGCACGCACGGGCACAAGCCGACGCCGCGAATTTCGAAGAACGAGAACGCATTGCCAAGCAGAAGCGCGAGAAAGAACGCGTAGAGCGCAAAGTCATGGACAATGAGCGCGAGAAGAACAGACAGCGCAAAATGGCCGTCATGGGCGGTCGGGAATGGGACGCCGGCAAGAACGAAGAGGACTTCAAAGCCAACGGCCGTGGCGGCCCGAGGAGAGGGTATCAGACTTCCATGACGCCCGAGCAGCAGTACCAGGCCGAGCAGGACGACCTGAGACAGTACGAATGGCATGAAAACCGGGGGCGTGGCGGCGGCCGTGGACGTGAGCGAGGACGGGGTGGCCGTGGAAGAGGAGGCGGAGGTGCTCGGGGAGGGAAGAACGCTGGTGGTCCTCCGCCGGATCTGGCTGCCGATGCGGATTTCCCTGCCCTGCCTACCACTGTCGCCGCGGATGGCGAGGACAAAATGCCAAAGGCCTCGACTGTGTCGAAACCGACCATGTCAAGATGGGACAGCGGGGCATTATCACCTTCAGGCGACGGTGGTGGAGGAGGAGGAAGCTGGGCTGAGCAGGTCGAATCGAGTGAGGCCGATAATAAGAAGGAAAATACGGTGGCGACGTAGACATGGCCCGATTACCCGACCATCATACCTATCTAATGTGCTATGTGCGATGTATAATGTTGGGGGGCACGGGAGGCTTTTTCTGATGCATTTATATGTATATGTCACGGGCCCTTGAAGCGTTCAAGCGTTGGGTTTCTATGGGATCGTGGTACTCGGATGTGAAACATTGATCCTGCCTTGTACCAAAGGCCTGTTCCCTGATATTTGGGTATCAACTTGCATGGCTTTTTCCACATGCATCCCCTGAAGGCGAAACAAGAAAAACAGAAACACTCAATCAATCATAATGTTGCCACCCATCAATAGCCACTCTTCCATATTCTGAAAACGCCATCGCTATGTCAAATTTTAGAAAGAGCAAGTCCCTAACTGTGTAGAGCCGCTCTGTTCAGTTGGGGAATCGAGGTACTGCTTGAGTCCCTCGACAAAGTGATCAAACGAGGGCAACACAGACCCAGGCAGACCATCACCGCCCTACCACCTTCCTCTGCCTCGCCGACCGCCGTACCCGCCACCGCCTCTGTATCCACCACGACCACCATACCCTCCACGTCCCCAGCCACCGCCGTCGCCGTAGCCTCCGTCATCGTAGCCTCTTGGCCCAGAGGGATTGCTCTCCTCCGGTCGCGAAGGAGGCGGTCGTCCCTTTAATTCCTTCTGTAGCTGCTCATACGTCCTCCGCATCTGCGCGTACCCAAGATGCATCTTGCCGTAGAAGTGATCCGCCAGCCGCCGATCGTTGTCCAGTCTTGACAAGTATGCCCCGCACACGTCGCAGACTTGTAGCTTCTGGTGTCCCGACGGTCCGCTCGTGTCGGAGAGTGCCTTCAGGTCTCTTTCGGCCTGCTCTTTGGCGACCTTTGCTGTCCGGACTTTGTAGAATTCCGTGCAAGCCAACGACACCGATCCCATCTCGGCCAGGCAGCTTACTTCCAGTAAGCCCGTATTTATCGTCTTCGTCAGGTCGGATATCGTCTTGAGCAAGTTGTTGGTCTGTCTGATTTCGTCGGGCGTTTTCTCAAGCCTCCGCTGCGCCTGGTCGATCCTCCGGTTGCACTCGTCGATGTACTTTTGCATGTCCCGGAGATAGTCGTATTCGAAGCCGTATTTCTGCTTCTCCGCGGGCGACAGTCCTTCGTATTCTATCTTCAAATTTTCCGGATGCACCTTCGGACACGGGCCAAGGTCTTGCTTTGTGTTCGTGAACAGATCGTGAGGACATGTGCCTACCAGATACGACCGGCACACGTTCGGTGATGTCAGTGTGAGGTTTGCTGTTCTCGAGGAGGACGCGCCCATGAATTGGTCGCCCATCAGCTGCTCGAGCAGCTTGCGCTGTTCGGCCGCCATGGTGGCAGTCGGCGTGAAGCGTCCAAGTGGGTATCAGATTCTGGTCAAAATTCCGTGCGCAAGGATGCTTCGAGTCTGAGCTGCGAGGTCTAAGTCGTCAGACGACGGCAATGATGCATAAAGAAACGGTGCTCTGTCTGGAGGGCAAGAAAAGAATGCAGTGGTGGTCGTGATGGTTTGGCCGCAAATGAAGAAAGCGAATAGGCGGGATGCGCTCAGTGCGGCGACGCTAATTCCCTTTAACTACACGTTACATAAGCCTGCGCTCGACTTTCCCAGAACAAAGTGTCGTCTCCTTGACCACCTCGAGCTGCGACTAGGGAGACCCCAGTGTGTCCTTCGGCAACGCAAGATAGATCTATGTTATGAGGCAAAGTGCTGTGAAATGACGCTGGCATGTCCCGCTCTCTTTTCATCCTCCTCAATGTCGCTCTCCTTGCCCTGACCGCCGTCGCCTCCGACTACTATGAACGACTGACCCTGACACCACTTCCCCTGGGATCACTCCTCGCCTCCTTCGATTTCCGTAGCAATGACACCGCAACGGATTATGAGTCGCAAAACTTTCGGTACGTCCCTCGCTCGTTAGGGCAGGCCTTGAGACATGCGGATACGGAGGAGTTGCATCTAAGGTTCACCACGGGCAGATGGGATCCTGATTCTTGGGGCTCGCGTCCGTGGGACGGGACCAAAGAAGGCGGCACAGGCGTTGAACTGTGGGCATGGATAAATGCAGAGACCGAAGAAGAGGCTTTCGAGAAGTGGATGACATTGACACAGTCATTGTCCGGCTTGTTCTGTGCCTCTCTCAACTTCATCGATTCCACAAGAACAACACGCCCCGTACTGTCGTTCCAGTCACAGGGGACGTTCAAGAATCAGAGTAGTGGCGTCCATTTCCTACACGGTGTGCTTCCTGGTGAGGTGGTCTGTACTGAGAATTTGACTCCGTTCCTGAAACTCTTGCCTTGCAAGGGAAAGGCCGGGATCTCAAGTCTTCTTGATGGGCACAAGGTCTTCGACGCATCATGGCAGAGTATGTCCATCGATGTCTCACCAAAATGCTCTCCTGGCATTGCGGACTGTCAAATTGAGATCAGCCAGACCATTGACGTGGTTCTCGACATTGAGCGGTCTAAGAGGCCCAGAGACAACCCCATACCGCGACCTATTCCAATTGAAGAACTTGTCTGTGATGAGACGAAACCCTACCACTCACAGGATGCGTGCTATCCGAAGGATATGACGGATGAGATGTCCTGGTCTTTGGGTGATGTGTTTGGGCGTGCCATGGCCGGATCATGCCCCTTGACGGAAGACAATAGTCCGTCAGTTTGCTTGAACGTACCTCATGAACGGGCGGTTCAGGCAAGCCCCGGGACCATCGAGTTAAAGTCTGAGTCTGGTCCATCGGAGTCCAGATGCTACAAGCTGGCTTCAAACGAAGTATTCAATCTTGAACTCCCCCAGCAGAGCGTGAACGTCAAGCCCGACGTAGGCTATGAGTTGCTTCGGGCCGAGCGGACCATCACAGGTCATGGTGCCGCTCGGGGCGGTATGCGCACAATATTCACCAATCCATCGTCCACCGAATCGGTTGACTTTGTCTACTTTGAGAGCTTACCATGGTTCATGCGCCCTTTCATGCACACATTGCAAGCACAAGTCACTACGCCAGGCTCTCAATACGAAAGCCAAATCATCACAGACATGTACTATCGTCCGGCCATTGACAGGAAAAGAGGAACCCAGCTCGAGCTTGTCATGTCTGTCCCACCTGCAAGCACGGTGATGCTCACCTATGAGTTTGAGAAGGCGATCCTTCGATATACCGAGTATCCTCCTGATGCGAATAGAGGGTTTAACGTTGCACCGGCTGTGATACGAGTCTTGCACGAGGTTGACACGACCGGTGTGCCGAAGGATGTTTACATTCGGACAACGAGTCTCCTCCTTCCTCTGCCAACCCCTGATTTTAGCATGCCGTACAACGTCATCATCCTCACCAGCACGGTCATGGCTCTTGCTTTTGGCAGCATCTACAATCTCATGGTTAGACGTTTCGTTGGCGTGGACGAGGTTGGCGACAACCAAATCAGAGGGCTGGTCAAGAAGATCTCGGCTGCAGTTGTCGGCGTAAAGGACAAACTGACAGGGAATCACCAAAAAGTAGAGTGAAGGAACTAGATAGAATTTCCAATGTTCTTTCAAATGCGGCTGCGCTTCCACGTGCCGCGAATCAATCTACGTTGGTCAAAAAAGATCTCGAGATACCGCATTCCAATGGATCATTAGTTCTTTGGGACGAAGGAAGCTCAAGTCCCTCTCCAGAATATCGTGATACAGCTTACACTGCCTATTTATAACATGATTTTATCATAAGGGTCATCCAGCCAGGCATAATCGGTGATTGATTTCCTCTGACCACGGATTCCAGTTTCAAACCTGACCAGCTCGACGGCAAGCCGGAGTCGTCCGCCTGGGGCCTGACGCAGCACCGCGCTAGCATGTGTATACCGCCGCCCATCTGGTGGTAGGGCTCGTTTCAGGGGTGTCTGAGAACTGAAGGTCTGCAAAGAAGAAGAAGAAGGAGCCACAGAATCGAGGGGTCGCTTTTCGTCCTCTTCGACCGCGATCAGTGTCTCGACCACGCGCTCAGGCTCGATCAAGGCCCAATGGTTCTCTCGCTCCTGTCGCAGAGCCTGGCTCATTAAACAGAGCGCCTCTCGTCGTAACATCGGGTCTCGACATTTGGTCGCGCAAAAGTACAGCAACGGGACGATTCCAGGGTCGAACTGCAACAGGAGTTGGACGTTTGGCGACTCGACGCAGTATCCGAGGAAAACCTTGGCGTGGTGGATGATTTCCGCAAAGCCGTCCGTGTACTTGTCGAAGATCATTTGACTGATGCTTAGACAGGTTGCGACCGATATGTAGCATATGTTGCAATAGATCATGAGGTACGAGTATATACATTCCGTGTCTGTGCAGGGCTTGGGACTACCGGAGGCGATCATTTTCGCTTTCCATGCCCGTAGACCGTCCAAGGACGACTGCCAATGTGACATGTAGTATGCCTTGTCTGAGTTGCCATCTTCAATGTTCGGTATGAAATCTGCTATCCTGACGAGTTCGTAGCAGTCGGACACCAGGCTATAGAGCTCGACTCTGGCTTGTTGGAGCTCTGGACTTTTGGCTAACAGGATTCTGCTTATTTCGTCTTCGGCGGCCGACTCGGGCGTCGGAACGTCCCCTAGAGTGGCGATAACGACGGCCTTTCTGAAGATGAATGGAGTGACCACTTGGTGGATCGCTCTGTGTGCGGGTGAGTCATGGCGCAGAGTCCGTGACGCGAGGCTCCGGCTCAAGATGCTGCACGCCTTTTTAAACAGGTAGTGGCCAACCTTGACGTTACGCTGCCGGAACTCCACCCCTGCGAATTGTATGTAGCTCAAGACGACAATACATTCGTCTATGGGACCTATTTCGGCCATTTGTCGAACACTCAAGATGGCTCTGTGATAGTAGCTCAGGGCTTGCCGATGCTCCTTGTTGATGACTTTCGTGAGACCCGCCGAATCAACGGTTGTGAGCGCCAAGTACGGGACGTACTTTATGAGGTAACTCACGGACACAATCGTGTCCCATATGAAGTCGTATGTGTGAGCAAGACACGGGAGCAGCGAGCCCACGAAATTCTCGTCGATGGTTCCAGGCATGTGCAGGACGGTGTCCTGCTCGAAGAACTGAAATGCACGCCGTTCAGGCTCACTGCGTCGTGGTGAAAGCAGAGACACCTCGAGTTGGAAAACTGGCGAGGGCGTCCGGTCCATGACCGGGTCCTCGACGAAGCGAAACTGGCGTGTAAGTGGCCCTGAGCATTCGCGGCCGGATGCCGTGCACCGCCGACATTGTGGTGTTGTTTCGTCACATTTTATTCTGCGGATCCTGGACAATGTTAATGCCAGTCAAAGTCACGGATGTAGAAGTATCGTACTTGCAAGTTGAGCATCCGTTATTGGACTTCTCATGACGCGCTCTTCTGCGAGGTCTGCGGTGCTCAGTCTCCAAGGGCATTCGTCTGTCGCTCAACACTCAATGGAGGATTGGATGGCTCAACACATATGACCGGACCTCCTGCAAGCATATCAGAACATGTGTAAATCGGGACAGTACATGAGACAGGGGTATGTACAGGGACCTCGTAGCCTCCTTTGGCGAATTGTCTGGCGAGGACTTGGCGACGTCGGCAACTCGTCCAAGCGAGAGAAGACGGAAAGGTGTGTCACGTGGGAGCCCATTTAACCACCGATTCTCCATTAGCGCAGCACTAATATCTCCCGGGAAACTATAGCGCGGTCGACCATCATTGGTTACACCGACATACCTGCAACACAATCAATTTTCGAGCTTATCGGTTCGTGACTATTGAGCGAATGTCCAGCCTCGTCAGGGAGCTACAATTAAAACACATCTCTCTATTCACCAGTGCAGGTTTGCTGACGGCTGAAAGAGTCACAGTCCAACTCACCCCGAGACCAAAACAACGGGCTGCTGCTGTCCGACACTGGCCTGTTTCACTGTTGAATGAGTCACATGTGCCAGGCTTAAATTGAGTCTTCAGTCCAGCCACAAGCCCTAAACTCTTTAATACGATTCATACAGAACAAGATGTCACTTCCGCCAGTCTACATTGACGAGGACATCGGTCACGATGACGACACCGCGGTTGGCACCGACGGGGCACCCTACAAGACTCTCGCTCATGCCATGATACAACATCCACCAACCACAGCATCATATCTGACTCGAAAGTCGAAAACTGGCGCTGTTGGCGAGGACGGAGATGAGAGCGCACGCCTCGAATGGAAGGCACCCACTAAATCTGCCATCAAGAAAGCGACGGGTCTTTTCGAGAACTACAAGAAAAAGCAGGCCAAAGCGGCCGAACTTGCCATTCGCGAAAACGCCGAAGCAGTAAAACGCCAGCAAACGCTCGAAGAAGCCAAGAAGATCGTCATCAAAGAAGATGCCAGCCTTCCCAAACCAATTCGCATTCGCCTCGACGACACTGATGAGTCCAAACTCAAGCTCGGCACGGCGGACAGCAAGGGCACCCGCGTCCGTGTGCTAGGCCGCGTACACCACCTCCGCTCCCAGAAAGATGTCATGTTCGTCACGCTGAAAGACGGGTATGGTCAAATGCAGTGCGTCTTCACCGGGGACCTGATCCGCACGTACGCCGCATTGACTCTCACGCTCGAAACGTCTCTTGCCATCCACGGCGAGCTACGCTCCCTCCCGCCCAAAGCGCACGCTCCTCTCGACCGCGAACTCCACGCCGACTTCTTCACCGTGATCGGTGCGGCCGTCGGCGAGAAAGAAGCCATCACCAACAAGGTCCAGGCCGAAGGCGACCCCCAAACGCTTCTCGACAACCGCCACCTCGTGCTCCGCGGCGACAACGCGTCGGCCATCATGAAAGTGCGCGCCGCCGTGACCCGTGCCTTCCGACAGGTGTATCAAGAAGATCGAATCACTGAAGTAACGCCGCCGTCGATGGTGCAGACCCAAGTCGAAGGCGGCGCCACTCTCTTCCAGTTCGACTACTACGGCGAGCCGGCGTACCTGACGCAGTCGTCACAGCTCTACCTCGAAACCTGCATTCCTTCTCTCGGCGACGTCTTCTGCATCTGCCCGTCCTTCCGTGCCGAAAAGTCGCTCACCCGCCGCCACCTGTCCGAGTACATGCACATTGAAGGCGAGCTGGACTTCATCACCTTTGACGACCTGCTCAACCACCTCGAGCACATCATCTGCCGAGTCATCGAGATCACGCTGGCCGACCCGATCATCGCCGGCTACGTGCGCGACCTGAACCCCAACTTCACGCCACCGTCGCGGCCGTTCCGCCGCATGAAGTACGCCGAGGCCATCGAGTGGCTCATCCAGCACGACATCCCCAACGAGGATGGCGAGCCGCACAAGTTCGGAGACGACATCGCCGAGGCCGCCGAGCGCAAGATGACCGACGAACTCAACGTGCCCATCTTCCTGACCCACTTCCCCGTCGAGATCAAGGCCTTTTACATGAAGAAGGACCCCGAGGACCTCAGAGTCACCGAGAGCGTCGACGTGCTCATGCCCGGCGTCGGCGAGATCGTCGGCGGCAGCATGCGTGAAGACAGCTACGAGGAACTCATGGCCGCCTACAAACGCGTCGGCATCGATCCAACCCCGTACTACTGGTACACGGATCAGAGAAGGTACGTCACGTGAACCCTGACTATCCATGCATCGCCCACAAGCATAAACACACACATGTACCCATCGTATCGTATCGTACCACATCCTATCACAGACGGTGACAGCTTGACTAACTTCGAGCGCAACAGATATGGCACATCTCCACACGGCGGCTATGGACTTGGTCTCGAGCGATTCTTGGCCTGGATGTGTGGTCGGTGGACAGTGAGGGAGTGTGCTTTGTATCCTCGCTTCGCGTACCGGTGTACACCGTGATCTAAGCTAGAACCACCTCACTAAGAGTGATCCGTACATGGCCCGGAGAGAGCACAACGCGAGTGACGGGAGCAAGGGAGATCTGATACCGAGAGCGATTGGACACGAATATTGATCGGGATTGGTCGTGGGATGAAAGCACGCATGTCAAGCGACAGCCGAATCGGAAACACATTCAAACGGACCCGTAGCGTTCAACGACAAGAAAGAGAGAATGAGAGATCCTAGATGAGATAGACCGACATGAATCACATGAAAACGTTTGATCCCCAAGTCAAGTAACGTGCATCCAAGAGCCGACATGGCGGTCCAAAAGCGACTTTTGCTAAAAGCTACGATACTTCCATTTTAATACATTCCTCGCCATGCGAAGATTCAAACAAGGCCCGGCATCTCTGTGAGCCAGATTACAGATACTTCTTTGGCATGGTGCTCTTGCGGTACTTATACCACGCCCATGCGCCGATACAGCACGTTTGGAATGCCATGAAACTATATAGGATGAACCCGATCCGTGGCGTGTGTGCCTGAACATACTCCCTCAGTCTTTGCGGCACATGTTCTGTCAAGCCGAGGTGCGTTTGAGAGAGTTGTTCCGAGATCTTTGCAAATTGAGCTTTGTGGTCCGAAGACTTCAACTCGCGCTCTAGGTCGGCGACAACGCGGTCCAGGTTACCAACTCTGGACTCTAGCGATCTTATGCTCTGGTCAGACGGGATGCGGGCAAGGATCTCCTTGTACCGAGCTTCTTCGGCTTGTGTGTGCCTCGTGATTTCGGTGAAGAGGTTTGTTATGGCCTTGGAAAGGAGATTGAGACGATTGTGAAGGTCGGCAAATTGGGCCTCAGAGGTAGTGTAAAACGAGGCTGGGTGGTCGTCCACCTGCGGTATGCTAGCATCCGGATTATTCTGCGCAGGTGGTGGAGGTGAAGACTGCTGCTGCTGTTGTTGTTGTTGTTGTTGTTGTTGTTGTTGTTGTTGTTGCTGCTGCTGCTGCTGCGCTGGCGGAATAGTTGATGCGGGTGCATTGCTGACTGCGAAAGCAAACACTTCAAACGAGTCGGGCGGATCGGCAGACGATGCTGTCAGGCCGAAGTTGTAGGATGACGGTAGAGACACCTTGTCAGTAGCAAAGCATGAACGACCGTCAACCTCAACTTGTAGACCACTGCCCGAAGATCTCACGATAATGTGTGAAGGTCGGCCCAGGTTCCGGTAGATGTAGTCGCAGTGGCCAAAGGCTAGAGAGTCGACGTTGCCATGTGTCTTGTAATTGGTAGAACCGTCATTGAGAAACCCTCGGATCTTCTGTACGCCGCCCACTGTGTCGACAACAATGGCGAGGCCCTCCCACGTTCCCACCGAGTATATGTTCGACGTGCTTACTTGTTTGTCCCCGTCTTGGGCGTACCAGAGCTGGAAATTCCCGCTTCCTCGATCTGTTGCACCGGCTCTGAACTTCAGGTCGACTTGCCAGTCTTGCAGCGAAAGTTTGTTCTCCGACCACAGCGCACCTCGTTTGTTTCCGCCATAAGGAGGTGTTAGGATGACTCGATCGGACAGGAGTTGGGGAACGTGTCCTTCGCCTAGCATGGACCAGCCAGGAATGGCGAAGGAGTTCGGTGACAAGGTGGACTTGTGACCGAAAGACAGATCCTCGACGGGGTTTCGGACATCAAGGTTCTGTGCCAGTGTCGAGACGGTCCAGAGCAAGGACAAGCAGGTCGCGCGTAAAATCATCATCGTGCTGAGGGTGCAAGGGAAAGCACTAGGCGCGTAGTTAGCAAAATACCGAGTATTCAGAGACAAGAACAGTGCCACACAGACAATGTAACAAACAGTATAATGGTCTTAGCTGGAATCTCTTCTGCTGGTCATCCAAGAACGGAATACTGATACAGTGGCCCAGCTAAGGCAGATCGTAATGACGCAGTAGCGAATTTCGCGGGCGAGTTCAAGAGTGACTGGAGCTGGTTCAACAAGGTGCCTGACGTTCAAATTCTGAAAAACGACATGATGCTTGAATCCCTCCAAGACGTCCATCAAATGGTCAAAAGTCCTGGGTCAATTCTCTCTTGCGTACCTACGGAGTAGAGTACAAGGTGTCACTACCGTACCCAAGACATATGCCATCCTGGTGTGGTCGACTATGGAACGACACCAGCTGCGCATATGATTGACCGTACGGAGTATGATTGACCGTATCCAACACGCCTCGTGGCGTTGTGTGGAGGATTTAGTGCATTTTGGGCCTAGTGATTTAGCGCCACGGGTCCTGCACAAATTGGCGCCTCTAACGTGGTTAACTGCGTGAGCCGGTTGCTCGACACCTAAACCACTCGTCGAAACCCAACACCACCTTGGTCGGCCTCCAGGTGATAGCTTCGTCACTCGCAATGGCTGCGGTCCTGTCGACCACACTCAACAGATTTCGGGACAAGACCCCTATTGTCCCGGTACTCCTGGCCACCAATGACTAAAGGAGGACATTGGAACTGACGTTTGTTCGAACAGGAACTTCGACAGCCACGTTCCAAAGGACAGCCTGGAATCAATCAATGGCCGTCATTATTTCAGACAGCTGTAGTGGCCACAGCTCTGAAGATATTGCTTTTCCCAGCCTACAAATCCACAGATTTTGAGGTCCACCGAAATTGGCTGGCTATCACAAACTCCTTGCCCGTCAGGGGTTGGTACTATGAGGTACGATTTGCGATGTCCCCTAACCGCACGGCTCGCGGGGAATTGACAGACATGCAGACAACTTCAGAGTGGACGCTGGACTATCCGCCGGCTTTCGCAGCATTCGAATGGCTCCTCTCGCAGCCAGCGAGAGTGATAGATCCTGCTATGGTACTGATACAGAACCTGAACTACGACTCGTGGGCGACGGTCTGCTTTCAACGATCATCGGTCATCTTCACCGAGCTCCTGCTAGTTTATGCCTTACACAGGTCAGTTATGTCTGTCATGCGTGGAGTCCTTTTGACGCTGATATTTCTAGGTACACGGAGACCTCACCTTTGTCGACTCGACGCCAGAGTCATGCCGTGGCCCTGTCGATCTTACTGTCGCCAGGCCTTTTGATTATCGATCACATCCACTTCCAATACAATGGCTTCCTGTATGGTGTTTTGATTCTCTCCATTGTCCTTGCCCGGAGAGATTCAACCATGCTGTACAGTGGCATCCTCTTTGCTGTCCTTTTATGTTTAAAGCATATCTACCTCTATCTGGCTCCAGCTTACTTTGTGTACCTGGCCCGGGCTTATTGTCTAAGTCCGAAGAGCATGTTTCGTCCTCAGTTTACCAATATCCTCAAGCTGGGAACTAGCATGGTAGTGATCTTCGGGGCAGCTTTCGGTCCATTTGCTGCTTGGGGCCAACTTGACCAGCTCAAAAGCCGACTATTTCCATTTGCGAGAGGCCTCTGTCATGCATACTGGGCACCGAATGCCTGGGCAGTCTATTCTTTCTTGGATCGGGTGCTGATAGTAGCAGCCCCTTACTTGGGTCTTAATGTTGACCAGAAGGCAGTCAACAGTGTTACTCGAGGCCTTGTGGGCGACACCACATTCGCCGTTTTACCAGACATCTCAGCCAGCCAGTGCTTCGCCATCACGCTATCATTTCAGATTATCGCCCTGACAAAGCTGTGGTTCCGTCCTTCTTGGGACTCGTTCGTGGGGTCCATCACCCTCTGCGGATATGCATCGTTCCTTTTCGGCTGGCACGTACATGAGAAGGCCATACTACTTGTCATCATCCCATTCAGTCTCCTGGCCATCAAAGATCGATCATACCTCGCCAGTTTCCGACCTCTCGCAGTGGCAGGCCATGTGTCGTTGTTTCCGCTTTTGTTCACGGCAGCCGAGTTCCCCATCAAGGCCGCCTACACTATATCCTGGCTGATCATCTTCCTCTACGCCTTTGACCAATTGGCCCCGGCACCTTCCAGACGGCGAATTTTCTTCTTGGATCGATTTGCCCTGCTGTATATTGCCGTCTCTGTTCCACTGATGGCATATTGCTCGCTGGTGCACAAAATGGTCTTTGGAGCTAGATACGAATTTTTACCCCTGATGTTTATCAGCACATACTCTGCAGTAGGAGTCATAGGATCGTGGCTGGGATTTATGGTTTGCTATCTGTCATAAAATGGCGGACGCGCGATGCGTTGAAGATCGGTTGGAGACAGGCACCTAGGCTATACAGATAGAGGCTCAAGCGACAGCGCCGGTTCCCGATGTCAAATAGTCCCTCGCGGTGTCTCTCACGTTCTGTTCTAGTCCAAAGCCTGCGATGTGGGCATTTCAAGCATACAAAGTGGACAGTGTACAGTGTCTGGGCACTTTCCCCGATGTGTTGGGGCTCCCGAAGCATTGTCGAGGTTCTCCATCCACGGTATGGAACAAGGTAGTATCGATACGGCCTACCGATAATGGTTCGTTGAACGATAACCGTAGCAGATGGTGCTGTGAAAGTGGTCCCATTGAATTCAGCAGATTTGCGGGAGTCGAACGAGTACCATTATGCCTATGAAAGACTGCAATGTAAGGGATTCGACCAGAGTCGAGTGCTAGTGAGGCCGAGGGGAGGGTAAAGGGGATGATGATTGGACATTTCCGGGCAAGTCTTGGCGATGTTGACCCTTGGCGGGATTGCCGGGGCGCGGCTGAGCTAGTCCACAATGGGTCTAGGGCGCTTATGATGTCTGCCGCTGGACGCTGGTGGTTGTTGGTTGTTCCTGTTCCTGCTGCTGCTGCTCCCGGTGCAGCCATCGCCGAGCCTCGACCCCATGCGTCGGCGGCGTCTCTATCTGAGGCATTTCACAGAGACCAAGGGCATATGAAGCGGCGGAAATGGCTGGCCTGACTGCGGCGTATTGGCCGTGGCCCGCAGACAAACATGCCCGGTGGAAACACCAGCACCATGAAATACTTCCCTCTCGCTCTCTCTCTGCGGAATAATAAAAGGCTCCACATTCGCATCCAACACCCACTCTGCTCCTCCCACTGTCACTGGCTGTTTGCCGCATAACCACCTGTTCTGCACTCACCCTCGTCGGTCTTTGTTCTTTTCCTTCTCTCCTCGTCATGTTTGTCCTTTGCTCTCGATCTGCTCCGTCGCGACCACCACAAGCCGTCTAATCAACACCACCACCCGCCTTTGTCCTCTGCCGGCGACCGGCCTTCCTTCATGACGCGTTTTCCTTGCCCTTTGTAGGTCTCCTCCGCTTGCGCAAACCCGGCGGCCACCGCGTCAGACATGCGAACAGCCAACAACACGTCCCAAAGACTGACAATCGTCCTTGTATAGGTCGCGGCGTGCTTGAATCCCTTCCCGACTCCCATCTACCCGCCGACCCTTCTCATTGCGCCGCCGATCCGCGAATAGCCTCTAGGGGCTAGCTTTCAGGATGGTCTTATTCAAAAGAAAGCCTGTGCGGTACATACCACATCCCTACATTGACGACCAAGAGTGCGATGTCTGGGTTATCTCCGATTCCAACGAAGTATTCGTATCCTACGATGCCTACCTTGAGCGCATGGACTTTTTCAAGTTGAAGAAGTTCACATGCGAAGTGACTGGCCGCTCGGGCCTGAACTTCTTCGACGCCCTCAGAAGTGAACTGGCAGGTTCCAAAGAGATTGACGAAGCATTCCCGCAGGCCCTCCGAGAACCAGTCCTTCGACGGGTGCAGTTCTCCACCACGTCCCGAATTGACAGCCTGGTAGAGGAAGTGTTCAATGAGTTCAAGAACGATTTCTATCCCGGCGAATTGGTGACGGTCATCTTGGACGACTCTTCACGACTTAATGGGCGCGTGCGAGACAAGGCCAAATTCGCCGAGATCAGGAACGTCGACGGTTCAATAGCAAGAAATGCATTTTCGCGGTACTTTGTCAGATTGATCGACCGGCCGGACGAGGAGGCTCTGGTAGACGATCGGCATATCGTCAGAGACCGCAAAGTATTCACAAAGCAGATGTTGCGCTCGTTCATCAAGAATGCAGTCACGCGAGAAGGATGGATTGGCGCTCCGTGGCTTGTCAAGCCAGAAATTGCTGAACGCTTCCGCATAGATACCAACGTCCCTCCGCACCTCCAGCACAGCACCAAGGTCGCAGCGAAGAAGGCTGAAAAGAGAAATTCCAATGTGGAGCAACAAGATGGTATGTTTGGTATCTGGCAGCCCAATAAGTTCCCCGAACTGAAACCTGCTCCCAAAGCACGAAAAGGCCACGGCCATCAACATGCTCATCACGAGCGGACGGTAGATCCTGCAGCACAAGCGTACCACAACTACTACCACCAACTCCCTCCCAATATGCCGCCGCCCATGCCTGATCCAGGCTTGTTACCACGATCCTGGGGTCACATGCAACCACCTCCTCAACCTCATCCAACTTATCCGCCTTATTATGCAGGCTATCCCGCTCCCCATCAGATGGCACCTAATGGACATTACTACCCTACACCAGTACACCCACCTCCCCCTCAGCCCGCTCCGCCAAAACAAGAGATTGTAGTGGAAGTCCCTCCACCTCCGCCACCTATCAAATACCCGATCGAGGATCTTGACGTAGAGCCTGTCCGAGACGGGACTCACCGACCAGCGTTGAAGTTTGTGACGAAAGAGCTGTACTCTGACGAGAAACTGACCAAGGATGTAATTCCTGGACTCAAGGGAGAGAATATTGGACTTCTACTTGAGACCTGGAACACACTGAATGTGTACTGTCAGGTCTTGAAATTAGATTCATTTACATTCGACGACTTTGTGGACGCGATGCAATTCTCCTCGGTGGAAGTGGATTGCGAGCTGTTCGTCGAGGTGCATTGTGCGATCCTCAAACAGCTCGTCAACTCCGAAACGGACGATGAAGGCGCAATTCAAATATCGCTCCCCGACCTACCCGACTCTGACGATGAGGAGGAGGAAGAATCCGAGCAAGAGGAAAGTAAACCACCGACACCGACACCGGAGCCAGAATATCCAGCCAAGAGAACTCGAAGTAGCCTCAACAAGGTGAAGTTTGCTGAACCGGAGCCAGAGCCGGCAGAGGAAGAGGAAGACGAGACCGTTCCACACCGAGCGGCAGAAATGTTCGGCGATTATGGCTGGATCGACAGGCTCCGGAAACGCGATTTCAAGAACGGAGGGTGGGAATTGGTCATGGTTGGCCTTCTTCATCAACTTTCGGGACGACCTCGACTGACCGAGGTGTGCAACAAACTCCTCGCATACCTCGCACCTCTTGACGCTGAACCAACGATTGAGACTGCTCGAATACAATACTCAACCATGGACATCAATCTGCGAGCGGAAGCTTTACAAATCATCTGCCAGCTGTTCCTGGAGACGAAGACGGTGAAAGATTTCCTGGAAGATATGAGCAACACCATGACCCAGTACCGAAAGGCCAAGATTGAGCACCAGCGAGCCCGCAAGGAGGCATTAGCAAGGTTGAAAGAGCTGCAGGTGGAGCGGAAACTACTTGCACCAGAACCTGAAAAGTCGCCCAGTCCTGTACCCGAGTTGGAGGAATCTATGGAAGTAGACAGGGCCGGAGAGGGCGACATGTCTATCCCTGACTCAGAGGATGAGGAGCCCGTCGTGACCCGGTCTCTACGGCGCGGGATCGATCGTGCTGCAGAACGGAAGAGAAAGCGCGAAGAAGAGCAAGAGCGGAAGGAAAAGGCCGCAGAAGCGAAGCAGAACAAGGGCAGCAAGGAGTACCAGAAAGTTCTTAAGCAGATCGAAAAGGAACGAGAAAAGGTACAGGCTGCGGAAGATGCGATCATCGTTGTCGACAGTGATTTGCGAGAGGCCGACTGCCCTAGAACGAGAGTTCTGGGTAAGGACCGGTTCTGCAACCGATATTGGTGGTTTGAACGGAACGCAATGCCGCATGGTGGTCTACCAGACAGTTCAACCGCAGATGCCGGATATGCCAACGGTCGTCTCTGGGTTCAAGGCCCGGATGACATGGAGCGTGAGGGCTTCATCGACATCTCGAAGCAGGAGCAAGAAGGGTACTATCGACGCTTCCAGATGACTCCAGCCGAGCGCAAGTCCATGGAAGAAGGACCGACGAGTTTGGTTAATGCCAAGCAATGGGGCTTCTACGACACCGCCGAAGATCTGGACATGTTGATCGGCTGGCTCGAAAGCCGGGGTGTGAGAGAGGCAAAGCTGCAGAAGGAACTGGCTCTACAACGCGACATCATTATCAAACATATGGAGAAGCGAGCAGAGTACCTCACGCCGCGAGAGAAGTCGGAAGAACCCGTACCAGCACAACCTGCACGCATGTCGACGAGGACCAAGACGTACGTGAGTGACAAGTCACATCGATGTCTGAGGTGGCGGAACACCACGGCCATTGCAGAGCAGGGTTATCGACACGTCGATCCGCCTCCGAAACCACGACCACGCGGGAAGAAGAATTACAGTTATGTCCAGCACGAGGAGAAGAGTGTGCCTGTCTTGAATAAGCAGGGCAAACCTGTCACTAGACAAGGGACGAGATACAACTTTTGAGGTGTACATAACCAGTACCACTGCGACAATGGACTTTTCTTTTCGGGTGGTGTTGTTGCTTTCATGTTTCAAGGTGGAAGATGATGTTACGATTGATTGATTGACTTGCATACGTGCATACACAACAAGTATGGCACGTATGAAATGTACATAAAAAGGGGGGGTGAAGCAAAGAGAAAATGTGTCCGAGGCTGTTTTGCCTCGACTCTTAAGTTTTTTGACTTAGACAGCGTGGCGTTCGGTGGGTGGGTGGTCTGGTGGGTTGTGGATGATCGATTGAGTCTTAAAAACTGGTACAGACAGAACTCGAAATGGGGTGTCGTTGTTGTGGTTGGCGGGTGGTGATGGTGGTGGTGATAGTGTTCAACTTGCATGTGCTGATACACATGGCACTTGTCCAATGTACATACCTACCCAGGTACCTAGTACTTTACCCGTCTCCTTTTTTGAGTTGGAAGAGATTCATCCTCCCAAGGGTGCATGTACGATGAAGAAGAGCGACGAGGAGAAGGGGAAAAAAAACAGAAGAAGCAGTAGTGGGACAAGTAGTCCGAAGTCGAACGAAAAGAAAGCCATGGCTCGTGCTGCGAGGGGTTACAGGTCTCGCAGTCTACATGGGTCTACAGTCGACGGTCGACGGTCTCGACACAGTGGTACAGGTGGTACTTTCAACGTACACTGCCTACCTTGTGTACCTACTGACTGGTATTCACTTGGGTATCAAAAGATCAAAGTAGACAGGTATGCGGTAGTGACTAGTACCAAGGTTGAAAGTGTGAAGACGTAAAGTTCGATCGAGATTGCCGTCGACTGATATCCGCCGACGTCGACAATGCTCTGCAAACCCACCTACATACCTACCTACATATCTACCTACCTACCTACCTACCTACCTACCTACCTACCTACCTACCTACTCGGTACCTAAGGTTGTTGACGATCCAAGTTCTATCCCTGTCAGTTTCGTCTGTTCTAACCTGGTATGAATGACCCACCTATTCTATTCTAGCTTGATACGTACCTTACAATTTATCAGAGGGTCTTCTTCGCCGTGACATGGGGTACCAGGTACTTATAGCAATTGTCGCATTTTGAGTACCTGGGCAGTAAGACACAGGCACTACGGAATAAATGATATCGTTCTTATCAGAGTTCTCTATCCAGGTGGCGGCTGCCAGTTTGGCTTCTTGATAACCAGCTCACAGTTCATCCCTCGCCTTACTGTTGGCTTTGGCTCTCGCTTCGGCCTTCTCCTTCGCCTTGGCCAAGATCTTCGCATTGCCCGGTTTCGTGAGGACGACGTCCTCGCCTCTCTCGCGCAGACCACGTCTCACCATGCTCGTGAGGATCTCGTACGCGACCTGCGCACCCGCGAGAGCCGTGGCTTCACCCATGCCGTCGTAAGCGGGTGCAACTTCGACCACGTCCGCGCCGACGACGTTGAGGCCCTCGATGCCTCTCAAGATGGCGATCAGCTCGCGCGTCGTCCAGCCACCGGGTTCGGGCGTGCCGGTGCCAGGTGCTAGACCGGGGTCGATGACGTCGATGTCGACGCTGAGGTAGACGGGGGTCTCGGTCCCCATGCGTTCCATGATGAGTTCGATAATGCCCGACACGCCGACGGCGTCAATGTCGTCGGCCTCGATGCGCAAAAAGCCCTGGCGCTCGTCGTTGTCGTAGTCGGCCCATTCGTTGCCCGAGAGGCGGGTGCGAAGACCGGCATGGACCGAGGACCCGTTGGCGATCAACCCTTCCTCAGACGCGACCCAGAACATGGTCCCGTGCGTGAAGTCGGCCTGCGTGGGGGTATTGGCCCAGACGGACGGGTACGCACCCGGGTGCCATGTGTCGAGGTGCGCGTCGAAGTGGAGAACGGCGATGGGTCGGCCGTGGATCTTTCCAAGGGCGCGCAGGGCCGCGAGGGCGATGCTGTGGTCGCCGCCGAGGGAGATGAGCTTGGGATGCGTGTGCGACGGTGGGTTGGTGTAGGAGAGTGGTCGACGAGAGATGAGTTCAGTGTATGCCGTGGTCATTTGGTGCAGGGCTAGAGCGTTGTCGAAGGGTGTGATGGGGATATCACCGCAGTCGAGAACTGATGCCCATGATTGATATGGGTTCATGCCCGCGCGGTGGTTGAAGCCTCGGTAGGAGATTTGACGAGCTGATGCAGCACGGATCGCGCGTGGACCGAACCGGGCGCCTTGGGTAATCTTGTGTCAGTTATGGATACAGAGAGCCAGCACTTCGAGTGTGCGATGGAGAGTCACAATTTCGCAGGGATCGTTAAACGATCGAAACAGAAACCTGTGTTGGCATGACCCAATGAGGCTTGATAGGTACTCACCAGGTCTATAACTGACGGCCGTATCAAAGGGGGCTCCGATGATCCCAATATCGAAAGGCTCGTATGGTGTCGTGAGGCATTTGACATGCTTGAGGTGGGCGAATGTCGAGATACCAGAGAACGACCACTATATATATCGAGATAGGCACTTAACATCATGCATATATGTCTTCTACTCTCCATCCGAGGAACCAACTTCTTGGTGACCATTTTTCCAACATGCATGGAAGATGGGAAGACGGAGAAACACTTACATCGGAGTCCCATTTTGCCTTCAACTCGTCGAGCGGAATCTCCGTCTCGGGTCGAATTTCGACCTCGGGGTTATCATAGAACGACGCACTGCTGTACGGGAGAAGAGCGGCGAGGCAGAAGCAGCATGAGGACAGTGATAAGGATGAGAAGCGCATCTTGTCGGGCAGGATGGACGAGACAGATGTCGTCGTCAACCTCAAGCTGGACACGATGTGGGGTTCGAATATAAACGTATATATATGGGTATGTAAGAAAGATTCTCCAGCGATATCTCTTGTATCGAGAAGACGGAGGAGTAATGAATACAAACGAGTGAGCACCTACAACAAGAGAAATATCTCTATCTTTGTACGAGTATCATTGGCACAATGGGGCCCAGCCGATTCTGTTGTGTCATTCGGTGGGCGTAAACGTAAACGGGTTGATTGTGGACGGAGGCGAGAGGAAGATGCAGAAGAGAGACGAAAAGAGAAGGAGTCAGCGAGACCAACAAAGAGCCCGGAACCATCGGCGGGAATCTCCGGGATCACGTGCATTGCTTACTAAGAACTCACCTCACTGAGTTTCTCCCTCTCTGCGGAACAGCGACAGGTTCTTAGGGGACTGCATACGGAGCCAGTTACTCGATTGGTTCTGGGCTAGACAGACACGCGTTGGTATTTACTTCGAGCCCTCTACGCCCTTCTGCTACATCCCCTGCGTCAGCGGTGATTGGCCAGACGATGCGATGCGATGCGCAGAGTGGTGGTGACTGGACTGGGAGCTGTTACGCCCTTGGGAGTTGGTATGTAAGCTGATTCAATCTTCTCCCTCTGGACCGACCTCCTATTCAGCCCTTTGGCTCGAGTCGCCAGTGGCTGACCCAGTCATCAATCAACAGGTGTCCGTCAGACATGGAAACGTCTCATCAACGGTGACTGCGGCATCGTCTCAACCAGACACCTCGGGGACGAATTTAAGACCATCCCAAGCCAAGTGGCGGGCTTAGTACCCGTCCACTCTTCGCTGGGAGGGTCATGGCATGCCAAAGACCACGTCACGCCCACAGTAAGACCCCGAGACTCAACTTGATCCTGAGTGACCCTTTCGTTGGTTGCCAGGACGGTGCTGAACGGGAATGAATGTCCCTAGGAACTCAGACAAACGGCAAGATTCGCACAGTACGGCCTGGCGGCATCAGCTGAAGCGCTCAAAGATGCCGGATTCGAAGCTGGAAAAGGTCTTGATCCCGAAATGACCGGCGTCTGCCTTGGATCTGGAATCGGCAATCTCGAAGAGCTTTATGATACCACTGTAGCTTATGCACAAGAAGTGAGTCAACCCACAGCTCACCCCCCTAGACACGCACGCACAAACTCCACGCCCCGTGCCTATACCTATACCTATATCTATACCTATTCCTCTATGGTTCTCTCCCCGTAGAGTGCACGACTAACAGAAGGACTTTTGTTTATTAATGGCGCAACAGAAAAACTACCGCAGAATCCACCCCCTTTTCGTCCCACGTCTACTCATCAACCTCGGAGCAGGCCACATATCGATGCGCTATGGCCTCCAGGGCCCCAACCACGCCGTGACAACGGCATGTACGACGGGCGCTCACTCCCTGGGCGACGCTTCCCGGTTCATCAAGGCAGGCGAGGCGGATGTCATGATCGCCGGCGGCGCCGAAGCCTGCATCCATCCACTTGCCATAGGCGGCTTCGCGAGATCACGGAGTCTGGCGACCGTGTTCAACGACGAGCCTCAGAAGTCTTCGAGACCGTTTGATAAGGACCGAGCCGGGTTCGTGATCGGCGAAGGCGCCGCGTGCGTTGTGCTAGAGGTCAGTTAGCCAGCCACCACAACGTCACCACAACTAAATATCCAGTCTCTGACTCGTTATTTCCTAGGAACTCGAACACGCCAAGGCTAGAGGTGCCCGTATTTACGCTGAACTCGTGGGCTACGGCAACTCCGCAGACGCTCATCACCTGACCGCGCCGCGAGAAGACGGGAGAGGGCCACTCCTCGCCATGAAGAAAGCTCTTCGTCAGGCCCAAATCCCTCCGTCGGCTGTGGATTACATCAACGCCCACGCGACCTCGACGCCACTGGGAGACGCCGCCGAGAACAAAGCAATCGAGACTCTTATGCTCGGCGAACACGGGAGGTACAGTTCGGCAGAGATCACTCTTAGCAGCACAAAGGGTGCCATTGGCCATCTTTTAGGTGCTGCGGGAGCCGTGGAGGCTCTGTTCACTATTCTAACTGTACAAGAGGTATGCACTTCCAATCCAATCCCTGACCCTTTTCCAATGCGTGGTATTTGCATAAATGTAGCCTCATCATACCGAGTCGGTCAATTTGTTAACATTCATCTTCATCATAAAAGAACGTCATTCCTCCAACGATAAACCTCGCCTCGCCCGAAAAAGGCTTCAATTGCAACTATGTTGCCAATGTCGCCCAACAGGCAAATGTACAAGTTGCCCTTACCAATAGTTTTGGCTTCGGTGGGACAAATGCTACCCTTTGCTTCAAGAAATGGAGCTAGGCATCGAACCCCAACGACACGATATATAGCGTAGTCAGGGATTTTTGGTGTGGAATCTTCCATATACAAAAGTGGCTGTAATTCCACCCAACAACTCCGTGTATTTGATAGGAGTATCATCCGCGCTGCATCGTGAGCGCCGAAAGATAACCGGAGAGAAAATACCCGCTGGAGAGACGATGTGCGCAAAAAGCGGTTCTGCCCTTTCATGGACATCAGTTTCCGCATGGCATGGCTCCCTTGCTGTTGAGTGGTATGCTGGACATTTGCGTAAACCCTCTCCTCGATCCTCATACTTGTATACTTGTACAAGATACTGGTGCAGTCTGTCGGAGGGACTTCAGTCGAAGAATCGCACCGGTGTTCCATAATCATTCGGAGTAATGACCGCTGAAGACCGCTTCTGTCCGATTCTGGATCACTTTGTGTAAGCTCGTGATTTGCTCCAAATGTCTCTCAGGACACATCGATGGATGTCTTTCGAGGCGTAGCTCGGAGACCTGGCTGGGCCATGCCAACTCCGGTCGGGGCAGATGAGGCGCTGAGTGATTGTGGGAAGGATTCATTTGTTGCAGATCCAGGAATCGTGATTCGTGCAGAATCGGCCGGAACACTGAATAAGCCGGCACCTCTATTCCCGCTCATTGCATTGGAAAGCTGCTCTCGGAACCGAACCATTTGATACAGTCGCTTTCTTGGTATCAAAGGTTGTGTAACCAGTGGTTGTGGGTTAGCCAAGCTCCTTGCTATAGCCGACATGACCGCATCTTTTTCCTCGTCAGAATCAACCGGTCCAGCCAGCGCAGGATCAATGTCGTCGTCCAGGAGGGCTGGTGCATTGGCATCGATGGCCGCTTCTATAACACATGCATGTCAGTAGCCTCCACATCACAAAGACACTGCCACCACTTACTCTGCTGTCGAGCCTGATTCTTCTTCTGATATGCCGCCAGCAACATATCATAAGGTAAGCTTCTGCCCGGTACCGCCCGCTTAGCACCCATACTGTGGGATTTGCAGGTAAGACTCCTCGCGCACTGCGCACCGTTCGGCAAAGTGACACCGCACTGCTTCTCAACATCTACAGGCCCTTTGGGCTTGGGTGCCTTAGCCTTGGCCTCTTCCTTTTTGGTCTTCTTCTTTTTCGGCTCCTTGTCATCATCCCCTTCGGCCTTCCGCTTTTTGCTCTTCTTATCATCTTCTGCGTTTGCTTTGCGATCGCCACCCTTGGAATCATCGTCGTCATCATCGTCGTCATCCGCCCTTTCGGCTCGCTCTTTAGCTCTCTGGGCGGCTTCGCGCGCCTCTTTCTTCTTTCGCGCCTTCTCTTGTTTGGTCTTGAGACATAAAGCAACGTGACCTCTGGCCGTACGCTTGAGGATCACTTTCTTGCAATGCTTACAAACCAGCGTCTCGAGAGGCTCTTGTTTGCCGTTGGGAAAGTTGGCCATGGTCTCTTCGTCAAATTTTGGGACGTCTGGGGAAGGGGCTTGAGAACCGCCATTTTTAACGCCTGTGTATCTCGTGTCAGCGATTGTACGGCCGCACCTGTGCAGAACATCATCATTATACCGTTCGTCTCTTTCTCCTTCTTGATTTGGGCGGTGGATTTCAGCTTCTTCTTTCCCAACTTTCTATCGGCTTTACTGAAGTCGTAGCCGGAGGCGGCGACGAGGCTGCTCATCTTGCAAGTGGCAGATGAGTCCGGGGAAAACGATAGCGGACTGTGGTGACAGATATGATGATACGGTCCGCATCTGTGATGAACCAGTAAATAGTGTGGACCATGCGTCTGTTCTTACGAAGTGCAACGATTCGGGACGTAAATTCAAACAATCCTGATACTCTGCAACATGACAGGCAACCACAGTAGACTGTCCGCCACTTGCTTCGACGCAGGGTTCGATGCGCGCATTCAATCAATGATTTGTAACTTGCGGACCATTTGGTGTATAACACGCGACTAAGGGCGCAGGGAGCCTCGTCGAACTTTCCCCACGGGAAATGGGACATACCCAGGTAGGAAACTCTAGCGATACATACACGTGACTCGGCTCTATCTTTGCTAGAGACGAGATGGAGTGGAGAGGCACTCCCATACTCCCTATACTCCCTGGTACTTGAGGATTTTATCTGGCAAATTATCGCATCCATAGGTCAATTGCGTTGCAAGATTATTTCTGCATATTTTCACCTGCCACCGCAACGAGATTGCCATATTTCAATGTGTTTAATGTTGCGGCAAATTGCAGCTCGGAGGGGGACACGGTAAGGATCATGGCAGACTGGGCCTTGTTCGTCACTAAAAAGTGGCTACGCAAGATCATGGTCAATGGTGAAGATCTGAAAGGGGTGCGAGCCTGGCCTAAAGCTCGGGCCCGAATAACCTCTTTCAGCGCAAAAAGATCCGTGTTGATCTGGCGTCCCTGCTGCCGTTCCAGCAAAGTCTGCTTTGGTGCGGCCACGGATACATCATTCCCTCGGTCGAAATATTCGGATCCAGCAAGGTCTACGAAGACAAACTTGCCCCCAAGACACGGATATTGTCGAGCCTCGAAGTATTCAGCAACTGCATCCTCGGCTGCCTTCAAACGATTCTCATATTCTGTCTTCTCAGCCTCCGCCGCGTCGATGCGTTCTTGGTTGAGTGGAATCTCCGGATCGGGAACGAGTTTGCCTTCGGGCGTGCGGATCAGTGTCTTTTTGTGCTCTTCCAGGTAGATGTCTGTCGCCCGCTTACCGACTGGGACGAGCTCAGATTCTCGCTCAATGACAGCGTTGCGCAACTCTAGCGATGCTTTGTTTATTATCTCAAGCTCGAGAACGGCATGTGTACGTGAACTGTCGTCGTGTATCGAGGATGACCCGGTCTTTCTCATTCCTAGCCGGGCCAGGAAAACGGTTCGGAGCTCCGCAAACGACCAACATGGCCTGGCGATGACCGGGCGGACTCTGACTTTTCCGTTCTCCAACACTTCAGTCTGGCCTCGAATGTATGTCCGCCCATCGGCGCCTTCACGAACGTGGCATTCCATGCCCTTGTTCAAGAGGTCATATGCACATTTGCCCCGGACTTCGTAGAGACGGACAGCCACACCTAACAGCTCTTTGTTGGCCTGTCTATCATTTCTGTTCATGTGTATTTCCACGTTGATCTTCTCAATCACATGGAAGAGATTGTGTGCTGCCGAGAGACACAAGCCAAGTTGCTGGTCGTCCTCGTAGTCATATCCAATGATTGTGTGCGTTTTCCCACTGCCTGAATGTCCGTAGGCGAAGATATTGCAGGTACCTCCGTCCATGACTTGGGGAAACATTGGTGTGACTACGTCCGTAAAAACACCGCTGTTGGTTGCGTTCGCTGGAAAGACTTGCGCGAAGGAAGCTCCACTCTTCCAGGTCCGGCATCGATTGGAACTCAGCTGTGATGAGAGAGTTATACATTGCTTTGCTCCTTGCTGGGAGACGCTACGCTCCATCTCCGGTGCAGACGATTCACCTTCACTTGTAGGTCTCCATCGAACATAGACCTTGAAATACAGTGAGGGACGCTGTTGAGAAGCCATGAAGGACCGTGGATGCTCTGGGAGTCACATCACGGCTGCTTCTTGAAACGAGTGTACGTAACTCCAGCGTGGTGTGCCTTCTGTAAGTACCTTTATAGTTGATGTATTGTGTGAAGTTTACCTTGCGCCACCATCACAGAAAGGGGTTCTGCCTGTTTGCGAGGAGTGGAGCCTTTGCTTGGCACCACAAGGCTGGGCGAGTGCACATGGTGCTGATTGATTATCTGCATAGACGATTACGAGCCTTGGGCACGCAGTCTCCTGAGTGTGCTGCTTCCTGCAACAGTGTCGAGGGTGACAGTTGAATCAATCAATTAACACCGGCCATCAAGTCAAAGGGCGGGATAGGATGGAAGATCGTAGCCTATAACTACCTAGTTCACTCTAGCTCCAAGTTACGAAACTCTGATGTTCGTACAAAGGTCTGTACTACCGTATATATCTGCGGTTATCACCGTAACCCCAGGGAACAATTAAGTCTACTGCCGTTTCCACCAAACTAACAACCCGAGGCAAAGCGGCCAAATACGAATACGTGAGTTCTCCAGGCGACTCACAGCCTTGTGTTTCCTATTTGTCGGCTCGCAGAGTGACGAACAAGCCGACGGACATCAACAAGCGACGCGATCTTGCGACCATGACTACAAAGACCGTAGCCAAGCAGCCCTGGGAAGAGCGGGTTAAAATACCCAGAAAGGTTCGAGATGATTCGGTCGCGCGTGTTGATCCCCCTCTACAAGGCTTGCCCGATAAGCTTCCGCAGAACTCGCAGGGGCTTGCCCAGGCCGTCTTGACTCCGCGAGAACTCGAGATAACAGGAAAGTCTGCCATTGAACTCCTAGAAAAGCTCCAAAGTCGAGAGCTCTCGTCGGAAGAAGTTACAAGGGCCTTTCTGCGACGAGCAGCGCTTGCCCAGCACGCCACTAACTGTTTGACCGAGCTGCTCTGGGACGAGGCCATTGAGCGAGCACGATACCTTGACTCTTTACCGGAACCTGTTGGACCCCTTCACGGATTACCCATTAGTACCAAGGAGCATCATGGTTCAAAGTCCAAGAATGGTGTTGCCAACGCCTCCTACGTCTATTGGATCGGAAAGCCTCAAGGATCCATCCTGCTTTATGACATTTTGTATGACGCCGGCTGTGTTTACTTCGCCAGAACCACACAGCCGCAGACCATCATGCACCTCGAGACAGAGTCCAACATCTATGGCAGGACAGTCAACCCGTACAACCGGAACCTGACTCCTGGAGGCAGCAGTGGAGGCGAGTCGGCATTGATTGGCTTCCGGGGTAGTGTACTCGGTGTCGGAGGTGATATCGGTGGCAGTATTCGATGTCCAGCTGCGCACACTGGCATCTATGGTTTCAAGTATGACGGCTTCCTTCGGCAAATATTGCCTGACTGCCTGGCTGACATCTCAATAGACCGACTACGAAGCGTCTTCCATCGAGTGGACAAAGAACCCACATGATAGGCAAGGAAACTATCGGCTCGACACTAGGCCCCATGGCTACAGACAGAGACTCACTGGAGCTGTTCATGAAAGTCGCCTTAGCTGCGAAGCCGTGGAGGCTAGACCCCGGCCTGACCGCGAAAGTATGGACTCCGTACCACTTTACGAAGCCCCTGAAAATTGCTGTACAGTGGTGGGATGGCGTTGTCAAGCCCCATCCTCCGATGCTACGAGCCTTGAAGGAAGTATCCGAAGCATGCAAGGCTGCAGGCATGGAAGTAGTAGAGTGGGACTGCACGAAATTAGACCACAAAAAGGGGTGGGATATCACTGCTGGGCTCTACTGGCCTGATGGAGGGGCTGAGGTCCTGGGTATGATTGAGGAGGCTGGCGAACCAATCTTGCCTCTGACCAAGTTCATCATCCATGAACAACCGACAGCGAAGAACTACAACATGCACGAGTTGTGGCAGGTAAGTTTCTCTCCGTCATCCCGCTTTCTCGACTTGTACGGCTAACACCTTTCAGCTTGTCGCCGAAAGAGACGCTTACCGAGAGCGTTATGCTCGGGCCTGGACAGACACAGGTAAGGATGATGGGCGAGAAGTGGACGTTATTCTCTGCCCGCCGTCCTTTGGTGCAGCAACACCTCACGAACAGTCACGATACTGGGGCTATACTTCGAATTGGAATCTCCTGGACTACCCTGGCGTCGTGTTCCCCGTCACTACCGTTGACCAGGAGAAGGACAAGAAGGATGTCGACTATGTGCCGAAGAATGCAGAAGATAAATTTGTGTACGAGATGTACTCCCCTGAGAAGTACTTGGACGCCCCGGTCAATCTACAGATCATCGGACGGAGAAGCTATGATGAGAAGGTCCTTGCTGCATTGGTAGAGATCGAGAAGGCCTTGGGCAGGAAATAGAGATAGAATGACAATGCGAATTGGTCGCGGTACATAGCATGATATGCTGACTAAGACTTCACACGTGACCGTGACTTTTGTGAATCGTGCCTCATGCGGCAGACCCAAAGACAAAGTCGCAGCCTTCCAAACAAAAGCGTTTCCCTTGTTTCCACAATCCTCAAAAGTTCGGTATCTTCAAAGAGTATTTCACACAAAGAGCCATCCTTCTCTGACTTTTTCCACTGTTCGGTGTCTCCTCGTCTTGGGTTTCTTTCTGCCTCCTGCTTCATAGCCGCGCCATCTCCGCTCTCCTGCCTCCTACCATGCCTTGAACACGTCGCCATACATCTACACACTCAAAAGATGGACTATCACGTAGACCCAGATTCCCTAATCGCGCGCGTTGGCGGACAGTGGGCTGGCCCCGATCTCCAACGCGAGTTTCAAGCGGAGGTGGCAGATCTACTGGGCCGCAGAAACAGAAACTTTCCTGGCGCCCAACCGGTATCGTTCGCCGCGAAACACATTGCAGAACTGAAAAGAGAGGACTACTACGTGTGTGAAAAGACGGATGGCATGCGCTACCTGATGTATCTCAGTCGAGACGGCGATCGAGACATCCACTACCTGATCGACCGGAAGAACGATTACTACTATGTCCCTGGCCTGCACTTTCCTCACCACGAAGACCCTACCTTCAAACGCTTTCACACTGAGACCATCCTCGATGGCGAACTGGTCGAAGACACCTACCCAGACCGACCGCCGGAGGTCAAGTTTTTGGTCTTTGACTGCCTTGTCCTTGACGGCAACAGCATGATGCACAGACCTCTGGACAAGCGCCTCGCCTACTGCAAATCGTTCGTGATCAAGCCTTATCAGGCAATGGTAAAGCAGGATCCATCAATTCACCAACCTTTCGTCATCGAAGACAAATCTACCGAGTTCAGCTATGCTTTGGAAAAGATGTTCAAAGACATCATCCCCCGGGTCAAGAAGCTACATGGAAACGACGGCCTGATCTTCACGTGTAAAAACACACCGTACAAGTTTGGTACGGACGAGCACATTCTTAAGTGGAAACCTCCGGAGGAAAATACGGTTGACTTTCTGATGCACATCGAGTGGGCCACCTGTGAACCTGACCCCGAAGACCCCGATCAATCTCCCCAAAACGACTACGACGCCTTCCCAGCACGGTTCGGTCTATACATCTTCCACGGTAATGGAGGAGACTACGCGCATGTCGGCGACTTGTACGTGCTGCAGTCCGAGTGGGATGAATGGAAACGACGCCGGAAACCTTTGCAGGATAGTATCGTCGAGTGCTACCAAGAAGATCTTACGAAAGACATGCCGGGCAGCGACTCATCGGATGGGATGAACGGCACGAAGGCACATGCAAACGGCTCGGGCCAGACGAAGCAGTGGCGGTTCCATAGATTTCGTGATGACAAAGTAGAGGCCAACCACGTCAGCACTTTCCAAAGCGTCATCGAGTCTATTGAGGACCACATCACGGAAGAAGATCTGCTCGCGAATGCCTATGATATTCGCACGGCGTGGAAATTGCGGAATGCCGAGCAGGAAAAGAGACAAGCACCTCCCGCTGCCAGACCAGGAGGGAAGTGAGTGTTGAAGACGGAAAGCGAGGAAATCGAGAATGCTGGCGTCATAATCATTATCATAGTTCTTCTCATTTCGGATTTTGAGCGATTCGGGTATGGAATGGTTGTCGCAGCATGGGCAAGGGATCGGGGCACCGGACACCGGACACCGGACAACGAACTTCAGGCGGAGTGAAAGGGAAAAGGATTTTTGTTTCCCTAGGTTTGATATCATTTTCTTGAGCAAGGCGTCGACGAGATAGGATTAACTGGTAAGGAACAGCATTCAGGGGGTTGAGGAGAGGATGGATTTCAAGGTAGAAATGGAAACATCGATGACAATGAAAATGGTGAGGGGAATGGTAGAAGGGATGGGAATGTATGTGTACTGCAGTTTAATTACTGCAACGAGGGTTTCGAATGGCAGAGGCGAAACAAAAATGTACCAGCAAAATGCCAATATGATACCCATTTGATCGTTCCGTGGTGTTGCTTTTTGATCAGTACTAGTTCTTTTCTCCTCGTTGCATATCTTGTTCTGTTTTTGGCGGGAGGAGAAATATAGCATTATCATGCTCGCTGGTGAAAGGGGGGATTCCTCATGTTTCTACGTATCTCGTACTCGTTGTCACACTCCGCATACCCACGTACACCTACACCAACGTAGGGAGGAAAGTACCTAGGCAGAGAGGTAAGTACGTACCCAACCAAGGGTGGTCCGGTACGTATGTACATATTGTATATCTCTGCGGATGGATACCTCGTTGTTCAATTAACAACCATCAAGAAAACCTAAAGTCGGAATTCATCCAGTCCTGCTGCTGCTGCTGCTGCTGATCCCCTCCAGCTCCGCCCCCAATCGCCATCCACTGATCCAGGAAGGCCCAGTCGATGTCCATATCCATATCCAAAGTCACGTTCATGGGGTTCATGCTTGCGGTTGCGGTTGCGGTCGTCGTCGCGGTGTTCATGTACGGATTTGTATCGGCATTCGCATTTGTATCCATATCGGCACTCGAATCCGCATTCGTATCCGTCGTCGTCGACATCGCCGTCGCCGTCGTCATGAACGTGTCTGTGCCGTTGGACGCCGAAGAAGATACACCGCCACCGCCGCTATCCCCTGTGGTACCCATGGCGGCGTATCCACCTGCCCCAGACATACCTGTACCACTGCCATTACCTTGTGACGCCGTCCGTCCCGAGACCGTCGGCGTTTGGAAAGGAAGTTGGAACGGGAAGCCGTGGGTGACGGGATTACAATCTAATTGCCAGTCGTCTGCGGATTTGGTGCCTTGCTGGTGTTGGCGTTGCTGCCGCGACACACTCTCGTTCAGCGACAACGGCGTGAGATTGAACTCGTGGACATCGACAAACACGTCTTGTTGCCGCCCCTGCCGGCCCTGTTGATGATGATGTAACCGAGGCCACTCTCCAACCACAGGTTCTTTTCTCGAGTGATCCGTCGAGAGAAACCGGCAACGATCGCCCGATACCTTCTGCGTCGTAGCGGGATCCGAGCCTGCACTCACACTCGGTTGTTCGCGTCTCGACTGGTTCTGGTCTAATGTGCTGTCCAAGTAGTTGCTTCTATTCGTCGCCGGACCTACACCGTCAAGCACGACTCTGAGGACGTCCGCGACGCGTTTCGCCTCTCGACTCGTCGGGCTCAACTCGACGGTGATGTTGAACGCTGAACGCAGCAGGACCCAAACGTCTCTCATGCGCGGATCGGCGTCGTCAGTCTCGATGTTTCCCCCCGGGTGGCGCTTCTTCCATATGCTGACGGCCAGGCACAGCACGATGCTCGCGAGGTAGAAGTCGTTCATGGTGAAGCTGCTCAGCATCCACCTGGCGTCGTGCAGCTGGCCGCCGGGCTTGAACTCCTTGTGCATGTCGAGCATGCGTCTCGCGATGGCGACGGCGGCGTCGACGCACGCCGCGATGCTCTCCGGGTACCGGTCCTCGCCTGTCACGGGGTCGGTCACGGTCATGTACTTCCTGTGCAGCACGCAGAGGGACTTTTGGAACAGGAACTCGCAGTTCAGCCGCACCATGACCAGGTACGCCGGGTCGGCGAACGACTGGCTCATGGGCCGGATGCGGAGGATGTCGGGCACCGTGGCGTGGACGGCGCGCACCTCGCGGTCCAGGGCCATGACGTCGGCCTGGCTCGCGTCGCGGAACGACAACGCGTGCGCCGTCACCTTGCCGAAGCTGGTCATCAGCCGCGACTTGACGATGAAGTAGAGAATCTGCGTCGCCTCGTTCTCGGGCCGGCTGGGCGGGAGTTCGGTCGTGGACACGTTGAAGTCGGCGTCGAGCAGGTTGCGCGGGTCCTGCGTGTCCCAGCTGCCCGGCGGGATCTGGTTCGGCAGGCCCAGCTGGAACGACAGCATCAGGTCGAACTGCCGCAGCATGGCCCAGACGCGGCGCCGCATCTCTCCGTCGAACACGCTGAAGCTCGACGCAAAGTGGCTGCTGTCGCGGTGATACCCCGCCCGGTACGCCTGGCGGACGAGCACCGCCCAGATCAGCGCCGTCTCGCCCGACGGGTCGAGCGTCTGGATGTACACACACTGCGTGTAGAGGGCAAACGCCTCGATGCTGAAGCGCTTTAGTCGCGTCAGACCGCCCAGTCGCAGGCACTGACGGCTCGCGCTGAGAAATGTCGCGCGCGCCGACCGCTGCCCATCCGGCGTACGAGGCTCGAGGCCCATGGCCTCGGACAGCGTCGCAGACATGCAACATATGCTGAAAAGGATGCTTAGCCAGAACGGCGATGTGTCGACGGGGTCGGCGGCCCAGAACGCTTCGTACTGCCGTTGAAACTCCCACGTGTGGATGAACGGGATCACCATGTATGTGCTGTTGAAGTAGGTTGAGAGACGCCTGTCGACTTGTTCGCGCCGAGGTAGACAGGTCGAGATGATGTGGGAAAGCGTGGTTCCGGACGGGGCCGCGAAGAGGGTTTCTTCTTCTTCTCCCTCCTCCTCCTCCAGCTCCGGCGGGTCGCGATCGAAAGTGGTGGTGTCCTCGACACCGTCGTCGGGCTGACTGCTCCCACCTTCGCCGCCACCACTGCTGGAGACGGATACATGGGTCTCTTCCGACCCAGGGCTGACATGTAGTGCCGATTTGAGTTCTTGGATATTTTGCAGGATCGCCGACCAGTGCGTCGAGCCCATGTAGCGGGACTCGTCAGCGGTTTCGATGTGGAATTGCCCTTCTCTGGCGATGCTGGCATTCGTACTTACGGTCGCGGTCGCGTCGGAGCGAATCGTGCTTTGATTGGGGCGAGGCTGAGATGGGCGGCCGCCTTTGTCGACAATTTGCATGACGAGCTGTTCGAGATGACGAAGCCGCTCTTGGGCTTTGCCACGATTATTGTTGGCGCCGTTGGCGCCGCTCGTGCTGCTGAAGTCGGGTTTTGATGGCACGAGGCCGGCTTTACCGTACGTGCAGCTTTCCACGTCCCCCTTTCTGATGCATGTTTCGCAAGGGTGGCCACGGTTACATTTCAGCTTTTTCGATCTGCACGGCGCACACGATAGCGGTTGTCTGTTGCGCTTGTTGATGCCTCCGCTGGTCGAAAATTCAAGATTCGCGCGAAATTTGCCCGTGAGGGCTGAGAATTCTGTGGCCATTGTGAATGGGATACGACACTGGCCGACGCGAGGCGGAGTCAACCTGTCGACGTTGGCGCTGATGAGCGAAGCAAGACCAAGATGATCTGGCGAGGTAGTTCAATGTCGGGCCAGGCATCCCATGCCGCCGCGTGGGTTTTGTTCCCGTCACAAATGTAGGCGACGCTTCGATGGTGCCGAGATACGATACTGCTGCAGGAAGAAATGTGGCTCCTGTGTTTGTAACATGTACCCCAGATAACGGCATCCTACAGTCGTCTCTAGTGTCCTCGTGGGGATGATCTCTTCGACGCAGCGTAGAGTGGTTGAGACAACGATGTGGAATCAGGCGACAAAATACTCTTAGTCAGCAACCCACGCTCTCCACACGTTAACAGGAATGGCACACAAGACAGAGAATCAGAGATTTAAACTATCAGCATTTGGGTCCATTGCAGATTCTCTCATTGTGCTATATCTAGTCACAGAGCGAAGGACAGCTCAGGCACCACCGTGTAAACCAAAGACTATTCGCGGGCTAAATCACAACTCCTTTGTACACCCTGGCTTGAGTCCCTCGTAGATGACACTCAGCTCATCCCACAGTCTCTCCGCTGTTTTGTCGCCTTCCTTGCTCTTGACAAACGGACTGTAGGGCTTGACCTGACACTCGCTCAGATATTGACCGTGGGTTTCTTTGCCGGCCGTGCCACCGTGGACCAGAGTTCTTGCACCGTGCTCGCTGGAGCGAGCCACGCGTGACAAAACGAGCCTCGTCGCTGCTGGAGCGTCCCGGAAGAGATTCGTATTGCACAGTCCTGGAGCGACGTTGTTGATCACGACCAATGGTTTGCCGATAGGATCAGCCTCAGCCGAGGCCGTGAGCACTTTCGCAAACCGTTTGACCAGGAGCATGACTGGGAGTTTGCTGAGGAAGTACCGTTCCCGCATATTCGCCTTCTGGGAGTCCGAGAGCGTTTTGAGGATTTGCCCGTCGGGAGGAGTGGTAAGATCTCGAGCATTCGCCCAGAAGTGGACGGCCGATCCAGTCACGGACAGCACAGGGGCAATGTTGTGTTTGGCGGCCGATTGACGCAAAGTCGGGATCAGTAAGGTCGCAAGGAGAAAGGTCGAAATCACATTCACGGTTATTGTACTCTCATACCCCTCGGACAAGGAGAATTTGTGAAGTTCTACCCCGGCATTGAGAATAGCGGCGTCCAACCGGGGAAGGTCTCTGAACTTTTCGGCGCAAGCGACGACACTTGCAAAGGAGCCGAGATCCAGCTCAAGGAGGGCGAACTGTGGCTTTCGTCCGTTGCCACTGGATGTTGCTTCAATGATCTTCCTGGCCTCTTCCCCTTTGGCCAATGTGCGGCATACCAGCACGATGGTGCTGCAGTTGAGTTGCACCAACTGTTTGGCGGCTTCCAGGCCGAGTCCGGAATTCGCACCGGTGATTGCAATGGTGCGGCCAGCCAGGTCGACCTTGGGTAACGGGGGCGTCTGAAACTGGCCTCGGAAGAATTGTATAACACCGACCATCTTGCTTGAAACTTGACAGAATATTGTTAAGTTGAGGGAAATAGATGCGCACCTGGACCAGGGCTTGATCGCAAGTTGGATTGAACGGGCAAGTTGCCGTAGACGGTGGCCTCCATCATTTTATATCCCACCGCATAGATAACTGTGATCATAGTCCAGTGATTTCCAAGCCTGGCTTGATATATAGCTTTACAGAATCTCGGCGGCTGAATAGCTGTATGAGGACAGCTCCATGTCCGTCATCGTCCGCGAACTGCAACTATTATCTCCGGAGACCGGATGGGGAAATTTGGTACCTCCAGGTGGGCCTAACTGCCAACGTCCGAAGTACCTGGCCATTCCCATCCTCGAGGAAGCTCATCTGATCTAGATCTTGTGAATCGCTGCTGCCTGGGATTGATTTTGCTCGCCAACTCTTCAACTGCGCTGGAGACTTGTTTAGATACATTCCATACCTATTCACCAGCACATAACAATTCTTGCGCAACTTTCGCATCTTTCCGACATCCAACAACCCTGCATTCGTCGAATTGAGGTGCTGCAGTCTGCCCATTTGAAGACACTCTGGCTGGTAGCATCAGTCTTTCGACTGCCTCTCAAGGAGCCATACGGCGTCTTCATTGTAGTTTACCAAGGCCGGCCTGACTTGCTCTCCGAACCGTGAATCTAGGAGTGGTGCAAGAAGAGTAAAAGCTCTATCTGCATTGTCGTCGGAAACCCGAACGTTGTTCAAGATGGAGACAAATAGCCCAGTCAAGGCACCCAGGAGTTGCACGTTTGAAGATCTCGAAGTGGTATCGACAGAATATCTGGAGACACCGCCGTCCCCCGGCTCGCCGCTGACTCTCAGGGCGAGACTTTGTTCAGAGGATACCATTGAGTTGTTCAGTTGCACGTTTCCTCCTGTGTGAGGAAATCGTCCCGTCTTCAATGCAGATAGAGACTCGTAGGTTTGGCGAAAGAGTGCCTCAGCATCTGAGAATATCTCGTCGATCCTGCTCGACATGAAATTCCCGGCGGCCTGGCAGATGATGGCAATGGTATCAGCTGCGGCCTGGATCGTGTATGGCATATCATGCATGGACTTGTCCTTGCTAGATACTAGTCGGGGTACGACTGCAGGCCAAACAGCATTGACGAGGGGCAGGAACGAATTCTCATCCTTTTCTAGTAGAAGACACAAGTCTTGGAGTAATGCCAGAAGAGTAAGCCGTACCTTTGCCGAAGGAGACGAGAGATGCGGTCCTGCTGCTTGGCCAATATTGAGAAGAAGTTGATGGGCTTTTGACACAGCAGCTCCGTTGCTCTTGTCAGCAGGTGCAGGTGGCTCCTCTTCTGCGCCCTCGCCCTCGCCTTCATGCTGTGGGTCATCGTCCTCTACATGATTGTCTGTATTTGTACTTGACCATGGCCGATGTGGCGCCGATGTTATTTGCTCGTGCTCATCGTCAGTCTTGCTTTTGCGCTCTTTCCTTGCTTGTAAGTCGTTTATGATGTCCTCAAATGTAGACGTATTGGATTGGGTTATTCGCTGATCCTTAGGAGGAGTTCCAGAATCGATTGCAAGAAGCTCGGGCTGTTTCGTGCTCTCCTCCACTACCAGCTTTAGGATCTCGAACAACTGTTCGACAAGCGCAGGGTATCCGTGAAAGTTGTCTAATGCCCCGAAGATGCTACCGATCAGATCATCGAGGTAAGGTAACACTTTGGCGCCGCATAATCTGATCATCATCGAAAGAACCTGAAGGCCTTCGCGCGACACATCGAACAAGTTCAATCGTAGGGCGAGAGCATTAATGAGGTAGTCAACATTCTCGATGAGCAGCTCGGATACTGACGCATAATCACAAGCCGTGGCTAGTAGATTCAACGTAGTCATTGCGTGTTGCTGAAGCATAGGGTTTCGAGATCCGAGCAGAGTCAACACCGGGAACAATGTCTCCACCAATTCTGGTCTGTACGAGCTGCCGAGCTGTGTTGCTTGCAAGACGAGAGCTTCGAGTGAGAATGCAATTAGCCGCCAGTCGGCCTTATCGATGTTGTATGACTCAGAGGACTCTAGAAGCCAAGGTAAAGTCATTGCATAGAGGTCGGAGATCAGGAACGGACGGGAAAGAGACAAATCTGAAGGGGATGATTCACCCATGATGAAGTCGTCCATATCGATGAGCTGTCCAGCTCGCCCCTGGACGAAGCGCAACGCGAGCCACGTGGCTGAAAGACTGCGATTGTTGTCAGGATCCTGGATATGATCTATCAAGCTGCGCGTTACAGCCTTGGCGGACTGATGGTCTTTGAGAGCTTCGATAAGCTTGTTGATTGCTTGTGTAGAACCTCGCTGGCTCTGATGATTCAACACTACCGGCGCAAAAGTCCTCTCGGCCTGCCTTGCATTTGGAATGAGATCAGCACCGGAAGAATATGGCGCCTCGTTCACCAAACTGGACTTTGTTGATGTAGAAGCAATCGCTGCGGATATTCCGTCGACCAATATAGATCCAATGGCGGCATTCAGCTCGTACATCGAATCTGATACGTCCGTCAAAGCCAGAAATGAAGTCGCGACTTGGTCCAGCATATGCTGCTTCGGTCTATCATCATTCCCCTGCATTACCCGGGGTAGTGCCTGGCTCCAATCGTAGAATTTTGCTTTCAAAACGTCCAAGACATCTTGCCTTGATATCATGATATGTCTAAGCGCTGCGTTCGCCTCTGAAGACTCTGAAAATCTGCAGAGGACAACTAATGTCTCCACAATCAGAGGCAGCGATCGTGCTAGAGTCTGCGGACAGTCTTCGATAATGGTGAGGCAGAGATCAAGAAGAGCCTTTGACACTTCAGGACTGTCGTGCGTTCGGAGTTTAATCACCTGCACCAAGGCTATGTCAATCTGCGGTACGGTGGCCTCAAGCCATGCTTCGTCAAGAATGATAGTATCGTCGTTTGTTCTACCGACCATGTCTATGCTCGTGGAGGACACAGCACTATCGGCAAGGACCTTTTTCAGAAGGATTGTCAGAAGATTCAGGTATGCCACGAGAACTTTTCTCGTTCGACGAGCTTCAGTACTCGGTCTTAACACTTTGACTAGCGTAGACACAGTGCGCGGTAGAAGGCTCGCAAGCAAGGGCCGATCTGTGATGGAGTTGACAAGTTGAAACAATGCCTGGGCAGCACTTCTTTGAACCATATCTGACGGGGCATCTGCCATGGACTCGAGCAATTGATAAACGAGTTGGTCCACAATGCGTCTCTCACCGGGCCCTTCGAGGACATCTGCTCCGGATTTGCTCAACTGTAGGATAAGATCCGACATACAATCAAAAGCCGCTACCTTAAGCTCATCCGTAGCAGGTTCACTGTGTTGGCCAGCCGAGGGGGAGACTAACAATCCCATCAGAATTAGCAATTGCTTGCCCATTTCTGGCGCTATCTTGTCTCGCCATCCTTGAGACACCAGAATGTGAACGCATTTAACCGTCAGTTCGAGGACCGATGAAGGGAATTGTCTCGACTGGTTGAATATGTGCGTCAGTGGGAAAAAGGCATATTCCGCCAGTTTCGCATCCAGCAAGTTTTCATTGCCGAGGGATTGCAATGCCTGATAGACCGGTTCGAGAGCGAGCAGCACGGCTTTGGCTGATACCTGATTCGCTTTGAACTTCAATGCAGTCGAGCTGAGCTCGACGCACGGTGCGCGTAGCTAGGACAGGTGTCAGTGTAAAGTCATCGAGGCAACATACTGAACAGCATACGCGTAGAAAAGCCTGCTGCCTTATTTGAGCCATGACTGCATCATGTCACCGTATGATCAGCGGTGTAATGAATATTCTCCAGAGTCAACAAAGGAGACCATCATGACTCGGGAGCATCATTTGGTTTCTGTTACAGGGGATTGTTTGGTTTCAGTGAAGGCATCAAATCTGAGAAACCATGACGATAAATCGGAACCAATGAGCCACGATCATGTCTGTGGCTGAAGAAGGTGGCTGAGGGCTGTTTGTGGCTGCAGCGCCTCAGCAAAGTGTCCTTCACTTGGAGTACCTTGTATCCAAGGTACTCACGAAGTCAATCTGCACAAGACAACGCAGTGAAGAACAGACCATGTAGTTTATCGAGACTGGGCGATGGCTTCAGCTCCTCCATACGAATTCCCTGTTTAGTATTTTATTTTGCCTTGGGGCCCAAGAGAATGCGATAAATATCCACTGATCACACTTTGCAGATACTGCCGCATTATTCGAACAAGGGGCGGACTGGAGAGGTCTTCGTCCGTGAGTGGGAAGATTAACTGATTAAGTTGAGACGACTGCATGCAACAATCTGATAGCTCTACGAGCCGAAAGGCGAATACCGCACTATCTGAACGATGAGGGACGATGGGACAGGGTAGCTGGGCAGTTTCATGTTGAAATAGTAGCTATTCAGTGCTTCATCAGGGCGTGCGGCGCCTGAACTCGAACGAGACCATCATTGACACTGTTCAAAGACATCTGTATTCAATAGACCATGTCAGGAGCCGATAGAAGATTAAGCGCTCCATTCTCGCGTGCAATTACTTGTCAACTTGTCAGCTTGTGGATGATCAAATCGAATCATGACCTTGGGCCGTGTCGCGAATCCTGGCACACAGTCAAGGAGTGACTTGAGCGGAAGGTCGCAGACTGTGGGACTGGGTGCATGTCTGATCACAGTCACCACACAAGGCTGGGGGAAGCTGCCTTTAATCAAACCGTCTGATTGAGACGGCACACAGGTGTGAGTCCCGTCACACGTCTCTTTTCCATGAAACAGCGGATCTCGGCAGCAGTTGTGTTCTGTACCTGGCCACAAAGGCTGGCATGGTGATGACGTTTGCGGGTAGGAAAAAAGCAAGTAGTTGTCAAATCCACCCGTCTCAGCTGATGCTGGATTGCACTATTCGAGAATGGGCTGGTCCGTGGTTCAGTACAGGTTATTGTATACCAGGATCCAAAATTTAACTTCCATCTCCATTTCGTAGGGTAGTCATCTGCGTGAACTTTACTGGACAGTGGACGGAGGTAGTGCCAATCAAACCTCTGTGATGTGATGATGAGGCACCTTTGTCCGGCCAGAAAATCGTACCAGGGGCAACAACACGGGCCACTGCCTCTAACCGGTTTCCTGAGTGGACCGAGTACAAGCGTGAAGAATTTGGCAGCTTGACGTCGATGTGGGATGGACAAGCTGCAGCTGCCCGCTCTTCCGCTCTTCCACTCTTCATTTCCGCCACAAGCACCAGCCTGAGCGTGCGTCAAGCCTGTTGTTAGCTTGCGTGAGGAGCGGATTTTGCTAGCGGTAGGTTCCTTTGTCGCCTCGAGTTCGATTCCTCCTCAACGTTGGAGCTGGAATGGGACAGCGCACCTAAGGAGTAGGTCAACAGGAAGACATTAGCCTCTGAGCGTGCCAGCCAGTTGGAGCAGTACAAGTACTCGGCTCCAGAACCCCATATGCGTATTGCAGGTACGACGACTACAATAGTCGGTGCATCCCCACCGAGTCTTCCATCCTGAAAACGTCATGTATCGACCGGTGTTTATTGTATGTTCCTGCAGGTCCAACGTTCTTTAGGTCGTGTGGTAGGCAGCTCTGCCAGACGCTGCTACCAGCGAAAGGTCTGGTCCCTGTAACGCGACCATCTTGGGGATGCGGTGTGGCCATCTTGCTGTGCTGTCACTCTCGATCAGCTCTTGTCCGTACCACTCAACTATGATTTGCACGATGCAGCGGAGGGAGTAGCCACTAGCCATGGTCTGCCGAGCGCCCGAAGCAGGATTCCGTCCTGACAGTGTACGTGATGGGGGGCCGATCCTTGAGGCGGACTCGCTGGTGAATAGCTGTGGGCCTGTGGCTGTCTGTTCAGCTCGCGACGAGCCACGCTAGATCGGGCTGGGGAATGAAAGGACCAGTCTTACGGCCTGGATTTCACTCGCCTGCGCTGTAGCTTGCAAACGACGACCAGGGTGGTTCCCAGGCGACCGAGATGTGGCTGAAAAATGGAGAAGCGACCAGGGGGTAATTGGCGTCGCTGTGCCGCCGCTCGACATCATGATTTCCCCGATCCTGAGCCTGTCCGACAATAGCTTGACGAAGCTATTGCATGTCGGGCTGGGAACTGGCTCTGGAAGTGGAGGAGGACTGGGAAGAGGCTGACAAGGACGAGGACGAGGACGAGGACGAGCGCGGATACCTGCGAGCAGTTGGTTGAACTAGTTGGCAGCAATGGCAGCAATGGCAGCAATAGCCGCAATATTCAACAGCGGCCGTGGTGGTGACGATGCATTCATTTACTGCCAGCTCTTCCACTTTCGACTTCAGGGTCGTCTCACTCTCGCCTTCTATCTCGCTTTGTTACCAGGACACACACACATACACAACACGTACACGAGGTCCCACTTTCCCTGTCACTCCTGCTTGTGCCTTTGGTACCTGGATCTTGACTGCCCTGATCGTCTCCGTCACAAACTCCTCATAAACCCTTCCCCGTCACTCTGCGCATCGACCACTTCTTAACATCACTCTTCTCAGCCTCTGGCCCCTGGTCGTCCAACTTCTCGCATCCTGCCTCCCAATTCCACCTCCAGTACCGTGCATCTTAGTACAGTACCATTACCACTCGCAACCCTTCATCAATCATGAAGACCTTCGTCGCTGCCGCCGTCCTCGTTGGCGTCGTCGCGGCCCAATCTCTCTCGGATCTTCCACCATGTGGTGTAAGTAGTCTTCACTGAGCGTTGGCTCGCTTCCGTCCTGCCGGAGTTTTATTGACGCGACGCTGCCAGCAAACCTGCATCAACAACATGCTCGGACTCGCAGGATCCTTGGGCTGCCCCGATGTCAACGGTTCCCCTGATGTCGCTTGTCTATGCAAGAATCAGAACTTTGGCTATGGCATTCGCGACTGCGCAACTCAAGCCTGTCCTGGCGGTACCGATCTGACTCAAATCATTGCCTTTGGTAACAGCTACTGTGCCTCGGGTAAGTTCTGTTTTTGACATCGTTTGAAATGTGATGGACTCTAATCGTGGCATAGTTGCTTCCACTGTCTCCGGTTCTCTCGCCGCCACCTCTGCTCTGACTGCGTCTGGTACTGCTACTGGCCCTGCTGGATCTGCAAGTGGTGTTTCGACCTTGTCTGGCGGTGGTGCTGGCGGCTCCGGTTCTGCCACTGCGACTGCGACTGGAAGTGGAAGTGCAACTGAATCTGGCTCTGGTGGTGCTGGGGTTTCTTCCACACCGGTCTCGACCGAGACGCTCTTCAGCACTTTCACCACCGATGGAAGCACAATTACGAGCGCAATTGGAACTTCGACCATCTTTAGTGCCATTGGTGGTGCAGCAGTACGTCAATCCATTCCAAAGAAAAGAAAACTCACCGCTGACTTGCTTTCAGGGCTCGGCCGCTTCCGGTGCATCCAGCGCTGCCTCCGGTGCGTCGTCAGGTGCTTCGTCTGTTGCATCTGGCGCGAGCGCTTCAGCCTCTTCACTCGCTTCATCCCTTTCCTCTAAAGCCGCCTCCGCTTCCTCTGCTGCCTCAGGAGCCGCTGCATCTGCCTCGTCCTCTGCAGCTTCGGTCGCCAGCTCCGTTTCTTCTCATCTTTCAAGTGCAACACACTCAGCCGGTTCTGCAGCCGGATCCGCAGCTGGCTCAGCTACCTCGGCCGCTGGCTCTGCTGCCTCATCCGCCGGTTCTGCCGCTTCGTCTGCCGCAGGCAACCCTGCGCCCATGGTCACTGTGGCTGCTAATGGGCTCGCTGGCATCGCTGGTCTTGCCGCTGTCATGCTGTTGTAAAGAGAAGAAACAACACACCTGATGTCACAGAGTGAGAGACTCGGATGACCTTTTCGAATTTGCTTGCAAAAATCACTGTTGATACCCACATCCACATGGAGCGGCATGGCATTCACGTTTTCAGGCGTGACTGGGGACAATCAGCGAAGGCGACACAAACTGGCTGAACCATCCATGATCATTGCAAATGCCAACTAATGCTTTATGATGTACGGATTACTTGCATCTTACCCACGAGCAAAAAGCATGCAGCTTTCTGCGTTAATAGGCTCAAGACTGGGCTGAATAGCTAATATGAGACATCAAATCGATGGTCACAACGAACCGTCCTTCCGTTCAAATACTATGTTCTAGCCGTCAGTGATTAGCTTCGGGTTCCCAGCTATGCCGAAGCGAGCCGCTTAAGGATCAGTTCGCCAATCGTGATGACCCAGTGGGTGGCCCATACCGTGTAATGAGGGATACTTGATGGTCAGGGCAACCTTAGAAAGGCAGACTTGTGAGTTCTCCTGCTTGTTCATGATAAGGTACTCAGGAGGCACGTCTCGGCTATGTAGAAGTAAACCTGAGGATCTCGCTGCACCAGGTTAATCCGCATGATGGTATATCGTGGCCTTCCAGAACCTGAATGGGCGACTGAGGGGCCAATTTACTTTAATTGGCTGCGTCATTTAACCACCGCGCTCCCGCGCGTCGAAGGCGTCGAGACGCGACTCTGATCTTGAAGTGCTTGCCTCTGCTGCGTACAATGAAGACAGGAATTCACAAGCAGCCACATCCTATCTGAATGCAACTGATACAGAAGGCTGTTGCTACCTTGACACAAGCCGCCTCTTCTACTCCGATCCGGTTTGGCCCATGCTTTGTCTCCCTGGGAATTCATCTGCAAAAGAGTCTTCTGCAACACAGGCCATTTCAGGCTTTGGCGAGATATTCTCCGCTCTACAACGCCTACAAGATGCCACAGGCAAGGCAATCGACGCTTGGGTTTGCTGCTCCCAACCAGAGGACATGGCGAAGATGCTAATCTCTTTCAGCAAGTTTCTTGGAAACAACCAGAACGGCACTAAGACAAAATCCCAATCCACCCTGTCGTTCGGTCACAATCCGGCGACGAAGAAGACCGAAATAGCTTCTGACGATGATGCGCTGCCTGTCGAGGAGGGGAAGACCCCTACGTCGGATGTTGAGATGAAAGACGACCAAACAATTACTTCACCCCTGGAGACTATTGAGAATTCAAAAGGAAGGCACAAGCGAACGGCTTCCAGTGACAGAAAAGAAGTGGAGGAAGATTCGGACGAAGAGCCTGTTGTTAGGAAGAGAAGGCGAACGTCGGCATCAAGATCAACATCCAGAGATTCAAGAAAGAAATCACCGAGCCGAACGAGAGCACCGACTTTGAATGGGAAGGCTTCCATAGTCATCGCAAAGAAGGCCAATGCTACCCCCGTTGAGGAAGACGCAGAGGTTTCAGACAAAGGTAGTCTCGCGTCTGAGCCCGAGGATGCCTCTTCCGCGAGCGAAAGCGAAGATCCCAAGGTGAATAAAAAACAGGTAGAAAAGATACAAGCCACGATCAGATCTACCGGCAAGGACCCTTATCCGGACTGGAAGGCTGGTGACCCTGTGCCATACGCAGCCCTTTGCACGACCTTCTCTTTGATTGAGCTAACGACGAAGCGTCTACAAATCACGGCGTATTGCTCGGCATTCCTTCAACAGGTCCTGCGACTAACACCTCAAGATCTTCTTCCGACGATACAGCTGATGCTGAACAAACTTGCTGCCGACTATGCTGGTATAGAACTCGGTATCGGCGAATCTCTGATTATGAAGGCCATTGGAGAGAGTTCTGGTCGGTCACTCGCTGTGATCAAGTCGGATCATCAGAAGATTGGTGATTTAGGACTGGTTGCTGCGAAGAGCAAGTCCAAACAAGGTCAAATGTTCAAGCCAAAGCCACTCACTGTTCGAGGTGTCCACCAGGGCCTACTCGACATTGCTAAGATGGAAGGGCACGGTTCGCAAGATCAGAAAGTTCGAGCCATCAACAAACTGATGGCTGCGGCCGATGTATCCTCGTCGAGCAAGACCGTGGATATAACCAAAGATAAAGGTGGACCTTCAGAAGCAAAGTTTCTCGTCCGGTTCTTGGAGGGAAAGTTGAGACTCGGTCTCGCAGAGAAGACGGTGATCGTTGCTCTAGCACAGGCCGTGGTTACTCATGAGATCGCACTGAACGGCAAGGTGCCTAGTACAGAACAGCTCGCAAAAGGAGAAGCCGAGCTGAAGACTGTGTACAGCGAACTTCCCTCTTATGAAGTCATTATCCCAGCAATGCTTGAACACGGAATTTTCAACCTTCACGAAAGCTGCAAATTGCAGCCTGGAGTACCGCTCAAACCAATGCTTGCGAAGCCAACCAAGTCCATTACTGAAGTGCTTGACCGTTTCGAGGGAAAGAATTTTACTTGTGAATACAAGTACGACGGTGAGCGAGCACAAATACATTATGTGGCTCCTGAAGCGATGTCGGAATTCCCCGCAGCTGCAAATACTCTATCAAAGGATCCAAAGCATTTCAAAGGACTGGCCGCTATCTTCTCAAGAAACTCGGAAGACCTGTCAAAGAAATACCCTGACATCCTCGAGAAATTGAACACCTGGATCAAGCCAACGACGAAGAGTTTTGTTCTTGATTGTGAGACGGTCGCATGGGACCCGCAGAACAAGAAGGTTTTGCCGTTTCAGCAATTGATGACTCGAAAACGAAAGGATGTGAAAACGTCAGAAGTTACAGTCAAGGTCTGCGTCTTCGCATTCGATATGCTGTTCTACAATGGTGAGCCCCTTGTCAAAAAGACATTCCGCGAACGACGTGAGTTGCTGCACCACGCATTTGATCCGCTCGAAGGGGAATTTGCGTACGCACAATACGGCGATGCCAAGGACATTGACGAAATCCAGCACCTTCTGGATGATTCAGTGAAAGCATCCTGCGAAGGTCTCATGGTCAAAATGCTTGACACAGAAGAGTCAGGCTATGAGCCGAGCAAACGCTCCCGCAATTGGCTTAAAGTCAAGAAGGACTACCTCAATGGCGTGGGTGACTCGCTTGATCTGGTCGTCCTGGGGGCGTACCATGGCAAAGGAAAACGTACCTCTTGGTTCGGAGCCTTCCTTCTGGCTGCATGGAATCCAGAAACCCAAATGTTTGAGACGGTATGCAATATTGGGACTGGGTTTTCTGAAGCAGTCTTGGAAGAGTTCCACAAAGACCTCTCCGAGATCATCATCGAGCGCCCAAAGCCGTTCTACTCCCATTCAAGCGTCAAAAATGACCAACCGGATGTGTGGTTCGAGCCTCGCTTTGTGTGGGAAGTCAAAACTGCAGATCTTACCTTGAGTCCTCGGTATCGGGCAGCGATCGATGAGATGGGTGGCAAGAATGGAATCAGTTTGAGGTTCCCTCGATTCATCCAAAAGCGCGAAGACAAAAAGCCAGAGGATGCCACTACCTCAGTTGCCATTGCTGAAATGTACCGAAAACAGGAAGTTGTCGCGAAGGAGAGTAAGAGCAAGGGGGTTGACGATGATTTCGAATATTGAAATTATGCTTGAACATCGTTGAGACCGGCCTGGAGGATCAACGCAGAGTTCAGAAAGCAGATGAATAGCAGACATATCACGAGTTGTGTTGAGCAGTGAAGGACCCTATTGCCGCCAATTCAATATCAAGCAGTACGCAGCGAGTAAATACCTACTCTTACATACTACAGTACAACATACGGAGTACATCGTACGGATACCGAGGTACCCACTACTCACTGCCTTGCCAGAGCATAAAGCAGCATTGGATTCGGGCTGACACGTGATGGGCAATTCCAGTGACATGTTGACGCTTGATCCTCGTTACGGCCCCTCTTCACTTGATAACCACGCGGACTCGTGCAGTGCCCAGTTCACCGACCTCAGTTGGGTGCTCAATCTGACCCACAAACGTGCTGCTATGATTTGAAAACGTTGTACTGCGTCAGAGTGGCTTGAGGTGCATATTACCCCTTTCATCCCCGCGTCTCATCCGCACCTGGGCCTCGTCTTGACCTCATCATTCACATCGCCAGCATGGACCTCGCGTACGACCTCATTACCGAACAAGAATTCAACCCTCACGATCGCGCCGCGACCCCTACTCCATCGACCTCCGGTGCCACGCAACCAGGCGGAGGCGAGCCTGCGACGCCGAAAGCGACACTGCAGACGGAGTTTCAGGAGACGTTCAAGGCATTCAGCAACTCGGCATGGGGTGCTCGACTGGGCGGTATCTGGGGCAATGTCAGAAAACAGGGAGAGAGCGTATATGAGGAGGCACGCAAAGAGGCGGCCGAAATGGCCAATGAGGTTGGATCGTTAAGAACAAAAGTGGTTGGCCTTGCGTCCAATGCCCCCAGACTTTCTGTCTCGTTGTCTGATGAGGAGGCCGCGGGAGCGAACGTGGACAAGGCCGGCAAACAGGGCCCAGAAGGTGAACAGAGCAGCGAGGACAAAGACAGAGCCACTCAAGAGACGGAGACGTTCCTGGAACGCTTCAAGCACGAGGCTGCGAAACGGCTGAAGGAGGTGCAACATGCCGAAGACGCCGCAGACGAGGCGTTGCTGCGGTTTGGCACAAACATCCGCAACTTCTTGAGGGACGCGGTGAGCGTGACGGCGCCGGAAGAGGGCGAAGACGGACACGGACAGCCTGGCGAGGTGCTCTTCGAGAGTAGGGATCAGAGTGGCCGCAGGGTGATCCACACCAGTCGGTTCGATGCACAGTTGCACGTCATTCACACCACGCTGGAGAGCTTCACACGGGATCCCAGTACTAGTGGCGGTCAGTGGGAGGAGTTTAAGAACGGGTTTGACACCGGAAGTCCGGAAACCACCGGCAGGATTGCAGCGGATCTGGACAAGTATCCTGAGTTGAGACGCAGCATGGAAAAGGTCGTGCCGGAACAAGTGGAGTACAAGGACTTCTGGCCCCGGTATTACTTCCTGAGGCACGTGGTCGAGGTGCAAGAAGAGAAGAGGAGGGAGTTGCTGAAAGGTATGTTTGCGCCGTTTTCCTGCCTCATCACGGGGGTTTTGCTACCCCCTTTTTCAGTTCCTCAAAGTATTTACTGACTCGGTGGTCTCTTTTTGTAACAGCATCGGCAAACGAAACCGAAGAAGTCAGCTGGGATGAGGACTCTGATGACGACCAAGCAGAGAGGCAACCCAAGACACAAGCAACACAGCCCGAGGCACCGAAGGTCCTCGTCGCCCAGAACACGAACGACAGTTCGACCACGCTGCATCAGACGCCCCCCGCCCACGATACAGGGTCATTGAAGCCAGACGGCTCCGGGCGCCGCTCACACGACGAGAAGTCCGTGGCGGACAGCGACGCCAGCTATGACCTTGTCAGTGGAGCCACGAGTCGTGCGCCAGGGAGTCCCAAGGAGGAAGTGGGCGGAGGAGCAAAGGGTGCTGGTATCGGTGCTGACAGGATCGACGAGAGTGACGAGGAGGATTGGGAGTAACGCGGCTGGCCTGGTGATGTCAACGTGTCTTAATCGGACGCATGGGTTTGTGCGATCGATGTACTTGTTTTTTTTTTTTTTGATATCGTGTACCTCTTAGTGGTCTTTTGGCACAGTTGGCGAAAAGGGGGCGTTCGTTGAAGGGCCGTAAAGCGGCATTTGTAGGGCACCAACAACGGACGCACGCACGCCTATGGAGTATAGGTAGTTAGATTTTAGTGGTTTGTATTTTTGATACCCCCTCTTCTTTTTGAACTTGTCCACGGAGTTCCAGGCCTTGAGGCTGTCGATTGTCTTGGTTTCCTGAGTACGAGAGGAGCTGCACCGTAAGTTGGTGGAGGAGGTAATCCCTCCCTCCCTCCCTCCCTCCCTACCTACCTACCTACCTAGCACCTACTGTTAAGTCGGTAGTACGTCTCGACCTCCCGCGACGACGAGTCTGACGTGGAGACAACCCCTGTTGTCTGCGTATCCAACAGTACTGAGACGGTTTGGATTGGATTCAAATACTCTGGAATTCTCATCGACTTTCCATTCTTCTACATTATGCCAGCAGGACCGAGCAGACATTAAAGGTACATTATTCTGTTCTTCGAGACTCATATAAGCCTCCAGAGGTTGGCTCAATCAACGCTGTAGTCAAACCTCCCAAATCCTGCATTCTGTACGATCCGCTGGAACAATAAACCACCTTTTGATTCCAGCCACACACCCAGAAACAAACACCAATATCTCTGTACACTTTCATATTGATGCGAAAGCTTCCTTTGTCCTTGCTTACCGATGTGCGCGTTTCTTGCAAGCGTGCCTCTTCAACCAATCTTTGAATCGATCCAAGACTTTCCGCTTCTTGAACGCAAAGTCAGTCATGGGAACAGTATCGCAAAGCAACGATTGAGAATTATCAAACGACTTCCGATTGTTGAAATGTACCTGTGGACCGAATTTAACTTCAGTGTGGCGAGCTGTGCTACCTCGAGTACCCAATACTCCGGAAGATCTCGTCAAACCACTGCGTAAGCTATGCAGGTCGAACCGTTTTCTCATGACATGATTCGATTGCCGCGCAGAGCTGTTATCAGAGAAAAAGCTCTGAGCTTGCCGCAGTGGTGGCCGACTGATTGGCAATGTGTCAGGCAGTCGGAGTGTTAGATCAAGATTGGAAGAGGTCAGCGGAGGCCCAAATTCAGGAGGTGCCAACTGAGGAACCGAACCCGACCGTGGCAGCTGCGAGCTCATACGCGTACTGTTCAGTGGATTCGTGATGCTTGTGTTGCTCCGATGAGTACGCACGCTTCGGACTGAAGCCTTCCTCACGATGTCAATGCTCTTCTTCACAGGCTCCGGCATGGCAGCAAGCATAGTGCTCCATCTTTTGGGAGCCGAAGAGGAGAGCACAACACTTGCACTTGTTGTGGTAGTGGGCGGTTGAGCAATCACCGACTCGCCACTCAATTCGGCATATCCAGCCACTGGAGACTTCATGCTGACGTCCTCAGGTGACTCAGTAGTTTCCCATTCATCGTCTGGTACAGCATCGATTGGTTGCTGTGACTTTTGGCCACCAGTTGGCGCTAAGTCAAGAGAGGATGATTTCCTCTTGACTTTAAGTAAGATCCGAGCGCGGCGACGACGATGACAGTCTTGCTTTGAGACGAGGTCACTCTTTCGTCTTCGACTGTTTGGCGATGGCCTGGGTGGACTCAAACTAATGCTGAGATCGTGCATGTGGTTCGTCGACTCCGTCGTACTGGTTGTCATGTCAGAGATCCTTCTGATCTTGAACTTGTTCACGGGAGGGTCCGAGTCAACGTCTGCAAGGTCTCCAGAAGTCAGTGAGATCTTGGCAGGTGACTTGGGAGGGCCAATTTCGCTGGACGAAGGAAGAGTCTGCCAGCCAAAGGAGAGTTCTCTGGTCAACGGCCTGGAACTGGTATCAGAAGGAAGCTCTCTATCAAAGGTCTGCGTAGTCGGTGGAAGTATAGGCTTGGGAGTCATGGTTAAATCCATACTGGCAAAAAGTCGTCGAGGCATCAGTCTTCGTCTCTCGGAGCGGGTAAGACTTGTTGAAAGTTGGCAAGAGCTGGACGTTGTTGGTCTCAAAGATGGATTTGATGTGACCGGGGAGAGGATTGTTGGCGTTTTCAGCTCGCTGCTCGCTTTGCCAGCTCCGACGACGTCGAAAGGTTCCCTCTCGTCGCCTGATGTCAATGGGCTATCCGGCTCTTTCCCCAGCCCCAGGCACTCGATATGGTGGTCTAAAAGCGATTCTACTGTTGATTTGTCATGGATTGTGATATTAGTAGCATTGCCAGTGACCTTGAGATCGGAACTATAGGCACAATCTTGATGCTGTTCACTTGGTCCGTCGATAGTGGATTGGCTGTTGCGTTCAGAGTCTGTGGGAATGGCCGATGCAGCCTCGAGGCTCTGAAGGTCAGGCTGCTCATTTACAGCACTGAGCCTGGCGAAAGTCTTGATCTTGGATATCGACTTGATTTCCTCCGCGACAAATGACTCCCCAATATCGAATATGCGGCTAAATCGCTTCCTACTTTGAGATGACATTGGGCGTTCAGGGACTGGTGACAAAATGTCCGTTGCCGATTTCGTTTGAGCGTCACCAGATGTTTTAGGTCGTTCCCGCACCTCAGAAGCCTGACCTTCAAGCGAGAGCGGCCGAAATTCGAGAGATGCCAACCCCCATTCAGAAAATGCTTGGATATGCTGCCCGGCTGGTCCTTTTTGGCGACCAAATTCGGACTTGTATCCTTGCAACGTGTTGGGTAGAGGACGGGCAGATATTTTATCGTCACACCCAGGTGAGTGAACTCGGGCAGCAAGCGTTGTAAGGTCACGAGGACTTCGGCACGCATTGCTGAAGAAGGCACTTGCATGGGTTGAAGCAACCGTGCGTCGTGAGGCAGTAGAGGTTCTAGGATCATAGTTCTCTTCCTTAGAACTTCTCGCCAGAACGATGGGCTCGGTGGTGGCGGATCGTTGAATAGACTGCAATCAGAGTGGATTAGCAAAGAATAATATAGCAACTCAAGAAAAGACTAACTCTCTGAGCAAGACTTCCGTTTCTCATCGGAGCGGCGGTGGCTCCGAGACTCGACTTCCGTGGTGGAATCACTCCAACATAACTATACTTGGATTGCTCGCTTGCTCGTCGATTATGCTTCGTAGGGAGTTCTGCAGGCTTGAATATTGAGCCAGGTAAAGTGCCGAAAGGAGACTGAGCATGCCGGTGTTCTGGACCGAGGATTGTCTGGTCCATTGTGAAAGGGGGCCTGGCCACTGGATCTTCAGCGACAGGCGAGAAACAGTCTTCTTCTTCCACAAAGGATTCGGAATAATCATAGTAATGTGGGCCTGTAGACTCAGTTGGAGACTTTGGGAGACCTCTCTGTGAGCTCTGGCTATTATTCCAAACTCCTCGAACATTTTGTAAGGACAGAGACATGGGTGTAGTCGTCCTATAAGGAGGATGTCTCTGTGAAGTCGTCACGTTCCCCAGGGAGACCGCAGGTGAAGGGAAGCGCGCGTGGGAGGAGTAAGAGTTGTTCAATTCTGGACGATAACCAATCCTCCCCTGTCGCAAAGAGAGCACGCCGGGTGAGGAGCCCACAGTCCCTGCCCTTGCGACTCGGGGGTATCCCGGTTTCATGGCAGACCGATATGAACATATGTCACTGAATGCCGGAGACGAGGTTCTATGACCATGCCTTCTCCCATGATGAGAACGTACCATTGGCGAGTTTGAGTGGATGCTTTGATAATCCCGGTGTCCACGAAGCGTGATGAGCGAACGGTGTGTGTAAAGTCCGTGTCTCCCTTGGTTGAGACCCTGGAGGCCTTGGGGACGATGGCGATGACCAGCTCTTTTGGAACGCAGGCCAGAATGATAGGAGGCAGACGCAGAGTGTATGGTCTCGTGGCCAGACAGCGCTGAAGACGAAGGCACCGGACGCGGCCCGTGTCGGCGATGTGAACGCCTTCGGTGAGGAGACCGTTCATGTCGAAGCTGGGAGGCAAATGAGGTATCGAAAGAGCCGGACCGTGGTCTAGAAGACTGCAAACGTGAACCTGAACGAGGAATCCGGGGAGGGCGGACGGCAAAGGGGCCACTGTCACCAATTTCCGTTGTGTTCCTCAGCATGGACTGCACAGCACTGGACCGTAGGGAAGTGGTGGAAGACGTAGGAGCGGCGGTGTCTCGTTTGCCATCATGCTGGAACGCGTTTTTCTGCACGTTGGGGCTTTTCTCTTCAAGTGGCATGTCGTCCAGAGCAGTGCGAGGCCCATCAGAGGCTGAGAGAGGGTTCTGAGCGGAAGCAAGCACAGCCCTAGTGAGCTCAGCATGAGAGGAATCACAAAGATGGACAAATTTCGGCCCCGGATCACGAATCCTTGTGATGGCAGAAAGACTATAAGTGAGATAGACACATGGCGGTAAGTTCCAAAGGTGCAGAGGAAAATGTGAAGAGGCTTTGTCTCCGTGGGAACGAGGAAGGCGCGAAACGCAGAGCAACAAGCGCAGAGACGATGGAGGCAGGTGCAACTGAGCATCTCACTATCGGTATTCGTTCTGCTCTTCATATCCAGAGCCGCGTATCGAGCTGGCAAAATGCAGCCACGGCGTAACATCAAGACAATAAAAGGCACCAACCTGCAAGTCGTCTTAGGGGCACCCTGCTCGTAACAATATAGGCATTCCATTCGTGATCGTAACTCCAGGCTCAAGTAGGCATCAAGTAGGCATCATTCCAATGCCTCCTCCGGCCCGCCCCTCTTTCGAGCCGCCTTTGTAGACGGAACTCCCGATACTCGAGCGATTACTTGACGCTCGCTTCTTCTTACCCACGCCTGTTGTGCTGGATGGTGCTTTTGGCTTCGCTCTGGAGCCTCCACTGCCACCTCCTCGTCTATATCCCCGAGCACCGCGGCGACTCCACGACCCAGATCCCGACCTTGACTCAGACTTCTTTGGCGCTGGCTTCGACAGCGGCTTTTCTGAAGATTGCATTTGTGACACTACCGTAATTGTTAGACACCGAGAACGTTGTTGTTGAAGGGTCACTTACTGCGTTCATTGAATTGACTGACTTCGTCTCTTCTACCGAAGTAGTGACTACTCTCGGCCTCTCCCATGTCAAAGTCGCTTGGGTTAAAGTCATCATCCCCATCCATATCGTCATCACTGATCTCGACTACTGTCTGATGATTTGGGTCATCTGGTCGGTCTTCCTGGGCTCTCATCATGGCCTCGTAGTTATTGAAGCTGGTAGTGCTCAAGCGAAGCAGTAGTGGTCCAAAGACCTGGTACATCTCGGGATTGAGTCCTGTGAGTTGTCGGAGCTGTTGTTCATTTTGGGGGAAGTTGAGCCCAATCTGACGAAGCATGCGATCAGTGACTGGTTTCCTCCGCATAGATTTTGCAATCATGATACGTTGGACATCCTTTTTAGCTCTCTCCACAAAATCTTCCAGAATGTGCTGATGTATTTCATTGAGAGCACTTATATCGTCGTCAGTTGTAATGGGTGCACTCCGTGAGTCGGCGTTGGCTGTCCTCTTTGCCCTACGATTGGCACTAATGCTGGCTTCCTCACTCGATTGAACAATAAAATCGTCATCAGACTCTTCCATTCCGCCGCGCTGAACAAGTTTGCTACGTGAGCGAGGCTGGACCGGAGAGGACACATTGGTAGAAGCAGGATAGTCATCCGCTGCGGCTGTAACTCCAGTGCCTTTGGGCTTCTTTCGGGACTTTGAGATTTTAGCCTGAACCTTGTTGCGCGGCGAGGCGAGGACCTGAATCTTCAAGGGTCTGCGGCCATCTGCAAATACTCGAGCATTGCGACCAGGTCTTATATACTCGGTAGTGAAGCCAGAGCGATTAGTCTGGTTGAACGGCTCCAGTGCATCTTCCCAGATCAAGCGGTTGAAGATACGTTCAACGTCACCTCTGATCAGCTCGCTGCCCAGCCCAAATTCGTCAAGCTGGTCATGCTGGAGCTCAGTGATTTTCTTCAACTTTGCACCACGATAGACGTCGACACAATGCAGTATCGTGACATTGTCACGATGAACTCTATTCACGAGGCTGACGATGTGTCGGGCGTGCTCAGAGAAGTCTTCGGTTACGAAGGTGCTAGTCGAGGTGCAGTTGTCGCAGCCGTTCTTGCACTCGGCGGGATCAAAGTGCTCATTGAAATAGTTGAGAACCTGTTTCCGTCGACAGTCACTGCGATTTTCACAGAACTGTACCACGTTTCTCAGCAGCTGCTTTTGCCGTTCTTTCTGCTCCCAGCTGCCGTCGCTCTGATCTATCATACGCCGCAGAGAAGTGGTGTCGCCGTAGCCATAATAGAGGTAACAGCCCGACTTTTTACCATCTCGCCCCGCACGGCCAGTCTCCTGGTAGTAACCTTCCAGGCTCTTTGGTATCGTATGATGGATGACAAAGCGGACATCCGGCTTGTCAATTCCCATTCCAAAGGCGATGGTGGCCACGATCACGAGAAAAGTGCCGGCTTGCCACTTTTTTTGAATGTCGATCCTCTCTTCCGAGGACATGCCCGCATGATAATGTTGCGCGTTGATTCCGTAACTGTGTCTCAACTGCTCAGCCACAGCTTCACAATTCTTTCTTGACAAGCAATAGACTATGCCAGCCTGGCCCTTGTACGACGTATCAATGATTTGCGCAATGCCATCTAGTACGGCCTGGCCTTTTCCTTTGGGCCTCACCTCGTAGGTAAGATTCGGCCTATTGAAGCTTTGGGTAAAGACTTCAGCGTGTTCCATACCCAGGTTGTGCATGACATCAATTTTCACGTTTTCGGTCGCGGTCGCGGTCAAAGCCATGACAGGGACAGTCTGGAACTGCTTGCGAATCTCACCCAAAGCTTTGTAGTCGGGTCGAAAGTCGTGGCCCCACTGGCTCACACAATGTGCCTCATCGATCACGATCCGAGCAAGTTTTCTCCTTTGGTGCAAATCTTGTAAGGTTCTGACCATGGCTTGACTCTTGTTAAACATCTCTGGCGTGATATAGAGGAGCTGAACAAATCTCTCAGGGTGAGGCCCTTTGAGGGTAGTCAGTAAATAATTCCGAGCTTCCTTCGTGCTGTCGCCATTGACGAGGACTGCTTGTATGCGCAACTTGTTCAAATGGTCAACTTGATCTTGCATTAAGCTGAGCAACGGAGATACGACGACAGTAACTCCTCTTGTGCGGCCACTCTGAACGACAGAGGGCAGTTGATAACATAAGGACTTCCCTCCACCCGTCGGCATCAGAACGAAAGCATCTTTGCCACTCAGGGTAGCATTGATAGCTTCCAGCTGATTGTGACGGAATCCGTGGAGATGAAACCTCTTTTTGAGCGCTGAGGCTACATCTTTTGACCATGGATGTTGCATGAGATTGGCGTGAGGAACGTTGTCATTTCTGATAGTTCCCTTTTGAGGCGATACTCTGCGGATGTTCTCACTTACTTCGCCCAAGGCCATCCGCCCGCGACATGAGGGGGAAACGCTGCGTGCGGTTGGAAGATTCTGGTCGAATTCCTCAGCTACTTTATACAGTTCTTCATCACTGAAATCACATCCGAACTCATCATCACTGACAGCATGATCAGGATCGGGGCTGGCCATGGTTCTAGAGTAGCCCTGGTCAAACTCCTCAGCATCCTCATAAGAAGTAGCTTGAACCTGGCGCGGAGATTCGGGAACCCGTGGGACGGTTTTGAGCATCGCGGGGTGTTGTGTTACCTTGGGTAGCAAAATGGATGGCTGTGGCGACCTGCTTTGTGGATGATTTTGATGCCTCGACTCACAGCTGTTGTCGATAATGACAGCTCGCTGTGAGACCGGCGTTTGCCTGATTGATTGTGTGGACAAATGAGCAAGGTCTTGAGCGTTCTCATATGTTTTGAGGGGAGAGATATATCGAGCCGCTTTTTGCGTCGACGCTACGAGCACGCTTTTACCTGCTAGTGCTCTTTGAGGCGATAGACGGGCACCGTGGCTCGTCGGTAGCGGTCCCGGTTCACTCGTCATAGAGACACCCGCCTTTTCTAAGAGATTCAAAATCAAATGCTGTCGAGTATCGATGTCAAGCTTTATCCGTCTGATGTTGTTACAGATTTGCATCAGGGCATCTGTAGGATCGTCGAAGTCAATCAAGTGGTTGGCTTCCTCAAGGTCGTAGCGTTGTTTCATGAGCTCATTCTGCTGATCCAGAGCCTTCTTCAGGATGCCGTGCTCGTCCAGCAATTGGCCTGTAGCAGAGATCTTGTACTCGATGTCTTTGAGAGTGTCTTGTTTTTCCCGCGATGGGGGCCCACCGTTGTCGCAAATCTCGTCCAGAATCGCTCTCTTCACAGAACGATGAGACTGCTGTAGCCGTTCAAGTAGGCTTTGGCAAAGAGTTGCGCCGGACTTGACGAAACTATTGATGATTCGCGTCTCGTCCTCAGTGAGATCCTTATTCTGGCCGACACTGCTGCCACTGCTTTTGAATGCTGTCTCAGGCTTTGACTTAGACTGCTGTGATGATTCACATTTGCTAGTTTGAAGGAATGATCGGGGAGAGGTCTGTGACACCTTGAGAGAGACGTGTGGTTGAGATGAACGTGGAATTCCTCGTGTCGGCTCAACTGAGTAGGAAAGGTGGCTGCTCTCTTGCTGATCTTTAATCGACGGGGTGTCGAGGAAAGCATGTCGCTGTCGATTCAATGGAACAAAATCCTGATCATCTCCGTCTGAATCTGCAACCTCCTCACATGGTCTCTCATGTCGTAGTCCCGGCTGAGGTGGCTGAGCAGGTGCCTCGTTCAAATCGTCGTCTATTGCATCGTAGAACTGCAGGTCTTCGCTGAACCCAGCATCCGGGAATTCATCTTCCTCTTCTTCTACAGCCGCAGGAATGGTGCTCGCATGAGGCCTTGAAGGAGTCCCTCTTTGCAAGTTGTTCTCCTTATCGAAGGGTCGGCGAGGACTGCTTCCAGACTGTGAAATGGCGCATGATTTCAGAGCCTTCTGGACACGCTTGCTTGGGTTCCGATTTGAGCTGGGGGACAGCAAATCTGACCTATATTCGTCGCTCTTTCTCTTCCTCCCCTTCTTCTTAGATGGTGGTTCCACCCTTGAAGCAGAGCTTTCCTTCCATAACCTGGTGGGCGGCCCGAATTCTCCGAATGAAGAGCTTGTAATTTCCTCGGTCAGGTCAATCTCGTCGATGTCGAGGACATCCTTCGTTTCTTCAAAGGTCCCTACTGGCGTACGTGGGCGAGAGGAGAGTAGCCGCGCCGACGGGGTTTCGAACGTTCGTCTGACTCGTCTCGGAGAGGGTTTGCGCTCTTCAGAAGCACGAGAGGGGTCTGGAGTCGGCAAAGCATTACTCTGACTTGGTTGTAATATCAACTTTGAACGAGGCTGGGGCTGCGGTGGAAACTGCAATCTTGCCATTTCATCGTTTGAAGTGTCTTGTGGCTCATCGTATTGCGCAACGGCAGTATTCGCAACTACAGATATATGGTCCAAATGGTCAAAAGAGTGTGGGTGCTGCAGAAGCCATGCAAGACAGTGGCTAAGATTGTTGTTGGTCATAGGGTCGTCACATCGCGCTGCATTTCCAACCTTGAAGGAGGTGGGCAGCTGTGGGCGACGGGAAATGCAAAGTAGCAGAGTCTGTTCTCGTAGTCGATCTTGAACGAGGCTGCCTCTGAAGTCCCGCAGACGCGTGCAGTGAGTGCCATAGACGCGTTTGTGGCGATTGAGGTCGCGGATTATGTAATCGATACGTATGCGAGATCACGTGATTAGTATTTTGACCTGGGTTTTTGTGGTCGGCTTGTCTTCGATCTGTATTTGGATTATTTGAAATCCTGCGAATACAGGCATCAATGATATACATGTCCCGAAGCCCTGTGTGATTCCGAGTCTGCCAGCGTAGCCAAGTGTGTCGTCGCCCTAGGGTCTGAAATCTGGCTGTGGTTTTGGATCCTGTAAGAAACGCAGTTCGTTAGAAGCCCTAATGCCCAAAAAGAAGGGCAAGTCGGCAGAGCAAAAGGCTCAGAAGCTGGCAAAGCAATCAAAGAAGGCTGCAAAAGGCGAAAAGAAAATTAAAGCGAAGACAGCGGCTCTCAACGCTGACTCAGACGCCGACGATGATGTTGACCTCGACGCAGTCCTCGCCGCCTATGCTGAAGAGCAGGCCAAGTTTCTCAAAATCACAGAGATCCAATGCTCTCCACCAGGACCGAGATCGTCAAGTACATTGACTGCGTCGCCGTCCAATCGTAACGAACTGTTCCTGTTTGGTGGAGAGTATCATGATGGCACAGTAGCTTCCTTCTACAACGACCTCTTTGTCTACTTGATCGACAGAGGTGAGTGGCATCAGGTGAGCTCAGGTAACAGTCCTCTTCCTCGCAGTGGGCATGCGGCATGCCGAGGAGGAAACACGGGAGGTATCTACATATCGGGTGGCGAGTTTTCCTCACCGAAACAGAACCAGTTTTACCATTACCACGACTTCTGGCACTTGGACACCGACACTAGGGAGTGGACCAAAATAGAGCCGAAAGGGAAGAACAAGAGTCCTCCAGCGCGGAGTGGCCACAGAATGACCTACTTCAAAAACTATGTGGTGCTTTTTGGCGGCTTCCAAGACACTTCTCAACAGACTAAATATCTCAATGACACCTGGATCTACGACTGCAAGGAGAACGTTTGGCATGAACTGAAACTGCCTCCAGCAGCCCAGAAGCCCGACGCGAGGTCTTCCTTCACTTTTCTGCCTCACGAGTCTGGCGCTGTCCTTTACGGAGGCTACTCGCGAGTCAAAGTGGCCGCTACCAGTGGCAAGCAAGGAAAGGGAGTCGGCCAACTTGTCAGAAATGTTCTCAAGCCAGTCGTCCATCAAGACACATGGTTCCTCAGAATTACACCCCCTCCTTCGGATGCTCCCAGTGGCACCACTCCTACATTGCGTTGGGAGCGTCGGAAACGACCCGCGAACGCACCTAATCCTCCTCGGGCTGGAGCCACAATGGCTTTCCATAAAGGACGTGGTGTGCTATTAGGGGGTGTCCATGATGTCGAGGAAAGTGAAGAGGGCATTGACAGCGAATTCTTCAATGAAATGTTCATCTGGAATATTGACCGCAATCGCTTTTTCCCGCTTACGCTCAGACGACCGAAAGTTGGGGCAAAAAAACAGACACAGGCGGCTCGAGCTCGGGACAGGGGCAAAGCCGATGAAGAGGAACTCTTACGAAACCTTGCAGCCCTCGAAAGTAAAGGGACGATCGCGGCGATGGATGACCTGAACCTCAACCCGACTGAAGATGCCAGAGAGGAATCACCTCCCAACAAAAAGGAGTATCCTGTACGCTTCGAAATGCCACATCCTCGCTTCAACGCACAATTGACTGTCCAGGATGATGTTCTATACATTTTTGGAGGCACCTTTGAGAAGAAAGACGTCGAGATCACATTTTCTGACCTCTATGCCGTCGATCTGGGTAAACTTGACGGAGTGAAGGAACTGTACTACGTCGAACCAACCAATTGGAACGTCACAACCCAAGACAGTGACGAGGAAATGGATGAGGATGGAGAGGAAGATGACGATTCAGACATGGACACAGATGAAGACGACACCATGTCGGTTGATGCACCATCTAGCGCACCGACAGAGCTCACCGGGTCGGCCCCTGAACCCGAAACAGCAACGGAGGTTGAAACAGAATCCAGTGCTTCGCAGGATTCACGGCCCTTCCCTCGACCATTCGAGTCGTTACGAGACTTTTATGCCCGGACATCAGAAGAGTGGCAGAGATTGGTGCTCGAAAGCAAAAAGGGTGCAGCAGATCAATCTATCAAAGAGCTTCGCAAAGCAGCATTCGAGCAAGCGGAGGACAGATGGTGGGACTGCCGAGAGGAGATCCGTGATTTGGAAGACGAGCAAGAGGCTGCTGGAATTGGCGAGATCGTCAATATATCTGATCGGGTCGGTGCAGCAGAGGGCGGAGCAGGCAGACGGCGTTGACTGGAAATCTCACTCGCAAGTACGTACGATCCTGTCAGATCATCGTCTTGATAGTCGCGACGTGAATAGCGTATATCAGATTCAACACAAAGAAAGCCTAGTTACGGTCTTATGCAGGTCAATGTCTTGACAGTAATGTCATCTGCGTAGGCATTCGCTGGGCAGTGACCTGTTCACCGGTAGCCAGCAGCATTTTTGACAAGTATCCTTCTCTCGGCCAGGACTCACTGATCTTTCAGATCGATCTCAGGCATCTTCACTCACACTTCACTGCCGTGTCTGGTGAATGTGCTCACGCCTCTGAATTGAAATCTTCTCTCTCGCACGCCCACAAAATCATTCGTCGCGTTCAAATATCTTCGCAATCCCACTCTCTTTTCTTTGGCCGTTATCGATCATTTCGCCAGCTCAAGACCATCATCATGGCACCCACGACGCCTTCGTCCAAAAATAAGTACTCGCGACAAACTCTCCACATCACCGTTGGACGCAGCAGAGACTCTTTCCATGTGCACTATGCCCAGCTGGAATCCACGGCGTTCTTCGAGGTCCATCGCCCTACCAATAATGACACCAACGACGAAGAAGGGGAATCTCAAGCATCCTCCAGCCGTCATGACATGGAGAGGACACTGAGCCCCGACAACATCAAGGTCGAAGAAGGTGAAAGCGCACCAGCTGCAGAAACTGCCGTAACCACCCCACAGACATCGCCTTCCAAGCCGGCCTACCACCTGGAGGGGTATGTCTATGAACCGCGAGCGTTCGAAGTTATTGTGAACTATCTCTACAACATTGCTCCAGTTCCGCCAAAACTCCGAGCTGAGTGCAAAACCCTACTGCGTGCATACGTTCTCGCGTTGCAGTATCGCATTGTCGGCTTGCAGGACGCCCTCATCAACTGCCTTCGAGAGTACCATAAAGAGTTTAATGTGAATTTCGAAGATCTCATCTGGCTTGTCAATCGACTCACAGAATCTCCTGAGAAGCATACCGTTCCCATGATGCAGTACTTGATCGACCAGATCGCTTTTGAGATCAGTACCCAGGGCTTCACTGAGTTTTCCCGAATCAACGTCATGTTCGAACCCTTCTTGGCCGACGGCACACGTCCAATTCGCGTCGTGCTATTCAAAGCTCTCGCAGATGTGGCTCAGGCCGATCCTCGACGAGATCCAGCTGACGGCCCAAATCGCTGGAGAGTTCAGGACTGGAGCATTGATCGTACTCCTGCCCAGAGCCCCATGGACATCATCCCCATTGATGAGGACTGAAAACCCCAAGACTTACTCAGTGTCGAAATCCAAGGATGAACACCCAGAGAGAAGATGTGATTTGTCTCAAGGACGGGAACAATGGGGAACATTGAGTCAGCCGGCGTTGGTTAGTCACGACAAAAGGTTTGGAGACTGCACATGACCGGGCAGTTGCAAGGAAAAGAGTGTGCATTACAAGAAGAGCCAGACACTCTCACAGAGAGAGAGACTGTCGACAGGTTAAGGACAGGCCACCGCAGGCTGCGCAGAGATTGAGAGTGGATGGCAGCATGATATGGCGATGACATTGGAGTTCTGGATGCAAAAAAGGCACACGCGAGCAGAAACTAGGGAGCAAACGAGATGCTCACAAAGCATTACCAGGATAGTTATTCCGCAATGGCAGCCCAAAGACTGGCGATTTGCTTGAAATGAACCCTTTCGTCCATCGCTTGAACTTTGTTTCCCCTGCGTTATCTAAAAACTCCGGCTGTGCCCCGCCAACCTCGTCAATAGTACGACGTGTACACTTTCTTTCTTCCCAATCCTGCACTGATTTCTACCGTCCAGCTCATCAAAGGCCTCGGATACTCCTAGACGACAGAAACTTGCCTGACACCTCATTGTATCGGTACTGTAGAAAGCAAGCAAACCACCTCCAGCTCCGTCGCCGCAATGGTTGGTCTGGGCCCAAAACGCACACCGTCCCGCAAGGGTATGTCACCGCAATCAAGAAGTCTTTGAAGCTATTCTGCATGTAGATTGCTGACAATGGCCACGCAGGTTCCATGGCCGATGTGCCAAAGAACCTCTTGCAGGAAATTGAAACCCTCGAGAACCTCTTCACGGTCGACGCCGCCAAGCTCAAGCAGATCACCGAGCATTTCGTGGGCGAACTGACCGCCGGTCTGGAGAAAGATGGACAGAACATCCCCATGAACCCGACATGGGTCATGGACTTCCCCGACGGGGACGAGCAAGGGACGTTCCTCGCCTTGGACATGGGCGGAACCAATCTCAGAGTGTGCGAGATCACGCTCACTGAAGAGAAGGGCGAGTTCGATATCATTCAGAGCAAGTACAGGATGCCCGAGGAACTCAAGACCGGCACGGCCGAAGAGCTGTGGGAATACATTGCAGACTGTCTCCAGCAGTTTATCGAGTACCACCACGAGGAGGAGGATATCACCGCCCTGCCTCTCGGTTTTACCTTCTCCTACCCAGCGACGCAGGACTACATCGACCACGGTATCTTGCAAAGATGGACCAAGGGCTTTGACATCTCCGGTGTCGAAGGAGAGGATGTGGTTCCTCAGTTTCAAGCCGCCCTCGATGCAAGGGTAGGAGCTGCCCCATTCCCGTCTCCAGCGAGTTACTATGTACGTATGCTGACCGAGACACCCCTAGAAACTCCCCATCAAACTTGCCGCGTTGATCAACGACACCACCGGCACCATGATCGCATCTGCATACACAGATCGGTCCATGAAGATTGGCTGCATCTTCGGCACCGGCTGTAACGCGGCCTACATGGAGAACTGCGGCTCGATACCGAAGCTGAAGCACCTGAACTTGCCCGACGACATGCCCATGGCCATCAACTGCGAGTACGGCGCCTTCGACAACGACCACAAGGTGCTCCCCATCACCAAGTACGACACCATCATCGACGAGCACTCCCCTCGCCCTGGGCAGCAAGCTTTCGAGAAGATGATTGCCGGCCTGTACCTTGGCGAGATCTTCCGATTGGTCGTGGTCGATCTGCACGACAACAAGAACATCTTGTTTGAGGGTCAGGACATCTCGAAGCTCCGCAAACCGTACAGCCTAGACGCATCGTTCCCCGCCTTCATTGAGGAAGACCCCTTTGAGAACTTGCAGGAGACCCACGACATGTTCAGGGAGAAACTGGGCATCGACGCCACCAAGCCAGAGCTCGAGCTGTGCAGACGGCTGGCAGAGTTGATTGGAACCCGGGCCGCACGTCTGTCGGCTTGCGGCGTTGCTGCCATCTGCAAGAAGAAGAACATCGAGTCATGCCACGTCGGCGCCGACGGCTCCGTCTTCACCAAGTACCCGCACTTCAAAGCCCGAGGAGCCCAGGCGCTGCGTGAGATCCTCGACTGGCCAAAGGGCAAGAAGGATCCCGTAGTCATCTTGCCCTCTGAAGATGGCAGTGGTGTCGGTGCGGCCCTGATTGCCGCTCTGACCTTGAAGAGGATCAAGGCTGGCAACACTGCCGGTGTACGTGACCCAAGCAAGTTTGACATCTGGATGAAGTAGAGCGGAAAAGAAGATCGCCTCGCCCCAGACGGTTGGGCCGGGCCGGGGATGAGGGGGGAATCTATAGACACTGACAATTAAGCACATCGGGAGAGAAGAGAAAACAAGTAAATGTGGCTTCGAAATACTTAATATCATTTGAACAGGAGTGTGTATTCCTAGTGCTCGTAGTCTTAGGAGCCCTACTCGTTTATTTCCCATAACTTGATCCTTCCCTGGTCGTTGCCAACAGCCAAATACTTCCGACCAGGCGACAAGGCAACAGCACTGACTCTCCCCAGCAGCGTCTTCTCCGTCGGCCAGTTTCTGTACACGGTACAACTCGGTAGGTGAACCAGTCTGAAGGCGTTCTTCTTCAATCTCGAGCCCATGACCAGCATCTGGCTATCGTCGGAGAAGACGAGATGCGAGATGGGCGTGACGAGTTGGTCGAGCACACGGGCCGCTTTAGGCCGTTCATCCGCAGGCACAGCTACACCTCCAGCTTCGCCGGTCTCTGTTTCTGTTGTCCATCCCCGACGATCATAGAGATCCACGACGCCGCTCGAGGATCCGATGGCCACCCAGCGACTTCCACCACGACACTCCCGTCCGGAGGTTTGTCCGCTCAACGCAATCACCGTGGTGTCCACGGCGCCCTCGGCGATCCAGCGTGCCACGACCCGGCGAGAGTCGATGTCGTATTCGCTTACTTCGCCGTTCTTGCCGACCACGGCGAACCCGTTGCCATTGGACCACCACGCAAAGTCCGCTATGCCGCCTCGCGAGTCGACACGACAACTACACACCCACTGCATCGTTTCGGTCGAGAGCACGTTGATGCTTCCGCCGCCCTTGCGGGATGACCCGACCAGGCCCATGTACCGACCGCAAGGGGAGATCTTGAATGATTCCATCGTCTTCTGCTCCTTGCGTGTGTCGCCGTACAACGCACGGGTGACCTTCTTAACCACGCCCGTGGAGAGGGACCACGTGTGGAAGTACCGCCGGCGAGAGGAGAGGAAGATGCGCGTCTGATCGTGCTCTGTATCCGGGACGGCGGCCGCGCTGGTTGAAGGGCGGCAGAACGCAGCAGTGTGGAGGGGGTTGCCTTTGATATGCAATGAGGTGAGAATCGGGTTGGGATTGGGAGGGTGAGGGGAAATGTGGTAGATTGTAGCTGTTGAACTGGGACCCGCCGCGAGAAGGAGGGGGTAGTACGGGTGGAAGTGTAGACTGTCGATAGACGACGGACCCGAGGCTGCGACGTCTTTCCTCCTCTGTATACTGATGATTTCTGGTCGTAACTTTCGGGACCCCTGGCGGTCTTGAGAGAGCTTGTTGGCTGCGGAGGTCAATGATCCTACCGAGCGCAGAAGCTCAGAGAGTGGTCGTGCAGAAGGAAGAGAGTCTCCCCCTTCGTCCATCGATACGTCCGAGTCTGTGTCCTTGTCTTCATCGTCTTGTGTAGATAACTTTCTCTTCTTCCTTGCATACTTCACCCAGTCTGGTGTGGGATGTAAACTCTCATATTGCCTGCGAAGACGCCGGATATATTCCCTTCCACTGACGACGTCGTCGGCCTCTGTGTCGCGTAGTTTGCGTAATCGAGTGTTTGATGCGAGTGAGACCGTGATGCGATCGTCATCGCTATCGTACCATGTCGGCTGTACATGGGGAGAAGCGTGCAATGGCTCGGTGTGCTCCAGTTCCTTAGCGACAGATATTGGAAGTTCTCCGGTTCCTGCGTCAAGGAAAAAGAGCTAGCGACGATCGTCAGAATCCAGAACATCCAGGGAAAATGGACATATACGAGAAGGTACTCACGTCCTCGTCTGCAACATCGTTTAGGTCATCTTGTTCGTCTTCAAGCCTTGCATCTTCGTCGTCACTTTCATCATATGCAGGGACTAATGCTCCCTCCTCCTGCCGTGGCTTCGCTGCAGCCAAAGAACTCAAAAAGCCAGCATTGTCGCCAAACAGGGCTTTCTCTAATCGCAGCTCAACTTCATCTTTCTCGAGGGTATCCGTTGGGTTTCTTTTCTCATCCCTCTTCCTGAGCTTTGTTGGCGCGGCCATGGTTCAGTTATTCGTGATCGAGCAATTGCGTATGCAACAACTTCTTCGTTTGAATGGCATTTTTACGGCTGTCGGTCTGCGGAGAAACTCGACCATCATCAACTTTTTTTTCTCCAACTCACGCAAACCCCGGTCAGGAAATATGGTGATGCTGCTTTTACTGTACGTCTACACCGGGCGAGTAGGGGGAGTCAGAGCACTATGCCTGATATAGTTAGCCCAGAACTTGGCAAGTATATGGTTTCCTGGCTACTTTGTTCCTGAGCTTTTCTTCTTTCCTGTGGATGACGATGACCACTTTACACTGTGCTTTCCTACCGCTGTACATGTGCCAATGATGCTATCGGTTCTATAGACTCTACCGGGTGTCGGTCGAGACGCTGACCTTGTAGTTGTCAATTGAGGACTTCTCTGAGGTACTATTCCAAGATACTACTGTCGCAGTGAACTTAATGCGTGCTATATGCGATTCTGTTCCTCGCCCTCATCAGCAACCGCACAATTAGATAGAGGCGTGGTCACCCCCGAAGCGATCCAAGACGGAGTTTGTGATGAGGGCGTGAACAATTTCAGTACCTCTGAAAACGAGGCTGTTAAAGCAGCATGATCCAGAGGGGACCGACTGCGCGCCATAGGAAATTTACATGCATCAAGAACTTTTTTTCCATGAGACTAGATAGCGGCCGCAATCAACGACCACGACCTTCCTTCTGCCATCACAAGCTCGACGCTTAGGAGAGTCATTTGCTGATGCAATGAAACGTAAACTCGACAACAACGATGCTCCGACCGTCGAGGTACGCGGAAGCCCAGAGGCTGGCGACTCTGGGTCATCCTTTGATACTTTCGGCCTCGATGCTCGACTGATGCAAGCCGTCGCCAAATCCCAATTCTCGACGCCGACGCCTGTTCAAGCTAAAGTAATTCCTCTTGCCCTCGAAGGCAAAGATATACTGGCCAAATCCAAGACTGGTTCCGGTAAAACGGCTGCCTACGTCCTCCCAGTCCTCCAAACCCTCCTTCGGCGCAAGAGAACCGCACCCCAAAAGACTATTTCTACCCTCGTTCTAGTCCCAACAAGAGAACTCGCAGACCAGGTCCACAGGACTTTCAGCACGTTTTCGGCCTTTTGTGCAAAAGAGATCAAGTCTTTGAACTTGACACAGCGAGTCTCCGATGCTGTCCTTCACGCAGTCCTGCAGGATTCTCCAGACATCATTGTCTCCACGCCGAGCAGGGTCATGCAGTGCTTGAACGCAGGCCAGTTGTCACTGGACAACATCAGCCAACTCGTCATCGATGAGGCAGATATTGTACTTTCCTACGGTTACGAAGACGACATGGCTGCCATCTCTGCGGCGATACCTCGTGACGTACAGACGTTCCTTATCAGCGCAACACTAACGCCCGAAGTTGACGAGCTCAAGTCCATGTTCTGTCGCGACGCCGTTGTGGTCAAGATTGACGAAAAGGAAGAAAAGGGGGAAGGAGTGACACAATACGTAGTGCGGTGCGGCGAGGACGAGAAATTCCTACTCATATTTGTCGTTTTCAAGCTCCGCTTGGTTCAGGGGAAGAGTCTCATCTTTGTCGCCGACGTGGACAGGGCTTACAGGCTGAAGCTCTACCTTGAGCAATTCGGGATCAAATCATGTGTTCTCAACGCCGAATTGCCCGTCAACTCTCGACTCCATGTGGTTCAAGAGTTCAATAAAGGACTATACGATATCCTCATTGCAGCAGACGACCAAGAAGTTCTCGGAGGTGTCGTCAAAGGACGACGTTCCAGCAATTCAGAAGAAGGCCAGGAGAATGAAATCAGCGATGAAGAAGACGATGACGAGAACGACGAGGTCAACATCGAAGGCGAAGGCGAAGACAAACCAACTTCTTCCCGACCGACCAAGAAAGTCAAAGTGTCAAATTCTCAAAAAGACTACGGCGTTTCACGAGGTATCGACTTCCAAAACGTCGCGTGCGTCATCAACTTTGACCTCCCGCGCACCTCCAAGTCCTACACGCACCGCATCGGCCGAACCGCGCGCGCCGGCAAAGCAGGCATGGCTCTCTCCTTCGCCGTCCCCTCCGACCTATACGGAAAACACAAGTCCACGAGCATCCCATCCGCGAAGCACGACGAACGAGTGCTCGCGAAGATTACGGCGCGCCAAGCGAAAAAGGGCAACGCCGTGCAGCCGTACAACTTCGACATGGCCCAGGTCGACGCGTTTCGGTACCGCATGAATGATGCCCTACGCGCCGTCACCCGCGCTGCCGTCCACGAGGCCCGCGCGCGCGAGATCAAGCAGGAGCTGATCAAGAGCGAGAAACTCCGCAAGCATTTCGAAGAGAACCCTGACGACCTCCGTCACCTGCGACACGACGGCGAACACGGCGCCGTGGTCCGCCAGCAGTCCCACCTCAAGCATGTCCCGGATTACCTCATGCCTGCGCAGGGCCGCAAGGGCCTGAGTGCCGACGACGTCGGGTTCGTCGGGTTGAACAAGCACAACAAGCACGACGCTAACAGCCGGAACAAGAGAGGCGGCAAGAGCAAGACTCGAAGAGGTGTGCGCGGCGGGAGGAATAAGAACTCAAAGCACGATCCTTTGAAGTCGTTTAGTTCGAAAAAGAAGCATTGAGCGAAATCATGAAATCTGGAAATTTGGAACCCTGTCTGTTTGGTTGTTTGGTTGTCTGCCCTCGGTGTGGAATCCCCTGTCCCCCTATGGGGTACATGAAGGTACACACGTATGTAGGTATCTTGGGTACACACCTGAGTCACCTTGCTGTGTTTCATGCAGTAGATCAGTAGATACTTACCTACCTACGAAATGTGCCGCGTACCTACCGAAAAGCATCCCGCAAACCGATACCTCTGTTCTTCCTGTGAGCTGCTCTTTCAAGTGACCTAGGTACCCAGGTACCCCTGTAGCAGGTAGAAGTTGAAAACGTAATTCTCGACTTTACCTTCGTCTGTCTAGGTACCTTGTCGTCAGAGTCCAGCTACCGTCGGCATGTTCAACAACGTCCACCTACGAGTACCTACCCAGGTACGTCACTTCAATGGCATTTCACGCCTCCCTAGGTACCCGCCTGCCATCAAAGACCGCGGCCGTGAATCTCTGAATTTCAAGGAGGGAGGCTTGAAAATAAAACTAAGGTATCCCGTGTACTTCTGCGCTACACTACCCTGCAGATACAGAGGGAAGCCCACATTTACAGCACCAGGAACAACATACACATATACTTTGCCCGATTGTTCGAGACGAGGCGAGAGGAGACACACAGATATGTATGCATAGATAGATAGATCGTATCGGGCACATAAGGTAGATGCCCTGTAGGTCTGGGTAGGTATGCAATGATACTATGTATACAGACAGGGTCGTGTATTGAATACTTATACACTATCGGCTGCATTTCCCACGGACGTCTCTTGCTCGCCTGTGGTGATGCAATAACGTACATTCATGTTCATCATACCCTGGTCAGGGGTTCATGCTTGTCGTCTGGCGAAATCCAGTGTTCGTAAACATATAAGGCCCTCGTAATACCATGCTTCCATTCGCCCGCCAAAGCATCCAAAGGGTTACCAAGTAGGCGAGCTGGAGCACTAACGTTATAGCATGACCTCTTGAAACACTGTGGACGAATCTATACCTTCCTCCAAAAACAAAAAGGCCGCACCTCCATCATTGTCAGGATCGTAGTGAGGTTTGGCGCTGGGAAGAGGGTATGACATGAGCGTTCACGGTCGAGGGCTCGTGGTATTCGTTCCTGCTCAAGAGTTTCGCTTCGGCCGCACCAACTCCTCAGGGGCTCGTGAAATCGGAAGAAATAGAAAATCACTCTCTTCATTCTACCACGTGCTGAACAAGGTCATGTCGCTGAAGCATTGGATTGTTTTCGAGCCTTTTCGGCTTCAGCAACGGGCTTTTCCTGGCTAGGATGAGTGTCGACCTCAAATGCGTCCTGCTGATCATCGGCGGGTTTGAACCATCCACCCATCTCCCAATTGCCTTTTTCATAAAAACAAGCATTCCGTGCATCCGGGTCAACAATGCCCTTGAGCAATTGGTTCACTCTTTTGAAATCCACTGGCTTCAAGATCCAGCCGTCGAACCCCGTCTGGATGTACTTGTCGCGTTCCTTCTCGACTAACGAAGCCGAGACGGCAAATATGGGGATCCTGCCAATCACGCGAGCTCTGCTCGACAGAGAAGTGCCCAAATGCGTCTTTTCAAAGGAGCGAATCATTTTGGTAGAGCTGAATCCGTCTACAATTGGCATTTGCAGATCCATCAAAATGGCATCGTACGAAGCAGGCTGTTCGCCGTGAGCCGAAGCACACTCTTCGCCATTCACAGTCATATAAGGAGCGTGTCCCAGCTTTTCAAGCCGCTTCTTCATGATCTTGCTGTTGATGGGATCGTCTTCTGCAACCAAGACAGAAAAGTTGTCCGACGAGCCCAGCCTCGACGTTTCCGTCGTGTCGGATGGTGCCCCTATTGACTCCGGGTCTTCGAAAAGCACCTTCGACCCAGTTTTCGATGGCTCGATTCTTTCCGTGTACTCGTCAGGCATCCTAACAGGTCGAAGAGGCGTACCAGAGTCCGCCACTTTTTCCACACCTGGTTGTTTCATGATCGAATGCGGTCTCGGCGTCTGAGGTGAAGATACCGCTCTCAGTCTGGATGGAGACGTCGGTTCCGAAGGTGAGCTTATGTTAGAGCTGGTAGAAGTACGGTTTCCCCTAATAGACCCATCCGATGTATTCGACTTGTCAAAAAGGCGCAGAGGCTCTTGGATTGCGTCGATGAGCCTGTCCGCATCACTTTTCTGGCTAACGTCGCTTTTGGTGCTGATTGCGCTTTTCCCGCTTCTTCCACTCCGAAGGCTGTTGATGCTCTGCGTGCTTCCAGCACTATGCTTTCGAGTCAATGTATTTGCCTCTGTCCGTGATTGTGGACTCCGGTAGATTAGTGTAACTTCGCCATCCTTGGGAGTCGCATCAGTTCCCGTGGTGGAGTGAGACACTGGTGACGGTGGCGAAAGCGCAGCACTCCTAGTGTTCTCGCTTGCATGTTCAGTATTGAAGCTCAGAAGAATGACAAAGCGCGAGCCCCTGCCTTCCTCAGTTTTCACCCGGAGTTGTCCATGCATATGCCGGATTGTTCTAGCCACTACAGCAAGCCCAAGCCCCAATGCCACTTCCGGATTCGCAGAAACTGGTTCAGAGAATTGACTGCTGCCAAGCAGCTTGATGTCCGAAATATCTTCTTCGTAGGTGACTTCTTCTAGTTCTCGAAATAGAGCGTCGACTTTGGCCTGTGACATGCCCACACCAGAGTCCTCGACCACAATTTCTACTTCCGTCTTGTCGTCTTGCGAGGATGTCTCGGATAAAGAAACCTCCACAGTCACTTTCCCTTGGCTTGTGTGTTGAATGGCGTTGGAAATCAGATTCGACACAACCTGTCGCACTCGTCGATGATCACCTACTACTCTCTGCGGCAGGCCAGAAGCGATGGAAACGTGGTACTCCAGATTTTTGCGCTTTGCATCACCAATGAAAGGATCTGTTGCTTCTTTGAGCGCAACGAGGAATTCGAAACTTTCATCTTTTACCAGATTCTGCCCACCTTCCGTCTTGGTAAGGTCCAGCAGATCGTTGATGACATACACCAGAGATTTCGAGGCCGAGTGTGAACGTGCCAAGTTCTCACGTGTATCCTGATCTAACTGTCCTTCTAATGCGATCTCGAGATAATTGATGATCGCATTGAGGGGTGTCCGGACTTCGTGGGCCGAGTTTGCAAGCAGGAGCCGGGTGAGTTGACTGTTTTGTAGCGCAGCCTCCTTCTGGCGCCACACGTCAATAAACTTGCCATATACGAGGCAAAGAACAGATGCGGTTTCGATTTCCTCGTCGGTCCAGTCACGGCAACGGCCTACAATAGTCTCGCTCCAGGCTTTGAAACTCGTTCGAGGTTCAAGGTAGCCTTCGGTGCCCTCCTTGACGAATTTTTCATAGGGATTACCAGCCCACTTGACTTCTTGCAGGACTCCTTTGCGGAAGAACGCAATGAAATCGCCGCCACCGCTGGAGAGTGGAACGTACAACAAACCCGCAAGATATTTCCATCCTGGCTCGTATTGTAGGTCGGGAAAGTCATTTACTATGTCTTGCGAACAGAAAACCGAAGTCATTCTTCTCATCCGTAGATATTCCACCATGGCAAGCACTTCCTGCAGATGCCCTCCAGACCTTCCCATGACTTTAGTTTCGTCGCGTATTGACAGCACGCCAACGTCGGCGTCAAATAGCTTCAGAAGATCTTCAGATGACGCCACGATGTATCCTGACGGATTAGAGGACGAAGATGTTGTGTTGATGAGTTTCCGTGCTTGAAGTCTCGATGCATACGACAGGCGCTCGACATTGCGAGAAGCAGTATCGCCAACGAGGCGGCACATTTTACGGATGGGGAACGAGACCCGCATTCCTTTTGGCCCATACGTATGGCAAGCGATCAGACCCCATAATTCACCGAATGCATTGATCGAGATTGACATTGAAGAGCGGACGGCCATGTTGGCTAGGTATTTAAGGTGGATGGGTGACATTGCTCGGAGATTGGCATGCGTCATGTCGAGAGGCTTCTCCAGGTCTTCCATAGTCCGGCATACCAGTCGAGCCGTCTCGTGGTCGCGATCGTAGAGTAGCCGAACCTTGTTGATCCTGTATAACTCTCTCGCCTGCTTAGGGATGTCCGACGCAGGGAAGTTAAGGCCCTTGTAAAGGTCACGAGTTGCCCTGGGGTCTACCAATTCGGCCACAACACGCCCATTCCAGGCTTGGTCGAATTGGTAAACCATCACTCTGTGGAAGCCCGTGAGCTCCTTCACGATGCCGATCAAGACTTTCAAGAAGATTGGAAGAGTCGGCGCATTGGCTAGTTGCTCTTGCACTTGAGACATGATGTTGAAAACCTCCATAGCGGCCGCTTCAGAACGTTTCTTGCGCGCACTTCGCAAAACACGAAGGGGTTTGCTAATATTGACAGTACTGTCAATAAACTCTTCCTCGGTTGGTTTGCTTCCAAGCGTATCTTCCGGGATCTCTGGAGTGTCGTCGTCTGGCGGTCGCAGGGGATTGATCTTGTCGTCCTCGATCTCGAATTCACATATGATCATCCCAGGATCGCTCTCCGACAGGTGCATTGCACACCAAAGTTTGCGGCTTCTGGCATGAGGAGGCCTGATGGTAAGCATGAATACGTCCGGTCCGTTGGCAACAACATCTCCCTCACCCTCATCGCGAATGAAGTCCAGATGATCCAGAAAATTGTCTGCTTGTTCGTCGCTGAAGATGTCTAAGAACGAAGCGAGCTGGAACAGCTCCTGAGGTGCGTAGCCTATGATCTTGGCCGAGTTTTCACTGACGACTCGTACTATGAACTTTTCTTCCTCTTCGCGCAAGGCAACCAGAAGCCCGAAGCTTTGAACGGCGCCGGGGAGGTGTATGGGTTCGTCCTCGCAGCGCTGCAATGTTTCGCCGTCTCTGCCAGTGATGACTGCGTGGCCACCATCGGTTACTATGTGTTTGAACCGCGCAGTGACCAGAGCTGGCTCTTGCAAAGCGCTCAAGGCGACACCTCCAGATACGCTCGAGACCTCTGACTTTTGTGACTGATCGTCTGTGATCAAAAGATTTGTGACCACTTGGGGATCAAGATGGAAGGCTATCTGATTGTCTGTTGACTGTCGCGGGCGACGCTGCTGTCCCAAAGTGGAGGGCTCTGGCTCTTCCGAGACGGATATTGCCCTCGCCGAGGGCTGACTGGAGGGCGAGCCGGTCAAATCGGCAGTACGGGTTGGCCTTCTTGCCTGGGCAGAGGGTCTAAAGAGAGGAAACCCATACCCCTGCTCGCTCCTGGGCATCGGCGTCGCAGTTGGGTCGATCGTGATGGCGGAGCGAACAGGAAAGACACGGTCAATCGACCCTGGGCTAAGGGCCGAGTTGGCTTCCTCGGAGCGACTCGAGACTGCTGGAGACGTTGGGGCTCCAGTATCGCCAGTATGGGTGTTCATTTCCGATTGGGAATATCCTATTGGAATACATGTTGGCGGTCTTTGAACGGATTGCTTGTTGGGTGAATGTGGATGGTTTTGCCGTTCACGGGGTTTTGGAAATGAAGTATCTGGGGGCGCATGAGTCTCTGTCGGCTCCGACCCATGTACTAAGGCTGGTTTAGACATGGTGCAGGAGGCAATGGATTCAATCCCCGACTTGGGTAGCCAAAGAGGCGGATAGCAATCCGCACCTAGTACCGACTGCCCTCGCGTACAGATATCTCTAAAATATTCACCTGCGATATCACTCGAGTTCGCGCATCCTGGTGGTTTGTAGACTCGAGCGACGTGTGGTCTGTTCCGGTCGCTTGTTCAGTGCTCTTCCCACACTTTTCCATATGCTGAACCACTCCAACAGGCGGGCAGAGCCAGAGGTAGGACAGTGCAACGCGGGGTGGCAATCGAGAGGTATGAGCAGGAGAATCGGCGGGTAGATCGTGTGAGTCGTAGAAATATAGTAACAGGGATGGTGAGGGCTAGAGAAACGAGAAAGACATAACGATGCGTAGGAGTGTTGACCAAGGAGAGGAACGTTGTGGCCAAAAAGCGGGATGGATAGAGTTGTAGAGATGGATCTGGAGTCTGTGGCGCGGGCATCAAGATGCGCATGCATTGAACACGGAGATTGACCAACTGCCTAGGTACCTGCCTCGTGAGCCTTGGGCACTAAAAACTAGAAGGTTTCGGGCGGGGTCCAAGCGTGATCGGATGCCCGTACCGCCTAAAAGCATCCTCCATCCTGTTCTTCAGGAGGTTCCCGGAGGACGTGGCTTCAGGGCCATGTTCCCCACCACATTTCACGAGGTACCTCCAAGGCAAGTACCAACAAACCAAAGTGTTTACGAGCATCTTTGTACAACGTTCCCTTCGCCTATCAACAGACGGCAGCAACACTCCTACTTCGCAAGCTGCCGGCCACTCATCGCCTATCTCAGACAATGAGGCGCTACACAAGGTGACAGCAGGGTGGGCACTGTACTCGTACTCCGTGCTCTACCACGACTTCTTTCTGGCTTTCTGCCCGTCTACATAGTTGATCCCTCCACTACGAGAGTTAGCACTGACATGAGCTCTAGATGAAATACCCACCTCCTCAACGAATGGTACGGAGGCATCGTTGCGAAAAGCGTCGAGCCGTCGTCGTTGATCGGCAGATCTTCGTCTCGCAAGACAAGGCCTTTCGGCAGAAATCCAATCCACCTACAACGCCCTTGTGCGCTGCACATCATTTTCCGTGGCAGGGGTGCCGCCACCCTGGATAGCCTTGAGAAGATGTTCATTCGGGTGGAATGTGCCCGAGGCTGATCCAACCCAAGCGTCCGGATGTGAACGGGGTGTGGGAGCGCAGCACATTGGCATGCCGCATGACGCTGTGGTCAGCCATAGATGCAGCCACCTGCGTAGTTGACAGAAGAAGCCAACAAAACTTGAAAATCGGAGGCCGCTTATAGGCTACTCGTACAACTCCGTACTGTACCACTGGCGAGTGGCTGCGATCTGAGCTAAAGAGGCGAATGAGATTCCCATTGTCCTAAACATGCAATTCCTTATGTAAGGCCTGAGATTCCCATTTCCTCGGAATCGAGGCCCCTGGGCAGAACCGAGTCACCGAGCTACTGGTACTCGTACGAGAGGCGCCATGATTATCAAGCATCGCCAGCCTTTTGACAATTACTCCCTTCCCATGGAAATTATCGAGGCAAAAGTCTACTGGTCATCATGGCGCTCTGGCTGCGACGCACGAGTTTAACTGCCCGCCACTCGAATCGCCTAAACTCAATACCCGGCCCAGGCTGTTGGTGCTGCAGATTTTGCCAAACTTTCGCGGCTAGCTGAGCCGACACTCCATCTCCCTGTCGGTTACATAATGGATATATTCAAGGGAGAAATCCAGCCAGCTCGAGTACGGATATAAAGATTTCATGTCAGCCTAGCCAAGCTACTCAAACGAGACATGTGATACACCGACCATCGTTGCAGGTGGAGAGCTTATATTGCCAGCAAATGTCGACGATCGTCAAGCAACCGCACAAGTACCCAATCAAGAATGCGTGGCTTTCTCTCTGTCCCTAGGGAAGTTATCATGGCCACCGACAATGCGAATCAAACATTCAACGAGATCCCAAATGGAGATGTCCAGACTCGTAACGTACTTTTGCTTCCATTCCTGTAAGTATACGTGACAAATAATGGTGGGCCGGGTAACACAGCAGTGTATCTTCTTCATCTTCGTCAGCCTAACTACAGGATAGATTATTCGTCGAGGTCAGGGACCAGTCCTCTCTCGATCGAACGCACAAGGATTCTACCCAACACTATCACAGTAAGGTATTTCGACAAGCCAGGGAGCCAGTCTGTCGTGCACACGGCATTGTCGCACCGACGACGTCTGAACGAACTATGTCGAGACCGCAGGAGACGCTTTACAGCTGAGTTGTATTCCACCCGCATCCTGGATTAGGCTTACTGGTACCGGTTATCTTGGAAAGATGAATGGGTATGCATATGATGACCGGTAGCTGAGGTCGTAAACGAGACTCGGATACTTGGATGGCTTACTCCCACGCCACGGTTGGGTATTTGAGAATCACATTTGTAGTCACAGCTGCTGGCCCGGCGAAAACATTCTTGAAACTTGGCATTAACTGAGTGCGCCGCATAGTCCTCGAGTCGTCAGTCGAGTACGACATTGTCTGCAGTGTTTGGTGGCATCGTGCGACCGTTCAGACTTGGCTTTACTGATGAAGTCAGTGTATCACAATGATGTTTGGATGGTCTCGGTTTGATTAGACGTCATGGGCCTTCATAGGTAGGTGGGTAGATAAGTCGCGATACACTGGCATCAATATTGGCTCCTTACACCGGGTTTTTTTGGCCGTACCGGTTTCTGTCTTGACAATGGTGGACGATCAACTAGGACGTCTTATATTCAGAGGTAGGTGAGGAAGGTAGCTACTGTGCGCTTTGAAATACTAGTGCAGGATCTCTCGGTTCACAAAAGTCTGGCCGGATCTTATGTTTTTCCGGCAGAACATCCGATCTTGGCGCGCTCGTGAGTCTCGCGGTGAGTCGGTCGCTCCGCTGGCGCGGCACAGCACGAGCATCAGGTAAACGCTGGGCTGAAATTTAAACCTGGGGTAATTCTAGGTAGCTAGATCCTGACCATCGGACGTTCCTTTTTTTCGACCCGGTTGCGTGATTTTTACCCTTTTTTCTCTCTCTCCCTCTGCATGTTCTGTGCGGTGTTTCCGGCTACCGACAGCTACAGCGAGTCCAGCAACCAATCAAGCACATACGCTGGTGGCACGGCGACTTCTTTCCCTTTCTGCACGTTTTGAATGTTTTCAGACTTGGGAACCCTGGTGGGAGCTTGAAAAGTGGGCACTCATCTTCTCGGGGTCTAGACCCTTGCACACAGACGACCCTGGCTAATAGCATATCTCTTATCACTGACAATAGGTATACGATTACGGAGTGCAGGACGAGGTTTCTGAGATTCAACATGTCTTCCGGAGACCGTGACGACAAGTACATCCATCCGGCTGAATACCCTAGTCTATCCGAACAAGAAGCCAGCGTCGTGAGAAAGATCTACGACTTCACCGAACGGTATTTCCAAGATCCGCGCTTCGACGCGTCCCACGACTTCGGCCATGTCAGAAGGGTCGTCAACAATGCCCTCTCCATTCTCACGGCGGAAGAAGACGAGCGGAGACGCAGGGGCACGCTGGCCTTGAACCCCATGAACGTGATTCTGGGCGCCTTGCTCCACGACGTCGAGGACAAGAAGTACACCGTTTCCGCCGAAAATCAAGGATCGTCGTCAGCTCCGTCGCCCCTCATCAGGGCCCTAGTCGACGCTGGCATGTCCCTGGACTATGCGGAGCAGATGCGGGTGCTCGTCGAGGGCGTGTCATACTCTTCTGAAGTCAAGAATCCGCAGCGCGTCATCGATTTGATCGAGGTGATTCCGGAATTGGCCATCGTTCAAGATGCGGATAGGCTCGATGCCATTGGGGCGATAGGGATCGGTCGGTGTTTTACCTTTGGCGGCGCCAAGGGTGCCAGAAGTCTGGACGACTCGATTGAGCATTTCCACGACAAGTTGCTCAAACTCGAGAGTATGATGAAGACACCAGCGGGAAGGGTGTTGGCCGCAGAGAGATCTCGTCGGATCCGCGAATTTGTCGGCTGGTGGAAGGACGAGGCAGGGCAGTCAATAGCCTGAAGGCTCGGAGAAGTTGAGTTGAATGTACCGCAACCTACGGCAGCACAACAGTAACTCTCTTCTACCAGCAATTTTCCAAATGCAACAATACAGACCGGGATGGCAGAGCTCCGGGCGGGCACTCTACTCATATTTTCAAGTCTCCTCAGCCTCACCTGGCTCGCCTAATTCCTCGCCCGCCTGCTCTAGTGGATCAGAGTGTTCCTGGCCAGTCGACTGTGGCGTCACTCCAGCAGAACCCGTCCTTGGTGGAGGCGCGACAGGTGTACCCTTTCGAGACGACACATAGTCCTGCTCCGCGCTCTTCTTGGCCCCTTCGGCAAACATATCTTCGAATCCACCTCTTGGGGAAATGGCACCGTGATGTCTTCCCTTCTTTACTCGAGAAGGAGCTGGTCCTGTCGGAGGTGCTGCGTTAGGGTTCATCATCGGCGGTGGCGGTATGTTCGGGTTGACCATCGGTGGCGGAGGGAGATCTTGGGCAGGGGCTGGCTGGAAGGTATTCGAAGAGTCTGCAACGTGTCCAGTGTCCGCGTCAAATAGATTCTCTCCTGGCGCTTGAACTTCCTCGCCCAGTCCTATTGGGAGGCGATGTAGCGCGCCAAATCCAAGCACAGCGCCGAGCGCACCTTCACCACCCCATCCTCTTCGGGGCACCAGTTCGACTTCTCTTACCACATCAAATTCCGAGTTGTAGACCCATAGCACTAGACTTCTGTTGAGGTGATCTTCGACCAGTTCGCCCAAAGCTGCTTCTCCCTTCAGCGTACCGCTCGGCGAGCCAAGAATGTAGTCGCTGTGTGGGAGGAGGCCGGCCTGGTGAGCTGGAGAGAGAGGGGACGGGATCGTCAGGACATGCCAGATGTTATGTGTAGAGTTGAGCGGTGCGAGCTGGAGACTGAGGCCTAATGAGCCATCAGGCGGCACCGGGACCGTGAGAGTATGTGTTCTTTGACCCTGCAGTACACCGTCAGGAATGCCGGACATGGAGAGAGCGTCCATAGCCTTGTGCGTACCTTTGCACTCCACAGGTCTAATGAGCAGTATGAACCGGCGCAGTTGCGGACCTCCTGCGCGAACAGATTTGGGTCGGGAGAGTCCTTGCGAGCGGTCAGTATGGGTCATCATGTCTCAGAGGAGTGCCAGTTACTATGAGATGGCCATTGATCCCAATGATAAAGTCGAACCACGGCTCCAGGTGCAGGTCCTTGTTCGTGTTCTTCAAGACCTGGAAACCGTACGAGCTGTCGGAAGGTCCTTGCTCTCCTGGCCTTGACACGGGCTCTCCGTCGAGACGAGCAATGAAGCGATTCAGAGCCCCGAACATTTTGGTTACTTTCCACTACTCTCAAGAGCTCGTAGGCAATGAGTGGAAATCTAGTGTGGTTGCTGGAAACTGGCCCGACACGACACGACACGTATGTTTGTCGCCGAGAACGCGCCGTAGAAAGACTCCTCCTGAGGTGGCAGAACGTCATGCTACAAACAACGCCTTCAAATTTCTCAAACTCTCCCACATGTCGACTCACAGTCCCGATCTTGAGGTCTATCTCGGGACTCAAAGACATACTATACACCCGCATATGACCATATGTCGTACTTCAAAAAGAACGCGAAGAGCTTGTTGAAACAGAATCCCGTGGCGATGAGAGTCCCGTGTAGGGGATACTGTGAGTTTCAACACCCGCCACAGCCTCAAGTTAGAAACAGAGGCCTTCTTTCAGACCCAAATGCGTCTGCTACAAGTTGACATGGGCCTCGGCCAAATTGCCTCTGTATTGTTTCACCCCATCTCTCTACCTTGCTTGTTGAAGTTGCTCTGCTGCTTCAGCAGCTTTGAAGCGAGTGACTTGGTTGGCTGGATTTATGACCGAGGACCTACTTGACGCACTCGCAGCTTGTCGATCCTTTTAATGCTACTTACCAGGTAAGTAACACTCGTCTCGGCCTTTACTCAAGAATAGCAACCGCAGATTAAGCGCCCAAGCATGGGCCAGACACACCCGGCTGCCGCGTTTGGCGCTGGATCATGACCCGCAGGCCACTTGACCTTGAGAGATGGTACAAATGCCTCGCTACGCCGCAATCCCTGGGGACGTCGGTGCACATTCACAACAAACATTATCGCTCGACGGTCGATCGATGGGCAAGTCTTGGAATTTGCCGGCACTACGTTTCCGGGGTCGAAATGCAGACCAAAGGCCCAATCGGGAAAACTCACAGCAAAAGAGTTATGGACCGTCGATGTGGAATTCGTTATGGCTTTCGACTACTGTCTTGAGTGCGGTTACTGGCCTTTATGCGCTCTTGATTGTTGTACTGCTGTTTATCTGGAACTACATCAATCGAAATGCGGGTATCCCCCTCATCACAAGCGATCACTATTCATGGACTTACGGGCCGACTGCATTGCTGGTCATTGTGGTCGCAGTTTGGCGACAAGTTGACTATCATTGCAAAGCGATTGCCCCGTGGGCTACCCTTAGTCAAGAGCCATTAAAAGGCTCGTCGAACATTCTTCTGGATTACGTCTCACCAATTCAAGTCTTCAGCTTGTACAAGTCCGTTTCCGGCAAGCATCATACCGTCACGGCTGGCATCTTAGGATTCATATTGTTGAAGCTTATAGTCGTTCTCTCAACTGGCTTGTTCGTGGCGGCCCCCAAGCTCATTCTGCAAGCCGATGTGGATCTGGTGCAATACACCACTTTCAATGGATCACTATTTAATTCATCTGCAATTTCTCCAACACTCAACGATTCTTCTTTGGTTTATACAGCCTTCGGTATCCTGTCGAGAGGTCTGGCTTATACCGACGGAACCTACCAAGGTCTTGTATATGAGAGATTTGGACCTCCTGCAAACTCTCTACGGGGAATTGAAACAATCACAGCGACAGTGGATGCTCTAATCCCATCGTTTGAGTGCCAGTCTGCTCCCTTTTCTATCAAGCTGCAGCCAGCAAATTCCACAGACCCGCACCCAGCCGACAGCATACAATTACAATTTGAAGAATGTCAACTCCTAGGTGATGGTACTCCGGTATATGTTCTTAACCCTCGACTCTTCAGCTGTCCCTCTCGTCAGCTGAGCCCTTTAGTGCAAAGGATGGATTGCTTCAACGAATCTGATTCAAGAACAGCAGATAATTGGCAGCTTCTCACCCTGGCTGACCTCCGGTACAATCAGACTCTGCAAAACTCCTCATCCCCAGTCACGTTGGGAGACAGTATTACCGCTACTTCTTGGTCCACCTCGGTAAACGCTGTCGTCGGTATAGCATGTCGATCCGTATATGCAATGGAGAGAGTCAACGTCACCTATGACTACTCGCAGACCCCAGCAAACATCACGGTTACTCGTCTTGAGCCCGGCGTGAATCGCACAATGGCTGGGTTTTCAAACTTTGATCTTGGGAAATTGTTTACCGCATCTCTATCAGCAGCAGCTTCGATGTTTGGAAATTTGAACTTCGATTCTTATGCTGAAGAGTATCCAAATACAATGTTCAAGGTAATGGCTGCCGCTGTGGGTGGTGGATACGAGACGCTTCTTGACGAGAACAACATGACAAAAGCGGCAGAAATTGTCTTTCAAGCCGTTGCTGTTCAAATCTTAAGCAAGTACCTCACTCAGGAGGTCGACAGCCCTCTCCAGGGGCAAGCCGCTCACCAGGAGGAAAGGCTCCAATTGAACGATCTTTCCCTCTGGTTAATGGTCTCAGGTCTCGTTATTATGATGTCCCTTGCTGGTTTCGTTCTCTGGAAGCGGCCCAAAGACATCGTGGCCCGAGATCCAGACCAACTCCTTTTCACTGCATTGCTTCTGCAACCGAGTCGTAGAGCTCGAAAGATCCTGAGTCGTTGCTGCACGCTGTCCGAAACCAGCATGCTAGCACAGCTGGACAATCACAAATTTGCTATCAGCACAGACGTTGAGGAACAGAAGTCATTCTTGCTCGCCTCTGATCCGTTAACTGATATTACTACGCCTGACCAAAACTCGCAGCCAAAGTGGTGGAAACCTCTTGGTGCCCGGTGGTTCTTCGTCTTAACCACTCTTCTACTACCACTCGCAGTCATCGGGACCCTTGAAGCTCTTCAGGTGTCATCAGACAGCCATAACGGTATCGCTACTGTTTCTGCTCAGGACTCTCTGTCATCCAAAACATTGACCCGATATCTTCCAGCTTTAGTGATGCTACTTTCCGCAACACTCTTCAACTCTGTCGATTTCAACATAGCTGTTCTTGCGCCTTACAATGCTTTAAAATCTGGAGCTCGGACTCCTCAGGCAAGTATCATGTCCAACGTCATCGGGCTAGTTGCCCCCTACGCAATTTGGCAGTCGCTTAGACGCCGGTACTGGGGTGCAGCACTTTCAGGAACTGCAGCAATCTTCGGTAGCGTCTTGACTATTATCAGCTCTGGACTCTACACCGTTGATTTTGTACCAACAACGTCGCCGATGCAAGTCCAGAGGACTGATTCCTTTCAAACAACATGGCAGAACAGTGCTCTTAACGACAGTGGAGCTGCCGTGTTGACAAGCTTGACGGAAAGCTCCAATCTGACGTTTCCACAGTTCACCTTCGATGAGCTTGCTCTACCTGGACTTCAGGCAGCGGGTGATCCGCCAACGTTTTCCAAACAGGGTCAAGCAACTTTAAGCCTTAGAACCAGTGCTCTACGCGCGTCTTTGAACTGCACTACTCTGTCCACTGCACAGTTCAACGTCTCGACGTTCTACAATCCAACTTCGGGACCCAGCGCAAGTGTCAGTGCAACGTTTACCCTTCCAGAAGAGTGTCCGTATGGTGGATTTGGGGGCAACATGACCATCATGGAGATCAACAAAGACTGGCAACTACCATTCGTACAGAATTCGAGCTATGTGGCCAGTATGCTTGACGTTCACGTTGGGCCATTCGATCCTGTTCTTGCTTCAAGCTCGGGGGAGCTAGCACCAGCGGCCCAGCAAGACAACCCACCTGGATGTCCATCGCTTGCTTTCATTTATGGCTACGTTGACGTGAACGACGACTCTCGAAACACAATCACCACCCGTGTATGCTACCAGCAGATGCAACAAGTGCCAGTACATCTATGGCTGAGCGTCCCAGACCTCGATATTTCCCCGGGCCATCCCCCAACTCTTGACGAGAGCGACCCCGTCCTTCTCAAGAGCGGACAGAACGGAGAAACCGGCTTTCCCTACCGCCTCGAGGTTCATATGGATAACGAGCTATCGCTTTACAACCAGACGCAATTCGCACCGTCTAGTATTTCTCAGTCGACAATCGACGCGTTCTTTCAAGGCGTGCTATTCGGGAGAGCACCCATCCCAGAAGCCTGGCTCGCAGACTCGGCGCGCTCCGACGAAGTGGTCTCGGCCATTCAGGCCTTCTACCGCCGGTACATGGCTCAAGCTATATCTAGCAACATGCGCGTGCCCACCGCCGCTGCGGACGCGCCGCTTCTCACAGGCAACGTTACTACGCCAATGGGTACTCTCCGCGTTCATCAGAACAAGCCGTCCAAACTGGCCCTGCAGATCATACTGGGTGTCATGACTCTCTGTGGCGCGCTGGCCATCTGGCTCGCGCCGCCCAGGGATGTGGTGCCGCATAATCCATGCTCCATCGCCGGCAGCATGGTTGTTTGGGCCGGAAGTCGGTTCTGTGAATCTCCGAAGCTCGAAACGTTCCCGGACCAAGACAGACCCGTCCTACCGGATGGCGCTGTGCATATGAGCAACAAGAAACTGATGGGCAGCGGAGCATTGGATAGTTGGATGTTCAAGTTGGGTTGGTGGGACCGTAATGATGGGACGCGAAGATATGGAATCGATGCTGTGATGAAAGAGTCTCGTTGGACTGATGATTATTGACTGTTGCGGAATTAAGGGCACACATAGCTGTTAGTAGCCTGTATATAATCGTCCTGTGTTCGTCCTTGTATAGACACGTTTTATGGAGCTCGAAGCATGGTACTCCGTATGAGATCCGTACAACACGAAAGCATAGCTTGTATGTTTTGAATTGAAAACTTTGAACATTTGCTACATAACGTCTTTTCCTTTTGTCGTTAAATGCCATTTCAAATCGTTCAGAAATCCACAGTGTGGAAATTTTGAGTACATGTTTTCAAGATCCCAGTCAAATGCTTAGCCCACAGCCTCATTTCAACCAGAGCACTGTTCGACTCTGCCGTTGTGTGAAAACGAATCACCACCAAAAAAATTTGTATCCCAGTTGCCAAAAGTGATATACCCATAAGAATTGAAAGCGCTGAAAGTCCGTTGATTGAACGGCAATGCCAATGCAAGTGCAAACGCTAGGAGCTAACACATTGCAACAAAGATCAATCTCCAAAGCCAAAAGGCAAGGCTATGTTCAGGAGGCATAAGCACTGCCGATGGGGCTCGAGATAGAATTGCCATTGACCAATAAGCCGTCGCTGCACATGAAGAAGGCGTAACGCTCGACAGCCGACTGCCCATCAAGGTACTCTACAGCTTGCGAAAGGAAGCTTGCAACGTCGCTGTCAGAGCCTGTCGTGGTACCGAACTCAGTCAGCCAGACCTTGCTGACGCCGTTGGAAGACGCGGCGTCGATCACGGCCTGGGTGTGTCGCTGGAGGTCAGCGAAGTTGCTTGCTTCGCCGTACCAGTGGAAGGCTACAAAGTCGATGTTGCACTTTCCGGCGCACGCCTTGAAGAACTGGTTGAGCCAGTCAATACCCATGAGCGGGCTCGTACCGGCACCGTTGGTGATAGCGGGAGAACCAATGGACACTTGGCCGGACAAGGGGGCAACGTTTGCAATGTGAAGTTGGGCAGCAGTTTCAGGATCGAGATTGGCTTGAGTGTCGAGGTCAGGTTCATTGAGCGATAGAACGTGCTTCGAACCGCTGGAAATTGCTGACTGGACGGCGCTGGACCATCCAGAAACGGACTGAGAGCCCCAGAACATGGGGACGTATTCGGTTCCAGACAGGGGAGTTCCGTCAGGGCTTGCTCCCCAGTTGTATACCCAAGAAATGCCCTTGCCTGCAAAAGCGTCCGTCAGAGAGGCGGTGTTGTAGGACAGGCCTTTCTTGCCCCCGGATGAACCTCCACCGGTGCTGGGCGTGGAGCTGGAGGCGGATGATGCGGATGAGTAAGTACCGCTTGCGGCACTCGAACTAGCCGCAGGGCTTGGGATGGTTGCGAACGTGGTTGGGGCAGCCGAGAACACGGCTGATGATGATGACGCTGCTGGTGCTGATGCTTCAGGAGCGGAGTACGAAGAGCCCCATCCTCCATCAGATGGTCTGCCAAAGAATGCACCAGCTGTCGCAGTTCCTGCAGCGAAGCTAATAGAGCCCGAAGTCGCGTCCAGGCCCGTTTCAAGTTCTGTGTCGCCTAATGGTGCAGAGGAACTGGAGGGTGCAGCAACGCTCTTGCCAGAATCGTCAGTAACGGGGCTGGCATCTGGTGTCGCAGTAACAGTAACAAGCTCAACGGTAGTGCTGGTAATGGTTGAAATCAAGATCGAAGTACAAGAACTGGAACTGGACAAAACAGGTGCGATAGCTGCTGGACTCGTCGCAGCCGCGTTGGCAACAGGAACGCTGGAGAAAGCAGTGGAGTCATTGCCGGTCGAGGACTCCAAGGGGAGCGGACTCACAGTGACAGTCAAGACAGCAGTAGCAGCAGTTGGAGACTCGATAGCAGAGCCATTAAGGCCTGTGCTGTTGGTCCAAATCGTGTTGTTCAGGGGGAATGCACCGCCAGTAGGTGCGGCAGCCCCGCCAGTGCCGGTACCATGGAAATGCCCATGATGATGTCGTTGAGGGTGGGCCAAGACTGTAGTGGCTAGCACCACGAGAGGGAAGATTTGAGAAACCATGTTGAGATCTGGGTACTCGGTACTTTGTGTTCGGTTGAGATATTCGTCTAGTATGCCGATGTTGCAAAATTGGACGGATTCGGATAGTGATATACCCTCCTGGGGTATTTTTGACCGGGGATTCAATCAATGAACGACCTGGTTGGTGAAAGAGTGACCTTGAGCGTAGCTCTAGCGAGAGAAAGCGAGAATAGACGAAGGGCTAGCCTTGTCTGAGAATAGAGAAGGACTGCGGTGCAGTGTGTCGCACAAACGTGTCGAGAGATCGTGGGCCAAGTAACAAATTGTGAGAGAAAAGAAGAAGGGAGTAATGAATGAAACGACAAGAGCAGCAGATATAGAGCCGACAAAAGGGAACGTGGACTAGGATTGGAGCGAGGAGGCAGTTGAAAACTCGCCAGGAGGTGGATTGGCATGTTGCATGGTGGACGGTTGTGTGACCGGGATTCCTGGTTGGCTCGTTGACAAGGTACCTACCTACTCCGGACGAGACTCCGTACAAAAAGCACAGTCCGTGCGGTCTTTTCAAGCGATAACGTGCGATTGGGGGTGTCGAGGTCCCATTTTGACGGACTTGACTCATGCCAATACGTGGCGTTCCCACGTCGATGGAGCTTGGTAGAGAGCAAGCAAACAACTGCGCGGTCAGTTTGGTGATGCAGAGGCTAGCAGAAAGTCAGCATTGGCGTGTGAAGTGGGTAGAGAAAAGGGGAAAGTTCCTTGCTCCCTCTCTTGGCCCGTCCAGCCTTCTGTCGCAGGCGAGGACCGGGCCAGCCAGTCAACATTGAGATGTTAGCATGAAACACATCCACCCCGAAGCGATTATGCAGGGGGTTTAGACACCATGGCTCAAAATAAGCGTAGTTTGCATCCACCTAGGCCGCTACTGTCAGGAACCCGAACCTTGTTGACTCCAGTCGCCAGTGGAATAGAACGACGCGTCCAGTCAAAGCTGGGGAGCTGAACGCCTTGACCGAGACCTTGGAAATGAGTGTCGTGGAACACTGACACATTGGTCGTGTCTGTAGCACAAACACATGGTTGTCCTCGCTTGATTAGAATCAGCGGACCGGACGATAAGGAAAGCTTGTCTCAATGATGAACACGCCTCATGCGAGTGAGGAGGTGAAAAAAATAGATTTTGTCGATCTTCGGACCCGTTTGGCCTCATCCTATGTCGGAGAGAAGACACCCATGCATGGAGACTTGTATCCGGGCTTGGACTGGGCAGTCGGATGCAAGGTGCCAATATTATTGCCACTTCTTGGAGGCCAGACAGACTCAGATCGGGCCCGAGGCGAGGAAGATCGTAGGTGTAGGCGTCGTCTCCTGTGAATCCGTGGCGCTGCAAGTTGTATCTCCATCCGAACGAAGCGCGACCCAGGCCTAAAGAGCCACGTCAGCTGGCGGGAAGAGGACGACGAAGATTGCTGCCAGTTTTATTGTTATTACTCAAGACACAACATCCGCGACCACCTGGTCTTTGCTGGGATATTCCGTGCGCCTGGTCCACCTTCAACTTTGTGCAACTTGTTGATGCAGGAGTCGGCGAGACATTAATCCGTTGGGTCCGCCGCATTGGGGTCTGAGATACGAATCATGGGAGTCCGTCCTCCGTATGTATGGAGTATCCCAGGACAGTATGGAGTACATACGCCTCTGTACAGATGCTACTTATCGTTACAGGCTACAGCAAAGGAGAAGGTCGTATGGAGTGTTGGCATGGGGAATCCATTCGGCGTTGATGGTTTATATACAACATTTATCCACCACTCACCCATCGCAATTTGCCTCGAAGCACCCTTGTTCTTTAGCCGGGTCATGCTGAACCCTCGCCTGGCCATGGCTTCGGTTCTGGTCCGAACAGTCAGCAGGTGGCCTGTCCTGAGTCGATGTAACAACGCTTCACCAGAAGTGGATTTCCATAGACTCTTTCGCCTGGTCGTCAGTACAGTCCATGCTGTTTTTCAGCAAGCCCGAGTTCTACCAGACAAAGGACGAAACGGAATGCCGTTCCAGTCAAAACACCGAGTACCAATCCTCAGCTTCCTGGCGGGCAGGAGCAAGTTGGGAATCAAGCAGGCTTTGCCTTATCCTTCTTTCGACCTTCGAGGGCAGCCATCACATCACCCACATTGTCTTTGTCGCCCTTGCGTTTTTTCGGTCCCCTTTTTCTGCCACTCTTCTTGCTAGCGCCCTCTGCGTCGTCCCATATCGGGCCCTCGTCGTCGTCATCATCTCCAAAACGACTGTCCCCAAACCCAAGGTCCATATCCTCAGCATCCGCACGCTCCTGTGCTTTTAGCCGGGCAAGTAGTTGTTGTTGCTTTGCAGCTCGCTCAGGGTCAGCGTCGCTCGGATCTAGTCCAGCATCCTGCTCGCTTCGTTTCAATCCAGCAGCCCGTTTGAGCGCAGCAAGCAGCGTGGGATCTTTCAAGATAGGATTGATCTTGTTTTCGGCGTCTTCTTCTTGACGACTGGATCCGAAATAATTTCGTGGCTTGTGCTTGTCATCAGTGACGGCGGCTTCTGGCTTAAGAGCACCTGTCTCATCTGCTTTGCCTTCCTCGTCAGAGTCCTCCTCAAGTCCTGCCAGAGGATCATAGTCTGCAACCCCTTGAAAGATGTCGTCGTCATCATCTTCTCCCGCCGCCTCTTGCTCCAAAGCAGCTTGTTGTTTCGCGAGCAGTTCGGCCGGAACCTCCATGCCCAGGGGCCGATTGCCTTGAACTGTGCGCTCATCCTCCTTATCAAGCCATCTTGTCTTCCTTTTTGTCGTGCCGTCTTTGTTGGTGATAACGAGAACTTCTCTTCTTCGCCCATTGACAATCTCTACGAATTTCATCTTGTTGCTCTTTTTCTCGCTTCCCACCTTTTTGAAACGATCGCTCAAGACTGGCTCCGGGGCTGGAGGCTTCGGTGCCCCAGAGCGACTTTGCTTCAATCTTTGTAGGATCTCGTCCCGAGTCAACGGTCGATGGTCGCCTGTTGTGCCATCGTCTTCCGCCTCCTGTTCCTGCCGGGGAGCAGGACCTCGGGACTCGACCTGTTTCTCCAGCACTTGGTCCAACTCCTCGTCAACATCAACTTTGGAAGCCCGAGGCGATGTCTCCCTCTTCTCTTCCGAATTATTCTCCAAGTCCTCCCCTTTTCGCACTCGCTCCAGTAGTTTCCAATCAAGGCCCTTCACTAAGTGCGTACTATTGAGACTCCCGCCAATGCCAATCTCGTCCTTCAATTTCTCAAATGTAGCCTCGTCAATCTGCTGTAGCTTGTACATCTCTTCCAGTGCCTGTAAGCGCTTTTCTCTATCATCTGAAGTCTCTTCGCCTTCTTCGCCTGTACGGCGAGCCAGGGTGCGGTCATGGTAGCCAGCGGCCAGTCTTGTGCCTTTGGGCGCGGCGCTGGATTTAAATTTCTTCGCGGGAGGTTGTCCATCTCGAGCACGTTCATGGTCGGCGACTTGCTTAGAGAATTCTCTTGAAGGATTATAGCCTGCGACCGAACGGGGCGTCATAGGAATAGAAGCGCGCGATCTCGACCCGAGCGCAGGTTTCTTGAACCCCGCCGGGGCAGATTGGGGGTCTGAGTCGCTCGGAGGCTTCCCACTCTGGAGAAGTGTCCTAAATTGGGAGTTGTCCATGACTGAGAGGAATATAGTACACTGGCAGGCTGGCAATCGTGCGGGTTGTTGTGGCTGCAACACTGCAGATACGGTAGCGGCCTGGATGAGGTGAACAATCGATTTGGAGAAGTGACATTTTTTATTTTGTTCGGGAAGCGTCAATCTTTCCCCGACTCCGCGCGTATTCTTTGTTCCCATATCAACATGCGCTCTCATAAGATGTCTTGAACACATATCTGCGTGCTGACCGGCATGATCGCTGATCAACATGGCGAGGAAACGAAAAAGCGTCAACTATGGCCATGAATCCGAACAGCCTCCCGCAAAAAAGGTAGCTTCTACGGAGCCACTTCCTGAAGGCGTGCACCATTACGAAACACTTGAAGAAGTGCCGTGGGATTTGCAGAAGTACGTTGTCTCACTTTGCTGCCTCTAGCGGTCAATACTCAGTGAACTTTCTGGTCTAATTGGTCCAAGGTACTGGCATCAGGGCTATTCCATCTTCTCGAAATACGATGATGGAATTTGGATGACTGACGATGCTTGGTTCGGGGTCACCCATGAGTCTGTCGCAAAGTGTGTGAGCTCTCTCTCAAGCCCCAGCCGATCTCTGACAAAGCCAGTACAATCGCGAAGCACATGGGCGAGGCAACGAACAAGTCCATCATTGTTGATGCGTTCTGTGGAGTGGGAGGAAATACCATTGCCTTTGCACTATCCGGCAAATGGAAGCGAGTTTATGCCATCGAGAAGGACGCCGCCACTCTGGCATGCGCGAAGCATAATGCTGAGATCTATGGGGTGGCTGACAAGATTACTTGGTTTCATGGCGATTGCTTCGAGATACTCGGTGCCATGGAAGGCCGGACAGAGAAGACTGTGGATGCGCTAAAAGCCATCATCGGCCAATTCGGCGTGATATTTGCCAGTCCGCCATGGGGAGGTACGTCTCACCGGCATCCAGCGACATTGCACCTAGCTCACTCACTGCTCTAGGACCTTCTTACCGCAATGCCGAAGTTTTCGATCTGGAGTCAATGGAGCCGTACACTTTCAGTCATTTGTACCGATCCTTTCGTAAGGTGACTTCGGACGTTGTGCTATATCTACCGAGAACGAGCGACTTGAGACAAGTGGCGAAGGTGGTGCAAGAGGACAAAAAGGTTCAAGTTGTACATTACTGCACCCACGGTACCAGTCGGGCGTTATGTACTTATCTTGGGAACTGGGCGTCTCTGAAACTGAGTGGATGATCAGATAGGACCGTGAGTCAGCACAGTCGGGAGTGAGCGCAGAGAGATATCGACCATGCGTAGGTATGCAATATCCTTAGGCTGGTGGTGTTCAGTGTTAATACGAATACGACGAGGCTGAGAAGGACATGCCGCAAGGCTGCGAGTCGCGTTCATCGCAGCGCCACGAGTCACTCTCACATACTCCGATTCTCCCCACTCAACTTTCTTGCCTGCAGTCTGCTCTACCACATCCTCGTTTTCTACTTTAGTTGTGTCTGTGTTTTATTGATATCATCTTTCCCAACTAGCAAATCGACGTGCCGCTACAAGAGGCTTCTATCGCTGCTCGCGCCATGCGGTGAATGTTAGAGCGCTTTGGCTCCTGGGCGCACTGCCTGTCGTTTGTTTGCAAACACCCTACCTCTGATACCATTTGACCGTTTTCGCGCGAAGGAGACCTCTGCCAGCGCGCTCTCATCATGGCTACCGACGCCTATCAACAGGCCGACGATCTTGACGGTCTTTTCGGTGACGACGAAGACACGACAGACCAAGCACCAACAATACCTTTCGATCAGAACTTGGGCGTACCGGCCGATGCCAACGATGAACTGAGTGCGCTTTTGAATGAAGCTGCGGGAGGCGAGGGCCTGAATTGGGACGAGCTGAATTCAAGAGAACTGGAGCAAGGAGAGAAAGCAGACGATGCAATTGATTACGAGGATATCGACGACGACGACTTGCCAGATGAAGAGCCGACCCAAGATGTCTCCGCAGACATCACTACAGACATGCTGCCTGGCATTGAGGATAGCGCTCTTGATGACCTTGATGATGATGATCTGTTCGGACCGAGTAGCCCTGTCCTGGAAGTCCACGAGGTCCATCCTCCGCCATCCCCTTCCAAATCCTCCGAGAAGCCGGCTCCGGAAGCTGATCAAGATCTGGATCTTGCCTCAGAACACGAGGATGATGATACCCAAGACATTTCAATGCTGCAGCCTGAGCTTGATGAAATCGAGGATGCTCAATACCGTTTGCAGTTGGCTTTGTTTGCACAGTCCGGCAAAGACATCCCGACCACCGAGCAGGAGAATATCGAGGAATGGCTAAAGCTAGAATTTCCTGGGTTTAAACGTGATGAGGCGCCTTACTTCAACAAGTTGTTTCCACCGAGGCCTCAGAAATGGCAGGCAAAGACACCGGCAAAACCACCCAAACCTGTGCGTCCGGCGAAGGTCAACTTGGAAATCGAGCAAGACCAGAAGACTGCTTTCAACTCGGCACTACCATTGACAGAAGCTGAGCTCGCTTCTGATCTGGTCACTACTCAAGAGCCAACCGCTGTCAATGAAGTCGAAGACTCTACAGATGAATCGGACCTGGATGAGCCTCTCCCTGGAGGGCTTACAATGGACGACCTGGATTTCATGTGTACAGAGTTCGACACACTGTCTCATCGTGCAGCGTCGGACGACGAAACACACGAGATAAGGCCTCGTGTCGTCACAAGTGACGATGAGATGTTTGGTTTCGACGATTTTAACGATTTTGACCAGCCGCGCAAGAAGCGTCGATTGGGTCTTGATCCTCACGACATTGTGAAAGTGCATCAAATCGATGTTGCCTCTTTTGACGATCCGGAAAGTCTGACAGCCAAGCTTGCTGCAAAAGTCGTTCTTGACCTAAACGATTCTCATTTGCTACTTGAAGAAGTCGACACCGAAGCACTGAAGGCCAAGGCTCGACCTGGTGAAAAGGTAACCACTGTGAAGACGTTGAAGGACCGTCTGGCGCAGCGATTCAAAACGTCAAACGATGCCGAATATGATCTTCTCAAGCAGAACCACCAACACAAAGTGCGAGGCCAACTCACAAATCTCAGCATTGAGCACTCCATTCCCGCTGTCAGACTACAATACCCGTACTACCAAGTCCGCCTTTCCCTGCAAGAGCTCCGAAATTTCCATCGAAAGAAGATGCATTTCAAGTACCCCATTACGTTCTCTCAGACGGGCAGGATCAAAAGGAAACATCAGAAAGGGCGTTCCATCAAGGAAATATATGCCGCATCTAAAGATATCTCCCTGGCGGACAACTCCTCTACCCTGCTCCTGGAGTACTCGGAAGAGCATCCTATCATGCTGTCAGAGACCGGCATGGGAAACAAAGTTGTGAACTACTATCGAAGACGGACCAAGGACGACACGTCCAGGCCGAAACACGATATTGGTGAGACTTCTGTGTTGCTGCCGGAAGATAAATCGCCGTTTCATATCTTCGGGCAAATCGATCCTGGAGAGACCATCACGGCGCTATATAATCACATGTACAGAGCTCCAATTTTCCCTCAGGAATCTGCGTCGCAGGATTTTCTTGTGATCCGGCAGACCACTGGCACTGGCGGCCAGAACCACTTTATCAGGACACTGGACAATGTATACGTTGTGGGACAGGAGCTGCCATCAACCACTGTTCCGGGCACACATTCTCGTATGGTGACCACTGCTGCCAAGAATCGACTTAAAGCCATATCATTCCGAATTGCACGTCGCAAGAAGACCCATCGAATCCGTGTGGAAGAAGTCACGAAGCATTTCCCCGACACTACGGATATGCAAAATCGGCAGAAGATGAAAGAATTCATGGTTTTTAACAAGGAACACAAAGAATGGGAGATGAGGGCTGGCGAAGCAGTTCCAGATGAAGAAGCGGTCCAAAATCTCATACGTCCAGAAGACATATGTCTGCTAGAAGCCATGCAGGTCGGAGCCCAATATCTTCAAGATGCTGGTTATGCGGACAATGATGACGAAGACGACACCAAGGAGGGCAATGACAATGACAGTATTGAACAGCAGCTCGCTCCCTGGCGTACCACTAAAAATTTCATCCAAGCTACACAAGGCAAGGCTATGCTCAAACTGTATGGCGAGGGGGACCCCTCCGGCCGAGGTGAAGCATTCTCGTTCATCAAAACAAGCATGAAGGGTGGTTTTAGACCTATCGGTGGTTCCGCCCAAGATGCCATCGCATTGAAGAAAGAGCTAGGCGGTCACAGTTACAATGTCGCACGTCAACAGAAGTCTTACGAAGAGTCCATCCGCAGTATCTGGGACAAACAAAAAGCGAGCCTGGGTTCGAAGATAGAACCCTCTGATCTTGACATGGACGGCGACGTTGACGGCCAGGAAGACAAGTATGATCCTCGGTCTAGCGTTAGGGCAACACCAATGTCTGGCACCCATACACCGGCCCCACGACGTAGAGATGACGAAACAACGACTTCGTTCAGCAGACGAAGTGTAACCAGTCAAACGCAGAGAGTCTTGAAGATCGTTCGAACCGTGGTGGATAAGGACGGAGAAAGCAACGAACAAGAATACTATGAGACTGACCCAGCTGTTATCAAGCAGTATATGAAGATCAAGGAAGCGGAGGAAGCTCAATCAATCAGGTTTGGGAGTGGGTTTTCTTTGTGCATGTTCATGGCTTACTTGGATTTTAGCTTGGGTGAACTTGCTCCAACGGGCGATGCTGAGCTTGACGCCAGACATCGCAGACGGTACGGGACTTTGTTTTTTGTTCTCTCCTTTTGAGTCGCCATAACTGACATTTTTCGTGTTTATCAGTCTCGAAGAGGAGCTCGCGAAGCTCGAGAAGAACGCCGCCCGCCGAAAACAACGGTACAAGAACAAAGCTGCTCTGGCCGGTGCAACTTCTCCAGGAGGCACGGCCATGTCCCCCGATGCCGAAGGCGGCGGTGGCGGTGGTGGCAAGAATACCCAGCCAACCCAGCGCAAGTGTGCCAATTGTGGTCAAGTCGGCCATATCAAGACCAACAAAAAGTCAGTAAAGTGCCGAAATTGCAACCTCCCCATTGATCGCAAAATTGGGTCTACCCTCATGGATGCCCCGAGTGTATTCGAGACTTGATCGTCGTCGGTCTTCTCGATGTCGATAAAAAGAGAGGTCCCATTCTTTCCCCCATAATGGATTGCCGCTCTTAAGAGACGGCGAACTTGGAATTTCCCTTTTCCAAAGTCTCAGTCTCGTCAAGCCATCCCTGGCTCTGGTTCACGGAGAAAAGTCACAAGTTCTTTTTCATTTTCATTTTCTTACCCCAGCTCAACGAGATCCCCTATATCTCGATTGGAGATGAGGACTCCGCGGCTCTGAACGATAACCCCAACCATGAGAGCCAGATGGGACCAAGGCATTGGAAATTCCCGTTTTCTTTGCCCTATCCTGGATGCATACCCACGTTTCTTCTTTTCTCCTCGTCTTTTCGAATCGAAGTGTTTTCGTTATTTGGAGAGAAGAACATTTTCACTGACTTTTCGTCTTCGGTTCAATCAAAAAGATTATGTCCCCTGCTCAACGGCACCATCAAGCAGGAAGACGGATACAATACTGCTGCCTTTATGGGTGCGCCGCCGACGATGCCCTGATCACTGATGTGACTGAGGATGGATGGATGAGCGACGACTGGTGGGGGTGGGCTCTTGACGGATTGTTGTTGCTTTGCATCTGCATCTGCGCACGTCAGATACTCTGGATCCCCCGACTCGGGAGTCTTTATCTTCTTCTGCTATAGACCCGTGCTTTGACTCCTTTAGTACTTTGAGTACATAGGTACAGAGGTGCCAGCGCGATAATACGAACACGTATAACAACATCATGAAGAAATGTGGAGAACGCTGTGTCAATCACCTCCTTTTATTTGTGGAGCTACCCTAGTCTCTAGCTAAGAACCATTCTGTTTGCTCCTGGAGTCCTGTTGGAGGACAAAAAGGGGAGGTTGTTGCACATGGTTCTGGGGTCCTGTTGAAGGACACGAAGGGGTGGAGGAGAGGGGTTGTTGGCATGCCTCGGGGGTCCTATTGAAGGACACACGGCGAGGTTGTCGCGTGCTCCTGTTCAAGGAGTCCCGGTGCCCATCAGGCCCGGTTTCGTGCGTAGTCCGGGAGGAAGCCGCAGACGGCCTTGATTACTTCCCAGGTGACCTCCGTGACGGTGACTACCTGGACGGCGACGTGGCCCACGGCAGCCCTTACGGGGTCTTCTTTCGCCTTCTTGCCGCGCATGGTGCCGGGCTCAGGCTTTTGGTCTGCGCAGAACGCAGACGCAGGCACATCCGCCAGGCGAGCCAACTTCAGGACGACATGCACCGGGGCCTTGTCTCGCACAGACCCGTCCCCCGGAGGGAAGCTGGCCGCGGAAACGTGCGCCGTCGTGGCTTTCATCACGCGGCCAACGACCACCGGGAGGCGTTGGCCCTGGAAGAGGTCGCTGAAGACCAAAGAGTTGCTGAGTGGGCTGACGGGCGCCTGGCGGTTCCTCGGCAGGTAGTCCAACGTTGCGTAGAATTGCATGTACTCGGCCTGCCGGGGGATGTTCGACAAAATCGTGTCGCGCGCGAAAGCGGCGATGTGGCCGAGGGCGTCCGGGGTGCGGAAGAACGTCGAGACACGGTTGTCAGGGCGGAAGTTGTCTGGTCTCGCTGGTAGTGGCGGCAATGACGGTCCGGCGGTGACGGCGGCGGTGGTGCGAGGAGGTGGCTTCAAGTCCAGTGGACGTTTCGCCCCGGTAGATGGGCCAGACGACTTTGATCCTGCCGGTGCTGCGACGTTCGGGTCCTTTCGATAACCAAGCTGTACGAGCTCCTCTTCAAAGGGGGGTAGTCCCTTCTTTTCCTTGGGTGGTTTGGTCGTTTTGGCTGTCGCGTTCTTGCCAGCCTTCAATTCAGCCAGCGCAGCCAAGAGGTCGTCACCTTTTGCTCTCTCTTTTCCCTTTCCCTTTCCTTTGTCATCTGTGTCGTAGTTTTGAACGTAACCTCTATTGGGCTGATTCATTTCAGACGCTGCTAAAGTCAAATTGTTGAAGCTCGCATTCGCATTTCCAGTGCTGACTTTGCTGGGGTCTGCGAGCGTGCCTCGATTGTTATCGACTGGCTTCATGGCACGAAGAGTCTTCGGTGCAGATGAAACAGTTTCTTGGATATGTGCTGCAGCTGTTGCTGAGCCACGCTTCTTCTCTGGCGAAGCTCGTCTCTTTTGTGGACTGGTGTCGGTGTCAGAGTCTGAGTGCTTGCGTTTGCGTCTTGGTTTGAAATTCAGTCGGTTCGCAGAGTCGAGAATTTCCTCTCGAAGATGACTTGCGAAAGCGGAAAGAGCAGAAGCGTCGTCGTGATCCTCATCATCCTCCTCCTCTATTGTATCTGACAAAGGAGGTGGCTGATGAGGTTTGTTGCATCTTGCGGACGGATGGTTGATCGGAGTCCAGTTATTCACGCTGGACTTTGTTAATCTCTGTGATATGTTTCTTAAGCACAAGTGGAATTGTCTTTTACTTACTAGAACGATGTCCCAGCCTGCTTGTTGAGTTGGTCAAACTGTGGCAGCTTCTCTGCGTCGTCTGCGGTTGCGACAGGCGCGACAGATACTCGCGAATCGGATGCATTGGAAACAGGGCAGTTCGACTCTCCCGTGAATGAAGAAGACAAAGCAAAACGTTCGTTTGTAGTAGGTAGCCATGGTTCGCCAGCCATACTTTCTGAAGTCTCGAATCTTTGCAATGAGGAGAACAATAACCGTTGGATCGGTGAAGAAGAGCACCCCTTGGTTGGCACTGGAGCAAGTGAAACGCCCAGCGAAACCGCAGAGATGGCAGTCGACAATTGATAGAAGAAAAAAAGGGAAAGTGGCGACAAGGGATAGAGCAGCGAACCGAACAACGAACTCAAGAGCGAATAGAACGAGTAGAATGTGTTCAGCACTGAGTCTTGGATAGGCTCTTCCACCAGGCATCGTGCTGTGAAGGATTCAGGTGGATTTGAGCGAACGGAAAGATGGATGAGACTGCTGCTGCCTTGCGACGTGAAGTTCAAGTCTTGTGTATGGTTGGGAAGATGGTGGCGGCAGTGAGCGGTGCAGAGGTGAAGAACAAGACGCGACAATGAAACCGGTGAGCGAGCGTGAGGCGGGAATCGCGAAAACTTTGCACAGAACGCATTCACTGGATATTTCATCTTACCAGACCTGGGGCATTCAATTCTTTCCACTGCTTTGTATATATGATATTGGCCCGGGAAGTGAGTTTATGGATGGATGATACCGCTTACATCAAGTAGATAAGGAGAATTGGCAGCACTGCGTCTGCGTCTGCTCTGAGGAGCTTTCTGAGACCAGAGAGTTGGCTGGGAGCATCTCCCTAGAGGGATAATCTCTTCCATGCACAGGACTCTCACTAGATGTCCGCTGCATCCGAGAGAGGTTGAGGTGCCGCAGCCGTTGACTTGGAATCCCCTGAGCATAGCTGTACATGAGGTAGGCTGGGGGCATCTCTGACAGCGATAATATCCTTTATGCGGAAGGTCATCATGGGATAACCTCTGTATCAGAATGAGGTCCGTTGTCGTTGGCTTGGATGCCTTGAGCGTACCACTGTGCATGATGTTGGCTGAGAGGTTTGTCCGGTATGACTCTCCCAAGATGGATATAGCTCTTGTTCTTCTTGCAGACACAGCGGCGCAGACTCGATACACTTTGGGCATCAAGAGATGCCTTCATGCGTTCTACGAGATCGAATAGGTCTGGACATCGAGAACCAGGAAGCTTGATGGAGGTTCGACCTCCGAACAACTGATTACATCATCGTCGCGCCCCAAAGACACTAACCTCATGCGGACGACAATAGGAATGTTTTGGCTGCGGGTGATTCCAGATTCACTGGTTGTGAAGCGTGTATGTTTTATTTTCCTTGATCGATATCTCACTCTTGCTGGTAGCATCTGCAGCATACCCGACACATCGTCAGCATGTCTTATGCAGTTGAAACCAAGAAGCGCAAGTTCGATCGCATCCTCGAAGCCCTCTCTGATGGCGCTACATCGCCCTCTCGATCTTCCCTCAATACTCGCAACAATACTTCAACCACGACCCTTACCCAAGACTCTGCCTCCGACTCTTCTAAACGACGCCGAGTCGCTCCGACCTCGAAGGTCATCGTAACCTCCTCTTCGACTACCTCACTGAGCGGACACTACTTGCCTTCCAGCCGAAGCGCATTCCTACAGCGACTCGAAACATTCCGACATGTAACCCAGTGGCATATACCTTCCTCGGAGCGTATTAACGCGGCAGCCTGGGCAAAGAGAGGCTGGACCTGTGTTGACACCGATACTGTCTACTGTGGAGCCTGCAAAGAGAGGGTTCATGTTGACCTAGAGGTTGATGCTGATTCCAGTGAAGCTAAGGATCACGAGGACGGTGAAGATGGCACAGCTCAGGATGACAGCTTTGCCTTCGGTTCAGAAGTATACGAAGGCCTAGTCAAGAGATACCAAGAAATGATAGTCACGGCACATGCGGAGAGTTGTCCCTGGCATCGACGAGGATGCGACGCCACTATTCAGCGCATCGAAGGCCTCCTGAATACCAAGATGGCTTTGTCTGGTTTGCAGACACGTTATGATAGCCTGATGAGTCGAGCCGACGAAATACCCGAGCATGTCTCGCTGCCAGTTGAGAATCTCGAGGACGCACACATTTTGGAGGACTTTCGCTTCACTGAGTCCGAAAAGCCTCACTGCGATGCGTTGAAACTGGCGCTCTGTGGATGGGAGCGAAAAGGCGACGATATCATTGAGTGTCACCACTGTTTTCGTTCACTTGGGCTCTGGCTTTACCGCGGGGAGTCGCCGGCCATGGACCGCCTTGATGCAGTGGAAGATCATCTCGAATATTGCCCCTGGCGGTCAGCCGAGGCTCAGCACACAGAGGTTGTCGTAGGGGGTCGTGAGAACACAGACAACCCTGAGCCAAAGACGCGGCACCTTGCGGGTTGGGCCCTAGTCTTCCAGGCCATGCTTAAGGACCATAACAAGAAACGCGGGTCCAGGTCGGTGGGCTCCACCTTCACTTCTGAAGTCGAGTTGTCCACCGCAGGAAGCGAAGTGTCCTCGACACCGGCACAACGTGAGAAGAAGATGAGGGATTTATTGCGCAGAATCAAGGAAATCAAAAAGCCATTCAACGTCAAGTCTTTATTGAGACGCAAAGACAGGGCCCAAACATGACGAAGATTCGGAACGAATACCAGCATGTCACTGGCGGACTCCGAAGCTGTTCTCGGAGTCGAGCCCGTGCTGCAGCCGGGAAGCCAACCTCGGAAGCTCGAACGCCGGACATCGGTCACGGCTCGGAAAATATCGCAAGCTGTGCACGTGGGCTGCGCGGGCTATTGATCATTGAGACCAAGATTGCTTTTGATCGCTGGAGCTACAGTATATCTGCTGAGAGACCCGCCGGGGAAAGCCGGACTGTCATCGGGCGAGAGCTCTTGAAGTAATCTTGCAAGGCTGAGGCGGATAGAGACGTAGTGGATCTACAGATCACGGAGCCTTGTCGTCGAGACGGGAGGCGTGGGCGGCTATTTTTCAGGACATTGTTCCAATACCCGGAAGTCTCGAATCGGGGGCGATGGGGGAGAATTTGACGAATAAATTCTGAGTCTCATTTCCACCATCTCCACCATTTCCAACTGCGTCTAACTGAGACGGCGGTGCCTATTGGCTTGTACTCATATGGTGGTGTATCTCGACGCCAATTCTACAATGCTTGTCCTCTTCATCGGATATGTGTCTGTGTCGACGAGGCGCTGTTCCGACAATGGGGTTCTGCCGTAGGATGGTCTGGACTCCGTACCCAGGACCTTAGGTACTGCATCCGTGTCCGGACTCCGTACGTTCACTTGGCTGAGTTAGACTGTGGTGACTAGAGACCCGTACTTATGGAGCCGGGCCAATTGGTTGGGAATTGGACGATGGGAGCGCATGTGACAATTCAGGAATCACTGAGGCTGGAACGAGGCCAGAAAGAAAGCCGTTGACAGGCAAGGTATCTGCTTGTTCTATACCTAGGCACTGCAAGGCTGATGTTGTAGAATTTGTTGGCGGAGAGCATCCCGGAGGCCGTGAAATCGCCATACAGACACTGATGCCGCGGTTCGTAGTGGCGGGCAGTGACGGGAAGTATCTCTCTAGTAGGGCGCTAAGTACCAGGTACCTAGGATCTAGGCAGAGTTGCAGTAGAGACTCGAGGTACCTGGTTCGTGGTCTAACCACCCAGTAGTAGGCAGTTACTGTAGTACTCTGGCGTGCTCGTACAACCCCTACCAAGAACTCTCTAATACCCTAACAACTGGACCTAATAACCAGATCTAGTAGCCAACTACAGGTATTGTACCGCCTGAATTACCTAGGCACTCGTACTCCGTACTACTCGTACGTACAGTACAGCATTGCCAGCTGCACTCGGCGTCTTCCCCGCATCTTGCATCTCACCCAAAGCATCCCATGCGAAGTCGCCGTGTGTCACGACAATCATCCTCGTTCCATCCATGACTAGCCCAAAAAGCCGCGGCCACTAGATAATTGTCTCGTCCAATCCTCGGGCCTTCAAAAAACCGCTCGAGATGGCCATGCCCAATGGCCATCTTCAGCTATAAACAAGGACCAGCCCGTGCAAGGCAGGCCGTGGTCACACCTACATCACACACCACGCACGCACGCTCTTGCTCTGACCTGACCGTGACAACTTCTCCTCCTCCTCCTCTCCTCCTTCTCCTCTCCATTGCGGAGGTTCCTTTCCGTGCGGACAACCCTCTTTCGCCCGAGCTCCATTGATCGTGTGTATTGTCTGACTGCTGTTGTTGCATCCTTCCACCCATCTATCTGTATCCTCCGAGCCTTCGGCGACCGACCGTCTCACAAAAGTCACCGAAAGGGCTTCGCTAGCAGCGTCGAAGCCAAATAGCAGTAGACAAACTGCTCTCCGCGTCACCGCTCGCCCCGCACGTATCCCCGGCCGCACCCCGGACACATCCTCGAGGACAAACCGCCCAGTACCTGAGACTACCTCGCAGCGTGACACTCGCGCTCTTCAGGTGAGCCGGATGCCGTAGAAGTATTTCCTGTCTTTGAGGGAACCAGAACCTAACACCGAGCGTCATATATTCAGATACTGACTTGGAGACCCGCAGCCTCGATACCACCAGCCTTTTCCCATTCCAACCCTCAGCATGTCTAGCACTGCCAACCGCGTCAAGGATGGCGCCCGATCTGCGGCCGCCAAAGTCGAGGAAGTAGCCTCAGAAGCCGTCCATAACCCAGTCCAGGCCAAGAATGACTTCCTGCACACCCCCGTCGTGCGCGCAGCCCTGCCTTTCGTCAACGGAGGCCTTTCGGGCATGTTCGCGACAGCCTGCATTCAGCCCATAGACATGGTCAAGGTGCGACTGCAGCTGGCAGGAGAAGGAATAAGAACCGGACCAAAGCCCACGGCATTCGGTGTAGCCAAGGACATCATTGCACAGGGAAAAGCGCTGGACCTGTACACAGGTCTCTCGGCCGGTCTCCTAAGACAAGCGGTGTATACCACGGCCAGACTGGGCTTCTTTGATACCTTTCAGAACATGATGCAGGCAAGAGCAGAGAAAAATGGCACAAAGATTGGCTTCCTCGAACGTGGTGCGGCAGGGTTGACCGCCGGTGGTTTGGCGGCCATGGTGGGTAACCCGGCGGATTTGGCACTCATTCGCATGCAATCCGATGGCTTAAAGCCTAAGGAACAGCGAGCCAACTACCGTTCTGTCTTTGATGCGCTGCTTCGAATTGCCAAAACCGAAGGGATTGGTGCCTGGTGGGCGGGAGCGTATCCCACCGTAATCCGTGCCATGGCTCTCAACTTCGGTCAACTCACCTTCTTCGCCGAGTCCAAAGCTCAGCTCAAACATCATGCGCCAAACTGGTCAGAAGGCACCAGAACACTGAGCGCATCGGCCATCGCTGGTTTCTTTGCCTCGTTCTTCAGTCTCCCGTTTGATTTCATCAAGACGCGTCTGCAGAAACAGCAGAGAGGTCCCGATGGAAAGTTGCCGTACAACGGACTGTTTGACTGCGCCAAGAAGGTTGTCCGCGATGAGGGCTGGCTGAGATTCTATCGAGGATTTCCAACCTATTATGTCAGAATCGCACCCCATGCGTAAGTACTTGTATTTGTTCTCGCGGACGATACTGATGGTAAACAGGATGATCACTCTGATCGTGGCCGATTATCTGAAGCTGATTACCTCTTGAGTGAGCGACCGTTGACCCCCTTACATGAAAATCTACGCGTCATCTTGATGGACATTTGAGAATAGATTCACATAGAGCAGCATCAAGAGCTGGACGGTGTCATTGTCATCGCGGGGCGTCGCTCGACACCGCGACGAGAAATGGTACACATGTTGGAACGATCAGCTATGTGTTGCAGTCACGTCCGAGGACCGTACCAGGGCGCAGAGCAAGCTGAGGACACATCATGCAGGCGTTCCTGGCCTAACACACACAGGGTACCAAGACAGTATTAGACTTTTGGGTCTTTGGAAGCATGCTGTTGGTGTCTTTGAAAAGTAGCATCGAGAAGCATTGAGGTAGCCATCATTCCATAGGGAGATAGTATCTGTAATCATCAGTTGGACTAGGTACCTAGTATTTGGTGATTGAAGAAGGAGCAAAAACTGAATGACCGACATCGGGAGCGATTCTCTAGTCCTCATCCACACGTGATATTTCGGACTTTTATTTATCCGTCGCTGATGGCATGGGCTCCTCCGGTTGTGAAGCTACCCAAAGGTTCCCTTACGTTAGAGATCGCGGAGACCAGGGACAGAAGATCCTGGAGTAAAGTGAGCGTAACGACAGAGTTAGAGGCAAGTCAACCTTCCGAATGAGAAGTTAAGAGAGAAGATGCTTGGTTATTTTACTTCTCTTTCAGATTTGCGGAATGTCCAGTACCAGCCAGCAGGACGAGTATACCGGCTCCCATCCGGCCTTCTCTATCCGGCCCGCGACTCTCCAGACACGCGTCACGCAGGGATGTAGGAAAGTTTTCCCACTGTGCGTTGTTTGTGCTTATTGCTTATTCTATCGTCATATATATACGTATGAAAGGCTGCTCGAATCCTCTGGTTTCCTCTTATTGTTCATTCCCTTTCCGGTAGGTGTCCGAACGGGTATAAGTGACAGTGTCGAGCTCTAAGACAAAGGCCCGGATTCATTGTCGTCCTCGACCGAGAAGCCTTGCTAATTGATTGGGTGCATGCACTGCGCAGCAACGAGGTACTTTACGACAATATCTCAGAAAGCTCGGACCCATGGACTCAAGAAACTTGACCGGCATTCCTGATGGCCGTCTTATTCCACATCGACAAATCTCTCGGCGGCATCAAAACACTCCTTTGACTTTGGAATTGAGTTTGAAGGTCCTTCATCTGCTCTCATCTATCTTCGGCGCCTGACCACTGTATTGAGAGAACCAGGGGCCTTGGCTGAGCATGACCATGAGATGTTAGCGAGTATGAGACGACCCAGCCGTCGGCGAGAGTATGCTTTTATGATGATGGTGCCGTTATCATGTCGTGTCGAAGGTACTATATGTGTTTTGTGAGTACTGGGCCTCTTCGACGGTGTTGAGGACGGTGCAGGTGAATCTCAGAAAGATCAACCTCGAGTGAGCTGTATGCGCTGATCGACACAGTCGGAACAACCGTGGCCACGCAGGCATCATTGTGTAGGAGGAGAAAAAAAATTAATTCTTCTGGTGGCAAGATATTTCGGATCCATGCTTCCTCATAAAAAGGTGTGTTCTGGATTCCGTTGAAAGTCCGAAAGTCGGTATCGCCTCCCGGACGTGATATCCGTGTTCCACCTTTCCGCTTTCAATTTCTCTAACGCTTGCACGTATCCACGGATTCAGCCTTCCTCCTTTCCCTTCGTGTCTCTATGTCCCATTATTCTCAACACCGAGCTGGACGATCACACCTTTAGCTCCAGCAGAAAAGAAGGGATGAGAAATACATCCGTGGGGTCTCTTGATTCTGAGAGACCAAAGAAACGCCGTCGCGTACCAGCAGATCAACGCAAGCGGTCTAACCAGAGCTGTGACCTGTGTCGAAAGGTCAGTGCTATCGCAGCTGCACAAGTGTCAGAGATTTTTCTTCCCGTCGGTCGTCGACTGTGTGCCACGTGTCACCCTCCCTGAGCACGTGGGTAGTAAGCTAACGTTCGACCTCCATGGTGGGTTTCTTAGCGTCGTTGCAAATGCATTCCATCGGACAGTGTAGAAGGCACTTGCACGGTGTGTCTAGCGAACAAGGTGAATTGCTCCTTTGACTTGCCGAGAAAAACAAGGTTCTATGGAAGCTGGGATGATCTGAGCGATCGGTAAGCGGCTTGTGAACATCTTAACTACTATGAGCAGGAATAGATGGCGCTGACTGCCCACTCTCCAGGTACCGTTGCCTTCAGGCACTCGTCAACGGGGCTTTCCCTAACGATGACACCGACAGCGTGGCCAGCCTTATGCAACTGGGAAAGCGATTGGGCTATGACATGCCGGACTTGACCCAGTCTGAGCCTTTACCGAATGATGAACTGCTGAAAGAAATAGACAGTCAAACCGCCCGTCCCGAGGTCCATGGTGCAAACTCTAAGACTCCACAGCTTGGCCCCCAGAACCTGAACCAACGTCTCGAGGGTTCATCTATTGAAGCAAGGTCTCCTGGCTCTAATCAAAACCCAGGCAGAGCAGTCTCACGAAGGCAGTCGAGTGGCCTCATTAGAGACGATTCAGGGCACGCGCACTTTATAGGACCTTCGGGAACATTGTCTTTCTTTGCCGATCTTCGGCAACTTATCTCATCCCGTGAGAAGAAGTCAGGGGAGACAACTGCTGATTCAAGGTCTCCCTTCACAAACGATGACACAGCAAAAGCCCTTGAAGCCAATGACATTCACCACGAAAGTAATGAGCAGGATGAAGCTGGAGTCACCAATGGACCGTCACCCCAATCGATCCTGTCGGACTTATCGAAAGAGTTCTCCGGACCTGTACGTCCTGATCCATCGCATTATTTGAAGATTCTTCCCCCACAAGACACCATCAACGACTTGTGCCATGTCTATTTCACCAAGATTCATAGTGATTTCCCTCTCTTTCATCGGGCCACGTTTGAGGACGAACTGGAAGCGTTTGTGGTTCAAAGGAGGTCGAAAGTGCTGCCACATGCACGTAAAGCACATGAGACAACATTGACTACGTACGGACCCGACTTTGGCTGGCTTGCAAGCCTGTACATGATCCTGCTCCTTGGATCCGCAGTCCAATCAAGCAGCAATGTTGGATACGATGTGGTTGCGATGCGTCGGACTTGCCTGACTGAAGCTCGATCATTGCTGCCACAGCTCGTCAGCAGATGCACGATGACAAACGTGCAGGCTCTGCTTTTGCATTCTTTATTTCTGCACAACAACAATCACCGAAATGGCGCGTGGAATCTTCTGGGGACTGCCACTAGGATCTCTTTTGCGCTGGGCCTACACCGTCAAGATCTGGATACCTCCTTCCGACCGATTGAGAGAGAACTGCGTAAACGTGTCTTCTGTACGCTGTATGGCTTCGAACAGTTCCTGTCATCAAGTCTCGGAAGACCCAGTGGTCTGAACGAATTCGATGTTGAGATCAAAGCACCACGTGATGGCTTCCTGGATGACGGCGCTGGTACCAGTTCTGATTTCACTACCGCTAGATTGAAATTACAGAAAGTACTAGGTCAGACGAGGGCGGCGATTGCAAAACTAAAGGAAAAACTGAGTGCGGATGACGAAACTAGCATCTCGTGGGACTCGGCACATGCACCAGATGAGGAAGTCCTCGACATGCTAGAGTCATGGAAAAAGGACCTTCCGTTCCATTTACGTGTTCCTAGTATTGGAAGCCTTGACGGACTCGCACTACCAAAACCCGCCAGTCACGACACTACGGGCGATATGTCTTTACACAGTTTTGGTACATTATTGTCGCGCCAAACACCGGAACAATTGCGAGCTTTAGTGAAGCTTCATATTCAGTACCATTACATCGCACTTTTGGTCACTCGGCCTACACTTCTGTGGGAGGTATCTTCTACGAGCTCCCGTGATCCGAGTCACGGAGCAAGCCAGCAGGCCGTTCATGAGGTAACTCACGATGGGAGCGTCCACATGTCAGAGCATCCCTCGTCTATAAGCGAGACCTGTCAATATCATGCTGCTCAATTGGCTGCACTGATTGTCCTTCTGGACAGGTTTCGGCTCCTTAACGGTGTTTCTGCTCTTGATGTGTTCTACGCTTACTCAGCTGGCCTTGTCCTCATTCTCGGGTTATTGAGACCCCAAAAGCAGGATTCGTGCTCGGATGTGCGAGCACGAGAGCAAAGCTCGCCCAGTCATGAGAGCAAGGTCTTGATAAGCATTCTCAGGTCGACGATCAGGAAATTGCCAAAGTGTCCGACGATGAAACGGATGGCCGGTGTCATGGACAAATTCGCTAGCTCTATAATCCAAGAAGATCAGCCCGGAGGTTTGGAGCACAATGCTGATGTTGCCCTCGGGCATATCTCAGCAGAGGAAGACTTGCAAGGTCAGCAACATGGTATAACAGCTAGGCACGCAGGTGCTCCTCTCGATCAAAAACAGTCTGGAGGTGTTCTCCGGGATGGCGACGAGAGAGCTCGACTTTCTGGGATTATAGAAGAAAGAAGTACACACATGGGATCATTCTGGCCATCACCGGGCGAATCAACACATGCCGGAGGCGCTCATAACCATGGCAATCTCATCCCAGCTGGCCCAGGTGGTTTGCATGCGAGTCATCAACAATTGGGCTATACCCAGCACCACTCACATATGAACACGTCTGGAAATGGTCAATTGTTTGACTTTGGACAGCATCGGCAAATGTCGCATATGCATTATGCAAGCCATCCAGCTGGTCACACAGCGGCTGCTGGTGGTGGTGGTGGTGCCGGTGGTGGTTCGTCATTTCATCACATGCAGCTTAGCTATCATTATGCCCATAATTCATCGGATGCGTCACTTTCTCTGGAACCGTTTCGCAGCGATGCACCGGGGATGCAGTCGGAACATGCGTTGTTCTCGGGACTACAAGGACAGCAGCAGATGCAACAGCACTCGTTCTGGCATGATCCGTTTGGGAGGTTGGTGGATGGACACATTCTGGACTGGGCTGACCTGGAGACGTTTTTGGCTACATAAGACACATTGCTGTTGTGCCAGTGTCAATAGCGATAGAATGAAGTGACGAATGTTATGATTTTCCCCGTGCCTCTGCTATAACTCCAACCGCCATTCATATAGAATACTTACGGCGTGGACTTCTTGCATCTGGTGGCGCCAGAGCCGTAGTGTTTGACAGGGGTAAATCTCTCACGAGTACCTGTTCATTTGTTTACACAGTGCTCGTCATCATTGCTCGACGTGTCCGTCATGTAAGTTGAGTGATAAAAATGTATGGCGGCGACGACCGAAGTTTCGGGGGGGAGGGGGGGGGGGGGGGGGGGGGGGGGGGGGGGGGGGGGGGGGGGGGGGGGGGGGGGGGCGGAGATTACGGTCCCTGGAATATGGATTGTCTTTGCTCGTACGTATTAGCATTGATGGACATTTCGTCGTCGTGACAGCGGAAGCGTGCACTCGGATCATGAAGGCAGTAAGTATTTATTACTAATGCCTCATTATGAGTGGGGTATATCAAAAGGTACATTTCGGATGCATGTATCCTGCAGGCTGCCTGACCCTCTCTAGCCTACTTTGAAGTCGTAGACTATAGTACGTACTTCAGTGTCTTGTGTAATAATTAATACTCGACGCACTCGCCTGTACTCGTACCCGTTTCTGCACGAGAGTAGAGTACTGTCTACTCGTATCTTTGCTACCCGGGACCACAGTGCTGGTAGACTTTACTCCTCGCACTCGTTACGTGCCACTGTTGAGTGAATCCTGACTTCGAGAGACCCCTAGTACCTAAGCTCTGCCTGTCATATGCACGTCCTACGCATTGTCAGTTTGGCATACTTGGTTGTGAGCTACAGGGCGACACGGTCGAGTTCTACACTAGATTCAGCACAACCAACCAAACTTGACAGGACACGTTTTTCACGATCGCTGACCCCCCCCGGTCACTGTCTGTTCTTTGGGCGGCACCCTTGTGGACCTTCCCGTTCAACGTTCGATGTACCACGACAAATCGCTGTCTGGATCCATTTCGTATTCCGTGAACCCGTTGCCGAGAAAGGCCCACCGGTTCGGACTGTTGTACTCGACCTCGAAATCTTCCGGTCGCAGCTCGCTGATCAGCTTCTTGTACAGGATTGCGCTCCCCGCGAACGCGGCCGTGACTCGGCCGTCGACGGTGTTCCTCTTGTACCAGCTCTTGCACCCGCCGGACCAGACGAGTGTCTTGTGGATCTTGTCGCCGTACGTGATCAGCTCGTCCACGACCTCCGACTTGGGCACGACTGATTTGATGTCCTCGGTGCACATCTTCTTGAGCCACTTGACCAGATAGTCGCCCGTCCAATTGAGGCTCTCCATCAGCGAACCGTGCGCGATGACCGCGTTCGGACCCGTGAACATGAAGTAGTTCGGCATGTCCCTGGCGCAGATGGACAGGTACGATTCAGGATCGACGGCCCATTCTCTGGCGAGATCCACGCCGTTTCGGCCTATCATCCGCCATTGCGGGGTGAACGAGACGTCGAAGCCAGTGGCGCACGCGATCACGTCCACTTTATGGCGCGAGCCATCTGCGGCAATGATGCTATCTTCGGTGACGCGAACCACGCCCTGTTGGACGAGATGGACATTCGGCTTCAGAAATGCCTCCAGGTAGCCTTCGCCGGGAGTGATGCGGCGACAGCCCAGTTCCCAGGACGGAATCAGCTTCGCACACAGTTCCGGGTCGTGGTTGAGCTTCTCGGCCATTTGTTTGCGTGCGTCGTCGCTCACTTGTTTGTTGGCCGGCGTATCTTTGCCGAACTTTTGTAAGACCGTTAGATCGTGGCGTTGAGAAGTAAAAAGCAAATACATAGGCACTGGTCTTACCATCTTGAAGGCATTGTTGATCTTGTGGACTAGTGTCTTCCGGTATTGATGAAGGTGTGCGGGATCTTCGCGGAACCTCCGCTTGTCGTCCTCGGTATACTCGGGGTTTCCGGTGATATCGTCACGGTTGAGCAGTTTGCTGGGTGCCATACGGTAATAGATGTAGGTTGGGTTTCGCTGGAAACTGATGACATTCGTTCCCGGCAGCTTTGCAAGTGAAGGAACAATTTGAATGCCACTCGAGCCGTTTCCGATGACCCCGATCGTTTTGTTCGAGTAGTCATAGCTGTGGTTCCAATTGGCGGAATGGCATTTGTGGCCTTTGAAACTGTGCAGGCCTTTGATATCGGGCCACCGCCACTTACTGAGGAATAATCTCATTTTAGGCGATTTCAAGGAGCGATTCCCCAGACAAACTTACTTTAGAACACCCTGTCCAGATACTAAGATGTCGGTGTATTCAACCCATTCATGATCGCCATGCTGTATGGTGCATTTCCACCGACCAATGTCCTCCTGCCAGAGTGCTTCGAGAATTCTGTGGTTGAGCTTGACATCTCGGTCCAGGTTCCATTTCTTGGTAGTGTTGAGAATGTACTCGTGGATTTCCTTACCTGTGGAATAGAAATGGCTCCAGTTAGGGTTGGGATCGAAGGGAAACGCCTGCCAGACATTAACATTTCGTAGAAAGAACATGTTGGAGGTGAAGCATTACATAGATATGTGATGGCACATCGCACTGAACACCAGGGTAAGTATTCACGTACCAAGTTCCTCCTATCTCGTCTCTGGCCTCGTATATAGTGTGAGATATCAGGTCTTGCATCTCGGGATACTGGTGCTGCAGTTTATGGGCGAACAGAAGTCCCGAGAAGCCAGCCCCAACGGTGACGATCCTAAGCTTCTTTCTCGGAGTCCAAGCATTGGCTCGTCGCAATGGAACGTCGTTAGACTGCGACTTCAACTTGCCATTATGATATGCGCTGGCACCGTTGTGGTGGACAGGGTCCCCAGTGAGCGCTGGTTTGGCGCAGGCATTGTCCACGTTACCAGCCATGGTGATCAATGTCGTCTGAAGGTCTTATAAGTCAGAGTCGACGATCTCAAGGGATTCCAAAGGTTCCCTTGTCAGGTATAGAGGGTCACATCGTTGACACAGAACCCATAGACTTTCCTAGATCTTGTAGCACCAATGTTCGTGATTGATCCCCCGCATATGGCAACAGTCCCCAAAACTGATTCGGCTATCGGCAAAGCTGGTTTCTTACCGGTATTGATTCGTTACTGTTTGTAGTATACCCTCAAGTGAGCGAGGGAGGTATCTGATGTACAATAAGTTGACACTATTCGGACCTTCCACTTGACTCGTCCTGGGGCATTATGCTGTTGTAGAATAGGATTGTGCATTTGTGCTCTTCTCCTGTTATTCGGACCGTATACTCTGTAGAACGAACGGGCACCTGAGAAGAACACGGCATTATCTGTTGTAAGCTCGAGCGCGGTGTCAGCAAGTGCCATAGCGGCATCGTTACATTATCATTGATAGGATTTTGTGGTGAGAAGTGCACAGGATTCTAATCCAGCAGAAACAAACGAGTAGATATCTGCGTCTCAGATATGTTTGAGCTGCCGTACTTAAGAAGGCATTCCACGGTGAACCATGAAAGCCCGTAATGCAGAATCAAATGTGGAAGTTCTGGCGAGGGTCCCTCTGCCTGCGTTTTCCCTCCGACATCAAGATGAAGTTGCATATTCCGGTCCTCACAGAGTCTTACTTGTACACAGCTACCGGTGCTTGACTATGTATCTCAGACAATATCAGTATGAGTGCTGCAAGTCTTCTTCTACAGCTCGTTCTGGTTGGCACCCAAACCCATTTCGAAAGTAGAGGTTTGATTGACGAAAAGCGACTCGAACACTTGCTAATTGCGGGAAAACAAATACTCTACAAGTCTCACCAAGAAAGCGATGTCCGGTCGTCGTTGGGCTTCAACCCCCGGGTATGGGATGGTCTAACTAAAGTTCTCACCGTCGCCATACCTGCGCTGGAGCAACAGTCTTTCTCCTGGAAGAATCCGCCGGCGACAAGTTTCAACGGCAGCAGTTCAGAATTGATCGCGTCGCATTACCTCTCTCTCGTCAAGGATATCGAACGCCTAAATGATCTCTGTACAATAGCACGGAATCTACTAGCGACGACCAAGAAAGCCCAAAACCTTGCTGCTGACAAGGGTTTCGACCAACAGATCCTGAAACTGATCGATGTTTGCGTCCGTGTGACGGCTCGAGGTTATGATGGAGAACAAAACCAGCGAAATGAAGAGAGATGGCAAAAGGTCGTCAACCTTTACAAGAGACTACTCATCACATGCCTGCAATTCCTACACAACTTCATCATGCACAATGAACAACGCAAGTTGGTCCTGTGGCTGGATCTCTTTGGCCAGGCGCAAGCACATGATAGTGATAGGAATTTACCTCATGGCCAAGAGATCGAGGGCAGCTCAAGCGGTCGGCGTACGACTTTTCAGGACGAGATAATTCGATCTACCGCCGAACAGCTCGAACGAATGGATCCCAAAGAAGCAAGCGAGAAACTCGGTTACAACCTTAATGATATACATGCCCTGTTCGACGTTATGGGCAGTGCTGAAACAGGCATAAACATAGACGAGGAAAAGCGGGCACAGATGACAAAAGTCATGGAGAAGATCAGAAGTGATATGGCCAGACTATCGGGTGTGACTCTCGACCAGTTAGCGACTACTCCAGAAGCCGTGCTCAAAGTCGGGGCCCAACTGCGCCGTCATATCACGTCTATGGACACTACAAAAGCTCAAATTGGACAAAACGGAGGAACAACTGTTGAAAACGGCGAGTCCGCTAATGGCCACACTCAACCTGCTCAAGCGAGTAATCTACCAGAGCTGAATTCCCAAGGTGGATTTGTCGACGCAGGTCAGACTCTGACAGATGAAGACTTGTCCATGCCCAGAACGGCGCAGTCTGCGGCTGCCACTCTCAAAGAGGCCAAAGACGAACTCATGGCTCGATTGCACGAAGCAGGTCCGCTTGTCGATGAGAATGGTGATGTTTCTTATGATGAAGATGGCAACCCTGAAGACTACGATGACGATTTGGTCGATAGCGTTGACGATAGTATGGAAGACGAAGACGAAGAAGACGACGATTATCATGGCTCAGGAGATCAAGAGAGGGGTCTACTCACTGACGTACCTCTGGTGCTGGGGCCGACAGAGATTGAAGCACTCCCCATGATCATTCAAGCCGGTATCGTGGACAACTTTGGCTCGAAGGCTCATGAGCGCAACGGCACCAAGAACATGCAAGCAGTTCGCTGCCATATTCTACTGGCACAGGAAGCGGGGCGGAACGTGTTGCGAGAGTTGTTGATCTTCATCGCCGCCTGGGATCTTCCCGATGATGAGTTTTACTTCAAAATGATGGTTCAGATTATGGAATCAATCCTGAAGAACGGACTTATGTCTCATGCCTACTCAGACTTTGGGCAGCCGAAAGATATTATCTCACCAGCCCAAGCCGTGGTCATCAAGATCCTTACCCACATCTTCCGTGCGAAGTACAGTCCAGCGGCTGTTGTCCAAAACTCAAACGAGCAGTCGCAACCAAAATCACGTGTTCCTGCTCCACTCAACAGAGTGGACATCCTGACTGTCCGGTATATCTTCATCGTATTCCGGGGCAACATCATCCCGGAGACCTGTGCTCTGATCTATCTCCAGGGGCAGATTCGTGCGGGACGCGCACTTGCCGAAGACTTCCCGCTCAATCTTTGGGATATGGAGAGGGTCTATGAGGGTGTTTATCAGTTCCTGGAGTTTTTCGCTGTCCTCACAGAGAACAATGACTGGAAAAACCTTCTTGTCAAGTGGGAAATCGTCTACGATCTTGTCACTCTGATCAAGGAACTTGACAATAGCATTGCCAAGGTCCCCTTGACTAAAACGATGCCGCCGCCAAGTACCACTGCCACAGCCAACGGTACCAAACACAATGGCACCGAGTCGAATTCGAAAACGTCAGCTCCCGTTGCCGTTGAGAGACCGTATGACGTGGATCCCGTAACGCAAAAGACGCAAGAACAGGCCAGTCCAGACAAAGATGCCGTGCCACCAACATCGAATTCTCCGCCACCTCCACAGGTTGCCGAGGAGCCTGCTGACTTTGAATGGCGCAATCTGAAGAAGCTCATTGTTCTCGTCCTATCAAGTTTGGTGTGGAAATCACCAACAGTGCAGAACCAGATCAGAGAATATGGAGGCGTTGAGACAATTCTGAGCTGCACTCAATACGATGGTATGTGCTGAGCCTGTCTTGACGTGGGCAGTAGAACTAACTCAGAGCGCTAGCATGTAACCCGTACATCAAAGAGCACGCGGTGATGTGCCTCAAATTCCTCCTGGAAAATAACCCCGAGAACCAGGCCTTGGTCTCGAGCTTGGAAGCACGAGAAGTGGCCACTCCTGACGCAACAACTCAAGAAGTCATTGATAAAATGAACATCAAGTTCCAACTCAACAAGGACGGAAAAGTCGAACTAAGCGACAAGGAACTCACGTACCTGAAAAACATACAGGCCGAAGCTCAACGGACGCCGATGAAGTTGAGCAACAGCAACAGAGACAGCGGCAGAATTGTACCTATCATGGAGGGTGCAGCTGTCGAATCGAGCACAGACAAGGGGAAGGGCAAAGCAACATCCCCCGATGACGAAATCGAGTTTATGTAGGGCATCAGCCAGAAAAGGAACGTCTTGCTTGGTAAAATGAAGGAGTATCTGAAATACGGCATGGACAAGCGAGTGGGGACGCTCTGGGCCGGCTTTTGTCTGACCAACGGAAGAAACTTTGTGTCTCTCCCACAGTTTTACAGAATCTCATATTGGTTCCAATCGACCCGGAAAGATTCGCTCGACAATCTTTTTGGAGTACCTCCCCACCAGCGTGGGTAGTATGTATCTACCTATGTAGTAGGTATGGAGTATGCAGCGGCGCACAGCATGGGGTCTACAGATAGATATTCTTATCCGTGGATCAATGTTGAATTGAGGAGTGGGCGTCGCTCAACTCTAGGTAGGCGCATCGGCCTTGAGTACATTGCCACAGTAACTCCCTTCTTTCTTACCTACCTAAGCGGGCGAGGGTCAGTGGTTGTTCCTACAACTACGCATAACACCGATAAACAGAAATCTACCGTTCTTCTCAAGCGGGGTGAAACCTGTCTGGCTTATAATGAAGCGTTTGGTGCCGCATGATGAAGATGGACCGCACGAAGCAGATTGAAGTTTCCTTTGACATTGATCTCCCATCCTTGTACCACTCATCGAAATCCGAAGATTGTAGAGAGCCAGGCTGGGCGAGGAAACCCCCATTGGCAACCAAAACATCGATTTTACCCGGCTTGATGGGACGGCCCCGTTGCACAGCATTTCTCGTCAGCGGCGTTGCCAGCTGTAGAAATTACTGATTGTTGGTTCAAGAGTGATGTAGCTAAACACTGCCATCTCCAACCCGATTCTCTTCATGTAGCGCAAAGGCACTGAAGGGCTAGAAAGGAGTCATCTGTCGAGTGTACACTCTTGGATTTGGCGCGACCGCTGATCCAACAGGCTGTCATCACCGATTATCAGTATGTATTCTACGTGACCCGTCAGCCACCCTCTTGAAGGCCCCACCCAGGAAGTGGAGTTGGACTTTCGTTCTCGAATTCCGCCGACTAGTTACCTTAGGTCCTTAGGTAGTCTTCCTCTGCTCCTCCTCAATTTCCCGACATCACATCACCCTATGTACGTTTTATGACTCGGGCGGCGTAGCACATCTGTCTCGTACACAACTCCAGCCACGGAGCATATCTAATCTGGACGATCCGTCCTTCTTTATGGACTACTGCGGTCTGTATCGTACCCAGAGTTTGTTTGCTAGGTTGTGTGAAGAATGGATGAGTATCTCGTCCGATCTACGTCTGAACTTCCCGGTCTCCTCAAAGCGGTATAGGATACGAGACACCGGGTGGGTCCGGATGTATTTCTCTCACCGTCGACGAGTCGTGAGGGACTTTTCTGTCCCGCCTTCGCCTGGCGCCGTAGCCTTGTTAGCCTGATCAGGACTGGCGCAAGCCTCGACACCGCATTGCGCTCGCACCCCTGGCATTTACTCACGCAGTCCTTGGTAAGACCTCCAGGTACTGTACCTCAGGTAAGGCAGCTCCTAGTTCTCGACTCTCAGTTATCTACCTAGCATCAACACGATCAATACTGTTATGAGATCCTGACACTTTTCTTTCCACGGAATCAAGTTCTCTGTCTTCTTCCAATCTACACACACACACACACAATCTTTCGTGACCCATCTTTTGTTCATCAAACCTCACACGACCCGGGGGAGGGGAGAGCGCCCTAGTTACTACTACTAATAACAGCTGACCATGGCCATCAACGCCGCCGGCATCGTAATGGGCGCACAGGGACTCTTCCTGCTCGGCAACGGCGTCTACCTCCTCGCCTTCCCAGACCGCCCGGCATCCGACCCCAACGGTCCATTCTACAATACTCCAGTCTCGGTGATTCGGGCATTCAGGTACGGTGACCTACCGACTCTCCTTTGCCTTTGAAAGGGAACGCGAACCCGCGGCCTTTTTCCCAACCCGTGTTGAATGAATGGCATTCTGACGCTTTTGAAAAATCTACCCAGCACAACGTCTTTCTCTATTGGCGCATTTTACTTGCAGGCTGTCTACCAGAGGAATCGAAGCGTCACGGCGCTGAGTGTCGTGGGCCGCGCAATGGCCGTTGGTGTCTTTGGGTTCATGTGTGGTGAGGGCGCGTGGAGAAAGGTCGCAGCCTTCGAAGGTGCAATGGGCGTTCTGTTGGCGCTGAGCCTTTTCGTCTGAATTCATCTAGCAAAGCGGTCTGGAGCAACAGTCATCTTTGTGCATGGATGGGTTCTGCCACGCATGGAAACACGAAATTCCGGATTCTCTACTCAAATTCTTCTTCTCTATCTGTTTGGCTCCGGATCTAGTAGTGTGGTTGCTCCGTGGATACAATGCCTCTGACAATGCCCAGGTCTTGAAGACCTCTACATGACCGGAGAAGACATGCCAGGCAGAGGCAAGGACGTCTGACGGGCAGCATTTTCTAGAGTCGAGTACCAAGCCCCTTAGCGGGTTTGACACAGTGCCGTGCGTTGTCGGGAGGCCGATCATAGGGGCTAGAGACACCTGTGAACTTCGAATTCCGCAGCGGACCCAGAAGGAACTGCGTAATCGCCCGAAGAAGATCAAAAGATGCAGTCAGTCTTTGATTCTCACATCCGGCATGTTTGGCGTGTCGGCAAAATAGTTCTGAGACATGCTGAAGAAAATACTCCAGTCAGGGAGCCATCTCACCGTTGGACAACCCATAAACCAACGACGAACCATTATAAACTCTGAAGATGCCAGTGCTTTCACTATTCCGACAGTTTATAGGGGTCGTGATTAAGCACTACTTAAGGTAGGCGTTGGTCACGCATGACTTTATCCAGTTCGATCGTCTCTCCAGCCGACATGGTAAATGACCAGTAGCTTCGTACAGAATGCCATTCCACCTTACTACCTAGGTACAACGTAGGTACTCGTTCAGTACACTCTCTCGTTCATGTGAACGCACATCCCCCCGTGCTTGCTACACCAGACGCGCAGATTGTCAGGCCAGTCGATGTGAGCGCGGCGCTCGACGTCCCTTTTGTCGTTGTCACCGTAGTAGCTGTACGGCGCGTACCAGGACGTACAGTAGTCCATCTGCGGAGTGCACCATTTGACCATCTTGGGTTTCTTGTTCGTAGGCAATTTGCCCTCTTTGGGCTGCAGGCCGTTGTCTCGCTTCTCGTTGGGGTTGTCATCGGCACTGTCGTCTGCAGCGAGCGCAGCAGGATGGGACGCGGCGTACTCGAGAGCGTGTAGGAATGTTGCGTCGTTGACTATGATGACTTTGTTCTTGAACATGCCCTCGTACGACGTATACGGAGGCATGGACGCCGGTGCTGATGCTGACGTGGTCGGTGGTGAAATGGAAGAGGTGACATTGGCACTGATCCTCGCGCTTGCGGCTGTTGTGTCTGAGGCTGTCTCTGTGTCTGTGTCGTTATCGGTGTCGCCGTCTGCGTCGCTATATGCTGAGGAAGCATACGCTGCGTCATAGGCGTCAATGGACGGACTGACTTCAGCACCGACGGCGTCGTCTGGAGTGGGAATCGCGGCGACAGCCAACGCGAGTGCGAAGAGGATGGAGAGGATGGCCCGAGTCATGAGCTTCATGGGGTCGTGTTATCGTAGATGGTGCTAGCAGCGAAGTTCTGCCTTGAGAGTCCTTGTGTATATTTGGTTGGATGTAGGGTTGACTTCGAGGGGGTTGACTGACCGGACTTGAAATTGGTGTCTTGGGTTTATTGGAAGTGCTTATTGAGTGCTCTGTTCGGCCAGTTCTTTGTCTCAAGTTGCTTTGGGAGCAGTGTTTTGTTCCTCACCAAGACCATTTCGTTCCCAATGCGGAAACATACCCTTGTCGTCAAGAAAACCCAGTGGCCGCGGGGAAGCGGGGGTTGTGTAGTTTCCGATTATCTGGTAAACTCTTGGGGTGTTGAGGAATTCTGTTGCGGTCTGGTTGTACCTAGATATAAGCAGTATCAGAGAAGACTCCGCCGAAACAGTTCACTGCTCCCTTCGCCGAGAGCTGTTGGTTGGAGACAAAGCCAGCGTCTGGCATGAAGAATCCTTTGTCTGCAGCCATTGCTGAGGAAAAGCTGGGACCCGGGCATCGGTCGCCGCACAGATTGACACTCTTGCCTTCGTTGGGTCTTGCAAGAATGTCAACAGAATCCTTAGCAGCACCTTATTTGTGAGAGAATCTGATGTGTCGATAAACACAATGTTTACAGTGCGATGAGCATTCTCGGATTCTGGAGGGATTGTGCTCTGGACAGCCCCGTCGACTCAGCCTCGTTGCCCCTGTCCAAAATCTCCCTGATCTGACATCGTCATTTGAATGTCAAGTGTTAGATAATCCCCGTAGTTTCTGTCAGTCAAAATCGTTCAGCAGTGACTCAGTGGCGCAGCGACTCTCGGCCAATCAGGGTTCACCATCTTGCATTAGTCTCTTGAGGGGTTGTAGGCCACAGGCCACACGCTTCATCATTCAAAAGGCTTCACCATCCAGTCTTTGATGCCTGGCTTCTTCTTCTCCTCCATCCTCTTTCACATCGTTCAATCCCATTTCTTCTTCGACATCCTTGTCGCACACCTCTCTGCCCTCAATGTCCCCGGATTCCGACGGCTTGCCAAGTAGCCACCACTCACCTACCCGGACTCACCGGTGTAGCCGTTACTCTCGTGCCATCATGTACGAGAACGAGATCAAGTTGTTGTCATGCGACGGAGGCGGCGTTCGTGGCGTGTCAGGTCTACTCACTTTGCTGGTGTTGACGCAAGTTGAAGTTGCGTCAACAGCAGCAGTCTCTATGGGACCAGGCTTGATCCGCTCGGAGCCCTCCCCGCTCGTTGTCTCACGTCTCTTGCTTGATTTGGTCGCCAGGACAAGCACTACGGGAATCATTGCCACTGTGTTTGCGAACTTGAACAAGTTGCTGATTGATGTACCAAATGAGCTATCTTACATATTGTCTCAACTTCTCATTTTTCCGGGCATCCCCAAGACTCAATTTACTGTCGTCAACCGACCAGCCTTTGGTGTTCCGACCTTCGACAAGATCTGTGGTAGGGAGAAATATCGCGCCACGGATATGTTGCGGACGATGAGAATCCTGACGGAAGCAATTGATCATCTAACCGGAGAGACAAGATTCCGAAACAACATTGTTCACCAAGGCGAGAAGACTTAGCCATACAGTGTTGGATCGTTGGCTAACTATTCCAGATCTCACACCGAAAAATGTTCTCTGTTTTGCCAGAGATGCGCCGTCTCAGTTGATGCTAAAGGAGTTTGGATATTTGGGCCCCCTCTATGGCCCCCCTGATTCTGTACTGGCCTCCATTGGTGGCGTTCAACTCGGCCAGGCTACGAAGGCACTCACCATGAACCGTACCACGAGACAGAGTTTAGGCATTTTCTTGGACGCCATGGATGAACTCAAAGGGATCAAAGCCGGGTTTCCCATTCATACCGACCGGCCCAAGCTGGAATGGGTTTGGACAAACTCTCAATGGTGTCGTTGGGTCACAGTTTGGATCTCAGAGGTTCCAGACTGTGGGCATTCTCTCCTCGCTAGATCTCTCGTCGATATCGATCTTCAGGCTGCTGACAAACAAATGGCCCCCTCCTTTGACTTCAAGGACAACCAGCAGCAAAATCCATCAACGGTGCTTTGTGTCCTCATGTCTCGTGGCCATTCGGTTGATAACAGCTGCATCCTTGAGGCATTGTTTGGAGTACCAGTCCCTACGCCCACAGGCCGAAGTACGAGGTGCCCATGGGAGATCAAGTTGGGACAGAAGGGAGTCCCTCTCGTCCGGGTATCTATTCGAACTGGAAGCAATGCCTCCGAAGAAGGACGACGTTGGGCGTGGTCTTGCGGAACCAATTTTGGCCTGCTTGAGCGAGCCTACTATCCACCCCCAAGCAGAAGAAATACCCTACATGAGAGCGGTCCGAAATCGTCGAAGTGGGATTCCTATGACAATCATCTAGACTATGGATCAAGTCCCTTATATCCAATGTCTCGCTCGGAACTTTTGGCCTTAAGAGAGTGGCTGAAAGAGAACCTTCGAAAGGGGTTTATTCGACCTAGCTCGTCACCTACTGCCTCGCCTATTCTGCTTCGGCATACTACGAAGCTGGCTCCGCAATTCCAAAGAGAGCAAGTATCAGTTCGATTGCGATTCATGTGGTGTGGTGTAGAGATGTCCATCGGTATGAAGTTACTCCGGTCCATTTCTACACCGTACCATCTGGTTCGCCATCGAGCACGCATCCGCAGACTTTGGCATTTGGATTTTCCCACACCTTGACCACCACTGTTCAGACGCGTCGAAGACGCTCTCACATCCAACAAGCTCTAGGCCCGTCATCGTCGGTTGACCTCTGTCGGAGCCTTGCATACCCAGACCATCCAACGACGTACATCCACATCCATCATACGACTGAGTGATCGCCTTCTGGCAATCGGCCGCAACAATGCACAGTATACTGCAACCAATGCCCCAACTCACCACTCACAACACTGCGAACGCGGCCACAATGACCGCTCCCAACCTTGACTACGACATTCTAAACAACATGGACTACCTGGACGACGTCAACTACGACGACTTTGTCCTATACCCCACCAGCGACGCCGATATTCGCATGGGCGATGATCTGGTCTCGAGGTTCTTTCCCGAGTTCGATTTCAACCCTCAGTCTTCACATTCTCCGACTCCATGCTCGCCGGCATCCCGCACCTCAAATCAAATGTACCACTGTACTGACTGCTCCGAATCTTTCCGGCGCCCCTGCGACCTCAATCGGCATCGCCTCAAACATGATACTCCGTTCAAATGCGTGCAGGAAGGATGTGGCATGGCATTTTCGGAGAAGCGACGATGCAAACAACACGAGAAGCGAAGACACGGACTTGTCACCGAGCATGACTTCAAAAAATGTAGCTTGTGCGACTACAATTCCATCCGTCCCGATGCGGTCAGGAGGCACATGAAACTAAAACATGGCGTCCACGTGAGTTTCAGGTCCAAGGAATCACCAGCCAGCAATAGCAGCAATAGCAGCAGCAACAGCAGTACCGTGTCGCCCAGGAGTTCCGAGCCATGAAACCAATCAGGATGAAATGAAGACAGGATATGACATGATGACATCAATCGAATGTTCCACGTTGGGGTGCGTTGGCTGACCTTTTGCCATGGTATGGATAAGGAGATGATATAATTTTTCCAGGCGTTGATGGATTTACTGGATGGGATGTACGCAACTTTTTTTTATTAGGGTATGCGCAATAAGTGATTTTCTACGTTCTACACGACTTCTTCTGTGTTTCAAACGCTCTTCTTCGTCTTCTACGTCACTCATCCGTTCTCTACTACGTTCCAGTCTGCCAAGTCCTCGGTAGTCTGAAATTCTCAATCATAGTACTTGGCTTTGACGCCCTTGATGATGGTCTCCTCATCCTTACCCTGCCGGCTCACGTTCTTCGCAACACGCGCCCTCACCCATTCGCCCGCCGTCAGACCGACGGTAGCCTGGTCGAGAGGACCCTCGTCGTACCCCAACCGCCGAAGCACCGGGCTCTCAATCGGGACCAGCTTCGTGTCGTCCTCCGGCCTGACAAAGTACAGGACCCCGTGACGGTCGATGTCGGCTTGATCCGGCGGCGGCGCGACTACGCGGTGGATGCTGCTTTTCAAGAACCCGTTCGTGAGGAACTGTAGCGCGTCGGCGACGTTGACGGTGATGCTTTCGGGGTACGGTTTGACGTAGCGCCACTCGCCTTCGGGGGTGCGTATTTGTAACGCGGCCACGGGTTGTCTAGCATTGAGGAAGTGTTAGTCTGTTGTTCTCGCTCTTGATTTCGTTTTCGGTCTCGATCAACTCTTTACGAGAACAGCAGCCGTGCCACCGGTCCCAGTCGCGGTCCTCGTAGTCCACGGGTCCTAGCGTGATCATGGATGAAGAGCGGAGCATAATCGGATTTCGGCTTACCTGAACAACAGTGTCAAACTACCAAAGTCCGTATGTCCTTTGACCCAGACATTGTCCAGTTCCGCATTCTGCTCCGGCGTGCGGCGGTGATACTTCATGTACCGAAAATGGCAGTCACTATTCTCGTCGTAGCGGTGGTTCGCGAGGAAAAAGTCCTCGGGCAATTCGAGAACGATGGCAAACAGTACGAGTAGTTTCCGCACGATCTCGAAATGGATGTGGCGCGCGAACCGCTCGATCTCGGCCCTGTGCTGCGTGATGACGGGCGGGTGGGCGCGCGCATAGTGGGGAGTGAATTTCGGAATGTTGTAGATCTCCGTGTTGTCGCGAATGCCGGGCCTGACTTCGCGCGTGCCCAGCGGCTTGTAGCCGTTGTATCCGCCGTTCTCGAGGTCGGCGCGGTACTGTAGTTTCTCGTCCGTGGGGAGCTCGAAGACCTGTTTGCACAGACTGAATTGCCGATCGACCTCGTCTTGACTCAGGCCGAAATTGGTGATGTAGAAGAATCCTTGTTTGCGTGGTAGACGGAATCAGTAGCGGACATGGGTGTATGCTCATCTCTCGGTGCTCAGTTGAAGGCGGGGAGATGTTTTAAGTGTAACTCAGGTAATCCCCCCGTATGGACACATGGACACATGAGCAGACCTACCTATTCTGTTGACGGCGTCGAAAAGCTGAGCGGCAAGGGCTTGTTTACCGCCCTCTTGGTCGAACTTGTTGAGATCAAGAGTGACTAGATCCGCCCAGGCCACTTTTGCGGGTAAGTAGTGGGCTTGGTCAGCATTATGTACAAGAAACACAGAGGACGAGATATCCTCGGTCGAGGGGGTTAATTATCGTCAGTACTTACGCTCATGCTTTGTTTCGGTGACTTGAATCCATTTCGGGATTGAGTGGGGGGTCGAGTCGGTGATTGTCTGGGTCGCCATGATGATAGCGATGGGCAAGTCCTCGATCCAGTGTCACAGCGTGAAGCAATCGATAAAGTCATGGACCGCGGTGAGGTTCTTCTTGCCATCATCAGACGAAGTCCAGATGCGGGGATTTCGGTTACTGTTGTATTGTATCCGTAAAGTAGATCGTCTGCGTGGGAATGGGGGCGGCGGGGTTGCCGGACTCGTTTCCGTGTCTGGGGATTCGCGGGATACGTTACTACGCCGACTCGCACAAGAACGAGAGGTGGCAACCATACGCGGCGGGTCCGTCCGCAATGGCTCCTGTCAAGTAACTAAGCTGCGGTAGCTTAAAGAAGAGCCGCACTGGCATCAATCTGTGATGATCATTTCTCCGAGGCCTTGTTAATTGCTGTTGTAAGAGAGAGAGTGTGTGTGAAAGTGCAGAGAAGATATTTGCCGCGGGCATATCCGTCCTGCTCTCGGAGTAATCCAGCCTTGCGGAACGATACATACTTTGGCGGCTCCGCCACGTATTCCCAGAAGTTTGATCCCAGAGCGCTAAAACGACGTGCACGAGCACTTCGTCCTATACCTACTTATAATACTAAACTTTAGGCCACGTATATTAAAGATCTGACCCGGGATGGATGTGTCAGACTTATTACATACTGATAAGTGGGGCAAGTATAGTAAATAATACTGAACTGGGGTGCGGCTCTAGTTGGGGCCTAAGACGATTTCCCTCTCACAACCAACCACCAACCCCCTAAACACCCTATACCAATGCTTGGCATGGCAGCGACGGCTGAGGTGGCCATGGAGGGCCCCGTGGCGATCGCTACAGGGTTGTATAAGTGTCCTAGGTTGCTCTCTGTGCGTGTTATCATCTATAAGTTTATGAATTTTGAAGTTTTTGTTATAGATTGATATCCAGTTTAGTTTAATAGTAATTTTTGATGGTGGGCGCGCGGGACAATATACTGCGGGCAATCTCGGCGGTGGGACACTTCTTCTCCCCCAAACTAGGGCTCGTGCCCATGAATTTTCCCACCGGAAGGGCCCCTCCGGCCTTGATACTACGTACACCCCGCTTGTTCGCTTGGTATGGCGGGGAGGGTGTCGACCCTACTAAAGACAAGCCTGCTCCTTTCCACCACATGGGCAACTCACCCTTCACAGATATCACATCGACAGCTTGAATTCTCAGGTCGCCTAACTTCAACATGACGACCCGCACAAGAAAAGTTGTAGCCACCAGAGACGGGATCAAATGGCACGTCGAACAAGAAGGCTCCGGTCCAGATATTGTGTTAGTTCCGGACGGCTTGGGCGAATGTCAAATGTTCGACAAACCCATGTCCATGATCGCTGCGAGTGGCTTCCGTGTCACGACGTTCGATATGCCAGGAATGTCCCGATCAAAGGTCGCGCCTCCAGAAACGTACCAGGAGATCACAGGCCACAAATTGGCGACGTTTGTCGACGGGCTGCTGGAGGAGCTGAACATCCCAGTCGCTTCCTTCTGGGGCTGCAGCTCGGGTGCGTCGACGGTACTTGCTCTATGCGCGGCCTTTCCAGATCGCGTGCGCAATGCGATGCCGCACGAGCTGCCGACGAAGAACCCAGAAGCTATTACCGACATCCATGAGAAAGACCCCGCTGAGATCACTAGAGATATGGAGGCCACCACGAAGGCCATGTCAGGCAGCGTTGAGGCATGGGACGCCCTTGGGCCCGAAGTTCACGCCAGGCTTCGTGACAACTATGTTCGCTGGGCATACGGATATCCGGCCACTATCCCCGCCTCTGCGCCCACGAAGCCAGAAGACTTGCATAAGAGGCCGGTGGATTGGACCGTTGGCGGCGGCACACCCACTGCTTTTTTCTTCGACAACATTGTCATTGCTGTGAAGGAGGGCTTGAATATTGGACTGCTTCCAGGCAGCCATTTTCCTTACGTGTCTCACCCCGAGGTGTTTGCCAAGCATGTAGTGGAAACGTGCCAGAAGTATACCTAGGTATCTAAATGTGGGAAGTGACAACCCGCGGAGAGTATTCTGGACTCTGGCACAAGCAGAGTTGGCAAGAATCGATTCCCGGCTCCGAATCACGATTCCCTAGACTCCGTGAATCTAATCGCAATTCCCTAACCGATTCCTGAGTGCTGCGGTAAAAGTACTCGGAAATTGGTATTACTCCACCTATAGAATTAACAGTAGGCACTCCATCGTCTCTTCCTGGACCGCCAAGTCTTACGACATATAGGTATATTGGGAATCGATTCGTGAGTCGGTTCATTCCAAGACCTCCCTCACGGCTATGGCTCACGATTGTCCATTCCCAGGCCTTCATTGGTCTCTGTTATCCAAATTGTAAAGCACGGCAGCTTCGCCCTTTCCCCGGCTGTTGGACTAGGCTGAGTTGCGGGCGCTGTCAGTGACCGTCTTTACAAGCCAAATACTCACGCCTAGCGCCCCCGGCGGAACGCCGAGGCCCTCACGTTCCTTACAAGTTTTACAACACCATCAATTCACTCCTTTGCTATAGAATGCTATACCATCGGACTTCACAGGGAGGCTTTCTCTCCGTCTAGAACGTCGCCCGATAGAACGCCGCCCGAGAACGGCCGATGACTCCACGCGGCGCGCTGTGCGACGGCGAGAAAGCCCTCCCTTGGAACGCTCCTTTTGCCTATATAATAGATAGAGATCTCTCTCTCTAGGAGGGAGGTCAGACTCGTCAATACATCCCATTTAGCCCCCAGACATCGCCTAGAACTGAGTGTTGCACAACACCGGCCCATGAGATGAGGAGCATCCAGAGTTACGTTGACCTGACTGGAATAGGAGTTAGTTTGTTATTGTCTATCACTCAGCAAGACAAGCTCCCGAGGCGCCTGGTGATTTACCTTGTCAATTTGTGGTCGACGCTCGGGGTGAAGAACGCTGCAATAAAAGCCGGCACTGCTCTGTGTCAGAGGCTAGATCGCAGACAATCGGGTTGACTCACCGCCAAACGCTATGGTGACCAGGTACACAAGCTTGAAAGCTTGAGAATATACATCCTTACTAGCTTCGTCTGCTGCTGCGAGGATAATGGGAGTGACGCCGGTAACTGCTTCGAGAGCCGTACTGTTGTGGCTGAGAAACGCAGCTATGCACAGTCAATAAAATACAACAGAATGCTAAAACATTGGAGAGGCATACGAAGGAAATTTTGTACCTCCGCAAGAGGCAGTCCTGCTTTAGTTACTGCTGCTGCCACTGAGGGCGCCAAATCGCTTGCCGTCGTGTCCCGAATGATAGAGCTATAGATGGCCAGAGCGATGGCGCCACCGATAGCTGTAGTTGAACCCATAAGCCTGGCTAGTCGTCAGTCATTGTCTCTAAAACTTCTCTCTATCTCAAAAATACCCAGTTGCTAATCCAATATGCTTATCTGAAGCACCAAACTGTAGCATAAGAATCTTTAACATATGCGTGGCTCCGACAAACCCTGCAGCGAACACCACCAAAACGATGGCTCGAGTAGGTGTGTGCTGGGTGACTGAAGCCATGGCGGCCGTCGATATGGCTTGGAAGAAAGTCACGCTGGAGAATTGGATTCTGGTGTAACCAAAAGTCGTGAACGAAAACGCCGCGAGTGCTCCTATAACTGTGGATATGCGTTGGTGGGAGAATTCTGCGGCAGCTCGCCTCAAGATTCAAAACTTACCTGTAACTGGAGTATTGTATGCCACGCTGTACCATCCAATTTGCTGCGGCTTTGTGGTGAACAGAAGTTGAACTTCTGCGCGGGAAAGTTAGTAAACGCAGGTCCTGCTGGTTGCTGATTTTGACTTACGTTGAGGCCAGAAAACTTGAAAAGTAACCAACTAAAGTTAAAGAGAGTCAGTAACTGAACGTTGCGATGCTGTGTATGGGCTAGACCTACCAGAGAGCCAGACACAAAGGACACGATTAGAGGCAGTATAAATGTTCTGAAATTGGTAAATATCTCCGGCGGACATAGTTTGGATATGCTGCGAGGTCCATATAATTCCCATACTGGGAACGCAACAAGGAAGGTTGAAACTGCCATTATGTCAGTTTCATTCCGTAACAGAGGAGAAAGATCAAACTTACTTCCCAAAAAGAGAGGTACTAACACATGAACACTTGTCCAAGCGTAAGGATTATTACCCCATGAGATGCCGAGTAGAAAGATCGTAAGGCCACCGCCGAATAGCAGGAGTCCAGCAAAATCAAGTTCCTGGAACTGTTGTCGTCGGCTCTTGCCTTCTGGGTGAAGACCGATAAAGTCAGGAGGCCAGTAGAAGATGGCAACGAGAACCAGGGCGAGCCCATTGGCAATGATCCCAACATAGAATGTCCATCGCCAATTGAGCGTTGCCACCAGTCGGTAAGCTTCACAGAACAGGTGATTAGAGCATTGGAAAGCAAAGACTGTTCCCTCGGGTAAACATACCGATCAGCGATCCAAAACACGACCCTGGCATCGAAGCCATGTTGAGAGCAGCGATAGCTTTGCCTCGAGACTTCTTGGGAACAATCTCATTCGCGCATGGAAGGGACAGTAGTTGAGAACCTGAACCAAATCCCTGTAGAAAGCTTTGAGCCGAGACATGTTAACGACGGTAGACGCAGGGAAGACTCACGGTGAAAGCCAATCCAATAATGACTGTGTTAATAGAACGAGCTCTGTTGATTTGTGAGCGTTGTATGGACTTAAGGTTCACGATAGACAGACCTCGATCCAACAATGCAGCCTGTCTAGAGTCAGCAGCGGACCGAGCATTGATGAAGCTTTCAAGCGTAGTACCTATCAAGCCCATTGTGTTTCCGGCAAGCGTGAAATTCCTCCGCCCGCATATGTCACTCAGAGAGCCTGCGATGGTCATGACAACTCCTTGAGCCAACGTCCAGGCTGTCGGGGCCCAATTGAGTTGTGTTGATGGTCCAATGTCGGCGTTTATGGTGAGCAGCACGGCGGCAGGCAAGACAAACGATAGTATAACAGATTCATAGGTGACAGCCAATGCCTGACGTTCATGTACTGATCAGTAAAGACAAAAGGAGACGGCGACGTGAATGGCTTTCATACCACGATCGCCAGAATGGTTCGCAGGTCAACCTTCCGTTCTTCGTACGCTGCAGCCTCGGCCTGTATGGCTGAGCTATCCCGTTTCTCTGTCTTCGCGACCTCTTCATGGACCGAGTAGGGTAAAGCTTCTTTTGGCTGCTCCATCTTGTACTTCTGTTTCGTGGTGGGGACCTGTACTCATACGCACCGGACATCACTCTAGGGGCAGACGCTCGAGTATATATCTACACGGACTTTGATGATTCCTGCACATCGTGTCGAGCCAGGTGCAGGTATGATCGGATCTATCCTCATGCGGCAGTGGTTGCTTGCCCCGTGCTGCCACGCACGATTTCGCCCCGCTGTCCCGCCTTCCTCCCCCTGCGGGGGAGCCTCGTTGCTGCATTCGTCTCAAACTCTGCTCAAACACGAGTGAGTAGAATGTCTAGGCTTAATCTGATAGCGAGTAACAGAGCAGTATTCAACAGCAGCTGGAGACTGGCAAAATTTAAGATGGCCATGCCATCTGTGCGCCGAAGAGATAGCAAGTCCTCCACTGCATACCTGACCTATCTTTATGGCTGTTCAATCAAAACGGCGAAAGACCTACCAGGACACAAGAATACGGAGTCAATCACGGGGAACGATTACGGATGGGAGTTCCAGCTTGAATGGCCTAGAATAACGCTGACAAGCCAGTACGACCGTGACACATCTGTGATTTATGAAGGAGATTTGGAGATTAAATGAATTTCAGGCTCTTCTGGGCTCCGGGGCGCCATTCAACCCCCGAGCTCCCCGATGTCTCCCCGGATTTCCGGGTGCTTGAAAGCCTTGGCGAAGCGGAAGCTTTGCCGCTATTTTGGGGGTTCCGGGCCTTTGTACAGAGTTGCAGTTAATCCCGTCGCACATTATTCTAGGGTGTTATTGTTTATCAAGGGCATCTGGGTCCAAGAGGATGAGTGCAATCATCCAAGGCGTTCGTGCCTCTGGTCCCTTGGATGGAGTAGCTTCTAACCTGCAACAGGCCCCCATATTGGCGAAGGATAAGGTGCGACAATGTCCGCACTGCTCGCGAGAGTTCAACAAGAACGACCACTATGAACGCCACCTGCGCTCACATACACACGAGAGGCCCTACGGTTGCAGGATATGTGGAAAGTTCTATCCTCGCCGGTAAGTTCAGAGTTTGGTTACACGATGACCCTTTGCTTCTAACAACAGATCAAGTGACACGCTCTTGCGCCATATCAAAACCCACAAGCCAAGACACCAGGCTGTGACTACGCGCCGTGATGATGGAAGTCAGAGCCGAAGAAACAATACTCGAACAGCCATGGGTGATCATAGAGCAACTCCCACAGGCTCGGGTGCAGTCTTGGATCCGGATATCGATCTTGAAGACGCTACTCTAGACCTCATTGTGGCAGGGGGAAATCGTGAATCCACGTTGTTGTCAGAGGTGTCAGCATCAACCAGAGTCGACACTGATATATTCTCAAATGATCAGGCTATGGGCGAAGATCAATTGAGGATGGGAAATGCCGTTTTTGGGGATTCCCTTTTACACTTTGATCCCGCGAATTGGTTCCTGGATGAGAATCTCATTGATCTCGGGCTGGGAGAGACATGGAACGAGCCACAGAGTTCGAACGATTGGTCGCCGCTGAGACTTCAGACACTTTCCGCTGCAAATCCAAGCAATCAACCCCCAATTGTCCTGGATCTGCAGCACATATGGTATACTCACGCGCACAGGACCATTGAGAGCCTTCATGACGACTACGAAACAACCAGAAGATCCGATCCTGCAACGCTGAGGAGAGATACTAGTATCGACGAAACGTATCGATCGCATATGGTTGAGGAGCTTTCCCCTCGATTCCGCAATGAACCACTTCCGTCATTGGAGTTTCTGGTACTTCAAAACATCCCCGTGCTCACTTCACTCTCAGTCTAACCAAGTCTACAGAATCTCTGCATGCAATTATTCTTCACACGTTTCAATGTTGCGCTACCCATAGTTCATGGGCCGACCTTCAGACCAAGCAAGAATAATATTCTAACAGTTCTCACCATGTGTTGTGCGGGCACGACAACAATCGCTTCCGGAATGGCTTCACGGGTGGGGTCGATGCTTTTTGAGCGAACTCATAAAGCTGGAAATGGAAGTCCATGGGAAAGAGGGCTATCGGAGCGCCCGCACCTAACACCAACTAATATCATCGGGTCCATCGTCGGTCAATGTTTCGCTCTGCTTTCAGCGGATCCGGCTCACCGCACCGTTGCAGATGCCTATCATGGATGTCTTCTCTCGGTATGATCTCCATCCGAGCTTGATCACATTATCCATTGACTGCGTGTCTTTAGCTCGGCCGACATGCGGGTCTATTTTCGGAATCCCTAGACCTTGATCGTAGGGACACAGACTTGGAAGTTGACCTAGAGAAAAGGTGGAAGCGGTGGGCGCTGAACGAGGAGATGAAAAGGTGATACTTGAGATCTCTGATTGTCGTCACGGCCATCTGCTGACTTCATGCTTAGAGCTGCCATCGCTATGCATATTCAAGATGCCGAGATTTCCGCTCTATTTCACCACGAGCCAACCCTCAGACATAACGGAAGTCGTTTGCCTGATGTTGTACCTACCCATGTGTTTCAAGCGCCTTCAGCCGCAATGTGGCAAATAAAGCACAACGAGTATTTCGGGAGTCGAACACGTCAAGTCAGGACTCAACTGAACAGTACGAACTTCGGTTCTCAAACAGCAAAAGGCATGGAACAAAAGCAGTCCCTGATGAACGCTTGGGCCACGCTCTCGGGCGCTGGCGCGACAATTTGCGAATATCGGTCTTTGGATACGCTCACACCACAGCGCATCGTTGAGCTCGAAGCTGATCTGGTGTCGTGGTACACATTCAGACGCTGTTGTAAGATTGAACCGTGTCAAAGCCGCGAAGAGCCCGAGCTATCATTCTGTCTACGGCCGTTGTGGCATGCTACCTTTATAGCCTTGAGCGCAGACATGGATCTCCTAGAGCTGGCAGTCGGAAGACAAGGTTCTATTATCCCGACATCGAAATTGGATCTGGTCAAGGATTGGATATCCTCGCCGGAATCAAAGCGTTGTCTCCTCCACGCACTGTTATTACAGAACCTGGTCACATCTACCACGGTAGACTCCACCATAGCCATCCACACGCCCCGGATTCTGTTCTCGGCAGCTCTCTGTTGGTATTCCTCCACGCTTTACTTGCCGTGGTGCACAGCAGCATTCGACTCCGGTGCTTCACTATTTTCTGACGATACGTCCGACTACCTGATGGCATTGCCAGAGATACAGCTTCTGAAGGAGGATCGCACCACAAGTGGCACAGTCATTCTCAACAAGTCAATTTCGGATCTCAAAAAGATAATGAGAACCGACCCTGCTGGGATGAAAGCTAGCACTCTCTACGTACTTGAGTCAGCTCTTCGACGACTTGGAACAAGTGGCATCTCGCAGAGATTTGCTGACATCGTGCAGGCTTTTCTTACAGGTGGTACCCAGTGAGTCGTAAGGATAACAAGTTCACGCTCCCTTGGAGCGCCCCAGAAGCCTTTATACCCATTGGTCGCATGATCTGGGGCTTTCAAGATTTGATCCCGGCTTGAATCCTGATGTCATGGCCAAGATAAGAGTGTGACAACGAGTGGGCCCTCGCGGGCCATCTCCCTTGGCCCGCGGAGTCCTACATCCTCGGGGGCCCCCAAAGGAACTTGCCCCTCATCAGTTGGCCTTCAAAGTGGGAGTCGTGCTAAAGGCCAAGGTGCCTAATGACTCTCACTCTTCTTTCTGTTCAGATGTTTCTGCGGGACTGAAATGCGGGTCGCGAGGCCAAACGCCTTCCCCGCTTTAGTTTTCCCGCAGGTTTTGATATTGGCTTACTTTAACCTCATGAGAGTCATTATCATTGCCAGCTACCCGTTATAGATGAATAAAATTGGCTGTCTGGGTAAAAGTATTTTCTTGTGTACGATTTCAATCTATCCTAACGAGCTCTCTCCACATTAGCAATGGAGGACCCGGCTCGTGTATTATTTCAGTCGAGGCCGGTCACGTTGGCGATGTGGCTGATGCTATTAACCGCTGCATTCTCGCTAGTGAAGGTCAGGGCCAATTAGGATGTGATGTTTCTCATTCCGTCTGGTGCATATCGCTGACTCCCGAATTTCCTGCAGAGGGCCCAGCGAGCATATTTCACACCACTGTCAACTGTTCCGGGCCCATGGTTCGCAAAGTTCAGTTCAGCGATCTTGATTTTACACTCCCTTCGAGGACAACGAGTGCAATACATCCACGCATTGCATCAAAGCTATGGTCCCGTTGTCCGCATTGGCCCCGAAGAGGTCGATGTCGCCGATTTGCAAGGCTATCATACCATTCATAAAATTGGGAACGGTTTCCAAAAGAGTCAATGGTATCCCCGATTCCGTACGGCTTACGAACATCAAGACGTCTTCTCTGAGACCGACCCGAAGAATCACGGCATCCGGAGAAAGATGCTGTCCCGACCATTCTCCAAATCAAACCTGACCCAGAACTGGGCAGCCTTGGTGAATGAGAGAGCTCAAGTTGCGGTTCAAAAGATCAAAGGAAAGGCCGAAGCCGGGATTTGCAACGTCTTCGAATGGTGGCATTACATGGCCATCGATATCATTGGCAAAGTCTCCTTTGGTGAGTCTTTCGGCATGCTAGAGCTGGGCCAGGTATGTTTTATCCCCACTGGCGTGCCGGCTAGACTAGTTTGCGACGCTTGTACTTTCAGCTGACGGTGGATACTGTTTAACAGAAAACGGAGTTTATCCAAACGTTGGAAAAGTTCACCGTCATTGCCATCCTCCGATCTGAGTTCCCGGCGCTTTATAAAATTATCTGCCTGATACCAAATTTCATATACGACATCAATTGGGGCGAGAAGCTCATCGTTCGGCAAGGCACACAAATCTTGACCCGCGCCAAGGAAGGCTCGCTGGATCGGACGAACATCTTCACAGGTCACATTGTGGCAGACGAGACAGGCGAAAGTGGGATCTCAGCTGACAGCATGGTTGTTGAAGCCACTGGCTTGATTGGAGCTGGTGGCGGCACAGCAAGTGTCACGTTGACGTATCTTGTCTGGGCTGTTTTGCAGAACCCAAGAATCCAGAAAAGACTAGAAGACGAAGTGGCCGCGTTACCAGACGACTTTAATGACTCTGACCTTGAAGAGCTTCGCTTTATGAATGCAGTCCTCGAAGAAACGTTGAGACTCTATGGTCCAATCCCGGGGGCTTTGCAGCGCGTTACTCCCAAGGAAGGCCTGCACCTCTCTGGCCACTTTATCCCTGCTGGGACTACCGTATGCACTCAGTCATTCAGCATGCATCGGATTCCTCAAATCTTTTCTAACCCAGAAAGGTAAGTACCTGTTATCTGATCCGGGATAAAACATGTTGACCGAATGAAGAATGCTGACAACCTCACCAGTTTCGAGCCGGACAGATTTCTCCAGGACAAATATACGAGTCCGGAGCAGAAATCCGCCTTCGCGGCTTTTGGTGCCGGCGCACGCGTATGCTTAGGCATACATCTTGCATATATGGAGATGCGCAGAGCGACTGCTTTATTCTTTAGGGAGTGTGCCGGCGCACGACTTGCGCTCAACGCACGGGACGATATGGATATGGTGAATTTTTTCGGTGGAGCGCCTAAAGGTCAAAGCTGCAATATTACAATTAGAAAATCTGATTCGCAATGAAGTTACATAAATCGCCGTCCTCGAAATAGCCTTGCTTTGATATGAGCATTTTTGGTTAGCGATGAAAGCAAGAGTCTAGGAAGACTGCTTTCTATCTCGTTTCCTAAAGCTCGCCACGCCTATGAATCTGACTGAGTCCCACCGCTTTAGGCTGGCGGAATCCACTCCAGGTGTATTCGCAGCAGTTTATCCTGCCAACTGCGGACTGAATCTACATGACCCAGAGACGAGCCCGCTGTATTGCGGGATCTCCCCGCGGACGAGCATGAGGACTGCCATCTTATTTCCCTTCTAGCAAGAATTCATCCTTTCGTTGCTTGGATTTTAAATTCCTCACAGGCGTCACTGAGCCACGTTCCGAGGGCTGCATACGATCTATTCAGGTGTATGACACGATTTTCACGACCAGACAGAGGCTCCAATGCATTCTAAGAACGCTCCCGTCGGCGTTTACACGCTGTACTATAACCGCTTTTCAATATGTTCACTGATGACACTATTGACGATCCGCTGGAAGGGCCAGCCAGCCTCGCTAGAACAGGCCATTGATATCGTCGAAGAGGAAGTGGACATCTACGCCGGTGAACAAAATGAAGAGGAATTCTTGAAGAAGAATTGGAAAGGGCAGGTACGTTTCAGGTCCAAGAATGCAATTACAGGAGCTGATTGTTGGGCTCTGACTTGGAGGTCCCTGTTTTACTTGGCCCTTGCGATCTCAAGGTGACCGATAGTCTTCAGATCACCAAGTTTCTGGCATCGAGATATACAGGACTGATTCCCAGCGGCTGCGAAGACGTCATCACCGCAATGTTGAATGAACTTCACCAAGTTTGGTTTGTAAGCCTCTCGTTCAGTGCTCAAGAAGGACGAGGGGCAGGCATCCTTCTTCAGATTCAAAATATCTTGGCCCAGCCAACCACCTCGGACGACTACAAGACCGCATTGCAGAGAAAATTGCAATAGTAAGTTTACCGACCTATCTCTAATTGCTCGAGGAGTGGAGATCCTGGGCTCACAGAACGTCGAGCGCGTCCTGGGTCACGAAAAATAACATAATTCTCACAGCTACGCCACCACCTATCAAGCTGATCCACATGCTCCTGAAATCGTAGCACGAGAAAAGCTCAAAACCCAGAAGTTCTTGGAAAAGATCGCAAGAACTCGACATTTTCACAACATCGAACGAAAGAGCAAGTGGATCTTTGGCGTTGAAATTGGCCCAACAGCGCTGGACGCGCACACAGTCGTATTCATCGCTCGTCTGATCGATGCGGGCCACGCAAGCCTGATCGGTAGTGACATGTTGGAGTATGGGACGCAACATCTGGAGTCGAATGCGTGGAGGGGCATTGTGGATGGGAACACGACACTGCATAGCCTCTGGGAGCGGCAAGAAGCAGCCAAGACGATGACGGTCGGCGGCGGGGCGGAGGCATGACGGGGCGACGGGGCGACGGGGCGAGGCGGGGCGGAATGCATGTTCCAACCGTAAATTATTGTAGTACGAGTAGGTGCAAAATGCCAACCGCCATAACTAGAAGCTTGACAAGGGTGCGATGGGATACTAGGTACTATTGACGAGCAGAGAGTTGAGATGTGCCTGTCGATATTCGGTGATGCATATAACTTGAAGCGTCGACAGCAGAAGATAGGTATTCTCTCAGGTAGGGGATTTACTCTTGCGATTCCTCCATGCCGACTTTTCGCCGTACCACTCCCAACATGTCTCAAGACAATATCTTCATCTCCGGCGCGACGGGCACTCAAGGTTCCGCGACGGTTCGAGCCCTTTTGCGCTTTTCGTCTCCATCTGCGCCCATCGTCATCCACGCTCTCGTTCGCGATTGTGACAGTCCACAGGCCCAGGCTTTGTCGAAGTTGTCGCCCTCGGTGCGACTGTTCAAGGGTCACCATGACGACCCTTCCTCAATTGCAACCGCCGCACAGTCATGCACCGCAGCCATGTTCATTCTCATGACAGGCTGGACTGACCCAACCGCCGAGCAACGGCATGCTCAGAACATTCTCGACGTTCTGTCCTCGATACCGACCATCAAACGCGTCGTCTACCCGACAACAGCGGGCGTCAAGGATCCCCGTGTTGCAGGAGCCTTCCGGAATATCGGCGAGGAGGGTAGCCTGCGCTACAGCTATTACCTTGGCAAGTCTACCAACGAAAGGACCGTTCAGCAAGCCGCCGAGCGAAATGGCTGGGCCTGGACGATTTTTAAACCGGCGACTTTCCTTTCCAATTTTCTCAATCCCATGGCCAATTTCATGTATCCAGATCTCAGTAAGCGGAAAATCGTGACAGTAATGTCGAAGGAGCATGAAACGTACTTTGTTGACCCGGAGGATATCGGGCGGTTCAGTGCATCGGCTTTGTTGGGCCCAGGAAAAGGACGCAACTTGCCTGATCTTTCTTCGCAGGTCATTGACTTGGCCTCTCAAGTCGGGACGCTCGAAGACGTCGCGAATGCGATGAACAAAGCTCTGACCAAGTACGGCTGTGACGTGCAGGTTTCGACCGAGTACGTCACCGTCGAGGAGGCAGAGAGGCGGGGTCAGAATGTCGTCAAGATTCAAAACGAGCAGTTTCAGGTTGATAACCCTGTGGTGGTCGATTTAGATCGAGTCAAGAGCTTTGGCTTTGAGTTGAGCACAATAGACGCATATTTCGAAAGAGAAATCGAGAGGCTCAAGGAAGTATTGTCGCTGTGAACACAGAGCCTTGCAATCCGGCTAGAGTCATATACAAAGCGCTGACATCTGCTCAACAAGATTAGAAGAAAAATTCATACGAGTGACTATGTCTAGATACATGAGTGCAGGTGTATCACCAACATTCAATAATAATATGCTTGATTTGGCAGCTTCTTGCTCGAACTACAATCTGACACCTGTCACCGGTCCGTCCCCCTGCCAAAACTCCAGACCTTGAGATACATCTCCATAATTAACTCTAAGATAGTCTTTGAAATAGTTCGCCCTTCGTCTCCACGGCCCAAATTCACCAGTTTTCGGAAGATCTTTTGTTGCAGCCTGGACGTAAGTCGACGTGAGATCCATGAGAGGATGTGCCTTTGGAGTTTCGGTATCGGGCATTCGCGGGACGATACTACTCAGACCGTGTTTGCGCATCCCTTTCAGGAGTCGACAAAGTAGAAATGCAGTCGCGTCGGCACCCAGCGTCCACGACGCCATAGTGTAGCCCATGATCAGCACGGCATTGGGCACATCCTGCAGCATTGCGTGGTGCCAGGTAAATTTATCTCCAAATTTGACAGGGGTCCCGTCCACCGTCAGTTTGATTCCTCCTCCAAGCTGTAGTTTGAGCCCCGTGGCTGTGATGATGATGTCGGCCGATACCTTGCCACCACTTTTCAGGATGAGACCATCCTCGACGACTGTTTCGATGGAGTCGGTAACCACAGCGGCGCGACCGCTGTGGATGGCGGCGTAAAAGTCACCGTCCGGTGCAAAACACACCCGTTGATCGAACGGATTGTAGCGAGGTGTGAAGTGCGGGTCCACTGGATAGTTTTCGGGTAGCTGTTTGGCGGCATTGTCACGGATCATGTTGCGCGACGTCTTGGGGAACATCCGGCAGAAGTAGTAGAATACCATGGGCATAATCATGAAGTAGAGCCTGTTCAGCGTGTAGGACAGTCGCCGGGGTAGCCATCTGAGGAGTAAGGATGCCGAGCGAGGATTCGGTAGTGAAACGACATATGAAGGGCTTCGTTGAAGCATTGTGACGCTGGCAGATTGCGAGGCCAGTACTGGTACAAGTGTGACGGCTGTGGCGCCGCTACCGACGCAGACGACACTCTTGTCCGTACAGTCCAGGTCACTGGGCCAGAACTGGGGATGAACGACTCTTCCGGTGAACGTGTCGAGATTGGGGATGTTGGCTTCCAAGGCCTTCTCATAGTCATAATAACCAGTACCGAGGACGAGAAATTTTGCATGGACTCTTCTGGTTACCGTCCCCGAAGCCACAGTGAGTGTCCAGACCTGCGTCTTCGTGGACCATTTAGCGCTCTGCACGCGGGTGTTTAATTGGACGTGTTTTTCAATCCCTTCGGTGACAGCCGATGCTTTCAGATAACTCAAAATAGACGGAGCCGTTGCGATCGGGTTCGTGTCCAACCACGGTCGCCATGAGAAGCCAAAAGTAAAGAGGTCCGAGTCCGATCGTAGTCCTGGATATTTGAAGAAGTCCCATGTACCACCAGTGCTATCCCGTGCCTCGAAAATGGTATATCTGGTTCCAGGAAGCCCGGACTGAATCCGGTACGCGGTGTTGATACCTGATATTCCTGCACCGACGATCGCGACGTCAAATGTATCGTAACCGCCCGCTGAGCCTTGCACGGCCAACATGATGTCGAATACCTGCTCTACTCGCCCGCCTCACTGCTATTTGGCGATCGACAGATGTCCACGCCCCATGAGGCATCTCCAGAGACTGTCATCCCTTCTGTTTATCAATGATACCAGCGCCCGGGTCTACAGTAGTATCGCGTGTGCCCTTTTCCGACGCTCACCCTAAATCCGGGTGGGTTTGTATTCGTCCGAGATAGCGGCATATTTTGTTCGGACGCTTATGAAGGAATGAAGCTCTTAATCATCCCACTGTGTGGGCAGCTGGAGTTTTGACACACTCGTCCCGCGTATCCCACGACCAAGCATTCATGCGGGACGTTTAGTTCACGATGCTCACTAAATGCGGGACCCGAACTCTCCCCGGTTACCAACCAAGTATTGAACCCTTCTGAGAAATGCCAGGCTCTCTGCTATAATCACTTTCAGACCATTCAAGTCTCGTTCATAAACTTTTGACGAACGCAAATCGTCAGACCAACAAGGTTTCACGCTTTAAAACAGTGATGGCGAACCAAATACCCGAAAAGATTGACGTCCACAGTCATTTCTTGCCGCCATCATACCGCGAACATTGCAAGGCAAATGGGCACAGTGCCCCTGATGGCTTTCCCATTCTACCAGTCTGTTTACCAGACGACAGTTAGTGTCGGGAGCCAATGTCGTTCTGACCTGCTAGTCTAGGAATGGAACCTGGATGCCCATTTGAAGATGGCCAATGACTTGAACATCACAAAGTCTTACCTATCGATTTCGTCCCCAGGGGTTCACCTCGTGCCCGGCGATGACCAACTCGCGCGAAAAGTATGTCGCGAATGTAATATGGCTGGTGCCGAGGCGAAGATACGCTTCCCCGATCGCTTTGGACTTTGGGCGTCACTCCCCTTGCCGGATGTCGAGGGCAGTCTGGCTGAGCTCGCATATGCGTTTGATGAGCTGAAGGCCGACGGAGTGACGGTCCATACCAATACTCATGGGTACTACTTGGGGCATCCCAAGTTTGACGCTGTCTGGGCCGAGCTCGACCGTCGAAAGGCGATCGTCTTTGTGCACCCGACTTCCGGTTGCACTATGCAGCAGACAACAGCATGCCCTTTGCCTGAATATCCCAATCCGATCTTCGAGTTCTTCTTCGACACCACCCGGACCGTGATCAACCTGTTCTACACCGGCACAGTTGCACGGTACCCCAACGTCACATACATCATCCCCCACGCCGGAGGTTGCTTGCCACCTGTCATTGAAAGGTTCTCGTTGCTCGGACGTTCCATTCCTGACATACCTGTCGACAGCTCTGTCAATCCAGATTTTGTAAAGTCGAAGCTGAAGACAAATTTCTACTTCGACATGGCAGGAACCCCTTGGCCTGATCAATTACCGGCTTTGCTCGCGTTCGTCGACAAGGACCACATTTTGTATGGAAGCGACTATCCCTTTACTCCTGCTGAGATTGTTAAAAAATTGGCTGGCGCGATGGAAATTTTCATGCCGCGAGCTTTCGAGACGGAGGAGCAGCGAAAGATGGCCTACAAAACGAACGCTGAAAGACTGTTTCGCGAGCAGGCTGCGGCAAAAAGAACGTGAAGTACTCTAGGATACATAAACTTGTTTTCGTTCTTTTTTTGGGAGCCAAGAAGGTAGGAGAGAGACTGTTCTTGCGCATGACATATCCAAGTTGAATAGAGACCGACGTCGTGTAGATAGTGCGTCTGTAGCGTGTAACGCAAAGATCAAACCCAAGAGATAAAATTTGACCATTCTGGCCACGCGGCGATATAGCATTGCGCAGCCAAGCACTTAGTTTCGAGCCATACATCCAATGCACGGATTGGGATGTTACAGAATGAGCGATATCATGAACAGGCTCGACCTTCTTCCTCACGCAAGGACAGAGTAATGATAGAATCACCACCCCCGAAGACCGTCTTAGTTTCCTTGGCTCCATGTGCGGGCGGTCCATCTTCAGGGTAGGGCCAGGTGGTCTGCCTCAGTCTCCGTTGAAAATGTATGGTACAACACCGTGACATCGGGTGACTGAAAGAAAGCCTCCTCGTGCTGATACACGGACAGAAATTATCGCAGCTGCTGTTCTGAACCATTCCGGAGTAAGAAGCCCTCATCCCCATCGCTTGAGCGCCCTAATGCGCTGCAGACGCACTGGAGAGCGACATGCGTGATTTCAGAAGAAAAAACTCTTGTAGAATTGGAACCCGCTGTTAAGTTCGATAGACTTGAAGCTCGTTCCCAGACGAAGCCCAACTCAGGTAGAGCCAAGTAAAGGCGCAAGGCACGAGGCCGAGTCTGCAAATAGCAACATGGATAAGCAGAGCCAAGCCTCCTTGGCAGCAGACGCTAGACGAAGCTAATCTGGCAATGGATGACGATGATTGGCCCCTCGTTAATAACGCAAGATCGTGTTAAATTTAGCGACTGGATTTTGTCAGCGGGGGTTTTTCTGTCTCCGTCTCTCACTCTCACTCTCACTCTCGGGTACCACTCTCCTGCCATTCGCGCATCAGCACTAACTAGACCCCCGACCCCAATGCAGCTCGCAGACTTCTCGCAGGCGTGGCCTTGCAGCGGCGTCCAGGCCTCCCAGCTGGCCCGAGCGCACGGCAGAACGATTCCCGCAAACATGATCGTTATGTGGCGCCCAATAGCCTCCTCTGTTGGCACTTGCTTTACCGTCTGCAAAACTCGGCAGAAACCGTTACAATGCGACATTCAGTGTTCAAACGTGGTTTTCCCTAACTAACTACCAATTCGGGATACCAAGGCTCAGATACGCGACCACTCAGACCGGACGGGGGCCCGGCCGCAGGTCGAGAAGGCTGAGTAGACCTTAACATAGTAAGAAGACTCGGTCCAAAGAACAGTATCCACCCGAGTTCTATCGACTCTTGACCAGGTGCTATCAACTCTTCACGAGGTTCTATCGACCTTAGCGAGGTACACCTGGTCATGCAAAGCAGCACAGGCCCGTCAGCACAGCAATCTGCGCGTTATTCCGGTTCCTCAGCCCCAAACCGACCCAAATTTTAGCAGTATGACCAAGCTTCTCTACGGCCCCCGGTCGGTGATCTGGCTATTGCTTGAATGGTAAACGGAGTATAAAGAATCCAATGACCCTCGCTCGCTTGTTTTAGGTCTCACCCGCACAGAACAGTCTACACTCTTTCAGACCAAGGACGACATCTTGCTCGTTCCCGCACTCCTACAACAATTAATCAAACTCGTCTTTCCTACCTTGCTTATAACCTACCCAGATTCCAACCCTTCCTACTTGGCTCTATTTCTCCTACAACCCAACTCATCCCTGTTTCCTTCTTGTTAAACACACATTCACTCAGCTGCATACCTATACCCAATAATCACGATGCATTTCAACAAGGCCATCACGGTGGTCGGCTCCCTAGCCCTTGCATCCATCGTCACCGCCGCCCCGGTCGAGAAACGCGGCTCAGTCTTCTACGGAGACAGGACGCATCACCTCAAAGAGTACCAGGCGAACCAAGGCAACCCAGCTCCTTCGTCAACTGGTGCTCCTCCTTCCCCGTCGAGCCCAGCTTCGAGCCAAGGTTCAAACCCGTTCAAGTTCCCTCTTTCGAATGGCTTCCCAAACATCCAGAACCCCTCTGCAGCCTTGACGCAAATTGAGCAACAAGCTCACGGTCTTCTGCCCAACGGACCTCCCCCACCATCTCCTCCTGCTGCCGACGATCTCACGTCTCTGAGACTGATTGCTTTCAACGAACTCTTCGAAGTGGCCTACTTCACCGAGCTTCTCGCCAACGTCACCAACAACGTTGCCGGCTACCAATTCCAGGACGCGAACCTTCAAGCGACCATCGTCGAGGCCCTCACTGCCGTCGTCGCACAAGAAGAGCTTCACTTGCTCAACGCTAACGGCGCTCTTGCTCACTTCAACGCCGGCCCGATCCAGCCTTGCTTGTACAATGCGCCGGTGGACAACTTCCAAGACGCCATCGCTCTCGCATCCACCTTCACCGACGTGGTCCTGGGAACCTTGGGCGATGTCCAGGTCCACTTTGGCCAGAACGGAGACGCCGGCCTGATTCGCGGTGTCGCGGCCGTGATCGGCCAGGAAGGCGAGCAGAATGGTTTCTACCGTCAAATCCTCGGCGAGATCCCCAGCGCGGCGCCCTTCCTTACCGCCTCGGCGCGAGAATTTGCCTTTACCGCCCTACAGAACTTTGTCGTCCCAGGGTCTTGCCCCAACGCCAACACCATCGCCCTTCCGATCTTTGGTGCCCTGACTCTCGAGACTCCCAAGGTCCAGGCCCAAGACCAGCAGCTGCAATTCTCCTTCCAGGCAACCGGCCAGTACAGCCAGTATGCCAGCGGCCAGGGGTTGAGCCTGGTGTACATCAACCAGCAGAACGTGCCTGTTGTCCTGCCCATCCAAGGAGCCCAGAACAACGGCGGCACGGTGACATTCTCGGCGAACTTCCCCTTCTCGGAGAACCTGATGTTCGGTCTGACGATCGCGGCTGTCACTTCTAATGCCGGTCCGTTCGCCGACGTCGATGCTGTGGCCAAGGCTACCTTGTTCGGGCCTGCTTTGATTGAAGTCCAGTAAATGAATGCTATGGAGTGTGGGGAGATGAATCAATGAGTTTTGCATCTGCATAGGTCATGGAGTTCCTGGGGGTATTTGAAAAGATGTGGAGAATTTAACCACGTAAATTGATAGTTTAATGCTAAAACAAATCTTTCTACTTTCGACTCCGTGGCTTTTCTGGCTCAGTACGCTTCTGAGTATCTGCTTTCTCGGAAAGCATGCTTTCGGTCTCCGAGTTTCAGGCGCCCAGTGAAAGGAAAAAGAGCTAAGAAAAACAGGGGCCGAGGCGTGCCTGAGCTAGCAAGGCTTACATATTGTACCGGCTTCCGTTCCAAAACCCCTGTCTAGTCTCTTTCCTTGCATGGCTTAGTTGCCAGGATCACTTCACTTTTATATCAGATCATCCTCATGGACAATTTGCTGTGCCGATGTTCCCCCCCTCCGACACCAAACACGATTTGCCGACGGTGAGAGCACACGTTCGGCGTTCATCCGTCGCCACGTCGATGGAAGCTGGGTAGTGAGAAACGGAGGGTTGACTGCAACCGACGGATGTCACTCTCAAATCTCCTTGAAGGGAGGCAGAGGATGTCATGTCAGCAACATCTCTCGCCATCACGATCCGTTGGAACGTTCACCACGTTGAATCACGTTGTTGTCGCCATGTCCACTATTGTGTAGGTACAAATGTACGTGGCTCGGCTGTCGAACTGTGGAGCTTTTCGGCGCCATCCGGATCGTCGCCTACGTCAGATAGCGAGAATTGCCATGTCCAATGACGGGAGAGATCACCAGTTGAGTTTCCATCTACCGTGCCTCGTAAGTTATACAGAGATCGTCGCACGGCAGTGGTGGACGGCAGAGAAAAGGTATAGTATACGCTATGAAGGTGAGGTTTCAGACGCGGTTGGTTTGTCGATCCATCAACCCACCCACACAGTCGTTGAGGTATATATCTGTCCGAAGAGTTCAGGTTTTCTCTGCCTCTTTTTCTATCTCTCCCTCTCTGAGAATCACACTCATCGATATTGCCCACGACCCATCTACTCGTAGGATACCTTACCTGAAGAGAAAAGATCCGAACCGAACCCAACCAAACATACAGGCAATCAGACATTTGTGAACGACAATGGCGCCGTTGCCGGAATTCATCACAAACACTACCCTCCACCCATCGTTCGACCACGACATCCGGGACACGCACCTCATCTACGACTACGATGCTGAGAACCCCAAGACAAAGCAGCCCGAGAAGTGGAGGTACGAGTTGTGGTTCTTTTCGGACAGTCGAGTCGTGTACGCCATCCACGGAGGTCCCATGAAGGGCCGGATCAACTACCAGACCTGCACGTACCAGTGCATCCGACCCGGCGAGCTGTGGCAGTGCAACTGGCTGGAGGAGACGGGGACGATCGTGTCACTGGTATACGACATCCCAAACCAGAAGATCACCACTTTGATCGCCTTCAGCCAGGGCCACTGGGAGAAAGCGGAGGCCGCACGGGGCGACAAGCGCAACTCTACGGATTTTAGTCGTTGGAGGAAGTTGGCGGAGATCGGCAAACAATCGGATCGTCTCATGTTGTCAGAGCAGGCCACCATCCTTGAGAACTTCAAGGGCGCCGGTGAGCTTGTGCCGATTGCTCCTGACGCTGTGACTTTGTGAGGCAGTTCAATCAATCGAGACTTATGAGCGAGCCATGCGAGGGCGTAGGTGATTGTGTGTGTGTGAGAGTTCTGATGATGTCAGGCGCACGCCGGACTTAGTATCCGTACATCAAGGATCGACAGCGAACATTGGCCTGAGCGACTGTCAGATGCGACCCGAGCGTATTGTATGAAATTTTATGGTGGAATGCGCCATTTTTATAACGGGGTGGAAGGTTTGCCGATGGCTACGAAAAATACGTGTGCAGAGGGAGTATCACGTACAACAGTGGGTGCTTCACTTTTAATGTGTATCAACAACGTAGAATAGATTAGATCTAGGCCGGTTCTTGTTCTTTAGACGTTCTTGAACACTAATTACCAGCAGTACGCGATTATGTTGTTTGGGTCGATGATGGACTAGTCGCACACGTACTCGTATCTGCTTAGTCATCGCTAGACCTTCCCTCGCAGACTTCGATTCCTTTGATTGTTGGACTGCGGGGGGAAACATTGCACTCGCTCACTCACAAGCCTCATCAACGACCAGACTGCCTATCCAACAATTCCACTCCCGTTGCCAGTATACAGACTGTGCATCAGGGAGCATGATGGCCTTACCTCGAGCCTTACAATCTTGGCAATCGCACTCACCTGGAAACGAAACGACCAGGTGAAAGGAACCGTGCTTGCAATTTCCTCCCACGCCTTCTTCCTGATCACTACCGCTCGTCGAACTTTTCCAGATCGTTCAAGATGCAGGGGTTCAATATGGGACGTTATGTCCCTCCGGAGCTCGAGGGAACGACGTCGTTCAACCAGGCCTCGGGCAAGGGACACGCACTGGGTCACCGGGCCCGCAAACTCAAGACCGAGGGGATCCTGACTGTTCGGTTCGAATGCCCTTTCGCCATCTGGTGCACGACATGCGTCCCGGAGCAAATCATCGGCCAAGGGGTGCGGTTCAACGCCGAGAAGAAGAAGGTGGGGGCGTACTACAGCACGCCAATCTGGCAGTTTCGATTCAAACACGTACCATGTGGCGGGTGGGTCGAGGTCCGCACCGACCCCAAGAACGCAGAGTACATTGTCACCGATGGCGGGCGGAGACGAGACACGGGGGCCCCCGACAAACTCCTCGATGGGGAGATCCGGTTGGGGGTGTCGGAGGAAGAGAAGGCTCGGTTCGAGAAGGAAGGCGGGTTCGGCGCGCTGGAGAAAAAGGTCGATGACAAGTCTGCTTTTGCCGCGCAGCAGGAGCGCCTCTCCGAGCTGCGCAAGGCGAGCGACCGCGCGTGGAAGGATCCATATGACATGAACAGGAAACTCAGGGCCGAGTTCAGGGTCGGACGACGGAAACGGCAGGCCGACGAACGCACGGGGGAGGCGTTGAAGGAGAAATTTGGGTTGAGTGTCGACATGGACGTTCTCGCGGAGACGCAAGAGGACGCCGACCGTGTCAAGTTTGTCGAGTTTGGGAATTGGGCTGCTGATAACGCGGCGGAGGCGTCCAGTTCATCGTCCAAACCTTTGTTCCCGTCGACGAAATACAGTAATGGGGATTTACCATCGAGACCGAAACTTTCTCAGAGTGGTGCTGGTGCCGGTGCGACTAAAGGTAGTGGTGCGATCCGTGGGAGACAGGAAGACAAGAAGCAGATCTTGCAAGGTCAGTTGGCAAGTAATACCAGAATGGTGACCGATCCGTTCCTGCGCGAAACACACGTCTGGCAGCCTCGCGTCAAGAGGAAACGAGAAGTTCAGGAAGACAATCAAGAAGAGGAGACTGGAAATGTCGACCGCGACGAGCACCAGAAGAAGGTGACGAAAGTGACGACAGCAACGAAAGGCGTAGGTAATTTGGCGTTGGTCGGTTATGGGTCTGATTCTGATTCTTGAGGCGAGTTGGAAGAATGATTCGGCTTTTCATCATGATACCCCCACAAATAGTTTCGAGTGTGTGTTGTTATACCAAGCATTTACCGGGTACCACTAAAGTACTTGGTATGTAACGATCAACGCAATGACCATTCAATCTCTAGACAACGGGCGTCCTGGCAGCGAGGAGAAGAGACGTAACGCGCATCGGATGATCCAGATAATGGCACCATGTTCAATGTGTCTGCAACTGTCTTCCACTACAAAGCCAAGACAGAAAGAAGGCACCTCATGCCCACGACAGGTATCCTGGTAGAAGCGGTGATTCATTCTCTGAGTTGACGCGACGATAAGGCCCCCCCCCCCCCAAAAATACTTTACCCTGTCAATGACTTGGATCGGTGGTGGACTTGTGGACTCATGTTTGGTGCAGCCTCGGGCCGATCCTCATTCCGCGAGCCGATCTTCTCCCCGCTGGCTTCATTCCGACAGCGTCTCTATCAACACCGCCGGTGCCTCTCCTACAACAGCTACTAAGCACCCTCTTGTGGACGCCAATCAGACCTGCAATCCAGATCTGCTTCCCAACCTGAGAATTTTGCCACCTTGTACAATGTCCAAAGCCTTACTCCCAATTGCTCGGCCCATTTGGTTTCCGGACAGGCTCGCTTCATTGCAGTTTTCCGCAGCAGGCGTTACTCCGCCACTTGCATCGCTATGCGCATCGCCACCCTCGCACAGCCACTCCTTGTTAGCCTTGACTATGCCGCCAAGCTTGGGACAAACTGTTCTATGGCTGCCTTCCAGCCTTGCAATCGTAAAAGCAATACGAAATCTCTAACAGCTCGTCCGAAAACAACGAAGATAATCAACTAGAAATGGATCAAGGCTCGACTCACAACGATAACCAGTCTGTCTCAGGGGTTCCTACTGAAGCTATCCCAGCGGCGCCGTCTCATGAAACAAGTTCTGGCGAGAGGATTTCCACCGAGATAAATGCCGCCGATGGAAGCAATCTTGTCGGAGCTTCATCTCCTGCAGTGTACGCCACATACTTAGAATATGTCTCCTCCATTGAAGCTCGATGGCCAGAATATCGACCGTTTCGAGAATTCCTGCAAAAGCAGAAAGATGAAGGAGTTGTTTTACAGACCCAGTTCGTTGAAGTAATAGACGTTTCGTCGGCTGGAAAGCTCTCTCATAAGCGATACGGGGAAGATTTCGACTATCTTCCGGAGCTCGAGAGACTTTCTGAAACTCTAAATGAAGCCCCTGAAGACATGAAAACCCGTATTATAGTCGTGGACAACAATTTCTACTCGATGCCTAAGGCTTTCATGGATGTTATCGGTCTTGCTTTTGATATCGAACCTTTGATGTTCTGGACAGCGATCTGGAGCTACAAACACAACAAAGATTTCGTTAGCTTGAGATCCAACCATGGGGTCAGTGTCTTGGGACTACCACATCTGCCTTTAGCACCTAGATTTCTTCATCTCGGGGATGGTACGTGCGTCCAAGTCATACCTCAAGCCACAATTGGTGGCGTCCAGACAAATTGCTTTATCAGTATGTTCATTTAAACTGCTTCTGCTACATATGAGTTTATCTGATTCTGGGACTCTCATAGTTATTGTGCTCACGAACACCGAGTCCTCCCGCAGAGCAAGAGCAGTTCTCTATGATACAAATGATAGGCCCCACCTTCATGCGCAGTTGGAGGCATGGACATTCCCGGAAACCAGTTTCGTCAGGCCATCAGTGCTATATAGATCAGCTTTGTCGCGTTTAACAGAACCTCAGCTCACATCCGCAAGTCACGATCCAATACTATTTTTGCCGCCTCTCATTCATCAACATACCGCGATGTTTGTTACACAAACTTCGTTTTCGGAGGCGAAATATCAGTTGCAAAGTGACAATAATGCGAGGAGGGAATTTGATACTTTGCCAAATCTGTGGACTGAATTGCGAGACGCCATCGAACAATTTGAACTAGCTATTGAAAACTGCGCACGATTTCTGAAACATTATGGCCGGTTCGAAGAAGAAGTATTTGCTGGTCTTCGGAGCAACCAGGATTTGGCGCTGACACGAGCTCGGCGGCTCGAGCAGCAGATTCGAGATTATGCGCAGTTAGAGGTTGGGCGGTTAAGCTTAGAAGAGTCCAGGAAATCGATCGAGGCCTCAAACACGCAGATTGAGGAGGGAAAGCGAGTAAAACTGGGTATGTATCTGTCAAAAAGAGATCAGAATACCCCCACTGACAGAATCTATCCTCTGTTAGTCACGGTTCTGGGCTTTATCTTCGTCCCGATTAACCTGGCAACCTCGATTTTTGGCATGAACATTCAAGAATTGAATTACACCGGCCAGAGGTTATGGGTCTTCCTCGTGACGACATTTGCTATGGTCGCGCTTGTACTATTCTCCTGGATGGCTTCCCGAAAACTCCTGAAGATGAGGGACGATTATTACGATACCCAAAGGAACACCGGCTGGGAACCCGAAATGGAAAGCTGGGCAACCAGATTAGCGAGCATCTGGTGGCTCTTGAAGAAAGGCCGTGCAATATGGATGCTTCGGTCCAAAGCATTTCTTGCACTAGTCACAGATGGTCGAGTGGCAATGAATGGTGAATGGTTAACTGGATATACTGACGCTCCTGCTCTCTATTCACGTTTTCCAACGTCGTATATCAGAGATTTTCGCAATATACGCAATCTGGATTCAGCGTTTCCGAACACGCTCTCCTCCGCTGGAACGCCAGGCAGAAGACCAACAACAACACGGTTTCTATCATCGTTTAGAATGACAACAGCTAACAACGACCATCTACGAGATGGACCAACTTCTAGTTTGGCTGCCTCGACCTCAGTCGATATCGACGTGGTCTAAGGGGACGGAATGTCGCCACGGACCAGACGACCTTTGCAGTGCCTTCCTGTTCGTTCATTCCGTCTCTCTTGGGCAGATTACTGGACCCGTGGTTCGAGATCACTGCTGTTATGCAAAAAGACATATCACCGCTGTCACGATCCCAACTATTGTACCGCTCCCACAGTCTCGTGGCACACAGCCTTACTAAGGTACTTTCCACCGCAAGCCCTTCGGCTGTGAGCGGCTGGCGCAGTTGCGCACTACGCCTCTTCCTGAGGCGACACAGAGACTTCTTCTGTACGCAGTTCATAGCTCTCGGTTTTACTTGGGTAGCTTTTATATCATAACACGAACGTCAACAGATGCTGATTGCATTGGACTCGGTTGACGCGCCGTGATAACCATCTGTGCCGAGCCCACACATCTACCTCAGGGGTTTAATAAAGCACACTGTAATTTGGTTTATATCATCGCTGCTACAGTATTCATCCAACTGCTGCGACGGAAGTGTACAGTAACTATTGCCAAAGCGCCTAGTGACAGGAAGTGAGTGATGGTGATGGTGATGGTGATGGCATGACTTTGAGTTATCAAGATAAGAAAAACGTCTTCATAGCCCTCGGTTCAACGGTAGCCTCAAACTTGACACCACCGCTCTCACCACTACCACCACCAACAACAACATCCACCTCAACCTGTCCTGCCATTGTAACGTTGTGATTGTTGTCAGTCAAGTACGCCGTTGCCACGCTCACATCCGTGACACCCGCCACCTCAATCGTCACGGCGTAAGCGAAATGGGCCTCGTTGATGACGGGCACGGCGACGGTTCCGTTCGCATTGACGTACGCGCTTACGTACAGGTTCTCGGCACTGGATGACGCTTCGACTCTCACGGACCCCGGGCGCGCGAAGCGAAAGTACGACGCAAACGCCCACAGGCGCGCCGAGACGTAGTAGGCGTCGTACTCGAGACGGACGAGGGCGTTGTCGCCCGTCGTGTTCTGCGCGCACCACCAGTGTGTGTAGCCCGACGTGTCGGAGTTGACGAAGGCGTTGTGCATGTACAGTGCCCATTGGAAGCCTTCACTGTTTTTGGTATTTCATTAGCATGGGTCCCGGGCGAATCTTGTACTCAAATTCATTCCAACAGAACACGATTAATTGCATTGGCAGTGAGTACAATTGTATCAAGTTCGTGTCAAGTCTGGGTATATTTGGTGGAGACAGGGGAAAGGGGGGACAAGTGAGAGTAGGTAGATGCGGGACTTGGTCCTATGTCGATCGGATAAGGTACCTACGCAAGTTGACCTGTCACGTCCCAGTATGAGTTCCATTTACCGGTGCCCTGTTTCATTTCTGTTAGTGAGTGCGAGTTGCGTGTGGCGAGTTTGGGGATATGTGAACAAGCAAATAAAAAGGCTGGGATGAGATCACCTACATCTGCCCATTCGGTCATTAGGTTTGGCTTGCCGCCTGAATTGAATGGTCGTTCTGGGTTGCTTTGATAATTGTGCCATGTCTAGTCAGTACCGGTCAGCTTCCTCTGTCACAGCCCAAGGCAGACAAGATACCTGGGTAGTTCTGCCCAGGTCAAAGTATTGACGTAAGTTGGATATTCGGGATTCTCCTACTTACCGCCACATCAAAAAACTCGGACCCTCCAGCTTGGTCGAGCTCGTACAAAATGTTCCTCTCTTGCCTTGCTCCAGTGGCGTCACAGCAGGCGATACTGATATTGGGAAAGGCTGCTTTGGCCGTCGGATACAATACCTCCAAGAAATCCTTTGCCTGGTACCCGTCTGATTCCATGCTCGCGTACGTCACGGGATTGAAGTCTGGTTCATTGTATGCGCCTAGCAGGGACACTTCGATCCCTTCCTGCTCGTAGTACCGGACGTATTGGACGAGGTAGTCGGCGTAAGCTTGTCTCCAGTCCGCGGAGCAGTTGCTGGCCCCTCGAACACCGCAGATGAATCCACCGTTGTCTTCTGTGCCGACCGACTTCATGCATCCCGGGGCAGACCATGCGTCGGCATACACGTACGCGTTCGGGTTGTACTTGAGCGCCGTCTGGGTCAGTTGTAGTTGGCATGTGTCGTTGCCGTCCCAGACGTAGTTGAACGGCCCTTCTGGCGTAGGTGGACAGTCGGGCAGAATAGACGAAACGTCACCGGCGACAATGCCCGGTGTTGAACCAATGTCGTTACGCACGATAGACAGGCCGCCGATGTTCTCGTCGAAGAGGATCTGAGTCACGAGGTCCTGGTTGGACGGCGATAGACCAACCGAGCCGAACTGTTGGCAGGCAATGCCAAATGCTCCAGAGCACCCACCTCCAATCATCGTCTGATACTTTTGAAGGGCATTGACAGATATGGAAGCCGAGTAGGTCATGGAAGGTGTATAGCTCCATGCTGAGCAGGTGGTGGCCGTAGCGGCGACGGTGGCCGCGACGACGACGATGGTGACGCTCTTCATGACACGGAAGTTAATTTGGGTGAAAGTTGACCACAAGCATTGGTCAAGCATTTTGGTCCATGTAAGTACCGAGATTCATAGGTAGTATATAGTTAACCTACCTATCTCCTTCAAAAGATCCTTGTCCCCACGTTCATGGAACCTCCGCAATCCACGGCACGGATTTTAACCACCGCACCATTTACCCAGCAAATTTATCCAGCGGCCGTTCTCCGTCAACGATGCATCGTTTGCAGATCGACACAATCGAGAAAATAGCTGCTCGAGGAGTCCGCTGGATATGGTTTGACTTTGGGTACGGCACCATAGTCGGGTGCCGATCACTCCATCGTAATATCATTAGTACGTGGTAGCTTACCAATTTAACCGGAGGTGCACAATTTGTCTTTGACGAATGTTAGGCTTTTCAAAGTCGGCAATCAATTCTGTCGAGGTCGGCAAGATGTTTGCGTTCCCAGCCACCCACACACGAGCTGCTCGACACCAGGCCTACTGATGGAGAACTCGACCTGCAGAACGTGATACAAGGACACTTTTGTCCTTGAGCCGGCCTGGTTCTCAAGAATCTCCATGGGTAACCTCAACCAGTAGTATCTTGCTTTCTCTGCTCGTGAGAAGGAGCTAGAGTCCTTCTACTGCCAGTACCAGCTTCATTCAGAGGTGGCATTGGCTTCCGCTGGCTCGGTGCAAATCCAGAACGCGCCACGGGTGGTGGAGGACCTCGACTGGCCCATGGTGCTTGCGTGACACCGTTGACGAAACCGAGCGGTGCTTTTGTCGCACTCCCAGCCCAAGGTGCAGCTGTGCCACTACCCGGAGGAGGTCCAGCAGGTCTCATGGTGCTTGGCGCGTGAGTGTCGGTAGGATTGCGAAGAGGTTGGCTTGCAGCGTGTGACACAGCGGGAGGTCGCGCTTCCGGATCCCTTTCCCACCTGAGAAGGGATCCAAAGGGGAAATGTTGAACAACGGGGAATTTAGACAAGACTTCTGCGTTGTACATCTTGAGCATGCCTTTATTGATCTTCCCCCATCCATCCTTGATACCTGATATGTCAAACAACATCGGACTGTGCTCCCAGAAGGGTCCCTTCTTGACTTCATAGATGAATGCGATAGCAGAGAAGTACATGTTTTTGTCCTTCTCCTTGTCAACCAGGTTTTGTTTCGTCACTGAAGACGCTTCCGGTGCATCGGGTAGGGATCCTTCTGTCGGAGTATCGTCTGTATCTGAAACAGCGGGCGCTAGTTGAGCTGATCCAAAGATGTATGGAAGGAAAGAATTGTCATCGAGCCCCCAAACACCATGTGAGCCTGCGGGTTCAAGATTATACGTCTTGATGATTTTGCGGATGAGTTCGAGGTAGCGTTCGAAAACGCCGAGCACGATACCTCGTTCTTCGACACTTGGGGTTGATTGAGGGAAGAAATCCAGCTTCCAGAGACAGGCCAGAAACGCCAAAAAGCTGAGCTCATGTCCCGTGCCATAGTCAAGACGCTGAGGACTGCCAAAGCTGCCCAGGAGATACGGGCCAATCTCGATGCGAGAAGGTAATAATGCGTCAGGCAAGCAGTCCCGAAGCAAATCGTCCATTTGTTCCTCAACCAATTTGTACCACTTTCGGAAACTGACATTTCCGAATCTCCTTGGACCAGTATCAGGGGGGACCTGGTCGACAAGATCACCTAGTTTGGTCAAGAGGGTGCGTAGATGAATGATTGGATCTGAATATGTAACACCGTCTGCGTTCAACGGCCAGGTCGTAGTCTTGATCGAGCCGTCTACACTTTCTTTCCGCGGTACAACCGCACGATTGAGTTGTAATATGAAAGTCATGACATCCTTGTATGCAAGGGAGGTCAGAAAGCTAGTCACATCGGGGCCATCGTGGATTCTCTTGGATGGCGCCTCGAAGTGGTGATTTTCTATGTCGCCGAGTTTGATCAAGGACGGAGAGGCCGCCATGACGAGCCGGAATTGCAAATCGGCTTCTTCGAGACCGCAACGATAGAGGTAGAGTAGGATTCTTCTCGCTTGGATCCCGATGTATTGGCAAAGATGATGTAGCAGGGATATTACAGTACGAAGTGCACACAGTGAAGGGCACGACGGGGATGACATAATCATTGCCCGCCGCCTCGCGCCCTCATTCTCTCTGTTGTTTCTTTCTCATCAGAACTAAAATACGGCCCGCGCCTGTGTCACTCGACGAATCCGCCGTAAACAAATGCACAGAGATGCGGCCTTGCATCTTCTGCCCTTCGCCTCCTCTACTCCATCCCTAGATTCTCAAGATGCTCCTGCGACAGTGACATAGCATCCAAGATGCGTCGCTCGGCTCGTCTCTCTGCGATCAGCGGAAGTGAAACGCTGCAGAATGTACAAGAACCAGAGGACTCATTGCACGATGTCACTGCCATTCTGAACGCAGAAGCGAGCAACTCCAATCGAACGCCGACTTCGAAACGAAAGCGTAACGCCACTAAACAAGTCCATCATGGAGAGTCACCGAGCAAGAGGAGGGAAGTTCAAGATGTGCGTGCATCGACTCTCGCAAAGTCTCCGAGCAGACCTTCCACGATACGATCCTCTGGCAAGCTGAAAGCGCGTCCGTCTCTTGCTCTCCGCCCACTTCCCTCGAAGCGGGATGCCTATGATCTTCCCGAATCACCTACCGACGGACCAGAACCGAAAAACCTGATGAGTCCGCCGGTGAAGATGAGAGTTTTAAACAAGAGAAAGCAACTGCCGGTCTCGCCATTCAGGGGCAGAGGAGAATTCGACACGAGATCCACGGCTACAGTCTATCTAGATGACTCCCCTAGAAAGGCCGTCACCAAGAATACGCTGCAGAAGATTGGATCCTCGTTTCTGAACTTGAAGCCTCCTGCTCGGCAGCAAGCCTCGACGGACATTCCATTCAATGGAGATGTATTTGCAGAGGCTCTTGTCGCGTCTGATGGCCCGGACACGCCCATTCTCCTCCCATCCCAAGTCAACAAGCTCGCTTCTACCGAGGCTGATTCCAGGACACCAGTGAAGCGAAGGATTGCTCAACCCTTAAGCGGACAAGTCAAAGCAGCGGCCCGTAATGGACCCCCATCTTCCACCGAACATGACCAAGAGCAGATATCCGAGAAGGCCAGGGTACCTAACCCACTGGCACACGCTGTCGTAGCGACGCAAACCAAAAGTAATAGTCCCAGGGGCAGAAAAAAGAAGTCCACGCTTCCAGATCGGTCATTGACTGCCGGTCTTGCGCCCAAGACTCCCGTCAGGGAAATCAGCTCAGCTCTTCATGCGCCCGATGCTTCTGCATCGGATAGAAGACAGAATCCAGGCACATCGAGACCGGCCGCCTTACACGACAGAGAAGTCGCCGATGATAACGATGACACCGACAACATTAACAACAGAAATGCTTCAGATGAAGAGGATCCCGAGCAACGAGGAAATGAAGACGGCGACGATGACAGCTTTGGAAAGGCAACTAATTGCCGACCAGAAGCCGAAGACAGCTATGATCAACAGGGACATCAGGATGATCATGATGTTCAAGAGAATCGACCAAAATCACGGGTCCAACGCCCAGAGACCGAAGCCGAGAGACGGAGGCGAAAGCAGCTAGAAGCTGAAGAGGAAGATGCCGAGGCAAGGCGTGTACGAAAGGCAATGAATAGCATCAACGAAGCGGCGGAGATTTTTGACTGCAAGTTGGCCTGGCAGACAGCTCTTGTAGCTTCAGCTGAGATTACCGAAGAGAGGGCATATTCGGAGCTCAGGTCTACGAATGGCAAAGCTATAGCTCGCTCGTTGAGATCTCTGGCGGAAGCATATAAAGAGTTAATTCGCCATGGTAACAACTCCGATGCTGGTGGTTCTACCGCGACTATTCAAAAGGATCTCCAAGTGTACAAACAGCGATGCCAGCACATCAGTGAATGTAGACATTCCCCGATTCTCGACCGTCACCAGGACCGCAGACGCGAACGCAAACACATGATCTGGGACATCTACGAACATCTTGTTCCTGACTCGCTTAAACTGGCCAAATACGTCCTTCGCGCACAATATCAGGCCAATCACTTGAACACGGCCGCTCTCAGAGAAATGATCGAGGTCTTGAAAGTCACCCGGCTATTAGCGAATAGCGCTACCCAGTGGCAGCCGAGGCCGAAGGTTCCCGTTGGCATCAGAAGGAAAGTGCAGCTGAAAGTTGCGCAGAACGTTGAACACATAATACGCCAATACCAGGAAAAGGTCTCGATTGAAGACCAAGAGATCTATCGTGACGAACTAGAGATCAAGCAAAGAGCCGATCATGAGCGGTTCCTATTGGAGGTGCAGCGACGACGAGCAGCAGTCAGAGAGAAACATCTCACCTACGCCGCTCGCATCTCCCGAGAGCCAGTTGACCAAGTTGTCGACGTCGGCGATTCGAATCAAGACGAGCCACTCTACCAACATGGACAATCTAGATTTAGTCAACCAAACGTTGTCGGCAGCCCACCCGACAAGGCCTTTACACATCGGGAACCCACCCAGGAGAGTGGTCGAACAGCAGCTAAGCAATGGTCCTCGAGTGAACTTGAGCTCTTGTTGAACGCGCTCCAAAAATATACCTCCCCAACAAGGTTTGAAGACATAATTGCTGCCTACGGTGGATATAGAGGTAGGCTTGGTAAGTACAACAAGGACGAGATCATCGCCCAGGCACGTTGGGTCAAAAAGAGCATCTTGAGAGAATCGTACGACTTTTACAACGGACAGTGGGACTGGCTCCTTTCTCTACCCGACTGAGACGATTACTTAGCTAATGTATCAATACTGAGTCCGAAAACGGCGAGCGGACGAAGAAAATTCACGACTGACGGATTATTAAAGATACCCCTGTAACATGTTTGACTGTACTCCGTATCTGGGCAAAGATGGGAGTCTTCTGTTGGATACCCAGTGCCCCGTGTGGACACACCTCATCTGAGTACGCGACAAGTATAGCGTTCACATTGAAATGTATTCTCCTACCATGATCTCGACTTTGAAACAAAGTCTAACTAATCGCCCCTGACGAAGCCGGCTTCCAGCTCACTGTGATATTCAGGTCAAGCTGCCCTGCCCCAAGTTATATAGTAGATTCTCCTTCCAATGCCTCGCCAGACCCCATGTCACTACCATCAGTTCTTCATTTTCCCCGTCCAGCCACAGCATTGGTGAGACTGACTTTAGATTGAAGGGAAATGAGGAGGAGGATACAGGTCTGTGACTGACCAATTTGCGTATCGTATGCTCCGCCGGACTCTGGAACTAGAGCGGAGCATTGGAGCGCCGAGTCTCAGTCGCGTCTGACTCGCGCCTGGCACAAGCCGCCAATCTGCACATCCCAATCGCATGTTTCAGCAGTGCCCGAACCCTGGTCTCTTTGATGTCTTTGGTCTTTCTCTAACCACTAGCCAAAGGGCCCTCTTCTTCGTTGTTGGCATTGCAAGTTGGTTATCGTCTATTTCATCTTTTTCGTTGACAGTACTCCGAACTCCGTAATTCTAATCATATCTTGTGCTGTTTCCTTTTCTCTGCGTTGGCCGGCCTCGCTCTAGGACCGGTCTACCGTCAAACCAACTCTGGACACCATGGACAGACATGTCTCCTCCAAGGCTGACGAGTCCAAGTTGAAGTCGTCCAATGCAACTCCCAGGCCTGTGACAAAACCTTCTGCCCCGAGACTGTCGACTTCTTCCAGACCCTCGACAACGGCTTCTGCAGCCAAGGCGAGTGTCGGCGGCTCTCTGAGCAAACCACCTGCACGCCCAACAACCACGTCTACGGCTCGAAGACCTACGAGTACGTCTACCTCGTCCACGACCGCCCAGACCAGCCATGCAACGAAGCCGTCCGTCAGCTCTATCGATGAGAGGGCCTCTGGCGATGAGAAGAGAAAGGAGGGGATCTCAGCACGGCCCAAGAGGATGTCATTGGCTTCAAACACCAGTGCTGACCGAACTGCGACGTCCAAGACCGTCAGCGCAACGCCAGCTCGGCGGACCACTCTTCAGCCAACCACCACCCGAGCCAGTGCTGCCAGCCCGGTTGGCAGTAGGAAAGTACCCGCGACTCCTAGTACCTCACGGACAACCCCCAGCACCACTGCGCGTTCAAGGCCTCTGGCGACAGTAGCCTCGCGAAACATTGGGGCCAGCGGTCTTGCTGAGAAGAAGCGTCTGAGCACGATACCAGCGTCCCCTGCCACCAAGCCAAGTGCGGAAGAAGCAGAACATAATAAGGAAAATGCAGTTGGGCCGACCGAGCACAAACCTGTCCGACCTGCGCTGGGTTCTAGAAAGTCCACTCGCTCTGTCCTGATTGAGCAGCAGATACGTGAGTTCGAACTTGTCAACAGTATGCTTCAAGCGGCCATGGCTTCGGATGGGGCGGACGAAGAAGAGAAGCACAACATCTCCGAGGAAGCTGCAGCAACGATCTCCAAGCTGAAGTCTGACCTTGCGAAAGTACGAGAATTTGAGAGGACTCATGGTCGTCTTCCAACCAACGCTGAGCTTGAGGAAGCTACCTCTGTCACAGCAGAAAGTGGTACAAACTCTCCAATTCGCGAAACTCTTAGCCAAGGTGAAGATGCGGGACTTGACGTCTCGGTCTTGCAGACTGAGCTCGCTCAGAGCAAGGAAGAGGTTAGCAGTCTACATTTGCAGCTAGCTGAGCTCAAGACGAAGCTGGAGGAGTTTAGCAAGAGTGCAGAAGAAGAGTCTCGTGCGGTGCAGGCTGCGGCTGAGTCGACAGAGAAGGACCATGCTACCAAAATTCAAGAGCTAATAGCACTTAACGAAGGGAAACTCGGCGAGGTGGAAATCGCTCACAAGGCGAAGCTGGACGAATTAGCAAACGATCGACAATCCGAGGTGGATGCACTCACGCAAAAACTCTCGGGCCAGGTGGCGGCCAAAGAAGCAGAGGCCAGTCAACTGAGGGTAGAGCTCGATGAATTGCGGATTTCGGGATCCTCCAAGGAGTCTGCAAACCAAAGCGAGCTGGAACGACTAAAGTCAGAGCTTGAAGAACTCCGTGCTGCAGCAAACAAGGAGAAGCTGGTGAAGGATGCTCAAATAGAAAAGCTCAAACTCGATCTCGAGACCAAGAAGATTGAATCAGACAGTGTGAGCGCAAGCGAGTTCGTACCCTCTCCGAGCATCTCGCCAACCCAAAGCATGGAGCTTGAAGAGGCACAAAAGAAACTAGAGGCCGCGCAGACTCGTCATCAAGCCGCCAAAGAGAACGCGAAAACCAAAATTGCACGACTGCAAGAGGAGTTTGAGACGAAGAGCCGAACCCTTGAATCCCAGCACAAAGAGGAGCTCGAAATGCTCAGAGAAAAGCTCGCTCAGACTGAAGCAGCTTCTGCTGAGAAACAGAAACTGGTCGAGCAGCAAGAGGAATCCCACGCAAAGCTCAATGAGGAAATGTCTCAACAGGACCAAGCAATGCAATCTCTGAAGCAGCAACTGATCGACCTTCAGCAAGTAAAGGACGAAGAGAGAGAGGCTCAGGCCGCCACGATAGCCGAGTTGCAAGAAAAGCTGCAAGGCCTCGAACAGCAGAAGGCCGATGACCTCGTGGCTGCACAAAACGCACATCTCGAGAAGGTACGGGAAATCGAGGATCAACTGAATGCTACCAAACAAAGTTTGCAGGGCGCGGAAGAATTACACAAGAGTCAACTGGAAGAATCATTGCGACAGTCGTCTGAGGAGTTGAGCAAAGCCAAAGCTGAACTTCAAGAGGCGAAAGCCGACCATACAAGCAAGCTTGAGGCCCTGCAAGCAGAACTTCAGAAGTCCTTGGATCAAGCTGGTACGACGCAAGGTGACCACGAAAAGGCCGTTTTATCATTGCAAAGCGAACTGGATGAGGCAAAGACTGCTCTTACCGACGCACTCGAGAAACATGAGAAACTTCTGCAAACCCATGAGGCTGAGGGTAATACTGCCAAAGAAGAGCTGGCTCTTTTGAAGGCTACTCACGACGAAGAGTTACAGCAAGCTCATTCTGAGGCACTGGCAAAGCACGAAGAGGGGATTGCCGGGCTGAAGGTGACCCATGCTGGGGAGGTGCAACAACTGGAGGAGAAACTCCATTCTTCTCAAAAGGAAATATTGACCCTTAAGGAGAGTCATGCATCCCGAATTCAGGAGCTAGAAGAACAGATGAAGGCGTCTTTGGCTGGTCTGGAAAGCCTCGAAGCTGGCCATATCGCAGAACTTGATCGCGTCAAGGTTGCTGCTGAAGAAGGTCATCAGAAAGCAATCGAAGAAACCGAAAGAGCCCACGTAGAGCGTGTCCGCCAACTTGAGCAGCACCTCAACGCGGTCGAGGCCGAATTGTCGAACATAAAGGCTCGACACTCCGAAGAGCTTGCCGAGATGGAGAGACGAAGAGTTCTGGATCAGGAGGTTGCTATGAGTGCTCTTAATGAGTCCCATGCAAACAGAATCACAGAATTAGAGGCACAGCTCAAATCTGCCCAGGAATCCTTGGAATCTAGCAAAGCCGAACACACCGCACAACTACAAACATTGGAAGCAGACATTGCTTCTCGCCATACTCACACCATTGAATCGTTGAAATCCACCCATGCTGAGCTTCTCAAAGAGGCCGAATCCAACGCCAAAGCCAACCAAGAGAAGGCTATAGAAGAAGCACGTGCTTCATTAACAGAAGAGAAACGACAGCTTGAAATGCAGACCAACGCTTTACAGTCCGATCTGGACGGCACCCGGTTCCAACTTCAGAGCTTAAGGGGCATCTTGCAGTCGATGGACGAAGAGAGCAAGTCCAAGGAGTCAGAGCACGCCGAAGCCCTCGAAAAGATGGAACAAGAATTGTCGATGGCCATACAGAAAGTGGCTGAGAAATCCACTCAAGTCATGACACTTCAGTCCCACCACGACCAGACCCTCGCTGAGGTCAAGCAAGTTCTACAGACCAAGGCTCAGGAAGAGCTCGAGAGCCTCCGTAGTGAGCACGAAAAAGCACTAGCAGATCTTCAGGCTACCTTGGAGAAGGAACATAAGCAGGCTCTTGACAGAATCATGGAGGACCATGCCAAGTCGAGCGAAGCTGACCAGGAAAAGAACAAGTTGCAACACGAGGACTTGGAGAGGAGAATGAAAGAGGTGCATGATGCCCAAATGGACGAGATCATGAAAACGCTGGAGAACCAATGGAAGTCTCAAGTGGACCAACTGGAAGAGGCAAATGCGGCCGTCAGTGCCCGCCTCGCCCAGGCCACGACGGACCATGCGGGAGCAATGGAGTCTCTGAATTCTGATCATGAAGCGGCACTCTCGAAGCTACAAGCAGAGCTGGATGTTGCTCGCCAGGCCTCCGAAACACCAAAGGATACCACCGAACTGGATGAATTGAGGGATCAGCTCATTCAGTCTCGCCAGCAACTCGAGCAGCTTGAACAGGAACATCAGAAGACTATGGCAGCAGCACTCGAATCGCATGAGTCTTCCATGACAGTAGTGAAGCAGGAACTTGAGACAGCGAGGAAGTCTCTCGAAGATCGTCCAGACCGTGCCCAACTTGAGGAACTGAGAACCAAATATGTTCAAGCACAATCCTCTCTGGACGAGTTGCATGTTAAGCACGAGCAAGCGTTACGCGAATCCCAGGCTGGATATGATGACATGATCGAGAAACTTTATGCCGAATTGAACGAGGTCAAGAAGGGTGCTGAAGATATGCCCAGTGCAACGGAGCTTCAGAACGTCAGGGCGGAGCTCGAAGGTTTCAGAAAGACCATCGCCTCGTTACAAGCCGAACTGGAAGGCGCCATGCTGGAGATCGAGACCCAACGAGGGATGGCTGAGGACGCCCAAAAGGAAGTCAACAAACTCAAGCAAGCTCAGAAGGAGGTCGTCTTGCCAAGTCCAAAGCCTCGGGGCAAGAGTCGCAGCCCGCGGAGAAAATCAATGAACCCGCTCACTCCGACAGGTCCAAAGAAGGGTCTCGAGTCAAGCAAGTGGGCTACTCCTGAAGATGCAGTTCCTGCAGAAGAGCATATTGGCGAAACCTCCACCAGCGGCTTGAGAGGAGCTGTGGCTTCCCAGGACAATGACGATGGTGTCCCCTCGGAGGAAGCATCCATCCCGCCTGTCGAGTCCACTCCAACAGCTCCTAAACGCAATGTGGCCGGTCAATTGGCGGGTATCCACGAAGAGATCAAGCAATTGAGTGAGCTCAGTGACGAGATGTTTGATGACCATCAGAAGATGGCTAGAACGTTGAACAAGGTTGATGATACCACAGCGACCACGGTCGATGTTGAAGAGCAGGGCGATGAATGAGTGAGTGAGACGACGAGGTATTGGAGGTGTGATTGAGTATTGGAGACCCAGTGATTCTTCCCAGGCCTAATGGGCTTCTTACCATGGAGACCTTCGTTTTCATTCTTTTCCAACCACAGTTTTGTCTTTCTCTATGGCGTTGTCTTTGTAATAGCAACGACACGTTCTGTGGCTATCCTACACACTTTTTCTTGGTCTCCTCAACCAGCGAACAAGCAAGCGAGAATTGAAAATGCAAAGCATCCGACAGCGGGTTGTGGACTGTTTCGGTGGTCAGCAGCAGTGTCGAATTGACATTATTGATGACGATTGTAGCCTTTTGTGGAGTTGAGATACCCCCTTTTTTGTTTATCATATTCGTTACTACTCTGTACCTTCTGAACAGGTCGGTCCTGAGCAAGAAATGCGCATTCTTTTTGTATCCGATTGTTTCGTTTCTGGTTGATTCATATTGTGGAGCGTACGGAAAAGGGTTCTGGCCAACGACACAAGGCAACGAACATGCATGAGTTTAGGTGTTTCACTAAGCGACTTGCTTTCCCCTTGTCCTCGAATCGCGCCGGGCTCACTAGGCCTGGTTCATGGAGTCTGGGAGACGAACGATAGTGTAAGTTGTTTCAAAACTCGACATACTTATACGGAGTAAGGGTCCCTCGAAATCTCACCTCTGTAGGAGTTTTGCATTTCATATATGGACGAAGTCAATTCGGCTTTACGTCTTCTCTCTCTCTCTCTGTGCTTACCTTTCTCTTCGCACGCACACGCATACATGCATGATGCACATCTCTTCCACCCTGGATCAGTGTCATTGAAGTTTATCCGGAGGGGTCCTATACCAAACACCAGTCGAATTCGGCGCGTTACCTCTACTATTACATATCACTCTGGAAGAACTTTTCATTTTGGGAGATACTCGCCGAGATGAGAAGATCAATGAGTTGCAAGGTATGTTTTGTAAACATTAAACATTCAACATTTAGTTTACTCCAGTGTACTGTTGAAGTTCAGGTATGTTATGTGCGTATGTACATTGCAACCCCCAGTCATGAACCCCCGTGGCGAAAGACCATTTCTTTAATAAAGGAAAGACGTGATGGAAAGAAAAGAAAACAGAAAATAAAACCGGCGCAAAATCACAAAGAGTCCCAAAATCATCATCGCTTTGAAATACCACACTTTGCCAGACAAGATTCGACACCGTTGGCGACGTTGGCCGGGATGAGGCTCCGGAACTGATCGATGTCGCGGCCGTCAAAGGTAAAATCGTTTGCGAAGACGGCCTCAAGCACGTCGTCGTCGAGATCGAACAGCCTCTGAGCGGATTGCTGGACACCAGGGTCCTCGGAGGCAAAGCCGGCGACGAAGACGGCGTCGTTGCATTCTGGGTTCCACTCGGTGTGGATGGCACCCTGTGGGAAGACGGTCATCATGTACTTGTCGAGACGGTTGCGGATGTAGGGCGCGCCGTTCTCGAGGATGTACTCGGTGCCCAGCGAACCTTCGACGACGATGTTGATCTCGGCGGACCGAGGGTGCGTGTGGGGCGTGTTGAAGCCGCAGGGGCCGATGAACCCGACGGTCATGCTGACGCCGGTGCCGATCAGGGCCGGGAAGTCCTTGCGGTCAGCCTTGACCGTGTGGCCGCCGTTGCCGGTCGTGATGGCCGAGCTGAGCGGCGGGTTGTTGAAGTCGTACAGGTGGTCGCTGGGGTCGGGGAGGAGGTTGAGACGGTCCGCGGCAGTAGGGGCCTGGAGCAGAGCGTTGATCAGGTCTTGGTTGCCGGCGCGGTCGGGCGAGATCGACACCCCCGGGCCCAGGCTGGTCGAGTTCAGCGCCACGTGCGTCGACGCGCTGCTGGTGCTGCCGGGCGTCGGTGCGGCGGCCGGTGCGGCGAGGCCGCTCCATGGCATCATGATGTATGCTGCGAGGTGAAGCATGGTGGTTGATTTCATTAATCCGTGTGGTGGAAAGAAAAGAAAGGAAATTGAAAAAAAAAAAAAAAAGGTGAGAGTGTGTCGGGATGTTTTCAGAGATGTCAGACAAAGGTATGTATGCTTATGCCTATGCAAAAGAATGGATAGTGCGTGCGTGTGTATTAGAAGCTGGTTAAGTTTCTGGTTTGTGGTTCTGTATGGTTGGGATGATTGTTCTGAGTGATTGACTGACTGACTTTCTCTTGTCCAGCCAGGTCCCAAACCCCAGGATATATACACCTTTTTTTTCCAAAATTTGCTTACGGATGGCAAAGCGGAAATCCTGCTCGTTAGTAAACATGCGAAGCGGATTTTCTCATTTCCACATTCGTTGGACATGTCAGAATGCTCAGTTTAGGTCTGGGCTGTACATCTGGCAATTGCCATGGCGGTACTCCATATGCGTTATGCTGACAATGGATCTAGGATCCGCTAGCCCGCCACGGTGCATCGCCCCCGGCCATACAGGTAATTTGTGATCATCTTAGTCTATCTCCGTCCGCTGGTTATTAGGGCCACTAACTCTGCAATGTCGCCCCGTGGAATTGGGACTTTTCTCCGAGCCCAGGGCACTCGAGAGCCAAGGCCAAGCTTAGAGCTTTAGTTAAGAGCTTCTAGCTTCTGGTTCGTGTCAAAAGCTAGCTTAGCTACATGCTTCGTCGATATACCCATAACTGTGTACACCGCACCGAGTAAGCACGGGAAGCACGGGGATTGCCCCATAACTACCGACACGGACATGGTGGAAAGGGAACGGGGCCAGGAGAGAAAGACAAAGGCATTCCTCCGCTAGATGAACATCGTGTACAGTACAGTACAGGAGCGAGGATGGATGAGTTCTTGCTGATGAGCCTCCGCAAAGAAGGATCATGCTGGTGATGCGTGCTGATTGATAGCGTGAACTGTCATATTAGTTGCCACAGCCCAAGGACCAATATAGCGAGGAAGTGCCACGAGGAGCAATTGTTCATCAAATCAACGTTGGCGAAAATTAAGGATCCAAGCTCGTTTGAGTATGTGTGTGCTGGGTGCAGTCGTAGTAGCTTCGGTAGTTGGTAGGATGATCTACCTTGTTCGTAACTTTAGTTGGATTAAGGCCCCCAACGAAATGTTCTATTGTAAGCAGCCACAAAGGCAAATCTGCACGACACCGACTTCTGGGAGAGGAATAGAAGTTTAGAGAAGATGACACGCAATTTGGGCAGCAGGGCCGGCATCCGGTCTACTCCACTACGGGGATTAGTCCAGAGCCTGGTGATTGACTGCTGCGGACTCTGGCCACTGAGTATGCTGGTAGTTCGCTGTAAGAGCTAGGGTAATAGTTACTGTACGAAAGCACACTTGTAGTAAAGACTTCGCAGGGCTCGTCCACCCCGTCAGCCTCAACACCGCCGGGAGTATCCACCCTTAGGGACAAATGTGGAGACCGCCCGCCCTTACATAAGGACGTGTCTATTTTTAAGGCCTGCTCACTGTTCAAGTGCTCACACACAAGGGCCGCTCGCAGAGAAATGACCAGCACATGGGCATCATGCGGCTACTCGCACCGTCAAACGCCACACTCCAATGCCACAGGTCACTGGTAAAGCCTTGAAGGGACCAGGGTAAGTGTGGCCATGACAATTCCATTTTCTTCATGGGTCCAGCTCCCGCTCCGTCTGCAGACCCCATGGTGGTGGCTACAGTAACTTACTAGCAAGTAGTGTGCTTACGGCGTTTGGGGCAAAGTAATCAAGCAAATCACCCCTACTACCCGCCCAGGTAATTGCTTATCACTCTTGTTCGCCTCCAGTACATACGGTGGGCGGTTCCCGCGTCGAGGCTCTCTTTTTTTGTCTCTCGCGCATTGGTAGTGGACTCGCATTCTGTTCGATGTGGTAGAGAACCAAATTCTTCTTCTCCGTTTCCTCAAACCCTCCCTGTCCTTTGTCGCAAACTGCGCTCTCGAGTCTGCGTGCCGCGACGACCGTTGCGCTCTTCATCAACCTCATCAACCCCGCTTGAAAGGACCGACGCAACGACGCAAAGAACACAATGCCTCTCATCACGCAAGTCGCCGATAAAGACCGCCAAAGGGCGTCGCTCTACCCTTACCCAGTGACGCCGATCCTGGGCGCCGCAAACTTTATATCGGGAGCCGTCGTTGTGGGTATTCTAGCATATTTCGTCCACTACCTGAGGATGGACAACATGTCTGCACCCTCGGAACTCATTTTCGTAAGTACCTACGCAAATACATTTTTTTCCAGAGTACTTGTTCTTGTTTTTGTCTTTCAGCGGGCGGGGTGATGTGTGCGTGGAATGACCAGGGAATTACTTCGAAGCTAACCTCACAATCGTATTCATTTTGACAGGTCCTGGTTGTCGCATGTATTTCGCTCCTAGACCAGATCTTGGCCATCTTCCGACACAGCGTGTTCCAGATCTCTGCGCGAATCAACCTGGTCGTACACCTCGTCATTCTGAGTCTCTGGTGCGCAGCGTTCGGCGTGTTGACCTGGAGATTGAACAAGATGGTCCTGTCGCACACCTGCAGCATCAAGGTCTGGGAGACGTCCATGGGAGTCATGGTCTGTCGGCTGTACAAGGCCATGTATTCGTTTTCGGCCATCAGCTTCGGTCTGGCTGCGGGTTTGGTCATTCTCGACTACACGGTGTTGAGGGAAGACGCGGTCGCGGGCATCTATCGACCGTTGGAAGGGAAGTCGAAAGCTGTGAAGATATGAGGCATGCATCAATCCCGGCCAAGGGGCCGAGGGGGCGAATTGGTTATCCGGCGTCAAAGTCATCCTTCACTGTACATAAGGGTATCACTTTCATTCGGCTGGACGGGAGTTGCTATGGGGGTTTGTGGTATTGTGCTCACTGATGATCCCGCTCGAAAGGCGATGCTCCCCAACTTACGACGATCGACACAAGAGGGCTGGTTTAATATGGACCAAATCAGGAGGATAGTAAATATCTCTCACACTTTCATTTCTCATCATACTGGTAAAACCCCGCGCCCGACTTCACACCGAGCTTTCCTTGGTCTATCATTTGTTGGAGATACGTTCGGGGCTGTTCTGGGATGCCCGGTCTCACGTCCGCATAGTGCTGCTCGATATCGCGAACGACGTCCAACCCCACCACGTCCATCTGTTCACACGGTCCTTTGGGCGTCTTCAAGACGTCTTTGAAGATGGCGTCGATCTCCTCCGGGGTTGCGACGCCCTCTGATAGAGTCAAGAGCGCTTCTCTCTTGATTGCGGCCCATATTCTAAAACACCAACCCCATACTCCGTCAGCAACACGGTTCTCTTTTCGACACAGAGGTAATGAATTCTAAACCCATGCGGACGCAGTCTTGCTTACCGGTTGTAGATGTACCCTGTAGACGTCTTCCGGACGTGGAACGGTGAGAATCCGTGCCTCTTTGTTTCTTCCATCAGGCGGGTGATGATCTCGGGTCTGGTTTTACTCGACCCCATAACCTCGATTGCTTCACACAGTCATCCCAATCAGCTGCCACGGGTCAAAGCCTCTCTAGCGCCGTGTGCTTGACTTACCTGATGTTTCTGGCGGCCAGTCTGTGAATGCGTCAGTCTCGAGGTTTGATCCGGGGAGGGAAATGGAACGACAAAATCCAAGGAGGTGGACATACACGAATGTAAACTTGCAAAGCGGTCGTCGTGCTTCAGCTTCAGATCCTCTAGAATCTCTTCGATGGTGTAGCTGCTAGAATTGGACGCGACGATGGTCTCCGGGCTTGCGAGCTGGTCCAATTCCTGGACCACGCTACGTTTGAGCTTGAGCGATTCGGGTACGCACTGAGGTGCGATGGACGTGTGAGTCAGCGTTCGCGGCTCTGAAGCGGTTCGGTGAAGGATCCGGAACACACATACCTCGAGGACCAGCCATGACTTTGACGCTGCTTGTTCCAGGTCCTTGGGCGGCGTGGCAATGACTTCGCCCCAAGGTGTCGAGGTAGCCCAGAGGCTTTGCAGCTGAGATCTCAAGTCGTCGACGCCCTTCCTGGCTCTCACGAGCTGTTGCTCGTTCTGGTCGACGAGATAGACCGGTCGTCCCTTTTTCGTCCACTGTTCAAGTGTCAGTTAAGTCCCTGATACCCGCGAAGGGCAGACATTTTGGCTGATTGTGTCGCGCCGGGGGGGTTAAACCAACCATAAACGCCAGCCTTGTCCCCTGTGTCCCGCCGCCGAGGATAGTGACGGCTCTGCGGGTCTTGTCCATCTCGGAGGTGCGACAACAAAAGAGTCGTCGTCGAAGTGCTGGGGAATCAATGGTTCAAAGAACACGTTTAGTATCAAGAGTCGACAGTTTCGTGACGTGCGTGCTCAAAGTATAAAAGTCCTGAGGTGACCAGGGAGTGGCGCCACCACAAACGAAGCTGTGCCAACCACTCTATGAGTAAGGAGGACGGAGAACTGTAGGCGGTAATGTTCTAGACCGGGTACAAAGTTGGGATTACTCGTGGGAGAAGAAAAGCGACGTTGGACAGTCAATAAATCAACAGTCAGGTATTGTAGATCTTGGAGCTCCCCCCATTTCTCTGTAATCTTTCGATAGACGTGGTAGATCAGCTTAGGGAGAGACTTGGCCAAAACGAGCTCCCCCCGGTGAACCCTCTCCCCGTGCGGGGCACTCTGGCCCGTCCAAGCTACGAGGCGACGAGGCTATGCTTCCACAAGGAATTGATCTTGCTACAAAGTTGGTGGACTTTGCCTTCATAACAAAAAGTACATATCAGGAATGTTCGGCGTATTCTTGACTATGCTGTATCGACTGACTGTTCATGGTTCTTCAAAAATCCTCGTTTGACTACCACTTCTTCGACCACCATTGCGGAACCTTGAACATCGGGCCGGATCCGATGCATCCACAAGCCTCTCTCGGCGGGCACATTAGGGGTCCATACTCGTATCCGTAGGGGCGGGCAATCCGCCTAGACGTAAACTCTACGGATGCGATAATCCCCCATGCAACTTGGATGACCCCAGTATGATCTGCAGTCCAACCTTGAGGGCCCGATACCCATAAGGATAGCAATTACAGTATATCCCGAGGCGTCTCTCTCGCACTTGAGGGTCACACACTATGACGCAGAATTCAAATTACGAGATTCATACTTTGCCTCTGAAGTTACATACTTATCTCTTTCGGGGCTACTTACAGCCGTACACTCCTCCGAGTCACAGGTACTCGACACCTTTAACACGTTATACCACCATCCGCCGCGAAAGTTGCACCGGTAGTGAACGAGGCATCGTCGCTCAACGCAAAGCAAATCGTCTTCGCCATATCGTCCGCAGTACCAAGCCTCTGCAGAGGGAGCGTCTTGTACGTTTCCGTGACAGGTTGGTTGTTGGCGCCCGAGTCGGCTCTCAACCTGTCCAGCATGGGAGTTTCAATTGGGCCCCTGTTGTCACAGTCGGTATCATCACAGGTCAGTCTCCTTCCCTTGTTTCTCTTTTCGCGCGTGGGTTCAGGACGCAAGATCAAAGGAACAAATGAAGAAACGGAATCGGAATGATACTCACGGCGCAATCGCATTGACACGAATCCCTCTCTCGCCAACCTCCTTTGCAGCAGTCCTCGTCAGACCAACCACCCCGTGCTTGCTAGTCGAGTACGCGGCGATGTTCGGACGACCCATCAGTCCAGCGATGCTGGCCACGTTCAAGATGGCCGCTCCCCGGTCCATGACACGCAGCTGAGCGCGGAGACAGTAGAACAGTCCCTTGAGGTTGATGCCCATGATATGGTCCCAGTGTTCGTTGGTGATGTCGACGATCTTTGCAAAGACCTTGCCGTCAGGTGCACCCTCGACCCCGGCGATGTTGGCCGCACCGTCCAGCCTGCCGAAATGCTCGACAGTGGTAGCGGTCCAGGCGTCGACGCTGTCGGAACTGGAGACGTCGACGCGCTGGCCGATGACGTTGACGCCTTTTCCCTTCAGCTCCGCGACGACTTTGGTCAAGGCGTCTTCGTTGATGTCACACAGGGAGAGAGACGCCCCTCTTGCTGCTGCCAGTCGCGCCGTCGCTGCTCCTATCCCGGACCCGGCGCCGGTGATTGCGATGACTTTGCCCTCGAGTTGTGCCATTGTTATCTTTGGTCCAAGGTAGTTCGCTTTTATCGTCACGACTCTTCAGGATTGGGTTTTGAAAACTGCGTTACATCCAGAGAGCCCCGACTTGCGTCCTAGATGTCAATCATGTCTTCCCCAGCTTACTGTCTGCGGGCTGTTCGTGAGGGGCTCCCGAGGTAAACACGGGGCATGAACCGTTGGAGAACAGAGACACCCTCTCAGCCGAGAAGCATCCCATTACTCGTGCCTTGCTTTGTAACACCTGATCTTGCCAATCATGACCATCATTGCCTAGAGAAAGCCGAGACTGATGTTGGTCTTATTCCGGGTTGCTGTGCACCGAGCAATGGAACCTGATCGAGGGTGGTCGAGGGTTTGCCCTTCGTTGAGGAACAGTGTCTCGGATCCGAGCCAAGGACGATTTGCCCACTTGGAGCCGAGCTTAATTTTTACGGAAGGCGAGAACTTACAATAGGGGGCTCTCAGCCTCGTCTGCTCACGCTGTTTCTTTCGGCACGCACCCCCTTGGTAGATTCATCCATGTGATATCATGGAAGCCGATCACTTTGAAGGCAGCGAAATCTGATCATACTATCGACGTTGGACAAGCGTATAGTACAAGCGTTCAACAATCGTGCGAATCAATGCAAGAAAAGGTGCCGACGGTGCGACTTTGTGATAATTTATCCAATTTCCTTATTATGCTCGGACATACTTCCGTCAAGAATGTCGCTCTATTGCCTCCATGACTCAAAAGCGAAGTATCCAAAATCCTATCGAAGCGAGTGGCTGCTGATCGCACCGTGCCGCTATACGATCAAGAATTGAAAATCACTTACCTTCAAGACTCCTCCTTTTTGAACTTCCAAACCCCAATATTCTCATCCTCTTCTTTCCGATCTTCAGATTTGTCTGCACTCCTCCTAGCGGCCATACTTCTCTTGAACCCAGGGAAGGATACATGGGCCCAATCTCTTGATTATTCCTTGACGCTTACCGGCCTGGTTGGCTTTCAGGTCCTCCTCCATCGCTTCTAGAATTTTGTCTATCGTCTCATAAGCAGCCTCCGAACGTTCGGGATCCATGTAGATGGGATTAGTTAGCAAATCGGAGATTATATCGTCGTCCACGCTCCTAATAATGGCCAGCTCAAGAAGGTCTTCCTCCAACTTTTTGATTTGCTGTTCGGTCGAAGTGGTCTCCTTGCTCTGAGGAGGACACATGTTGGTTGGCGCTGTGTGATCTGTCGGAGTGAGTTTGAATCTTACCTGTAACTGGAGCGATGAAGCGATGGCGTCTGTCTTATCAGAGAGGATGAAGGAGAAAATATCTGCTCAACAGAAGGAGACTGGATATACTTATATAGTTCGAACGTGGATATCTGAGAAGGTCCAAAGCCCAAAGGCTTGCTCTTTGTCCTGTCGAGATGACAAAGCCGGAATTGATCCCCATTGTGGAGGGCGAAGACGAAATAGGTGATTGGTGACAAAGATGCGAATTAAAAGCGACGTTTGTCGGCGATACAATGTCCTTTCGATGGTAAAAGGAGGTCTTTGTCTCGAATTGGGTATGTGGACATCAGGCGGTGCAACAGGCCTCCAGCAAGGGGCAACGCCTACGATGAAGCATCGATAACTCCACGTGATTCAGCATTCCAATGGACTGAGGTAACTTGGGAGAGTTTTGTAAAGAGAGACAGGCAACTGATGAGATGGATTACTTGCCAGAACCTTCTGCTGTCCGACATACTTTTGGGGGTCTCTACTCGTGGGCAAACCCGAATTCACCCTGCTGCGGATGGCACTGCATCTGGGCAGACACGTCTTTCGTCGATCTCTTCACCCCAAATCCCTGATCTACGTGACCTGGTATGTCTTTCAGGCTCTACAATCTTTGGGGGTCTACAATCTTTGAGGCTGTCAGACACCCTACTGATGTATACCAAGCCCTCTAGTAATAGTCTCAGATTCACAAATACATTGAATGTTGCATGCTTTGCAGGTCGAAGGCACAAGACACACAGTAACTGAAGCTCTCGCTATTCACATCTTGTGCCCGACCTCACACACTCCTCTATGGCAGTTGTTCACCAGCCAGGCAGCTGCCCCTCGCTGTTGTTACCTACGCTAGGTGCTCCTGGCCGTATATATATATGGACTGTAGTACATCCTGCTGGTGAGACTTTATCATCAATCCATCTCGCAAACAATACCGCTAGATTAACGCGACACCAACCCTGACTACCCTTCTCTGCTGTGCTTCTCAACAACGAATAGTATTACAACATGGATACTCCCTCCACAGCAGAGCCAGACTGGGGCAAAGTCAGTGAAGCCCTTCACACTGCTGGCACCGAAATTGGAAAGCTGGAAAATTTGCCCCTGATCAAGCACGGCGAAGCGGTAGTGGCAAAAATTGATAGCATGAGCCAAGAAATGCAGGACATGAAGCAGGAAGCGCAGGACGTGAAGCAGGAAATGCAGGACATGAAGAGAGCGATGGCAGAGCAGTTCGCCCGAGTTGAAGCCAAGTTTGATCTACTCATCCAGGAGATGCGCACCGGGTTCCAGTCCCTTTCAACCAGAATCACTGCCACGTAAGTCGTCCCTTGATCATTCTCAGGAGTTTGACTTTACTAATTCAGCAGCGATACCAATGCCGTTATCCGCAACCAGAATTCATTCCTCGGGGCCCTTTCAGATCAGCTCGTTCCCCTCGTAAATCCTTTGACCAATACTCCAGTAGCGAACTTCCCTGCCTCAATTGCCGACATCAACAAGCTGGACGAGGACGAAACTGATGCTCTTTTGAAACAGCTCAACCAACAAACTGCAGATGGTACCACCTTGGCGGGCAAGAAGAGACAATTGAAGATGTACATCGGCTTGGGATGAGTCGCCGAGGGATCTAGCACGACGATGATGGGATGGGGAACTGTCCGTCTGGACCTTGACTGTATCCTTATGATTGTGATGCTTGGAAAACCACTCGTTGGGAAATGATCCCCAAGCCAAAGGTCTTTGCTCTATCTTTGAACGGCATGACCCAAACGACAAAGTGACCAAGGCGCCCCTCTGAGTTCCAAGCTAGAATAGCTTACTGTGGCGTTGGCTTTCCAGAGGCTTTCTGCAAACGAAATGAAATGTTAAAATTGCTGAACCTTTGTAGTGATAATGCGACATGCGTGGCCCCTTGATACGTAGTGGATGCCCGTATTCGTATTCGTACTCGCATTCGCTCTCGTCGTTCCTGTCCACCAAACCCACTTCGATTCTTCTTTCTGGTCTCGACCGAACAGCTATTGAGGTTAGCCTTTCGTGGTACTCCGTATCAAGATGGCCACTTCTACAATGTCTCAGAGAGATGATACAGGGTTTTCATGCCCATTTCTGCCATTCGGCTCGAGGGTATACCTATCGATCGGGAGACAGCGGAATGCGAACTGTCATTTGCAACACAACAAAGAACACCCGTGGCACTGACCGTGCTTCGCCTCAAAAACGTCCACAGCACTCGGTCTCAAGGTGCCATGGAGGGTGACACAGACGCGCAACAAAGAATGTCAACCAGATCCAGCGTACATTCTTTCTGTCGCCGGAGGACAATGGAATTCCCGGAGTCGTCTCAGCTCAACAAGGCTCGCCGAGGTCAATCCTTCTCAGCATTCCACCACATTTCAAAGACCTCCAACGCTTCGCGCACTTCGATGAGAACCATCATCAAAGACTGTATCAGCCCTCATTTGCCAATGCAGCTTTGATCGTATTTGACGCCTCAAACATTCTCAGCACTCCTACCATAGTCTCAGCGGCTTTGTCACGACGAGCTGCCTCATCCAAAGCTACTCGGCTCGCGAAATGGCTTCCAGAGATGTACTTAAGCAAGTTCTGGGACGCTCCCAAGGTGTGCCCTTATTGCTCACACTTTGTACACATTCTGGCTGTATTGACACCTTGAAGACAGTAACCCAGCAAGCGTCTCAAAGAATCTTCGAACTTCTCCTACAACTGGCCCAGTGACCAGAGCTCAGAGAGCCAAGGGCAGCAGTGAAACAAAGCCACTGCAACAACAAACTCAGTCAACGGCAGACAGTCATCTGGAAAACCAACCACAACAACGTTTGCCCAAGGCCAAACTTTCCAAAAGGAACTTAAGGCAGCTCCAAAGCCAACTGAGGAGCAACCCCACCCAAAGGAGAGAGGAAGACACAGAGCGATCGGTAACTGATTCAATTGACTCGAGGGTATCACAAGAATCCACAGTCATGACGGCATCTACAGTGGGACATGCGTCTTATCGCTACAAAACCATGCTCAAGGCCAATATCTTTGTCCAACTGTTTACGCTTCCAGAGAACATTCAGCTCCGAGTCAATGCCATCTTTAGCCGTGAGGTTTCGGTGAGCAAGACGAGTCAAATGGACGGAATCGTGAAGAGAATGGCAGGTGACATGATGAAACGCATGCAAGGTCAGACTATGGAAGCTCATTACCTCACCATCATCTTCAAGGGTCTCGAGGCCATGGATTCAGAGGGCGAGTTTTGTCTTTGCCCACAATATAGTATGTCTGACACCCTCTCCCCCTGGTGTCTACCATCAAGGTCGTCGATGCTTGTGGAGCTTTGCTAATCTCTTGGGAATCTTAGAATGCGATCCGACCCTCCAACCCCGAGGCCGGGGTATGCGAGTGTCATTCAACCTAGGGAATGTGGATCAGGTCTCTGACGAGCTCCGCGATAACCCCCAACGATCCCGGAAGAGACAGCGCACAGACTCGCTGTCGGACGCGGTGTTGGAAGAAACACAAGGATCAGAATCCGTGAAGCCCAGTAGTGTCAAGGTACCTTGCTCCGATTTTACCATGGGTCTTTCAACCGATACATTAGCGGGGGCCTTGTCAACAAAGTACGGAGTTCCCGTCTGGCAAGCCCAAGCCTTTCTGCAACAACTGGAATCCATGGAAGGTTTTCGACCGCATCCATACAAGAACCCCGTGGGGTACTGGTTCCCAACCTTGGTCATCGAAGCCAAGGCGTTCTCTACAGGAAGGAGTCTGTTCGAGGCCGAGAACCAGGCTGCCGTTTCGGCGTGCTACATGCTCAATGCTCTACAACGTTTCGCCGATTCGTATGATGGAGCCGTGCAACAAGCCATCCCGCCGCCGACACCCATCGGCAAAGACACGCCTCTCGTCTTCTCCATCACTGTATACGGACCGCTGCTGCAGCTTTGGGTTCACTATGCATTGAAGCACAACAATTCCACGTCGTATCACATGAACATCCTCAAGTCATGTCACGCCTGCGTCACTAGCGAACTGCAAGCCTTTCTTGCCATGGTCGACCAAATCATGAGCTGGAACAAAGCTGAGGTCTTGCCGGAGATGATGAACCAAGTGGTCCAGCTCTCAAATATCCTAGACTTCGAAGCGATTGTTCTAGAGGGGTGATTCATCGGTCATCGGCAGTGGTTCTTGGGCTGTGAAGGGAACCGAGAAAGAGAGTTGCGTCAGGACTCAAAATGCTTTGACAGTCGTCGTGCGCAGCGCAACACAAACCAAAGGACGCTATGTCTGCTCGCATGGAAACTCGCGAATCGGAAAGAGCTCTTAAGGACAATTAATATGGTCTACATGGGTAGGGTACGGTCTATGAGAGTATGACGCTGCGGCGCTGGACGCACGCATGCACATATTGCATAACGGCTCTCGACACTCGTTGCAAAGGGCTATTGTGGTGTTGAGGTTGAGGTTGAGGTTGAGGTCGAGGTTGAGGTCGAGGTTGAGGTCGAGGTTGAG